AAATAAAAAAGAAGTCTCTGAAAAACACTAGTTCCTTCCTGTCTAGTCAGTGGCAGTGTTTTTGTTGTAATGTATACATTGTATCTTATGGAATGTACTTATAATTTATATAAATCTCGGACAGTTAAAGCAAATCTGTATCAAGTAGTCACTGCCGGACAATCCTGCTTTATGCAGGCTATGATGTACCGGTATGCAAAGTCACTGGATTGATTTTGACCACTGGGATGGCTTTGTTTATTAACGGCTTGTACATGTATACATGGGTCATTCCACCAGGTTGGGAAGCAGTGCATGTTGTACATATTTGGTTATTATTAAAAGTATCAATTGATGCATTCTAAACAATTGCTCAACATAATATTAGTTTTAGGGTGTTTCAATACTTTAGAAAGTTTGAAATCATTTGAATGTATTTTGACAAAAATATGAGCAAAAATGTATTAATTCGGATGTAACACTGACACCGTGTCAATGTTACATCCAAATGTTCTTTTTTTTGCCATTTTTTACACGTATGTAAAATATTACCCAAACTGACATTGCATATTTAAACTGGACACCTAATGCACCAAGAAAAGCTTTTGTTTTGGTAGAGTCAGGGTTCAAATATAGCAGAAACAATACCTCAAGTGTGGATGTAACGGTTTCAAAATCACTCAATAGAAGTGTGACATTTGGGGTTGACACCTGTCAATGTTACGTCCACAACCAAGCTATCATTTCTGCTCCATTTGATACCTGACTACCGTAACAATAGCTTTTCTTATTGTCTTGTACACGTGAATTTGGGTTATGTTTCACAGAAATTTAATTTAAGATACAAATGTAACGTTGACACGGTGGGTGTCAATGTTAAGTCCAAAATGACATTTTTTGCTCATATTTTTGGCAAAATGTATTGAAATGATTTAAAACTTTCTGCAGTAGTGAAACACCCAAAAACAAACATTATGTAGAGGAACTGCTAGCAAGGCATTCATGCTTTTCTTAATATGGTCTTATGTCACACATTGTTCCCCAATCCGGTGGAATGACCCATATAACATGAGTACATTTATCTTCAACCAAACTTGAATCCTTGATCCTGATTGGTCAATCCATGGAAACAAGCTGTGCTATATTATCCCATAATCATACCATGGTCCATACCGAACCCTGCGTATCACACTATTCCAAGACGCATGCCACATTCCAGCTGCCAGTGTTTCCCCTGGCTAATGAACTGAGCGAGGTGGTAACAATTCAAATTGATGATTGAAACGAAATTTACAGTCTGCAAACTGAAAAGAATGCAGCGCTCACAAAAATGCGCAATGATTCCAAAAACACATCGAAATTGTGAGTTCTTGATACATGTACATGTACATGGAGGTAAAGGAAAATGCTCATATATTACACAAAATGAAAATGTTTCAATTGATATTTCCTTTTTTCCCAATCTTCACAGCGAGGTGGTGATATTGGCAAAAATTGAGCGAGGTGGTCACTGAAAGTAGTGAGGTGGGCCACCTCACGTTTGAATGGGCAGGGGAAACACTGCCAGCTGCACACACTTGTAAAAGGCTTACCGCTGCAAGGTTCGTGTACATACAGCATGCCTGTTCTATCTTTAGGTTTGCTATCAAGAAGATAGATTCGGTGTTCCACTTGCACTCTGCGAGGGATAACTAATAATAGTGTACATAACATGTACACTAAACTGCTAGGAGCAGCATGCTGTTTGTGCTCAGAGCGCATATACTTCATGTTTTGTAACAATTTATTTGGCCCCTGGTACTATTCCTTAGTGACATGTCCACTTGTGCAGTTTCCTTCCTACATGTACACCTCCTCCCCCTATCCCCCCCCCCCCCATCACCCTCTTCCCCAGATGCCCATAGACACCAATGAAACACCCCCTGTTTCTGTCAATCAGGTCACTGGTGGATCAAGGCACACAACATGTCCTTCTCAGTACAAAAACAGGAAAATCACACAAATAATGCCTTGCTGGCCTAAATTAATCACATCCTCTTCTTACATACCAAATGGCCTGCAACGGATGGCAAGTGCGTGCTCGCACTGAGAGTATTTTGCATTCTTCATACTTTTGTTGACACACTCACTCTGTGTGTCAAGATGTACATGTTCTACATAACCCCCTCCCCCCGGACCGACACACAAAGGGAGAACAACAGATCCTTTCAGTCCTGGGGAGTTGGGTCTTTTGTTGGAAACGGTCCTCTGTAGTAAGTTTGTGTGCTTAGTCTATGGGAGAGTGTTATATTACAGGGACAAAGGGAAACACAAAGCATTGTCCTCGCGAGTATAGTAAAACAAGAGTGGGTGCACTGTTTTTGTTGAGTAGTGTGTCCATGGACGGGTTTGCTAATTTGAAAATGGGAAAGAAATGAAAGAATTAAATCCGTGATCAGTTTTGTTCTAGATCTTGTGCTGCCAACCCAAAAAGATTCTCAGTAGAATTTTGTATTCCATTGTGAGAAACATGTCAGAACTCAGAAGGGATTGAATGTAAATGTTCAACTCCTCGTGCCTAATAAAGAAAATGTATTCATGTTTATTAAGAGTACATAAGGCTTAAATGAGTCTGTAGGCCTACCACAACAGAATTTGGAATGTATTTTAAGCAAGAGTTTATTTTAAAAATCAACAATTCTGAAGATGGACAGGCCTGAACAAAGTTCAAAGAAGAAACAGGTTCTTTGACAGCTTTCAAATAGAATGCTGTGCTTTACAGATCAAACTGATCTCTCTTGTCTAGATGCGAATGGCTACATTGTACTTACAGGTACAAATACTTCTTTGAAAGGAAACAGTCTAGTTTATTGAGAGTGTAATAATATATAATGAATGTTTATGAGTGCAATGGTGAGGCAAAAAAACTTATTTCTGCTTCCAAGTACGTGGCATTTGAAAATAGGGTAGGTAGTACTGTAGGTACGGTACACGTAGGTAGGGAAATTACTTTGGCAATTTGTTTGTGTACGATCATATTGAGGTGTCTGCATGTAGTCAAGGGTAAAAGGTAGTTACCGTATGATTTTCAGGTTTTTTTCCTCATTTTTTTACCAAAAAAAAATTGGGGTAGGGACTGTCAAAATAGGGTAACTAGGGTAACTGGAAGCAGAACTATTATTTTTTTGGTCTAAGAATATTCCATCTGTCACTGAACATTTCATGTGTCACTGAATGAAATGATTCTTTCCAATGCATGATTGTGAAACATTCATTATTTGTTTCATACATGCCTGAATAAATGCTCGTCACCTGACTGGTCAGAGCCACCAATAGTTTAACAGTGCAATGGAACCTACATGGACTTCTATTTACCGAGGAACAGAACTTGTGTTTTTGTGGTGCGGCCGGGCCGTGGGTTGGGATGTATAATTAACCACCCACCAATCAGATGACAGGGATTTATTCAGGTGTTGTAAAACACTTCTTAATGACCTCATTATATTTTTAGAATATTTCGCCATGAAATCTGGCACTAACACTTGACAGAATTGTGACTCCTGACAAAGTGGAAATCATTCCAAAGTGTTGGAGTCAACCACACCTTCTGGTAGTCATTTATAATCAATTTGCATTATGGCCAACAACAAACAAATAGGGTAGGTAGGTTGGAATTTTGGGCATTTTTTTGTGCTGATTGAATAGGGTTTTTAATTATATGCGAATTTCAGCCTAAATTATTTCCATTTGCGCTATATGAAAGCTATACAAAGATGGCCACAAAAAGTGATAAAGAGTTGCCTTAAATGATGTCAAAAATATTTATGGGTGATAAACTTAAAAATAATGGAGACTTCAGGTCGTGCACACCACTATGCACAATGCTAGTCACAACGGGAAACTGGCCAACAGTGTCCGTATAATGCTTGGTATAAAGTGTCTGTGATGCACTGTTTGTGGCGGGCAATGAACCTCGTGTTGTGGCAGGAAATGTCAGGGAAACACTTCAAGTACGAGCTGTACAATCTCGAAATAAATTCATGAACACGGAAAATAAATATACAGACAAGAGAGATCAAGTTCTGTGAATTAACTTGCAGAAATCTTCTTTCTGAATCAATGTTTACTTGGCATTTTTACAACGCCAGACCCGACCTGCAACTGCAGTGCACTCTACAGTGTTACGCTATGTTGGGTGGCCTTATAGATTGACTGGTTGCCGCATCTCCATCATGCCTTCTTTTGGCAGCACGGTGGCAACCAGTACAGCATTGCTGTATTGAGTATTACATGGGGGGTCTGCTCATAAGTCCAACGCCTCATAGGTCCAACGCCTCATAAGTCCGACAAAATCGCATCCCCCAACTAATTAAAGGCCCATAAGTCCGACGCCTCATAGGTCCGACGCCTCATAAGTCCAACAAAATCGCATCCCCCAACTAATTAAAGGCCCATAAGTCCGACGCCTCATAGGTCCGACGCCTCATAAGTCAGATGCCTCATGGGTCCGACGCCTCATAGCTCCGACGCCTCATAGGTCAGACAACTTTAAACGCCTTGTTATTCCGACGTCGGACTTACCGTATGAGGCGTCGGACTTATGAGGCGTCGGACCTATGAGGTGGAATAAATAGATTTTATGCCTCATAAGTCCTACGCCTCATAAGTCTGAGGCGTCGGACCTATGAAGCGTTGGACTTATGATACGGCCCCTTACGCACATGTATCATCACCGCAATAGCGAATCGCACACCGAAGGGAACGTGTAATCGCGAAGGAAATGTGTAAAAACATCGGAGCTTTCTGCTCAAAGATAGCGAATGTAAGTAGGCAAACAAATTACAAGCGTTTTTTACTTAAAAAGGTTGTTGAGAGCCGTTTGGTGAAGACAGATATGGATTAATTTTCTTTTTAATATATTAAAAAAAAATTTTTTTTTAACTTAATGATAAAAAATTTAGGGGAGCGGCCATAAAAAAAGGGTAGGTCGGGTAACTGGAAGCAGAACTATTTTATTTGGACTAAGTAGAGTCATATTGTACCTGTAACCTTCCATCCAACGTTCTCTGTATGGTGACGCACTTGCTCGGGTGGGCCCCGTTTGTCGTAATGGCTGTGATGAGACTGTCCAACTCGTCTCGCTTCTCCTTGAGCTTTTTGACCAGGCTCTCGATGGCACGCTTCCCAAAGCTCTCCGACTCGCCGCCCTGCCGGTGGCACATCAGACTGTGGACGATGCTCAGGCATGCGTCCGCTGAGGTGGGGGCACTGGATGCCATGATGGCTGCATTGACCAGGCTCATCGGAACGACACCTGCAGTGGACAGAAACAGGGGAAAAAATACAGTATTACGACACCATTGCAAGTCTAGCTGCATCTTTGTTCACTGCTTGGGCCGTACTTAAATAAATTAGGTTGAAAAGGTCATTTTTTGAGAAATAAAAAACACAATTGCCTCCAATTTGATCGAAACTAAACAGGGGCCCTATCAGGCCTATAGGCTATACTACACGACCAACATACATTTTAATTATGCCATGCAATATTTTGAAAAAATGTTGCAACCTGATGCCACTTTATTCTTAATCATCTCAATGAAGGTCATTCATTGCAAAATTTTATAAGAAAAGACATGAATCTGGGAGTCCTGAGAAATGTTTCAAATTTTGTTAGGAAATACTTAGAAAATTGTCTTGACTCTCCATACACTTTGTACAAAACCGCAGACGTGGCATCAGGCTGCAACATTGGAAAGAATGTTGCAACCTGACGCTGCTTTTTTCTTCATATATCATCTCAATGAAGGTCAGTCATTGCAGAAATGATAAGACATGATTCTGGGACTGAGAAACATTCAATTTTGTTAGGAATTAGGCCCCCTACTTAAACATTTTTCTTGACTCTCCATAGACTTTGTACACAACCGCTGAAGTAGCGTCAGGTTGCAACATTCTTTCCGCTGCCGCAACATTTTTTCCCGATGTTTGTTAAGATTGCACAAAATTCATAAATTGCGCACGTATCATTCCCACGCAATCTTAAGAACATGAAGAATGAGCACTCATTCTTAAGATCGCGTGCTCATGATTCTTAAGAATGCGTGCTCGTTCTCATGAATGCGCGCTCATTCTTAAGATCGCGCAAATTGCAAGAAAGCGCACACGCACAACAATGACAATCTACCATTGTCTGATTTAGTAATAAGTCTGTTACCATGCTAACACTTTGTTAGCATGGTTAGTGTTAGCCCCATAAATAAAATGTGGCAAATTTACTGGACTACCTCCGTAAATAAAGGCCACACTTCCACCATATACAAAAACATGTCGAACTTCGTCAAATTTTGATTTTCACATTTAGGCTAAGTTTGTAGTTACTTAAGTAGTTTATTTTTGCTTTAGAAGCATACCCACCCTCTGTAGGCCTATAGGCTAATCAGAAAGTGCTGCCTTTTTCAAATGTCTAATTTTTGTGAAATTTCGTGTTGAAATTTTGATACACAAACGTCATGAACGTGTGCAAACGAATCTGGAAATTTCACGAAAAATAGACATCTGAAAAAGGCAGCACTTTCTGATTAGCCTAACTTACTAAGCCTAAGACTTAGTAAATGTGAAAATCAAAATTAATTTGACAAAGTTCTACATGTTTTTGTACATGGTGGAAGTGTGGCCTTTATTTACGGAGGTAGTCCAGTAAATTGGCAACATTTATGGGGCTAGGTTAGTGCTAGCCCCATAAATGTGGCCTATTTACTGGACTGCCTCCGTAAACATAGGCCACACATCCACATGTACAAAAATCGTGTCGACGGAGCCAAATTTTGATTTTCACATTTATGCTTAGTTTGTAGGTTTTTTTTGCTTTAGAAGCATACTCACCCTCTTTACAGGCTAATCAGAAAGTGCTGCCTTTTTCAGATGTCTAATTTTTGTGAAATTTCATGTTGAAATTTTGATACACAAACGTGTAAAAATGAATCTGGAAATTTCACGAAAAATATACATCTGAAAAAGGCAGCACTTTCTGATTAGCCTATAAAGAGGGTGAGTATGCTTTTAAAGCAAAAAAAACCCTACAAACTAAGCCTAAATGTGAAAATCAAAATTTGGCTCCGTCGACACGATTTTTGTACATGTGGATGTGTGGCCTATGTTTACGGAGGCAGTCCAGTAAATAGGCCACATTTATGGGGCTAGGTTAGTGCATGGAGGAAGAAAATAGCTTCCTCCACGGTTAGTGTTACTCATGGGTGTTACTTAGCCATTACTAGTGATTGTCATGATTGTCAACTTACCCACTTATCCCCCGCACTTCGAATCAGCTTGAATTCCGCTACAACTTACAAGTACTAACAATACGTTACACTTCACTTGCCTGACGAGTGACGGAAATCATCAAATACTGGTACTAAATTTAACTACAACTTCTCCTCACATTGGCCATCACATTATAAGGTGGTGAGGTATAGTAATACCATGGAGGAATCAAAATGGTACAACTGACGACAAATTCGTGGCACACGCGCGCTCAGTAAACTAGCTCCACATTGCTTTTCATACATTCCGCTGCATGTACTGCATGCAGTGCAGTGCAATAATAATGTACGCACTGTTTTTGAAGTGCACAGGCTAGGCTCAGGCTAAGAAACCTGGCAGGCTGACAGCCAATAGAAAACGCTTTTTTATGTAAAACCGTGACTCACGTCGGGATTGTCCAACTAGAGATTCTGTTTGATGACACGTTTCTTTGCAACTGGACCCAATTGCAACACGCGCCCAACTGACCGACTGTCTCAGTTTGCAATCGGGCATTTTATTATCGGCGAACCATTTTTTTTCTTGGAGAGCACCATTGATCTCCATATACACAGACTGGATAGGACATCGCGCCGTGTTTGTGCACGAATGCGCGGCCGAACAATGGCGGCGCGTTTACTGTCAGACGGGTAAACGCGCATTGTGCTTTCACTTTGTTTGCTTTGGAAAATGGATTATCGAGTGAAATTGTTCTTACAGGAGGGAGTTCAAGCGCTCCTCCAAAACAAATCTTTAACAAACAAAAACTAACTGAACTATGAAGAGTTACCCTCAATCCCTCCAGACAGCTTTTCCACACTTTCTTGATATACACTTTCTTATTATGGATTTTCGAAATTCAAGAACCCCCCATTTCCTTTTCCTGTTGTTGTTAAATCCCTCCTCCTCCCACAAATGATTGTAAGTAAATTGCAAATTTTTATTTTTGGCACATTGGTCATTAGAGCACACTAAATTACTCCATCAATGAAATGATTATTGTCTAAATATTAATGCTGAAATGACATCATATTTTTTAACTGAACACTTACACGAGAAATTGTATGGAGATTCATTCAAATGATTGATATATTTATTAAAGACCCGAACATAAACCATTTAGAAACTAAAAGGTAAGAAAAACCTTAATTTTACAAAGTAATCAGTAAAAACTTCTTCCCGTCCCTAGATTGATCAGGGAATGACATCGTTCACCTCTTGTGATATTGTGTGAAAGGAGATGAATCACAAACCACATTTTTTTTTTGTCAAAGAATAATTCGTGAAGTTCTCCATTTTCGTCCGTCTCGGATATCGTCCTGCAGCTGGTGGTTTTTGCTATGGCTTTGCTGATACGAAGTTCTTTGTTTGATATGAAGGTCAATCTGCCGGTTGTGCAGTAATTTAGCATAAACCATCTCCTCGGTTTCTCTTTATAAAGAAAAAGAATAGAAACATTTCGGTAGGCGTTTAAGGCAGACATAATTCAATCAGATTTTGCATATAAAAGTTATAAAAGTTATTCGAATAAACTATTTTAAACAAGTCAACTTTTGTTCATTGCCATTGCCGGGTCAGTCATGGACGTTTAGGCCTATGTCTTTTAAAGAAAAATTATGCCGACCAGCATGACAGGCCTAGATCGCATGGAATTTGAACAGAATATCTCGCTATAGCTACCACACAGGCCTCCAACCCCTCAAACTCACAGCGACATTAACGATATTATAATTTGCTTTGTCATTCCCGTGTTCATATTCCTCCATGCCGTGTTGTATAGGCCTCGTTAAAAAAAAACTTACTTGCGAATAATTGTCCTATTCTTCAACGCTCCTGACTTCCCGACTCCAGTAATATCTCATGCTGCGCACACCTTGACTATACTCTTCGTCGATTTTGATCAATTTAGATCTCTGTTTCTTTTGTTCTTTCAAAAATGACAAAGAAACCGAAGAAAACCCAACTTCATTTTTTAATCCTCCGTTCGAAAGTGTACACAATTCGAAATGCGTATTTGTGTTATTACCCTTTTCAAAAAACGCGCGCGCGGACGCACGTTCGTACGCGATGTCCTATCCAGTCTGTGTATATGGAGATCAATGGAGAGCACCATGCACGGGAACGCTAGTGTTATGTAATGAGCTTCCTTGATTTTGGGAACTGAGTGCCGTTTCAGTCAGTTGACAACTTAATTTTGACGCTTTCGACTGAGCACGAAAATGAACAAATGGGAATACAGTCTTTGATCAAAGACCGGATTTAAAACATCGACAATTTTGAATGGCCCCTCTACCTCGAAATGCCCCTGGCAACCCATTAAATTAACAGCATGATCCGCGACTCTGTTTCTTTCGTTTTTTCCCCTTTTGTTGCCCCTCTTTTTTGTTTTGCTTTTCCGGGCAAGCCCCCGCCCCCCTCGCGACGCCCATGACTGATGTGCAAAACACATGCTCGCAGTTACGAATTGAGCTAATTCAGTAATTGACTCAAAATCATGCTCATGGGAATCTCGAAAGAGAGTCAAGCTGCAGTTTTGATATGACGGATGTAAGGCCAAAAAAAAAAATAAGTCGGTCTCTGGTCAGCGCGCGCGTCGATTTTAATCATGCGCGTCGATCTTTTTTTTCTCCAAAATGTTCCGCGGTAGCTCCAACAGCGCCCTCTATTTCCGCACCTCCTCAATTTTTTTTACCAAAGAGCACCAAGGAATGGGAAATTGCACCAAGGCAAATGATCGAAAGCACCAAGGCAAATTATGGAGGACACCAAAGTACATGAGGACACAAAAAAGCAAAATAGTACCCCACCTTGTCTGTACAATCCAAGCTTGAAGAAAAAAAAAAAAAAGCAAAAAAAAAAAAAAAAAAACGCGTGGCCGCGTCAATTCCGGAACTTTGGTTTGACCAGAGACCGAATATTTTTTTTTTGGCCTAATGTATGATGATGTGATGTTTGTGCGGATGTAATATATGATGACCCGGCCACCCCCATAACACGAGCACATTTCATTCAAAACATTAGAGACACACTCTCGGAAAAAAATGGTCCGGTTTAACTTATTCTTTATGATGGGACTTGCGGTTTTGCCGAAGTCAATTGAGTGTGATCGGCTGACTGATAAGGTTTACGCACAAAAACCCCGGCCAATGAGGTTTTGTATAGAACTTGGTCGGCCCACTTTTTGCGAGAGTGTGATGGTAATGGCTGAGCCTGCGTGCTGCCAAATTTACCAATGGCATCCCTACATTTTCTCGTGCAAGGACCCATTTTGGAACCTAATTTTATCAAATCCCAAAGGCCCAAAAGCTAGGGAGACGACCCGCGGCTATTATATTCGCACGATTCCACCGATTTTTAAACTAGACGGACACGTTTAAAGAAAAAAAAATCACTTTTTATGCAAATGACTCGCGTATTTTTTTTGAAACCTTAATTAATCGCGAATTTATTGCGCCATTCGGATATATCGTCTGTCTACCCCCCCCCCCCACCACCACCACCGCACTGAAAAATAATAGTCATTAAATACTCTTTAAAAATGTGCTCGTTTATTCAGAAATTCATGAAGCATAATATCCAAACTGATTGGATGTTTCCAAAGTGTCTTTCCCATTTTGCAAAAGGTCTTTTAAAAGCCCACCGCAGCCATTAGATGCACACTCTCGGAAAAAATGGTCCGGTTAACTTTATGATGGGACTTGCGGTTTTGCCGAAGTCAATAAGTGTGATCGGCTGACTGATAAGGTTTACGAGCAAAACCCCAGGCCAATGAGGTTTTGTATAGAATGGTGGCCGGACCACTTTTTGCGAGAGTCAGAGAGTGTGCTGGTAATGAAAATCACGGGAAAGTCACGGTGGCAAGGAAAAGCCTCAGATAGCACATCATCTACAATCCTAACAATATTTTGCCCTTAGCGGGCCTCAGACCCCACGCCTTTAGGGCTTCGCGCTCCGCGCTCGCATATAAAATTTAAGTTCCACTTTAGTATTTGAAGACCCCCCCCCCCCCCCCCCCCCAGCATGGATCAGGGAACGGGCCTGAAGCCTTAGGTACACGTTCTGAACGTGTACACGCAGTTTTGCGACTAGTAAAATGTCCACTGATAACTTTTGGCAAAATGTTGACGATTTACTTTTGAAGCCTTTATCCAAATGAAAAATGTAAACTATTCAAAGTAATCAGCATAGTTAATAATTCGTATTACGGAGGAAATGATAAATATCGTCACCGACACCACGAAGTAACACTCTACCGTGTTAAAGCATATGTTGTTCGATTTTCAGTTTTTTGGATTTTTAAACATTATTCATCAAGGCCTACCATTGCACGAAGTTTCAAAGCTTCAAGAGCTTTACTTTAATAATTACGCTAAGTATCCATGGCAACTTTTGCGCAAAAGTGACAATTTTCGTTTTCACGAAGTAACACTCAAGTTCCATTTTCCATTGCAATGCATGGCGCGCACTCTGCTCATATTATTAGTGAGCAAAAACGTTTTCACGAAGTAACACTCTTCTTGTAACAAGTTGTATGAGCACGGGCGCGCTGACCTGAAGTTGCACTTTCCTCGTGTTAAATACATTGAAGAGTGTTACTTCGTGAAAACGAAAATTTACAGTTTCGCAGCTTTTTCGGTTTCACGAACTAACACTCATTTTTTTTCTCTTATTTCTTGTTTATTTAATACACAAACTAGTGAAAAACAGCAGATTTAATAAATTCAATTCATCAAGTGTCCACAACGAGAAACCCAACTGAAAATACTCTGTCGTTTTGACGTTGTTTTAGAAGGCGTTCAACTTTAGTTGCCGTTTTCTCCGATTGCTACTTTTTACTGGTATGTAGATGGGTGTTACATCGTGGTGTCGGTGACGATATGTTAAACTCGGGGGTCATTTCGGGCGGAACTTATCATTACACTAATTTCATGCTTGACGGTCACGTTTCTATGGCACAAAATGAATGCCGCCGGAGTTGACGTTGACGTAAATATTGCGCGTCATTTTGTATGGGCTACCGCAAGTGCATTATGAATGGAAGCTGTGCATTGTTTGCCGGGGTCCGCTCATAAGTCCGACGCCTCATAGGTCCGACGCCTCATAAGTCCGACAAAATCGCATCCCCTAACCAAATAAAGGCCCATAAGTCCGACGCCTCATAGGTCTGACGCCTCATAAGTCCGATGCCTCATGGGTCCGACGCCTGGCCTCGTAAGTCCGACAAATTAAATGCCTCGTTTTTCCGTTGTTTGGGACTTATGAGGCGTCGGACCTATGAGGCGGAATAAATAAATTGTATGCCTCATAAGTCCGACGTCCGAAATTTCGGACTTATGAGGCGTCGGACTTATCATACGGCCCCGGACTTATAAAACACCTCATTACATACGAAAACGGCTACCGATTCGCGAATGGGACACTAATTCATTTGGCCTTTCACTTCTTACGCAACCTCGTCCTCAGGGTGTCAAGCAGTATGCGCCCACCACTAAAACACGAAATTGGAAATAAAGTAAGCACTGGGGACGAGTTTGATTCTTACCATTATACCTCGTATTCCCCTGCTAATGTTCGTGTCGGCAAATGGCCAAGTGGATACTTCGACATGATAGCGATATTTCAACCAACTGAGGTACTCGGTTCATATACCACTATCCACCGGCGCGATCCGGCACTTTTATGTTATTTCTTTACCCGAGTAATTTGTTGAAAATTGTAAAGTAGATGGACCAAATCGTGTCAATCGCCTGGAATTTGTACTGAACTGCTGTTTTCTTTTCGTCTATTCACTCGGGCGAAAAATGCCCCTTTAAGTCCCATGTAAGGCCTAATACTTTGGTGATTTTTTTTCAAACGTGATTTAAATGGGGATGTGTTTTTGTTGTTCAAGTGTTTCTTTCTTGTGTTGTTTTTGTTTTGGGGCTTTCTTTTGGGAAGCGGGGGAATAAATTATTGAATGGAAACTTTGAATAAACAAATAATAAAGAAAATAAAGAAAAGAAAAACATTAAATAAAAAACTTGGAAACATATTTATCTCACTCTCCACGAGCCACTTGTTTAAATTATAATTGTGATATTTCTGTTGTTTTTGAGAATAACGAATGACAAAAAGTGACAAAGTAGGGGTTAGCCCCCACAAACTGACCTCCCCCAGGCAGCGGATTTTTTTTAGTAGCGTCGCAAAAAAGGCAGCCATTGCGTGCACCACCCACAAAACCGTCAACAAAAGCAATACATTTTGCACCCCTCCCTTGCTTTTCATATTGAATTTGGGACAGACAATTTTTGGACCAACTTTTTCGGGAACACATTTTTTGGTCTCCCCCCCCCCCCCCAATAAAAAAATGTGTTCTGAATCCAGCCTTGACCTACCATTCCAATAAAATGACTGGGGTATACATGGAAAGACGTCATCAAAAGAATTTAACAAAATGGGATCAGAAAAATACCCTCAGGTAGATAGAGGGCATTATAGAATTGGGATGCATAACAATATAAGATGAGCATTGTCACTATTGCGAAAGTTCTCAATCACATGGCAACAGAAAATCTAAGCAAAACAATTAAATGACAATAATAATTCATTCAGTCTGATTTATTTATTTCCCAACCTTTTTGAATGTTTGCTGATACAATTTGAACCAATCGTCTCCTTTTTTTGCGACTTTTCCAAGTTAGTCATCTTTTCTACGTCATTAACAGTCTTGTATTAACAACAGGCCTGAGGCACTAGGCTGAAATGCATATTTTCTACGGGTGGCGATCCGGGGAGAGACATTCAATTCCCCTGATCATTTTTTTTATCCCACGGTGAGTGCGTATATTTATGTTACCAGATGGATGTGCCTAAATGTGCACTTTGTTTTTCCGAAATGGTGTTCCCGTACCAGTACCACCCTTAACCCGGGCCCGGAAATTGCACATAATAGACAAAAACGCGCAAATTTCTAGGAATACGTGTATCATGATACACGTATATTACAAAATGTAATATAAATGTGGCCAGACACTGTTAACCTGCTTGTCCCTTGCGGCCTCAGGCAGTTTATTAATAACAAAAAAGTGCGTATCTTAAGAATAAGTTTCGAACTAATTTCTGTTCCCAAATAGGGTAAAGTCACAGGATGTGGGGGTGTCCTCAAAGTATTTACCCCAGAGAACACGAATGCGGATAAACTTGTGACCACCCAATGACCATCCTATCAAGATGGTAAAAAGTCAAAACAGGTCACGATGGGACCATTTTTGAGAGAGCAAGGCCCAAAAAATGATTTTATCTATTTCCAAAAAATATGCTCCCAAAAAAAACACAGTTCTTTTTAGCTGGAAGGCAAAAGTACCGGCTGTGCAACTTCAGAGCACCATTTTCGGATGTCCCAAGGTATCCTACAACAGAAAATAATATTGCGATTAATGACACAATTTTGCAATTAAATGGCCTTATCCCATGGATTTTAGCAACCCTAGTTCTCGAGCGCTTCAAGACGTCAATTTTAGGGGTTCCCCCCAAAACACACTGCAGGCGCCAAACAAATATTCAGCGAATCACCATCAGGCTTTGCCGCCCCGAGAGGGCGTGACACAGACAAATACCATTGATTTTCATTTTTGTGTGTACCGCACCCCGCGTCGTGTATGTGCGTGAAAGAGATATTTTGGTAAGTCTGGTCTTTGATTTGTTTCACAAAACACTTTATATCTTAGTATTCTGCAATTACTCCTTAGAATCTAAGCATAACTTAAGGAATAAATGTTGCAACCGGCAACCTGACGCCACGCGTCTTCAGCGGTTGTGTACAAAGTCTATGCAAATTATTAACATGATTGATAAGGCATGTAAGGTAATGAGCAAAATTGGAAATTTGTTTCTCAGTCCCAACTCCTACTACTAGCCCCATAAACGTGGCCAATTTACTGGACTACCTCCGTGAATAAAGGCCACACTTGGAACATGTACCCGAACATGCAGAACTTTGTCAAATTTGGATTTTCAAATTTGTACTACACTACTAGTCACTGCACAGACGTACATGTACATCATGTACGACTAGAATAGACTCGGCGGTGAGAAACTGATGAAAAGAGTCTAGTTAAACGTCGCTTTCGAGTTTATTTTCCTGATTGACGTCAGTCAGCATCGCATATGGAATTCCTGAACCTAGCGTACTAACAGATAAGGACACATAGAATATACGACGTAAAAATTAGCTTCTCCAACAAGGTAAAAATATTGAAATTATTGGTAAGAAATGTTTTCGTTCGGTTGTGAGCACATGTGTACTCAGGACTCCCTCCGTAACGTAGGGAGGAAAGGGAGTCCACCAGGGCTAGCTAGTTAGTAGTTTATTTACACTTAAGAAGCATTACTCACCCTCATCACTCATGTTACTAGTGACAGTAGCAATATAAAATTTATCCCCCCTTTTTTTAGACATCTACTTTTCATGTAATTTATGTTGGAATTTTATAGATACGCAAATGTGTCCAAACAAACCTGGAAATTACACGAAATGTAGATGTCTGAAAAAGGGAGGATAAATGTTCTATCGCTATAAAGACTAAGAAAAGAGTAAGACTGAGTATTCTTCTAAAGCGTAAATAAACTACAAATAAAGCCTAATCATAATGTGAAAATCCAAATTTGACAAAGTTACTTAGGCCGGGCCTACTACATGTTCGGGTACATGTTCCAAGTGTGGCCTTTATTCATGGAGGTAATCCATTAAATTGGCCACATTTATGGGGCTACACTCAATAGAGCTAGGTTGTATGACCTAGTGTGGCCTTTATTCACGGAGGTAATCCATTAAATTGGCCACATTTATGGGGCTACACTCAATAGAGCTAGGTTGTATGACTTGGCATGAAGGAAGGAACACGTCACAGTGTTCCTTCCTCCATGTACATGATCTAGGTGGGCATGGATGGTTGAAGTACATTACATGTGTAGGCCTCATAGGTCGACTAACGTTAGGCCTACAAATAACCATGCCTACCTTTGACGCTTCACTTTAAATGATCAACAAGATAATGTTCAAAATGTGATGTCTCCAAATAGTCCCAGTAACTCGGACACCACAAATCGCCTTTAAACATTGGGACATGGTCTGGTGATAGGGGTCCAAGTCGATTGTTAGACATGGCGTGGGAATAACCAAATACCAGATTTCACCCTCAAAACAGCCACAGAGTTACTAAATACGCCACCTGAGATACAAGTAGAAATCGATGATTAAGATTAAGTTATTAAGGATTACTTACAATCTGGATGAAAAGTGGAATTTAACATTTATCCGCAAGGGCCCTGCCACAAATACTGCAAAAATGGCATCCGTGCGGTACTCTTAAAAGATTGGGGTTTTACTTTAAAAATGTAAGCGATCTGGTAAGCTATGTATCATCGCTCTTTTAAATTAATGAGTGAATGTTGAGAAGAAGGGCATGTTTAATGTGATGAAGTTACCGTGTTATTTAAGCAAAATATCAGGGCCATTAAGCAAATGTCCTCAAGTTTTTCATATGTTTATGTACATGTACTCCTTCACATGTAGCCAAAGCTGAATTCTTTTCTTTTTACAGCGCCATCAGGATACTACATTCATTCTTTTTCTCCGTGTATTGTAGGTATTCAGTGAATAGAAGTGTCACACAGTGCTCAGAGTGCAGCAAATTTGAACCATTTCATTGATTTTGTGCCAAGCCCATGCTTGAAAGCTAGAGAGTCGACTATAGAAACGACAGCAGACGGACAGAAGCAGGGGTTTGCTCATAATTGAGTTGTAGATCTCAGAATCGGAGCAGTTCTCCTGTCGTGAGACAAGAGTCATTCATTCACAGGGATCGAGGGAGCACCATGGCGCAGTACGAGTACTGCGTACAGGGATTGTCCAAGGTTTGCCAAGGAATTCCATGCGATGTCAAAGATATTCCAAAGTTACCCAACATTGCTGAAATCTTCAAGACTTGTACGTACCATTGCTTAACCTTCAATCATTAATCCTTAACCCCCACCCCCTTTCTGTAGAAATGTTCCCAAATCCTCCTAAATCAACCACTATGCAGGAACCCAGTGTGTTTTTAGTTTGACTTTCAGTCCTCAAGCCCATAAAGTAATAGTGAATGGGCTCTGCCTTCCTGAATCCTGCAAAATCTGAGGATCCGCAAATCTTTGGCCCCTGTTGTCTGTGTGTATTTTGTCATTCTCTGCGTGGTTATTGTTTGTGTTTCATGACTTGTCTATTGTTTGTCTGTTTGTCTTTTTTTTTTTTACAGTTTTGCATAAGTATAGGCATGCCTCTATAAGACTCGGCTTTTTCACATCATGCCTCCACTTTAGTATTATACTTTTTGTTATTATGATGCTTTTACTTCAATGCTTTTGATGGAAATACATGTCAAGCGAATGTACATTTACGCACATGTACATGTATCAGTGTACTTGCAAAACAAGAGGACAATTTTGTTGATCTAATGCTGTATCAATGATAGGCTTGACCACTTTTGTTTCCTGAGTTCCTGTTTGACTTCCTCTCTAATGATACAGCGAAAAAAATCTCTGTAAAATCATGACATGAAATAACAATCCTATAATGCACAGTCATGACAGTATGACTTCACTGTCACTTATAAACTCCATGATGGCTAGCCAGAGGCTGGGTATATGGAGGGAGTATGGAGGACGTGGAGGGGTGGGGCAGAGAAGGTGTATTTACAAACAACATGTAGGGGTGTATGGAGGGCGCAGGGGGGGGGGGGGAGGGGAGACATGAAACGGGTATATGGGGGCATGGCATAGCACAGAGGGACATCCATGGGGAAGTGGGTGGTATTGAGGGTATGCTGCTGTTACCTGTGACATCATACATACCTACCAATGGGCAACCGATAATAAGCATTTTTTGGCATGTGCTGCTCACATTAAGCAGTTTATAGGCCTAATTAGCACTTCTAAATTGCTCATGCTCAATGAGAATACGCCTATATATACACACACAGCACAGTTTTCTGAAAGTTGGTATGACGTGAACACAACATCCAATATGTAAACAGATACACTGTATACACGCACACTGTAACAGGGTCTATTTGGGGGGAGGGCGTAATTGTGTATTGGTGGGGCTATATTTACATCAATCTAATAAGGAAAACAGTAAGAAAAACAACCTGACAACAGATCCCTAGTTGGGTTGACTCATCCAGGGTTTAACTCCTGTGTATACACTGTGTTTCCCTTTTGCTTCTAAAGATTTATTTCCTGTTTCAGTAATTGTTGAAATATTACCTTATTATTGCCACTGAAATTGGAAAAGAATCTGCAGTTAAGATCTATGATGTTATGTTTCACCTGTCAGGTCCAGTTCCTGGTCTTCAAGAATCCTGCTTGTTATTGATCTTACTGCTCCTTATTCCCATATCAGCTGCATCGATGTTTGCAATGTAAGTGTTCAACAGTCCTGAAACCAGGACCTTTTAATCGATGGGCAGCAAATTTTGCTCAGCTGAGATTCACTTGCTTGATGAAAAAGCTTTTTTGTTAGCTCATAAGACACTTTTTGTTGAGCCAATCTTTTTTTTAATGTTTAGTGTTCTCTGCAAGTTAAGTCGGGTCAAAAGGAAGTCAGAAATTCTTATGGAAGGTTTCAAGACATTTTGAGGATCAGGGCTAATCTTTGCATTTTTTTCAGAAAAATCAGAAATATCATTTGCAATTGTTTTTAGCCTCATGAACTTATAATGATCAGTAATTCTGTAAATTACAGTATATGAGTTAATGCCCACAATTTTTGGCCTCTCTGAGAATTTGCTGCAATTTTGCGAAAACTGTCCCTATTCTAAAATCTTTTTTTTTAAATTTATTTAAAAATCAAAAGTTGCCACATCGCCCCCATAATATAAGAAGGGCATCGGGTTGAGATTGTGACATAAACCCAAATGTTTTATTACAAGTACATCAATGTGCACAATGCATGTGGAAAATAATAATTAATTAACTGGGCATGAAATGGTTGGAATGAATTGAATGCACCGGGAAGAGATCAAAGGAAGCATAGGGTGACTGTCCTTTTGACCTGAAACAAACAGGGAAAAAATTGTTCATTTTAATTTGCTGTTCATACTGACATCATAATTGCTATCATCGCTCACCAATCAATGAAGGGGTGGAACCAGAATTGCTTAAAGGTAGAACATGGGGGGGGGGGGGTTCTGAGATAACCCTACAATTCAGGGGGAAATATAGCTCTTTCGATTTCTGAGTTGTTAATCTGAATCTTGGCTGACCCTTGTAACACTGCTGTTCATATGGGACCCTTATCTTCCACTTGCCCTTAATGATCTAACCATTTCCTTTTGTCCGTGTACAAGGGTACTTTGCATCTGGCAAGGAATCAAATCTAAGTTCAACTCAAAGACCACATTTTCTTGTAAAGAATGGTTTCAATTCAATAACATAAGAATTGTTCTAGAGTGGTATTTTGCCATTTGGGAATTTCAGCTGTTTCTGGAAAACTTTGCTCTTACTTAAAAACCTGGCTAATGCCCAAACCAAAGTAAAAAGTGTTATTTTCTTGATGCATGTTCTTCACATCTCGGGATAGCATAAACATATACCCCAAGCAGCATGAATATAGGTCCCGGCTCCTCCCTTCACCCCCAGCAGGGAAATAAAGTTTGTCCCCACGCCCCTCTCATTCATTCTGGTTCTGCCCCTTTACGTTTTGGTAGTGTGCACATCTTTACCACTATTTCATTGCATTACCATTACTTCATTCCCGAGATGTTGTCAAGTCATCACAAGTCAGTCACAAGTCATCCAATTTCTAATCAAATGAAAGCTATTCAAATGAAAAGTGACATTTGTCATTGGCAATCCCCTTTTAAATGTGACTTTACTGATGATTTGACTTGTGATTGATTTGTCTACAACACTGCGGCATTTGGTGTGGAAAAGTCACTAACATCGCTAACATTGTCAACCATCTTAATAATAACCAAGTTGCCTCTCATTTCTCAAACTTTCTGGCCTGAAATGCTAAAAACCTGCAAAAGTACATGTATGCTATCACTTGCATTGTGTTATACCGGTACCTACCGGTAAATCAAGAGCTTTTTTTTGGTTGAAAACAAGACAATGCTGTTTGTGTTCTTTTTCACAGTAGCCATACGCTCAGTAGTTTGTTTTCATTAGGAAAGTTCTTGAAGGCTTACGTGTACAAACAAGCTGCAAATCAAGCTCATAATATGAATCGCACTAGCGATCACATGACCTTTCCACAGCAACAGGTTTCACCAGCAGCTTGGACATGTGCCGCTGTCACTTTTTTTCCCCCCCTTTTTCTTCTTCATTTTATTCTTTCTGAAACTCAGACGGAAGTTTCAACGGGTGAGGGCCCAACCGAAGACCAATCTCATCAACAATTCTCAGCCTTCAACTTCATCACTGGCTGGGGTGCAAAATAACGTTCTGCCCCCTTCAATGGGCCATGAATTACAGAACCGCAGTGAGAGTTCCAAGCCCGTCGCAGTCTAACTGCCACTACAGTTTGCATGCAAAACACTTTTAAGCTGCTGAACTAAAAAAAAGTGGTGATTAAAATTCTCTTTTTGGTCCGAAATTGTGATATGAGGCTGGCCAGTTTTGCCGTTTTTGAGAAGTTTGTGTTTCTTAGAAAATCACCACACATTAGCCACTATATACGCAAACTTCTACCAAGTTGTATCCACCACCATCAATTTCATTTCATTTCATTTCATTTCTAACAAAATTCTCATTGCCAATGGACAAGTAATGGTTTGATTTAATGTACCTATGTACCTCCTGTAGGCAAGAAGCCCACGCAGCAGAACATCCAATTTCAGGCTTCATGCACTGTTGAAAGAGCAGCTTGCTTTTCCCTAGCACAAGTCGTCGCGCATCTTTCACATTGCCTCTTACTAAATACAAGGAGCGTACAACACATTTTCTAGTAGTTTGCACAAGTTCATTATATCTAACTGTACATTATCTGAAATAGTTTGCAGATTGCAGGGGCTTGTAGTTTTTAAAGGTTTTTTTTTTCTTCTTCCATGTCAGTCTATTCGGTTAATAGGATTGTTAGAAAACTCTTCCACATGCTGATTGGCTACACAAAAATACATGTGTTTTGTGACGTCACAAATTCGACCTGAAGGGGGGGGGGGGTGGCTTTATGCTCTATCTCATGCATATTCAATAATTTGTGGTGTATATTGGTTCAGATAAACAAACAAGCTGCCTTTGTAACAGAGAATGTTGACTGCCCAAACTGAGTGGAGAACAATGCAGCAAAAACTTTCAAAGGTCTTTTGGGAGTCAGTATTTAACCAATTAGGGTGCATCACTTGATTGTTAATATGCATGAGATACAGTAAAGAACTCTTGTCGCATCTTATTATTTCATTAACCTATACAAAGTGTTATGCACAGGGTACTTATTACTTTACTTATCTTTTCTTTCCATTTGTTCTCTATAATTAACATTTCTTCAAAATCTTACACAAAGTGTGCAGCTGAATTTATAGACGAATTACAAATGAGCACTGAAACCGAGGCTGTCGGTGCTAAGCCATTGCATGAATTGAGAACCAACAAAAGACAGCACTAAGGCCCTTGGTTTAACAGTGTCAGTTTGAAATTCCATTATTGTAATTAATATCATGTAAAGTATTAACAAAACATGTGAAGGTTTAAGGCTCTAACAGTCATGCATCAGCACTAAAAATGTTTCCTCGCATGTTGATGGTCTACTTAGAATTGTAGTGGAGACTTTTAGATGGCCCACACCACCCCAGCAATTTTGTCTAAAAGTTCCAGAATCTGGCAAAATGTAACACTCTGCAGTAGACCATTGGTACATACTTTGTACCAAAACACCAAGCATCCTCTGAAGAAACCATGGTTTAATACCTGTCTTCAGTATTTGTACATTTTCTGGGAACATGTTTACTCACCAGCAGATATTGATGTTTCAGAATTTTGTTTAAAGAGCAAGTTTTACTTACAATTGTCAATAATCCAGTTTTACATAAATTGAATTCTTGTTCTATTTTGCAAGCCCTGCATCAAAATGTACATGTATGTGCATCATGGAGTCATAAGATCACTGTGTGCTAAATGCAGCTACTAATAAGATTATTGTGCTTTAGTTTATTTCTCATAGTCACCTGTAGTCTAAGTACAGGGTAAGAATAGATAAGGTTATTAATTTGTAAGTATGTATTGTTAGGATATTGAGTTTGAACAAAATGTTGAAAGCAAGAAAAAAGGAAAAGAAAATTTAAAGATTTGCCATAAATAGAAATATTTTCCCCCCGTTTTCATTTTATTTTTGACAGGCGTAGGTATATTCTTCTTTTAGTTAAAGGACCCGGGGAATGTAGTCCCATCAGTAGTGAGACGGCACAACAATTAGTGCCACTGAACACTAAATCTGCTGGCCTAGAATCACAGACATGTCCCGTGAAGGAAACCCAGGGGGGTTCAGAACCTGCAAGTGGGAAGCATACGAGTGGTGCAATGAGTGGTGCAACAAGTGCTGGAGAGGGAACGGTAGACTTGGGGAATGAATCAGACACAGGCAATGTGAGCCCTGTCGTTGAATCTAAAACCCACCCTGTATGAAAGGAAACAAGCCGAGGTATGGAGTCAACGATTATGGAAAAACTTGGAGCATAAAGTCGATTTTGAAATTGGCTAGCTGTATAGTACTCATGGTCTTCATGATTCTATGGAATAAATGAATGTCATGGAGAGAGACAACAACTAGGACTTGACACAGATTTATTAATTCTTTTCCCTTTCATAAATACTTTTTGTAAGTCTGTTTTGTATAAGTTACATGTAACAGACAACTTTATTTCACTAATAGGCAAAAGAAGAAATTATTCAGAGAAGGTTGAAGTCTAGCACTTAATTTCTTTTTTTACACAAACACCTGTAACATGGTTGAGGGTGGATAACTGATATGTGCTCCCATGGCAAGCATTTATCTCACAAGCTCGCAAACAGCACCGAGTTGTAAACTGTGTATAACCTGATATATGATTGGAGGCTTTGCATGGTGGGGTATCGGTATCGTTTCGGTTTGCGGTAACACCACGTGGTATAACCTGATTGGCTTAATCGTGATTTATATTATTCATTGAAATTGAATTCATCATACATGTGTTCTGATATATACATACGTACATATGTACATGTTGCGGTTGTGCTGTATATTTTTTTTTTTCACTTTGCATTTGCAATTCTCTATTTTTAAATTACTTGTGGAGTCCACGTTGAACTCGAGTTAAGGCGTTACAGCTCACTGAAACTTGAAAACGTATGGTAATTGTTAGTCACATGTAAGGGACCCACTTGTGTTTCCCATGCAAAAAAAATTGATAGGTTTTTATAAAGAAATTTTGTTGAAAGATCGAAAGCATTAAAAATTATGTTTTCCTTTGAATTTACTTACATAACACCATTTTGTCTATTTGGATGTCAAAAGCATTTTTATATGAGTATCATTTATTCAGATTTTACCGCTATAAATCTTGTTGTATTGAGCGAGCAATATCTCAAACTTGAACTGATATATTTAGGCCAAGAAGTTATTTCCGCATTACACTTGCACAATTGTTTGTTTGAACTAAACATTAAAAAAAAAAAAAAACTATTAACATGGTTAAGGTAAAGACAGAACATTGGTGCTGAAAGTTGAATTATTAAAAAAAAATATTATTTTATTTATTGGAATAATTTATCTAGATTGATCAAATTGTTACTTGATTTCCAAACAAATTCCTCTGTGGTAAATGATTTAAAGAAAAGTTGTCAAACATTGTATGAAAACTGTTGGATCAGATTTTGCCTAACAATTTTTTTTTAAATATTAAATATTTCCTCTGTGCAGCTGAAAATTGTTGAAAACGCTTTCAGGATTAGTTTTTATCAAGGAGGATTGATGATCAAGTGAGATGAGTCATAGTTTTTGGTTCAAGACATATTCATATACTGCTGGTCCCCAACAAGGGCAGCAAAGCTGCCGTGGCAGGAGAGGGCGCTATCAAATCTAGTCTTGGGAACGATGGCAGAGCTACCAGGATATTCCAAGCATACCTCACGCATGCAGTATTCAAGCTATTGCATGCGCATGAAGCATGTTGGAAATTACTGGGTATCCCTACCAAAGTGCCTTTTTGATTCATATTGTTGTTAGTGACCCCTGCCACTGTGACGGCTTTGCTTGGCTTGAACCAAGACTAGTTAAGAAACATGTTGGCAACCTTGAATTTCAAGCACTCAGTGTATAAATATCACTTTCATAGCGGAAACACACTGCTGTTTCTGTTGATTTTAATCAACATTATTTTCCTATTCACCTTAAGGCTGAAGTTATCATTTATGTAATGTAGGGTTGAATTATTTAAACTAAAATAAGAAAAAAAAATTAAATCACATAGCTATTACTTGTGCAAACTGTTTTGGTTTGTTTGTAATAGGTTGTTTATTGTTTTGTTTTTATTCAAATAACCAGAAGCTGGGGTTAAAATCACATGGAAAACAATTGCTGTGGCACCTTAGCATTACGTGAAACATGCTGGGTTTGAAAGTGAGTTGTATTTTATCATCAGATATAAAGAATTAAAAAAAGACAATTTTCCATTTTTTTTTTCAAACCTGATGTACACTTTTCACAAGGCATACTGTACATATACGTTAATAAAAAAAATTAGAATGTAAAATTGGTGTTTGCTGCACAAAAATTCTGTTTAAAAACAACATATTGATCTTTTTGAATGTAAGAATGGTATTTGGTAGAACACATAAAATCTGCAATGTGTTTATCATGTGTATCATGTGCATGTCTATATAATTCTAATTGTTAAATGTTTATGTTACACTTCAAAAGTGCATAACAAAACATTGTTTACTGCTTTTTCCATTTATATTACTGAGTAATAGAGCTTTATAAAAACTAAAATGTCTGTGATTTTAAGTTTATCAACATCTTGTGAAGTCTCATATATCCATGTTCACCCTTTCCACCTCTTGAGAAATGTAAATGTTTAATTCTGTTCACTGTGCAATATACATGCGAGGGATCTACTGTGCAAAATCATTTTGTGCTAGTTGGCAATCACACTAAAAACCTGTAGTTTTTCATTGTTGAAAGTACCATGTGTGTCATGTGATGAAATAAAACGTTTGCACTTTGAGCTGAGATCTTAAGACAACTCATGTGATGCTTGGCATTTTTTTGTGTGTGTCCAAATTGACTCGAAGCATACAGCACGGCTTCCCTCGAAACTAGAACTAAATCCAATCAGTTTATTCTGGAGAAAGTTTTGAAGCTTGAAATTTGCAGAAGCTTCCTTTAAGGACGTGATAAATTGTTCCGGTATAATTCCAAACATGGGCCTATATAATTTGCTTTGATATTGGGATAATTCAATTCAAATTGAGTTACATTAGGTTAGCATTTTAAGTGCAGTTGGATGGGAAGTACAAATACCCAAGTGCCAAAAAAACCACCAATATTACAAATTTAAAATATTTTATTTTGTGGACGTGGAAAGATATCCTGTGAAGGGGATTATTTGAGTTACAAACGTATGTAGAAATGGATTAATGGAAATCCTGGGTAAATTATACATGGCTGCGAAACTGGATAGCAGGGCTACAGCAATCAACAAACGTGAAGTCTTTAGGCCAATAATTGAAGACAAGGGGGAAAAAAAAAGGAAACACATCTTTCAGGTTCTAAACTCGTTGGGGGAGAAGCAATGGGTGACAAAGTGCCTGGCCCAAGGGCACACGCATAACCCCAGGCTGGACTCGAACTCACAACCTGCAGAATTATGCACAGACCACAAATTCAATGCTCCAGACCACGACACTCCACTCCAGGATTAACATTTGAGCAGCATATTACTGGAGGAAGTCTGTGTAAACATAAATGGAGGGAATCAAAATCCCATAAAAGGAAAAATATCAACAAGTGATCTGCAACTTTTCATTCACAAGAGGAAATTGCAAAATTCGGAAGACTTTGTAAAGTGTTTTAATTTTGAATGGCAGAAATGGGAATAAAGAAAGAGGAAATCAGCTGACCAGAGGAAAAGTTGCATGCCTGTCGGAATCAATCATTCTTAATCATGTTACTATCAGAACTGAGTAACATGGATTTAACATGCATTCAACAATACTTTCAAACATGCAGAAAAACAACTTGAGTAAAGATTGAATTAAATTATCAAGATATTTCTTTTGTCACTTTATTTAAATTGAATACAAATTTAAATAGCAATACAATTTGTGGTCAACAGGAAGCAGCTACCAGAAATGTACAGAATATCACACAATGGACAATGTCCATCAACAATTACAAATCATGTTCAAAATTCAGCATCAAGCTAAATTTGCATTCATTCATTCATTCATTTAATGCTCTAAAAGCAGCGTTTATACGTGTACATAGTTGTGTTTGAGCAAAATGTCTCATGTAACATTTTCACTTAAACCAGGTTTTCCGTGGACAGAGTACATGCAACACTGCATTGTGGAAATTGCATTAAGGAAGAAATTGGAGTTTCTCATAGACCAACAGTCAAAATTGATAACTAAACATCCAGCCCATGGCCTTGGAATGAACGTGACTCCTCGTGTTACAGTATTTCGCTACAGTGTTTCAATAAAGAAAACAACAAAATTCTGTAAATTATACTAAGAGTTTATGAAAAAACCTGAAGATGGTTTGTTTAATTTCTAATGTGGGGTATCCGCTCTGTTCACAAGTACCCCCCCCCCCCCCTCACCGGCAAACAAAGTACACATTTTGCCTGACTGCAATTTTGCCGCGACGCGCAGCCGAACCACTGCGTGCACAATTCCCTGGTGTACGTGCGTCACACACAAGGAACGGTGCGCGTCAATCAGCTAAATGTCCCGCTCATGGGATTTCGTTGCTAGGTAAAAGGGTGCCCTCTTTCGTTGGCGCATGGAGCTCATATCCTTGTACCAGTCCTGTAGTACTCTTTACTCGAGTACAACTGGAGGAATTCTTTTAAAATACTCGTACTTGCACTCGTACTTCAAAATACTCGAACTCGACTTCACAGTGCTCGTACTTGACAAGCAAAGTACCTGGACTCCATTATCATACTCTATCCTCAAAGTGCTCGTACTCAACTATAAGGAAAATTTAAGTAATTTAGTTTTGAATGAACAAAATGTCCTCACTTGGAGATGCACGCGCACGGTTTTATCGATAGAGGATCAATTTCCGTTGTGCTGCTGAATAACTGTTTTGAGATGTTACTTGTACTCAATTGAATACTTGATAAAGTACTCGTACTCGAGGGTCCAAGTACTCGTACTCAGAGGTTCAAGTACTTGGCGGCAAAACACTTGTACTCGATGGTCCAAGTTCTTGGACTCGGGTACCAAGGGTACTTGATAGGCTTAGTACTCAGTAGCACTTTGCAATTGGATGAAAGTACTGGACTACAACACTTCCTGGTCTGGTAAGGCCGATACCCGTTTCAAAGGAAGAATTTCAGTACAGGTGTATTTTCATCTTCCGGGGGTAAATCAACTAACGTCAAATCTTTCATGAGGACCGTAGGTTCATCAACGCACTCGACCTTTTTTGCTCTTTGGTGTCTGGGCGGCATCATGTCTTTTCCTTTTGGACGGGGTTCGACTGCTACGAGTGTGGTGGTGATTCCCAGAAATACTGCAAAACAATATCAAGATTTGGTGAATAACTAATTTAACCATGTATTCAATAATCCACTGATTAGATATAAAAACATAACAGCCAATTATTCCAAGGCTATGGGTTTTCAACAGTTTTCCTACTCAACTCATATAAAAAGAAAATCTCAACTTGGGGACAAGTGTTAAATGGTCTTGGGAAAATCAAGCCCAAATTGCAGCAATTGAAATTTGTCAACTTTATTGACCAGAAAATTGTTTAATTGATATTATCTAAAGTTGCCTTCCCCATGCTATTTTCGAGATTTATTCTGAAACAGATTTCTTTTCTAAATTGTTTGTTTTTCTAGCAATAACAAAAAAACCTGAATGAACGGGGGTCGGTAAATTGTCCATTCACCTTTCCATGATTGGTTTGATTTCATTGATGAAGTAGTTGGTATGGTCGGGTACTGGATCGTGCATGAGGAAATCTGCTATGTATTCTGGTCTCAGACACAGGATGCCAGCCGAGGCTATAGCCTCCAGGTCCAGCTAAAGAAACATAAACCATTCGGGAATTAAATCTCATGAGTCTTTCATCCACTTTCAACCAAATTGGGGGGGGGGGGGGAGAAAGTAAGAAAGACAATATATTTACTTGATAAAGTCAAATACGCCTAATGTATGTGATGGCAGCTTTCAAGTCCGGCTTATATTTTAAATTATTTTCCTCTTCAAAAAAAAATATTACTGCTTGATCCTCAAACTATGCATGCAAATGCAGCCACCGTCTTGTGCATCACTAATGCAGGCTGATACTTTTGATTTAATATAGTTGTGTTCAGGGATCCTTGTTACACACAAAGTAAAAAAAAAAAAAATCAGGCAGAGCAAGAATAATTTAAATTCCAAATCTATTGCAAGGACAAACAAGTATTGTTACAAAAGAGATGTCATCAAGGCTTGGTTAGGGTGGGGTACTTATTTAACTCAAAAAATGTGCCAATAACAGCTCAACCCCTTGTGTTATTTAGGCTAGAAACACTCCTAAATGCAACAACATGCAACACTTGACAAAATGACATGCCTGCCCAGTGTAGCAAGATCCATTAGGTCAAGCCTCTCAAGACCAAAATGCCTCATGATGTTTGATCTTGTCCAACCCCATTGTTCAATGGGACTAGCTCTCGTTGTTACAAAATTAGCAGTTTATGCACTAGTGTTGATGGCTCAGTGCAGCAAGGTCCCACAGAGGTTTACACCTAATGCACTGCGTTACATCTGGCAATGTTAGGGTTCAACTAATGTAAGCAATCTCCAAGTACCACCCAAATATCCCTAGACAGATTTGATTGCGTCACTCACCACGCCTTCAGGAGTCTTTGTCTTCTGCAGGTCCATGAATGCATGGGTAACGTCATGCAGGTTACTGAATGGAGGTCGCATACCCATGACCTTTGCCCCACCTGCCAGTAGGATCCTTTTGAAGCTAGATTCCTTGCTTCGGTCGATGTACAGGACCACTCTCCAGCCATGGAATGCCCCCTCAAAGTCTCGGTCCTCTCCCGTAAACTGTAGGTAGTCAGCATTTACAACTTTTGTCTTTGATTGTCAAGTTATCAAGATGGGCCCATATTTTGTTTGGTCACCTTGTGAAATTTAAAACTTACTCTAAATTAACATTAAACCCCCCCCCCCCCTCCCCTGGAAATGGAAAAATTGACCCGATATTAAACATTTGAGAAAACATTCTGGGAGGTTTTTGTTCTAATGTATCAAAATAGTATTAGTCTGCACAGTACTACATACTTTGACTACTGTTTCAATTAAATTAAAATTTTTAAGCTATGCAACTCTTAATGTTTTGGCAAGCCTTGGGTCAATAAATAAATGTGCAAATACACCCCACTAAAATAAAAAAAAAAAAATTAAAATTGAGAGATTATACACATTTTCCTTTCAGCGGAATGGAATTCCTTAATCACACCAAGTTGCAAACAACTTGTCGCAAGATAAGTAGAATACTGGTTATGAGAGCATAAAACAAAGCACAAGCTTTAGTTTGAACAATGGAACGGATTCGCATGTCACAATACAGTACACTACCAATTGTTTGCCTCAAATAGGCCAATTTCCCACTGTGTGGTCAACTTTCTACACCTACTGTCATGTAGTTAATCATTCATCTTTAAAGTGCGGTTCAACACAAACACAAATTCACAAAACATTTCCACCTTTGACCACACCTGTTCCCCAAATGCAAAAACTGCCTAAATGCAAATATGACATTCATATCTTAAGACCTTCAAATTTATGTTGGATTTTCACCATGCACTGTCATGCTTGGCGGGTTAAAGCATTGTCTGTTATGTAATTCAGTTGTACCTTTTGTTTATGCTGTAGTTGATGACGCCATCTGCATGCAGCCAGAGCCAGCCTGACAGTCTGTTCACTCAGTGTACTGAGATCAGTGGCACTACCCCACTCATGCGGCTCCTCCTGTCATTTAAATTTATTTTTTAAATATTGAAGAAAAAAAATCATGTAATTGAAAAAATGTGAAGAAAAAAACATGTGGCATATGGATCATGCTGTGAATCTAGGGTCCACTTTTTTCCCTATCCCTGTTACATATGACTTAATTCTGAATGCATTCTCTAATTAACTGAATGTCTTCATCCAAGAGTGATTACATTACGCAAATTATCAACCAATAAACATAAAATACTGCAGTTTGAACTCGTTTTTAATGAAACTTTAATGGCAAATTCAGAGGTACATGTAACAGGGATAGGGAGAATGTTGCTCTTTGAACCCTAAATTTACAGAAAAACCAAAGTGTAATGTTATTAATGTACATATACACAGAGTGCATACACAGAGAGCTTTTGACCATAAACATTTACTAAGCACAGAAACTATTTGCTTAAACACAGGCTACCGGGAATACATGTAATGGGATGTGCAATGCTTGTGGCTCATTCGTAGCTGTTCTACGTCTAGCACATCCAAAGCTGTGCAACTTTCATAATATTGAATGGAACTTAAGAGACGCTTTCCTAATTGTACACAGTCTTTTTAATTGTACCACTAGTGTCAACTACGTATAGACATTTTTGATGGGAAATATTGCAATTTTGAGCAAGTGGATTGCACACAGAATACTGATAGTGTTTGAATCAACAAGTGGGGGATCTGAATGATGTAGTCAACAAAGGGAAAATCATGCATTTCATACCTCAACAAACTCTCCTGCCTTGCGGCAAGCTTCAAAGAAGGACTTGTGCAGTACCCATTTACCGCTGGCCAAGGAGGCAAGGTACTTCTCATTACGAGTAGGGTTACCTGAGATAATGGACAACATATTTATTGTTATCTTGGTTGCTTTCAAGCTATTTTTAATGTCTTTACTTGAAGCTGCCATTTGTCCTCTGGCAAACAGTGCGTATACCTTGCGCCAAGATACACTTCATGCAACCATATCCGCACACTAAGCTCTGCTGACTGCTTGACAACTGTGAGTTTCTACAATCTCAATTTGGCAGGAACCAGTGAAATACACGTCAATACCATAAAATGCCCCCATGTAAATACAATTCAAAACCGATATTGTATAGTCATCAGGGTACTTTTTCTGAAAGTGTATATCGTGATTTCTGTTTACTACATATACTCGGAAGCCTGATGATACACATAATAATGGCCAATATCGGAAACCTTGGGAGCTGGGTATTTTAGGGTCAAGCATATTGAATTACTGAAACTCACCAACTACTAGATGGGTGCAGCTGGGGTCAAAGTACATTTCGTCTTTGACCTCCCCACCCAGCTGTTCCACGAGGGCACTGTAATCGATCTTCTCCTCTTGTCTCATGCCTGACAAGAGGAATTTCAGCCGCGGCTTTGTCTGGACCTGTAATGCAATCAATCCACAGATTCATTAAGCCACGCCCAATGGTGTTTTGACCAATGACCGTCTTGATTTGTGTCCAACAGGTGTGCATGTGCGTATGACGTGCATGTGCGTATGACGAGCACTGCTGGAACATGCAATATGGCATGGAGAGTTGGAAGTGTTGTTTGCCCATGTGCGCAGTAATACATGTAAGTCAAAAAGTAAAGTCTGTCATGAGCCAATGTGGCTTGTCTCCTGTTTCCTTGGCATGAAAGGACTGAGAATATGTCTATTTCCCCCGGATGGGATGATGGTCAAACACAGGTTACTCCCCAGCTAATACCGGTAACCATTTATACTCCTGGGTGTAAAGAGACTGAACAACAAAAATGGGAGGTGATTTGAAGCATTACACTACACCAGCCTTACTGTCAACAGTGTACCCCCACCCCCAAACAGCCTGCCTGTTGCTCTAGCACTGCCCTGAATCTGCCAATGCACTGTGTGGCTTTATGGACTCATTGGGGAATATATACACAATGAAAAACAATGTCAAGCAGGAGCAAATGGGCAAACCCATTCTATTATTTTCTGCAAAGAATTGTAGTTTACCTCGATTTCTGGTTCATCTTGTTCCACCTCTACAGGCTGGGGTGCCACAGGGGGTTTGGCCACAGGCAGACGGATAGGGGGTGCCCGTGGGGTGGGGGACGGGTGTGCCTCCCTGGAGTCCTCTCTGTGTAAGGCGGAGACTGCCGGGCTGTGCCCCAGCTCCTGGATGGAGACTCTGGACTTGTCTGGTGTGACCTTAAGATATGGGTCAAGATAAATACTCAATTCTATAAGTACACTGTACGACTGCAAACCAGGGGAGGTATACATGTAAGGTGACAAACAATGACAAAAAGAATGTCTACATCAAAGTTTATTGGAATAAGTTTGTCATTTGACTTGAGACTGGATGACTTGTGATGGCCAATTAAGATGCAGTTATGAAGTCTGGTCCCTGTATGGTTCAAAACCTCCCTGCTTGTTACTTCCTGTACTGTCCAAAACTGAAATTGGGTAGTATGGGTACTACCCATCCATGCACACTACAAGAGACACTTCGTGCAATGCCTCCCTGTACTCACCTCTTCATTCATCCATACGTTCCTATCCTCCATCTCCGCGCTGTTCTGCGAGGGACTGCACGACCGCTTCAGTTGAGCCATAATCTTCTCACGCTCCTTGCGGCCCGTAGGATCATCCCAGGTGATCTGGACATTCTGGGATGCCTCGTGGTGAAGATCTGGTGGACGGACTGTAATGAGGGAAAAGGTAACAGGCAGAAGAGTTTACCTCCACTCTTGTCAAGAGCACAGCCTGTTGCTACTTTCACTAAAGACAAACTCTAAGTCTATAAACAGGGTGATAATTGTGAAGCCCTTTGATTCCATTAGTAAAAGTGTTATTTTAAGCACCACATGCTTATTATTTTCTTAGACTCCCACCTGTCAGCGTTGTGCCAGTGCCTCCCTGACCACCCTCGTCACCATGAGCCATGGCTCGGCTGGAGCGGGTGCGTCTATCGCTGCCTCTGCTAGTGGGCCTATCCCTCCCTGAGGTATTACTAGATGAGGCGTTGGCTCCAGAGGTACTAGCCTTGTGAATCCTGCTGCGCCTTCTGCTGCCCCTTGTATTCCTGCATTGTAAATAAGACGAGACAGGGTAAAGATCCACTCTAATAACATCAAACCTGAAATGTTCCAGTGCTTCACTTCTCTGTTTTCCCATGTTACATGCGATTATAAAAATCAGCTTCAGTTGACCAAGGAGAGAATTATGTGATAACGCTTTTAACTTTCTGTGCAAACGCATAAATGGCCAGAATGAAATTTTAATTTAAATTAATTGATAAAGCACTTATTTTACCACATTTACAAAAGACTCCCTGACCCGACACTGTAGTGTATTTGAAAAAGACAACAACTTACAGATAGCCAATTGCTAGTTTGATTGCTATGCCTACAGTGTTTTCCAGAAGACAGCTGCCTGTAATAGTCTTTATTTGAGTACGTCTGGTTGATTAGTAAAACTGGTTAATGCTACATAAGGGGTGCATTCCTTTTACTCAAACAATGCTGATGTATGCCAACATTGGCAATGTTTGACTGACTGTTTGCCACCAACTTCGACGAATATCAGCAACAAAGATAAATGGCCTTCCCGAGTCATTTTAGCTGTTTTCCAAATTGGCCACCACACAATGAGTTTAAGAATGTAATTTTCCATTTACAACATCCCAAGTAAGTTAATATATCATTGGGAAAAAAATTCACTTGCAGTCGCACTAAATTTTTCGAGGATTTGAAAAGTTGCTATCCAAACAGTGACACCTGTAGGATTGGCATACAGGACGCCACCATTCTTGATAAGTTTTTCAATGACATTATCGTTCTATTTGGGGTTGGCATGTTCAGGACGTTAGCAATCAACCCAATCAAGGTGCAGTCAGCCCATCAAGAGACAGCATGGTGTTATGGTTGAAAGAATCTACACTACAATACATATCCTGGACTCACATAGTGCATGACATAATCCCTTCCAGTTGCAGCATGGTGTTATTATTGATAGAATCTACACTACAATACATATCCTGGACTCACATAGTGGACGACATAATCCCTTCCAGTTGCAGCATGGTGTTATTATTGATAGAATCTACACTACAATACATATCCTGGACTCACATAGTGGATGACATAATCCCTTCCAGTTGCTTCTGTAGATTCTCCTTCTGCTCCATTGACCCCTGGTCATCATTGACCCCTGACCCCTGCTCCTCCTCCCCGCCTCCCACCGTCCCTCCATCTTCTTCTCCTCTCTCAGCCGCCTCCACCATCCTCAGCAGCTCTTCATCTTCGCTGTCGGTGGAGCCCTCACCAAAGCCGTCCATGGCCGTCTCATCTTGAAGGGGTTGAGGGGTAGGGGGTGGTGGGGGGTGAGGGGTGCGTGCCATGCTGCGGGTTTGCCGAGTTGGTCTTGCAGGGGTGCGCGATGGGGTCTCAAGTCTGGTCGACAGAACGGACTAGACAATGCAAAGCAAAATCAAGTCTCACCTTAACAAACAATTCATATCCATGTAAGTTTTCCTTTTTGTAGATTGAAACAAAAATGTAAGAAATGTGGGCTCTGACAAGATATGTTCAATTCAGTTGGTAAGAGTCAGTGTTGTGATGTGGAGGTTGCAAGTTCGAATCCTGCTCCAGTCAATTTCTTTAACATACACGACTTCAAAGTCAACAAAACCAGCTTTCCTTTGCAGTTTGATGATGTATCATCAAACTCTGGGTCCTCTCGGAGTGATTGTCCGTCGCCATTTTCTAAGTTAACAGCACTGCTGTTCTAGCACAGCGACTTTGGGCACAATAATTGGCTAGATACGCACAAACAACATAATGACTTCTGACTAGCATCCATAAACAAAGAAAGGACAAATTGGGAGGTTTAAAAAATTAGTTGAAGGATTTGACCACTGACTTGATAAACTTCTAGATAATGAGATTTAATTTGGTCAAACTTTACAACCTTAGTGACAAAATTAGGAATACAGAATTTGTTTGTATTTACCAAACTCATCTTTGGGTTGAATGTGTGCGGGTAGCTTGCTTCATCAACACGCCTCTCTTCCTCTTCACACTATCAACAAATTAAATAATAAAATAAAACAAAACTTCAAATTTGACCTAGCTAATGTCTGTGATTTAGATGTCTCGCTTCCAAACTGTCAACAAACCAGACAGTTTCTACGGCTGTCTATTTTCTAATAATTTATTATTTGATTACTCACAACCGCAATTGACTGAATATTTGAATATTTGAAACTTTGCATGCAGTGATCGATGTTATGGGCTGCTGGAATTTTTTGCAGTATTTTGTTGCTGTCAAGGGCTTTAGCCTGCTAAAAGGATGAGAACAATAAACCTTCGTCAACCAAAAAGTTGCTGTCACCGTCGACAAACAGCGGCATCTGACAATAAAAGGCCGCAACTTTCCGATTAAAATAACGTCACAGTCCTGTACATTTATAGTTTTCTTATTTTAAATATTCAATATTTGAACCAGTAAAAGTTATTTGAATATTTGATCATTCGGTATGCCTAACAGTTTCATCAAAGGCATCGCATCACGAACCTGGCCACTGTGCTTAGGATGTGTTCTCAGTCATTCAACATTTCCCAACTTTACTCCTAAATGTAAGGCCATTGAAGCTTTACACACACATCAAGTATAATGCAGGTAAACATTAATTGAAAACATCCAAAACAATGTCTCGGTTAATGTTGGACTACATATACATGGCTGAATATAAACAATGCAAAGTCTAACTCACCGCAAGGAGCCAGAATGGTGAAACGATAAACATTCCTTTATCCCTGGCCGCTCGAAACTCTTTAGAAGTGTCATTATTTCTACCCTACAAATGTACAAAAAATGAAGACAAATTAATAGAACCTGTTTTATTTGATAGATAGAACCCAAGTTAATTCAACTTCAATAACTTTAGTATCATCTTACACCAAAAGAAACTCCTCTCTGCAATCGAGCACTTGGTTCATGGCTGTTGAATTAATCACTCTGTTTTTTAGACGTTTGTTCTTTGATAAAAATAAAATCTTACCTATTTGCATTAAACATAGATGATTTTTTTAAAATGTCTCAAGGATAAAACCAAGCATTTTTTTGATTATGAGGTGGTATAGTTGTTCTTGGCCAGATAATGTCAGAAAATTAAGGTTGTGCAGCTGAGGGTCCCAACACTTGTCTTTTTTTGCACACCTTGCAAATATAGTAATCGTTATTAATTTCTCTAAAAAGAAAACTATCAATTTTGTAACTTTCTTTTAAAATCACAGCGACGTATTAGGGTATGTTGGGTGACAAGAAAACCAGATATTTTTCCGAAGAGGCTTGTTTTGTACCTTGAAGATGAAATGTGTGCACGTGTCATCAAATGTCCAGTGGAATTCAGCGCCCAGTGCAACAGCGGCCGCATTATAGTCTCTCTGTTTAGCAATGAGCTTCTTGCTGACACAGATGACAAGGCCGTCCAAAATGCCTTGGGATTTGACCTGTTAAAAACAAGCCAAGGTAAGCCGAGTAAAGTTAGTCCCAAGCGCACAACATTCTATTCAACTGATTCAGTGTGGCCAAACAGTTCCTAGAATAAGCTGTAGTTGTAACATGATTGAAGTGAAAAATCCACTTTCATTGTTTGCAAGGAGACTTGACTTATTGCTAGATACATGTATCTTGAAAGTATATAAAAACAATTGGCACCAGACTAATGCACTTGTAGTGTACATGTACATGCTACATCACGTACGTGAATAGGCAAGCCTTGTAGAGCTTGTCCATTATCAGTGTACATGTAAGTCACAAGTGACATTCAATCAGGGAGATAGGTAATAGTGACAGTCAGTGAGTCAGGTGCATAGAGGACTTGAGGCTGGATCTCTGGGACCAGCCAAATGTACTGCCACGCTTGAGGATTGGTGGCTCTATATTCTGAATTGCAATCACTTCAGAGTGGTCTTGCTCTCTTTGCATGTTTCTTTAACTCCAATCTTGCGACTGTGACCTTGAAAAACACTATAAGCTCAACGTTTATTTTTTATGTGCTGAAAAACATGTGACCCAAATATGCTTAAACAGTGCTGTATTACAGCATAGTAATAATTATGAAAGCAAACATTCAATTCAGACTTTGTTGTTTGCAAAATTCTGCATGTTGGTCTTTGAATTTCCAAAATTACACAAGCAACACAGAACATTTCTTAACATTTGGCTGCATTTTCACCTCTTCCTTATCACGATTGACTGTCAAACTGAATATAAAATGGTTGTCTACAGGCTGATCATTTTGCCTATATTTTTTTAGGAGTATTGTTAAACTTGACCACTACTAAAACTTGAAACTTTTTCTGAAATCTTTTCTTAAGCAAAAAACTTAAACCATGACTTTTTATCTTTCATTGAAACATCACATAATTGCTGCCTTTGTAGTTTCAATTTTCTGCAGCTGCTAACTTGTGTTTTACCTGTTCATGAAAGACTGAGTCATTGCCCTCCCCTTCTGTGGCCTGCTCACCACTTTTCTGTATGGCCTTGGCAACGTTCATGTGGAAGAAATCGTCCAGGGGCTGGCGTGTTTAAAATGGGGAAAAAAATACATACAAGGGCTTCATTAAAAATCTCCTGTGCCAGCTAATGCCAAAAAGGTACATTCCAGATCCAAGGCTTCAGCAGTCTGTCCGACCACACAACCTGGCAGTGGAGGTACCAAGATCAAACCGAGTCAGCCATCAAAGGTCCTTTTTACCATCTACGGCCCAAATATGGAACTCTCTTCCTGCCAACATACGTACTATCAGGAATCTGGCCTGCTTCAAGAGGGAGGTGAATTGTATCTGGGCGACAAATCATCAGAAGTCTCTATTAGTCAATAATGTTTCTTGATGTTAAGGCCCAGATATGCAGCGAGTTAAAAAACACAACAGTAATAAGCCATTTCAGTATGTGGATGGTGTTTAAGTCTGGAAAATCTCGTGCCAGGCCCTTCCATTGTCTTACCAAGCTCGATTTCCTCGCGTGGCGTCTCTTAGGATGCAGTCCAGCTGGCGACTCCAGAAACTCCAAGGCCTCTTTGGTGTCGAAGGCCGGGTGGAAGACCGCACCCTCCCGCAGGAACTTACTAGGCGTATCCTTGGACACAGCAGCACCGCTGCCAGAAACTGCCAAGTGTTTGTTAACGACGGGCGTATCCCTGGGCATGTCCATTGCAACCGTACCATGCTTATTCTCCTTATTTCCACTGTGTAATGCCTTTGACTCTGGTAAGCTACGCTGTTTCTCCTGTGTTGGGTTGGCATCAGGCCTGATGGTAGTTCTTCTGTCTTTCTTGACTTCCGCCACTGTGTGTTCCTTGGGTTGGATTTCATGGACTGCAGGCTGATTTTCTGGGGCATTTTTCAGAGGAGGAACTTCCTCTAGTTCCGTTGCACGTGGGATCCTACCAACGTCAGGGGCCTGCGGAACTTGATCTACTCTTTGCGTTACTGCCTGATCATCTGGTTTACTGTGATTTTGCTGGTCCTGCACCAAATCAACGAGGTATGTGTTTTCTGGTTGCCGCTTGTTCTGTCTGGCGCTCTCCAACAGCCAACTAAAATGCAAGTGTCGCAGGGGCGAGATTGCAGGAAAATGAAAAATCCTTGAAATAATCAACCCACAGCAACATAGAATCTATAATATATGTTTGTAAGGCACCCCATAATACATGATTTCGTTTGTTCTACATACAACTTTATAGTAAATGACATCTTATGCAAAATCATTTTGTAGTCACATTCCATTTCTGTTTATTTCCGTCAACTGCATAATGACTTTGAAAGATATTTAGGTGGTGAAGACAATGATTTGACAAGGTTTTATAGGGTACCTCCGGGTTCAACCTCGAGTTACTGGTGGTTGCTAAATTTTGCATTCTTCTCTAACATATTCCAGCACAGCATTTTTCAGGAGCAAAGAAGAGTTGCTGTATTTTAAAATTTATTTAGAGTTCTAATCCCCTTGGATGACAAATTAAACTAAAACATGGAGAAAGAAACAAAAAAGAAAAAAAGGAAAAAAAATGACTTCACACTCACTCTTTGGTGACAGCAGGGACTTTCCATTTCTTGGCGGCTTTGTATTTGGAGCCGTTTGCTTCTCTCAGCAGGAGATGAGTGTTGGGTCTCAGTTCGTTGGCTGCCTTCCGGGAGAAGTATTCCTGGCACCTGGCTCCCAAGAGCTCTGCAATGTGGACCAGGCAGTCCCGCTCCACGCCGGAATACTGGCTGCGAGGCAGAGAACGAGGTGACTCATTAACACTTAGACTACATTGTATTACATTGTATTTATTTCCTGGTGAATACGCAAAAACTATACAGTTCGGGTCGCGAAATTTTTTTTCAAGGTTATCGCGGAAAAAGTTGAGGGGGGCCGGATTCCACCCCGGATTCCGGTAGCAAACATTTTACGGCCCAAATCCTTGCATAACCATGAATTTAACCATTAACACGATAGTTTTGGTTGTAGTCAGGAAAACTTTTTGGCTATGTTTAGTATAGACTTGAATTTGCTATATGTACTTCATGCCCAGTACATCATGTGGGGGAGGCGGGGATTCAGGTTGGCAAAGCAGTACTTTCCTCTACTTCTACCCAGGTTCGAATTATGCATGGGCCACTATGTGGATTGTATTTTCAGTCCCTACCTGATTCCGTGGATTTTTCCTAGAAAATCATGCTGGGGTTTTACCCCCACCATTAAAACTGTAATTTCATTCCACATCTACTACCAGGGGACCCCACTGGAATGAAGTTGAGAGATTTTCGTGGGCTATCCCAATTATTGGCCGACTAATCATACAAATATTTGCACACATACTGGTTCGCAATTTGCACACATATGGTTAAAGAGCACAACCAATTCTATTCTGAATGCACACAAACCCTTGTCTTTGCGTAGGTGCCAGGCATACAGTCTCTCAATGTGGTCCCTCCCAACGACCATTTAGAGGGTACCTGTACAGAGTCCATGATCCCTGGTGGAGACAAGAGTGGCTTACCTGACTGTCAGCACACAATCACTCAGAGGACTGGCATCCTCCATGATCATGATCGGTTTGAATAGGGGGTTAGAGGCTGGGTCCAGGAACTGGGCCTCTTCTAGGCACATCTGCAGCCAGCAGTTGGACACTACCTCCCCCACGTCAACGTTCACATCACAGCCGTTGATAGGTACCACAGCAATGTCTGCCACGCAGCGGGCACCTGCAGTCTTAACTTTACCTGAAGTTTAACCCAAAAGAAAGAGATCATTGATTGACTCTAACTCCACCCCACTTTGATTTGCCAGAAGTTAATTCCCAAATTGTTTTTGCACTGCCCTGCTATTCTGCGACAGAATTGGGTCTTATTTTTACAACTCTCTGGCATTGAATGAACAAACAGAATTAAACCACTCTCCATAATAATTTCCATAATTTGGCTTATAATATAACTGCAGTACAATACGTCATTACAAGTAGCATGATGGGGTCCACAAAAGAATGTTCGTTATTCGATTCTTAAGTGTGACATCATTTCAACTTTAACCACGCCCACTGCATAGCCACTGCATAGTATTGGAACCACTAGAGCCAGAAGTAATCAGTGGTGCATCCACGTGTATGACGAACTTACAAACCGGATAGTGGTCATTCATTATAACAATTTCAGTATAAATGTACATGAATTTCAAGGCCCAAAGGCTAATGTTCATTATATCCAAATGTTTGGTACAGTGGTATCATTGTAGCGATTTTCTGCTGTAGCGAATTTCTAAGGTGAGGTCATCAAGAGGTGCACCCATCTTTTGTTGCAGTATTTTCTCCTAGTGCGGTACAGAGATGACATACCTCCCTGTCCAACAGTCATTTCAAGTATCTGCTCTTCTTGGTCCGGAGGGAAACCCAGAATGACAAAGGTCTTGCCGGAGAAAAAACCATCCACTCGTTCTTCGATCACTGTGACATCCTCCTCCTCTGCTACAGATATAAACAAGCAAGAACAGTTTGCACCACACAAAATTTCAGGTATGAACAATTTCACGTAATTTCTGATTGCATTAGTCTGTGACTTGCGCACTAAGTTATGGCGCAACTTATGCTATCTGTTTTTTAGGTGGATTAAAGTATGGCACAGCGACTGAAAATTGACTTTTTACTAAGTGTGAGTATCGTTTCAGTTTGCTGTAACACCATGTGGTAATAACCACTGTCGCTCGGTAGATAATTAGTTCTGATAAGAATTTGTCCTGCTTATTATCAACTTTCGCTGTGTAGTTTTATTTCTAATAAGAACAGTCCTGCTTTAAGTTCTAAAAGAACTTGTCTTTAAAACAATTTTTTTTTTTTAGAACTTAGAAACTAACTTTTAGAAACTAACAACTTCGTTTTGGAGTGACACGATTCGGCAGAAAATGAGGTAAACCTATACTGATTTTCATGAGTTCATTCAATAGAAATAATACACAAACGAGTGTCTTAAAAGCTTTTATTATCCTTGTCCAAGATGTTTGAATCATTTGAAACTTACGTTCCTCCTCCATTTGTGTTTCATCCTCCTCCCCTGCTGCCTCTACTCGTGTCGATGTCAGATCGTCATCTCCCTGTGGCATCTTGAACACGATCTCCGAATCGTTGGTTGTTTCATTAGGATCTGGGAAATTCAACAAACGATCAAAGTGTCCTGAATGTTACTTTGTTGTTCAAACTGTGGTCATCATTACATTGTTTTGTGGAATGTAGAACTGGACAGAGAAGCTAAGTTGGGGAGTCAGGTTGGCAGGGCAGTGATTTACATTGATACACGATAAAACTCTACTTGTGCTGGTTAATGCTAAATATTGATATACTTTTTGGACTTTGTCCTGCTCCGGATGCCGTCTTGTTTTGGGTTAACATTTCAGTGACTTTTTGGTAACAGTATTTTTCATTTTTTAAATGACTCAAAAGAGATTTTGAATGCACTATATTTGAATTTCATCCTGAAAATAGGTATTTTATTAAACTCTTAGTGTTCTAGCGAAACCAAGTTTGTCACATTTGCAACAGAATCAAATTAAAAAAAATGTGGCTCATTTGTAGTAACGGACCTATTACTTTATTTATTTTGAACTTTTTGCAGCTAGACAATGGTTGAGTCCTCGAGTAGACTGGTTCCCACCTTCCGATCATAATAAATTATGTAACCAAAGGAAGCCTACTCGCAAGGCGGACCTGTTTGTGCGCAAAAGCGACCCATTAAAATACATATATAAATTCAATATGGTGGCAGATAACCAAAAGGTTTTCTTTTACTTTAAAAGAAAAACATACATATATTGAAAAAAACAAACCATCAAATGAGTTGGGCGAGGACACTGTATCTTAACAATGATTTTCAGAAACTCAGTCAGAAACTCATAAAATGTCGGTCAGAAACTCAATGAAAGGAAGAGCATTCACTCAGAAAATTCAGACCCGATTTTCCAGGGAGGTACTGCTGCATGACATCAGCATCTTCAGCCATGGTCTCTCCCTCCCCCGCCATGCTGACGGACTGCTTGGTACCTTCCTTGTTTCTGCTGCTCCTTGATGCCAAGGACTTCCGTGATTTCTCAGATCTGAATCCAATATAAAGTGATTCTAAAGTGATTGAAATGCTGACAGTGCTGAATCCTCCAATTTTAATATTTTTCATTTACCGACCAGCTTGTGTATTACACTGTTTCTGTTCAATGATGAATCAATAAAACTATAGACACGGGCAAGATTGGGGAAATATAAACAAGAAGAAATAGTCGACGTTTAGGGGCCGCTGAGGGCACAAAAGTGTTGACCACGTTTTACATGTTCCAACACACTGTACATGTTTGTGGGGGATATAACCATACCTGGCCGAGTGGCAAACATAATGTTTCAAAGAGCAAGGGTATAAATACATCAAAGGGCAAAAACGAGTGGCATTCCTCAAATATCATCATAGTTGGCCAGAATTATTATCACCGACATGAAATAATTCAGATATGGAAGTGATAAAATTAATGGGAATTAAATGACGGCAGCAGACAGAGATATTTAAGCAGAGACAAGCTTGCTTTGAAATGTTCTTAGTGTGCCAGCACATGTAACAATACAAGACATTGAAATCAATACAGCCACGTGTACATGGCAGATAAGAGAAGAGCAATCCATGATTGTATACTTTGAATGTGTAGCAGGTGATGCTGAGGGGACTGGCGGCAAGTCTAGACAGATGTAGGACTCTTCTGGTAGCTGACAAGACTGTTTGAAGCAATCTACCAGCCACGATGCACTCACAACATGGGGCCTGTACCACAGATATGTAAAAACAAAATTGGATTTAGAAGATAAGGTTTTAACATCCAGGTACATTGTATATAAATCCACCCATGGAATTGATAAATGTGTCATGATGTATACAGGGACGGAGTTTAATATGACAACAATGAGCCATTTAAAGTAGTGTGTTTATATGCATTTCATTGAGGAATTACAAAAGATCTTGCCTCTGTGAGGGCTCTGTACATTCCTACATTTAGTAACCCCTGACCTGTGTGTTGACTGTGTTAACAAGGCGACGTGCTCTGGTACCCTGTCTCCCAGGACAACGTGGGATACGCTCTCATTGATCTGGTTAAAGCGGGTAGCGCCCCCGGCGTTGATGATCTTACGGAGTTTCTCCAAACGAACCCCAGAGAAACCACTCAGAAATACCTGTAATTGAAGAGGTGGATTTGTTTTGCACAAACATTCTACATGTATTGGGAAGTATTTTATTGGGAGATATTACATTGTGAATTATAAATAAAATTTACATGATCAACGCTTGACTTTACACCAAAACAATAACAAACCATTTGTACATCTCAGTTAATTTTTTTCCTAAAAATGTGAATGAAATTACTTGACTCTTCAGATTAGAATTTATGCAAATTTTTTTCAATACCAGTATTTAATATAAATGATACAACTGAAAAAGTTTCCATTTCTGAATTTAGACTCAAACAAACTGACACTCCCTAAAGACATTTGCAAAGGTACAAGTAAATTAAAGTTCCATTACAATTTGAAGTTTAATTAAAACAGCTGAGTCACAAGGTGGGACAGCCATAGCATGTTATTATTCATGTTATTCCTAAACAGGAATTCAGCAAACCCTGTATTTATTTCTCCAATTACAGGAATGGCTTCCAGAGGGAGAAATTTTAAACTGATATTTTCTGATTGTTTGCCACATTTGTCTGAACAAAATTGGTTGTGCTCAAATTTGTCGTGCTCAAATTTGTCACAGTAAGACCAAGTTAAAAAAATAGTAATGAAATTGTACATGTGATAGCACAAAACTGACACCTTGTCCAAGCTGATTTGTGTCTCCAATTTCAGCCTTAGCATTTGGTAGGATTCCTCTTTCATTTGATATTCCACGATGCTAGATGGCTTGCAAAACAACAAGCTTTGTATTGCATCTGTTCAACACCAACCTTGCACCCATCCAGAAACAGGCCCGCATTGGCTGATGTCAAATCCAACTCGTCTAATTCTTTCATTGTAGTGTGCTGCTCAGACACTAAGATGGCAGCTTCTGTCATGGCCGTGTCATCCACAGTGGAGACCATGCTGACGTTACTGATTGCACTGAAGTTAGCCACGGAGGGCCTGGCTAAAGTAACCAAAAGATAACAGTCCGACTCCTATACATTATTCTTATACATGATTTAGCCAGTGGCATGTCTTGGTATCGTTCTAACACCCTATGGATGCCCTGCACAAGTACCCCCTCGCTATGTTATAAAGAGAGACTTAGTAGGGCTCTTGATTGCCCGATACACCATTAACATAACTTGTGTATACATGTACTTCGCACAACACATTGGGAGACTTTTGAGACATTGGTGGCAGCAAACACACCGGTCCTTTTCAATTGTTTATGTCATGTTTAAGCTAAAGCGCGCATGCTCAATATGACGCAAACAATGAAAAAAAAGAATTGGTGTGTTAACTGCCACCACCATCTCAAAAGTCTCCCATTGTGAACAATGCAGGCATGTAATTGACCAATAGCCGTTCACAAGCATTGTGATATTCCAAACCTTGGACAAACAAACATATTCCAAACACGGGCAATCCATCAGCATGCGCGTCCGTCCGGCATGTTTGTTGATACACAATACGCACGTTAAATTTGAACGCAAACGTTTTTCGTGGATTTTGTGGTAGTGTTTTTAAATACAGGATTCCTAAACATTCCAGTGAGCAACATTAACTAAGGTCTGTCTGCAGAACTGAACGAAAGCATCAGAAACATTGAACACTTAAATTTAGCATGAGTGGTGTTTCTTTTAACCAGATAATACTAGAACATTATTTTAAAATTTGTCTTGAGAATGTAAAACTTTAAAGTTATGTTAGCAAATACAATTTCTGCTATAAAACGATGCAAATCTTTCCACTCATTTCTTTTGTGTTATTTTCTCTGAATTAGCCTCCACTCCTATGTAACCTTGTAATTCAATATTTTTTGTGTTTTATGAAGCACGTTGCATGTATCTGCCTTCCAAAGGCCGGGGGGAGTGCAATACTAGACCACAGTGAATCCAAAGCATTGCACAGGCCCAGGCCTGCGCAAGGCAGACAAAGAGGTACTAAGTAAGGCAGAATCTATTGCCAGCATGTTACAGTAAGGCCTGTCACAGGAGAGACCTTACAAAACAAGAAGCAAAAAGACCCTGAAGTTTATCTTGAGATACAAAAAAAAGAGCCAAATGTTCAGTGATAAAATTAGGCACAAAGTTGGTTACAAATAGAATGTGGCACTAGTGAACATGACAGACGTACTACATACCGGTAGGGGAGATAAATTTCCTATTTCAATCCACCATTTAACCTTTCATACCAAGTTTATTTATTTTTATTACCCACTAAATGCTACAAAACTACAACTGCAGGTTTTGTAGCATGCAGGGGTGTGAGTGACCACTGATAAAAACAGCTGAAAACACCTGAAAAAGGTGTAAAAAAGCTGAACTTTGGAAATCTCATTTACTTTTGTACACAGCAAGTGAGGGAAAAACGCTGAATTCCAAAACAAAAAAAACCCCGAAATCAGCTTTAAAGCTGAGATTTCACACCCCCGAGTATGCCTGTGCCAAATATTCAAATATCCACTGAATATCCCAAAAGCATTTTTCCGATGCAAATATTTGAGAAATGTGAATTATCTCAAGTTAACTCTTTCGCTACGGCGAGCCGCTGACAGCGGCACACAAAAATTGTACATGTCGTACCGTCAGCTACCTCAAATATATATTTTCAACAGGTGCAGGCACACGCACATCTTGATTGGCCAATGCATGTAAAACTTGATTGGTTACAAAATCACAGTATTGATAACCACTGTTATAGAAATTTCCCGAAATTACAACCAGCTTTTGTTATATTTATCAAGAATTCTTTTTGAAGAAGGTTTGTGAGAATCTTTTGTTAATCATTTATCTAAAAGACAAATTCTGTCATGGTTGCTTTCAAATGAATGTGTATATATATATATATAAATATACTTGCGTTATTATAAAATGTAACTTACGTTCTTTTGCTTGTTGTTTTTGAGTAGTGATTACCTATTTACCTTGCCTGTAACTTTGAGTGCCTAGGGGTTAGGGTTAAATGTTTTCTTAATAGATCCTGGTACAAGCCAACCAGAAACACTAAGCACAATCCTCCACAGCTCCTAGGAAGATCTGATACAAGTCCTTCTGCAGTTGGCGACCATCCAGATCGACCCTCAGTTCATTTGCATGGCATCCACACGAAGGACGGACCACTTTGCAAAGGCCGGGGGGAGTGCAATACTAGCAATGATATGACACAGCATTACACTATCCCTGACCTCTGCACAGTAATCATATTGATGACAACTTCCGGCTGATTTATAAGAAATCTGAAACTTCTCAAACCTGGCCCAATTTCATGGCTCTGCTAGCCACAGCATTCCGTGCTTACGATCACCATTCTGTGCCAATAGCACTAGTAGAAAACTTCTGTGCCAACCCTGTGTAAGCACAGAGTCATTAGTTACGCGATGTATGAATCCAGATAAACCAAAATGCCTCGTTAACCTGTGAAATAGGCTTACCGTAAGCACAGAATGTTTTGCAACAGAAAGCAGGGATTTTTCGCCGGCGGTAAGCAGAACCATGAAATTGGGCCCTGATATGTAAAACAAGTAACATATTTCACTTAAGTTATCATCCGCTATCATCATTTTATTTGGATCCCAAGTTCATTTTCTTGGACATAATTACCAGTCAATACTCACAACTTAGTCTTGGATTGTCTCCTACTCTGATTGGGGTGGACGTAGCCTGGACGTCAGCCACAACGCGATAAAGGTTCTCATCTTGACAATAACCTTTCTTAACACTGTCAAAGAACCACTGAAATACAAGAGAAACACGAAAGGGGTTGCAATTTCACAAAATTATGCATACAATAACGATAAAAGTATTGCAGTACTTTTTGTGGATAAAATAACCCCAAAGTCTTAGGCACTTCACAGCCCTTCAAGTTCTGCAAAATCACTGTTGCCCATAGAGTTTCAGCACCGGCACTTAAATTCCTTTGAGGCATTCTTCTGTGGAGTATGGATACAATTTCAAATCCAGGCATATTTAGTCACACTACACTGCTCTCCACGGTGCTGTTTTGTGTGCAGTGACTCTGCTTGTGACAGTTCCTTTAACATTTCATATCCCTTCACCTGAAACTAACCTGCAGGGTTTAAAGGATTTGATATATTGCTCTGAGTATTGACTGCCCATTAGGAGGGTTAAATGCCATATACTAACCCTAACAGAACTCAACCCATCAAACCCCAACGACATGTTTTGTTGGAATCTGTCAGGATGGGTACAGTTCCCCTAAACTGACAGTCTTTTACATTGGGTTGGTACACCTCCAGAATCACAGTCAGAAATATGTGTGTGTAGTTTCCCATATGGTGTTGGAATTTGCCAGGATTGGTATGGTTCCTAGTAAAACATGCCAGGGAGTTAGGGCTAAGAGTTAAAAAATAAAAACCCCACTATTTGTGGATCGCTCATGAAAGGCTCACCTTAGAATTCACACAGTGGATTTTCCATTTCCTCGCGAATTCGTATTTTGGACCTGCAATGCGTGAAAATACATCATATCTTGATTATTGAGGAGTTCTAACATTCCAGATCAAACACGGTTCTCAAATATACTGAACACACCTAAACAGGATGGACCTATACTTCTACTCACCCTTGGGGTTGTTGACAATCAGATGAGTGCATTCATTGAATTTCATCTCCCCGGTGTACTGGCCACCTGTGAGAAATGAACAATGGCACTGACCATTCAAAACCAAGCCAACAAAATTCTTAGGACCTCCTGAGAGGGAGAATGCCAAACTCTAATATGTAACATGTCCTAGTTACCAAAAAACTAAACCTCAAGATATACAGGGTGAGTAAAAATAACCGAAACCCAAGTGTCGGAACCATTGTTTTAGTGAAGTTCTGCATGTAGCACTTTCAAAACCTAGGATATGAAAGCCCAATTTATAAGCTTTCTTTTAGTACAAGAATCATTCAAATTACTCATGTACTTTTCAAGTTACTGACTTTTAAACACAACCACCGTTTTAAGGTTCTGGCCACGGATCACAGAAAAGCTCATTGTTCTTTCAGCAAAACGAAAACAAATCACATAGGGATGTGTGTGAACTGTTTTCTTTTTGCTGAAAGAACGCACACCTTTTTTATGATCCGTGGACAGAACTTTAAAACGGTGGTTGTGTTTAAAACTCCGTAACTTGAAAAGTACATGATTGATTTGAATGATTCTTGTACTAAAAGAAAGCTTATGAAATGAGCTTTCATATCCTGGATTTTGAAAGTGCTACATGCAGAACTTCACTAAAACAATGGTCCCAACATTTGGGTTTCGTTGTTTTTTTACTCACCCTGTATAGGATCAATTAAAGTAGGGCACATAACAACTAACCTGTTCAACTTTTAGCACAGTGGCTACTACAGACAAATCTGGGCACTTGATCACTATACACTCACAATACAGCCTTTATTGTTTGATCAGTCAGTCAACAATTCTTCCACTTCCCCTGCCATGCATTTGTAAAGACACTAGTCAAAAAACTCTCAGATCACATTTATGTTAACACTGTGACTAGTCAAATTCAGTCAACAGACAAGAGGTAACTGGTAGGTACAGCTGGCATATCAATCACCTCCAGTCAAAACAAGGCTATATCAAATTAACAAGGGAATTCTTAACTGTTAAAAACAGTCACTTGATTAACTTTGACTGCTGTGATGGCACAGCTGAATTTGTCATCCAGAGAGAGAGGAGGTTAAAACTTACCATTTTCATCAGCAAGCATTCGTATGTCTCGTCTCTCATCACTCTCAAGGCCCGTCACGCAAATTACGCAGCCGCTGAATACGGGGCAACTGAACTCAATCATTACATCCTCATCCGTAGCACACATGTACCTGGTAAAAGCAAACCACAAAGATAATGTATCCAATATTGAACTCTTGTCAAAGCTTATCACTTCCCCCTTCCTTCCTTACAATGCAATGACACCACACCTGGCAAGACTTCATAAGCAACATTTTTAACAAACCTTGATGCTCCTTGAACCGAGTCCAAAGAAAGCGCCTCTGCTTTCCTGCACGCTGGTGGGGTTTGAGGGCATTCCACACTATCCAAAATCTCCATGTAGGACCCGGTCCAACAGGGAGATTTCAGGAATCCCTTTCACAACAGCAAGTACCCTACACTGGTCTGCCGCTTTATATTAGCTGAAGGCATATAGGATCATTTGATGATTTATTCCCAAAAATAACCTACCTAATTATTATCAAAAGCTCACTTGAATTAAAGATCATGCTGGTATTAAACAGTCGGTGAGAATATTCCGTCTGGTTTGCTGTCATTTAGAAGAAATCAAGAAATGTATGTGCTTTCCAACGATCAGTCAACTGACTGATTTTTGGAAATAAAGAGTGCTCGTGATCAAAATACTGTGCCTGGCTTTTCACTTTTTTCTCCAAAATTGTTATCCACTCAACTGAAATTTCAACAGGTTAGGTTTTGAACATTCTTTTTTGGGTGTTGGAGTGATGTTATTACTGGAAACGAACAAAATGCAAGAGAAGCACATGATCCTATGCCTTTAAACATAGCCCTGTTCGGGACGAGGGTGAAGAGGATCAACTTGTAAAGAAAGAACTGACTCGTGTACAACCTGGTTTCAAGTGTGAACGCTACGCATTGCATATCCGATAAGACCTGGTTTCGCTTACAATGTCTCCGTGTTGATTTCAAATCAGTTAGGCTAGACGATAGTTAAAAAAAAAAGGCCAGGGGGAGGGGGTATTAACTTTCATGGTAATTTGTTTTGGGGGGAATTTCATTAATTGGGGCTTGGCTTGACACGCTCCAAATGAATGAAACCCAAGTAAGATCTGCTACTGGGATTTGGGTGGTAGGCTTAGCAACATAAAGCTGATTCTAAGGAGGATTTTGGACAACGCACCTTTCTTTTCCCCTCTCCCAGCACTTGTCAACCCAGTCAGAGAGCATGACAGGTGTGTTGAGACTGGCAGCTACCTGCAGAAACATCAAAGTCAAAACAAAAGGTTACAACAAAATTCCCAATAGATTTCCTTCTTATATTTGGGAAACATTTCATGAAGAAAAGTTTATTGTGAGCATTTTTAATTTGTTCTCTATGAAAGATGTATGCATTACACGTTAACATTTTTTATGCACTACAAAGTTCACACATGCAAAAGGTTAATGCGTTCTTACAATTTGTGTTTTTTTTTTTTGAACATTTACATCGCCACTATTTACGAGGCTAATGCAATTGGCTTCATTTGTCCAAGATAAACACAACCACAGAAACCGTATTACAACATATTGCTGTCAAGCACATGTTTGTATGATTAGTGCAATAGCCAGATCATAAAATATGAAAATATAATTATAATGGTATATTTTAATTTTTTTTGTAAAATAATTACAAAAGTGTGATATTTCGCAAGCCGAGGATGTCATGCAAGTTAGCTTACATGGTATTTTTTGGAGCCCACCTCACCGACTATGAGATGCGTCACAGTGTCTGTAAAATTCTTTGCAACTGTTCCACCCATCCGCTGAACCAATCTGTGTATCCTATCCTGGATGGGGAGATGAGGGGAAAATATCAGTTGTGTAAGTTACTGCATAAGTAAAATAAAAGTTGCGTAAAAGTGAGATATACAAGGTCTACCGCAAGCAGCGACTCATATCACCAGATATGGGCGCACCTTCCTAGAATGTTTGGCAGTTAAGGACAACAGATAACTATTCCTAGACCCTAGTCACAATTCGGGGTCATTGTCTTTTTAAATTTTATTTTTATTACATCTTGACACAGGCACGCAACTGGGAAGTAGCCAAAAAAAAGAGGAAGTTCCAAAATGTACAAGAATGTATACAGCGTTTTCTCATTGTCACAATAATGCAGTGTTAAGGAGGAAATCAGCTGAATTGATGAATGGTTGAATGCCTGTTGATAGGGTAGGAACCAGAAATTATCTTAAATTTGTACTTAGGAATCAAGGCAATTTTTCTTTCAAAAAAGGAAAAGCAAGTTTATTAGAAATAACAACCCCACTCTACTGAAAAAATTATTGATACATATATGGTACATTGTAAGTCTATAGCCATACATGTATACATTTCTAGATGTTTCCGAAGTCATTACAGCCTGCTTTTAAGTAAACAGCACAAGTATACAGCAGATACTCACATTTTTGTTTAAGGCAACTAAGAAACTTATGTCCGTTAACAGCCAGTTCACATAGATAACACTTAAAAAAAAAACTTATCTAATTCTCATCTTATATTTCATAACCTTGCTTCGAAACCGACATATTTTCATCCTGTGCCAACACTTTAACCACACACTGTATATTTGCCATTGCCCTGAACATGCTTTGTACTCGCTGCAAAACTCTTATATAAGTATATATATGTTAAATGTAGACAACCTTTGCTGTGACTTACCCTGTGACTCCTCTCAACATTTGAGCAGCTGATAGTAACATTGTGCATACTCATGCTATAGATGGGGTGGTCTACCTTCGGCACAGCCTTGTCATTCTCAAGACACCACAGCACACACTGAGGACCGACAATTCTGAGAAAATGGAATGCACAGCAAGGGTGAATACAGATTGGCATAGATGTCACAAAGATACAGTTTGAAGCAGTTGGTCCTTACACCAAGACATGCATCAGAGTTTTCAGCTACCACTCCAAGACAAGATGAGGAAAGCCTTAGTAAGCTGACCCCAAACCAATTTGGTTTAAGGGGTCTAGATAGAGTCATCTGAGCCAAAAGTTTGAGCGAAGTTTGCGAAAATGTAATTCACAAGTGACAGTCAGTCAGTGAGATAGGTACAAACAGGACTGTAGGCTGGGCCACTGGGACCAGCTCAAATCACCAAATGCCAAGGATTCACATTCTGTTGTGAACTATTGAAATACAAATCAGCATTGTATATCTCTCAAGATATGCCAAGTTTTTCTTGCTTGTGATCAATTCATAAAAGCTAAGGAACTAAACTTCTCATGTTTGTACATTAACCTTAACCCCCTGGGGTATTTTGGCTAGAAACCGGTTGAACGCAGCAACATGCAACACTTGTCAAAATGACAAGCCTGCCCTGTGTAAGTAATATCAATCAGATAAAAAATCTCAAGGCAAAACTTTCTTGGACTCTGTGGTCACCAACTGCAGCAGGATATAACTGTGGCATCATTCAGTGGGACTAACTCTCATTGTTTCAGAATTGGCAGTTTATGCACTGGTGTTGATGGCTCAATGCAGCAAGGTCCCACAGACTTATTACACCTGATGCACTGTGTTGCGTCAGGTGGTGTTTAATACAACATACTTGCTAATTAGCAAAAACAAAAAATGAAAAAGCTCACCTGCAACCCAGTTCCAGGAGATGGTTGAATGCTTCTCCTTCAAACGGGTCACACACATACATGTTGCTGTCTCGCTTTGTTAGATTCATTACTACACTGTCAACGCATCTTTCAGTAGGCAGGCCTGCATTTTTGATTGCCTGTTTAAAAAAGCGAAAAAAAAGCTGTTAACAAAATGGGACTAAAATACTATTGAACTATGCAAGACATATGAAATAGGCAGGCAATAGATTTCTTTCACGGGACGCATCTTTGAGAAAAATTTAACTGCGTCACCAGCGCCATCAGGTGCGTGTGCATGCAAAATGTCCTAAACGCTTGCGTGTTGTTCAAAATTTCTTTGAAATACGGCGCAGCCGATGCACGTCACGCACATTTGAGGCGCCCAAAATGCTGATGCACGTGGCAATCTGTAAGCAAGTGACGTCATTTGAGAGAGACCTATTGTGAAGTCACATAAAAGGACAAAATTCCAAGATTAGTGTTTTGACTTTTAACCCTAATCCTCCTCAATCCTCCAAAGTCCTCCAGGCGGTTTTGGAGGATTGAGGATGAATGGAACATACAATTTTGGGGGAAATGTAGTATCCAGACATTGTGTAAAGTCTTTGGAGAGTGGAGTGGATTTTGAAAGTATTTTCCTACAAAATTGTAAATGTTTTTCAGTCCCAGATTCATATCTTATCAACATTTTTGCAATGAATGACCTTCATTGAGATAATTCATGATGAAGAAAGTGGTGTCAGAATGCAACATTCTTTCCCAATTTCGGAGGATTGTGGAGGATGGAGGGCACATGGAGATTCAGTATCGCTTGATTTTGGAGGATTGAGGATGAATGGTGTTTGAAGAAGAGGATTTTGGAGGATTGAAGCTGACTGCATTTTAAGGTAGGCTGTAGGAAGATTTTTTTCAGGATTGAGTCGGAGGGTATCCATCATTTGAACGTACCTGCAAGTGCACAATTATGGAGGATTTTGGAGGGTTGAGGATGGTTCCTAACAAAAGGGGCTGGGGGTTAGGGTTAAAGCTTGTGTAATAACAATAAAACACAACTTAGTGAATGCATACATACCTCTAGTGCCTTCTTGATCCATTCCTTTCTACAGTTGTTGGTAAGAACCATTCGAATGCAAAAGTCACCTGCCATGACAATGCCTTTCGACACCCAATGGGTGAGCTCTTTCTTAGACTCTTACAAAGAAGCACACCGACTAACTAGGACGGAAAATCCTGTCATGAAAAAAAAAAAAAAAACGGTTTTCTCTCTATGTCCTTTGGAAAAGGCAGACTATAGAGGAGTCAAGGAGTGACATAAAATGAAACCTTCCCATTTAGCTAATCCCTGAACATTTTGCACAGTAGGACCTTTGTAAAATCCCACACTGCAGTATTAACATTGCACTGACCATTTCTTGTACTAAATCTTATTATCTGCCCCTGCCGGCAAGGGGCGGATCTAGCTCTCAGTTTCAGAGACATCAGAAAATCATCAAACTTTCTGAAATAAACTCAAATGTCTAATTTTGCTTGTTACCGAAAAACAGTTTGATGCACAATCTCTTTAAAAGAGATTGTGCAACAAACTGTTTTCTTTCGCCCATATTTTCATCACAATTTGAATTTTGGCCAATAGATATGATTCTCACACACAAAGTTTATCACGTTGCAAGATGCGGGCGCATTTTGGAATGAACGCACGACGACTTGGAATTGCAAAAGTTTTCGAATGACGATGCGTACACTAAAGTAAAAACGTGCATATCCCATTGCTAAAGCCAGGCAGCCGGCAGGGGCCAGTGTTGAAATCATTGGAAAGAATGTGGCAACCTGATGCTGTTTTTTCCTTCATATTATCATCTCAGTGAAGGTCAGTCATTGCAAAAAGGATGATAAGACATGAATCTGGGACTGAGAAACATTTCGAATGTCGTTAGGAAATAGTTACTAACTTAAAAAATTGTCTTGACTCTCCACAGACTTTGTCTTTGTAGTTGTACACAAACAACAACCGGAGTCAGGTTGCAACATTCTTCCCAAATCATTTTGGAATATTATACATCATGTACATGGAGGAATACGGAAAAAATTGTTGCAACCTGACACCCCTTCCACGATTGTGTACTACATGTAAATAAGTAGGCCTATATGGCGAGTCAAGAAAATTTTGTAAGTAGGCCTAGGCCTATTTCCGGAAAGAATGTTGCAACCTGACTGCTGTTTTCTTCATATATCATCTCAATGAAGGTCAGTCATTGCAAAAATGATGATATTGATAAGACATGAATCTGGCACCGACAAACATTTCCAATTTTGTTAGGAAATACTTTAAAAATGTTCTTTCTTGACTCTCCATAGACTTCCTACACCATAATGTACACAACCTGTAAAGTAACGTCAGGTTGCAATATTCTTTCTGTATTTCCTAACAAAATTGGAAATATTTCTCAGTCCCAGATTCATGCCTCATCATGCTCATCTGTTTATCATCATTTTGAAGAAAAAAGTGGCGTCAGGTTGCAACATTTTTTTCAGGAATACCTCTAGCTGGAGTTACCCAGCCCTAAATTTTATCATGGGGTTGTCATTTAGGGCTGGAGGACATTTTTTTCACGCGAACCAGCAGAGTTGGCAGGTCCCAAAAAAAATTTGACGTCACGCGGAAGCGGATTACCCGACGACTGTTTCATGCACGATAACCGGCAAACTTTAGTTGCCGTCCAGTATCGTAGCTATGATGCGAGTGGTAAACCTCAACAGTCGTCGGGTAATCCGCTTCCGCGTGACATCATGCGCCATCAGCCAGCGCAGCCGGCAAGAACGAACTGGTAAACGCGCTGTGCACAAATCCAATTGCGGGCCTCGCCATGACCGCACGGTTGTCGGTTTATGCCTCGTTTTTCACTGCAATTGTACTAGGCTGAATCTTCATCGTGGATCGTTTTTTACTTCAAGGACCTGTGTAATTTGGGTGAGTTCCAGTTGAAATTAGTGTACAACAGGGACAAAATTGCACATTTTCGAAATTTTTTCGAATTTTTTTTGGGACCTGCCAACTCTGCTGGTTCACGTGAAAAATGTCCTCCAGCCCTAAAATAATGACAACCCAATGATAAAATTTAGGGCTGGGTAACTCCAGTTAGAATACCTCTATATAGTATGATTTATTGATTATATTATAATAACCCGCCAAGATCTAGTTAAATGAAAGCATGGCCCTTCACTTCGAAACCGCCCATCCACAGCATGCACGAGGTAAGGTTACCGCTTTACCGCCCCAAACCCATACAGAACATGCATAGCCCGCCTTGCAACAAATCACACGCACACCGTACCTAGTAGTGTGCTTCACTGCAGTGCAGACAGTTAATTTCAGGTCAAGTTGTCATTTCAGAATTAAAAAGAAACCATCTACATTCCTTCAAATATTTTGCAAAACAACACAAACAATTCCATATGATACCTACTCATACAATGACTTGACACATTACACGGCACATGGGTGTCAAATTCGGACCAGCTTATTGCTTGTTAAGTTCACATTTTACGAGTTTTTCTGCTGGAAGTTTTACCAAAGTTCCTAACGCTGAACCACCATTTTATCACTGCATGGTCTGGTTTCCCGCACAGCTAGTAAATCCACGACGCTGATTGGTCAACGTCTGCTGTTCATAATCCGGTGGGAAAAAAGCTCTGGATTTTGACAATCGAATACAAAGAAAGAAATGGCTTTAAAGGGAGTGTACCGCGTTAGAGAATCAATTAAAATCGATCGGCTTGTATACAGGTCAATAAATTTGACCAAAAATCAGGATCATAAAATAGCGCCATTTGAGGAAAGGAAGGTACTAGTGTGTTTTAATTGGGGGGGGGGGGGGGGGGGGAGGGAGGGGGACTGAAAACTTAATGGTTAATTTGAAAGTTTAACGAGTATCACCCGTGCCCGCAATTAATAAAGCGGCTAGAACCTGCAAGCTCCTGACCCAGTGCTCTAACAACTGAGCACCAGTACACTATTCCAGAGGTCAGTGCATGGCGTACCCAGGATTTGGCTTTTGGGGGGGGGGGGCTCGCAATATTTTTTCAATTTGTTTTTAGAAATTAGATTTTTTTTGGGGGGGGGGACGGACTATTTTGACGTTGGTGGCAGCATTTACACATATTACTCGAAAATAGGCCACATAATATCAACACAGTCAACTCACGGGACTAAAAAAAAAAAAATTGACCAAAGAATTTTTTTTTTAAAATTGACAACCTCATGTGGGTTCCCCCCCCCCCCTTGGGTGCGCCACTGCCAGAGATCGCAGGTTCAAATGCCACTCCAGTCAATTTCTTTTTAACCTTTTAATTATTATTATGCACGTAATCAGTTTCCCATTGCGGTTTATTTGAACAAATCTAACGGTTGCTAAATACCAATTCCTTTCGTGAAAAGCTAAACATTTGTTTACTAAGGTCAAATATTTTGGCATCCAAAAGCAGCTCGTCCAAATGTGTGCATAATTGTCCTGAACACACTGTTATTCAGTATTGCTAATTCAATATTAATCTGACTTCCATTTTTTAAAGAGATGCAACAAAATAACTGAATTTGTCCCAGACCAGACTTTCATTGCTTTCTCACGAGATTTTTATCCAAATTCCCCCTCCAGTGCCTACCCCCCCCCCCCAAGTCACCAAACCAAACAATTGAAGATGCAATAAACCAAGAACTTGTCTCTACCTCTGATGTTTATTTTCAGCAAGTAAATGGCACACTACATTCTACACCTAACAACAATATGTTTAGTTTGCAATAAGACTATTCATTAAAATCAACTTGTCTCAGCACAATCACTTCGCTTGAAACTTTAAATGATAAATGTGCCATGTTATACAAATGTTGAAAAAATGTGAGTCTTCCACAAAATGTTAGTAAAGGTGCGAATATATAGGTACATAAGAAAATGTTGTTTTCTAATTGTACAACGCACTGTTTCAGTTTGTTGGATGCATTTTGAGATATTGGAAAACTGTTGTCAATTTTGAAGAAATTACTTCCAAAAAGAATTGCAGTTTCAGTCACAATTATTCTCCTACTGATAAAAGGAAACAAAGTCTGAAATGTCATCGTACATGAGTTTTTATTTCAGGGCAGGTTTTGACATACTGTGACTCTCAAGACTACTTCTTTCATTGTGGGAAATGAACAAAAACAATTCCCCCCACTCTCCACTGTACTCAAAGTGACCATCTTTCATTTCGTTTCTGGTTGCAGAGGGCCAGCCTATAGTCCACTTGGTATCTGACTGACAGACACACACACACACACACTGATTGCCACCGAGTCTGGTTATTTGGCTAGTGAGTGCTATTGTATAGGATTACCCTGTAATAGGCTAAATCTGACCCATTGTGTAAACCAGATGATTGAAGACGTCCATGGAGTAGCAATTCCGAATCCACTGAATGCATTTTTGTGCACTCTGGGACCAGATTTACTAGGCTTGTCTTGTCTCGAGTAACAGAGAAAATGAGTGGCCCATTGACAGATTCCTACAGGGAATTATACTTCTGAAGAACTCCTGGGCATCAACACCCAAGCCAACCCCATGTGGGCAATTTCAAGCATTCATGGGAAACATGTCAAGGGTGGCACTAAGGCTAATCTCAAGGCAACCCAGACCCTGCCCTCCTTGAAAATTCATAGCTCACTTTAACCTCCCAAAACTTCCAACATCTCCTTCCTTCAGACCCTAGCCCCTTAAATGAATATTGTCTGCTGTTTTTCATGAACAAAAAAATAACAAACAAGACAGTTCATTATTCCAAAACAAAGTCATCAAATTAGTTGGGATATAGAATAGCAATTGATACTAAGGCTGTTAAGGCTTTAATGCTCCCCTATCAAACAACTTACGATAGCTCACCATGTATACATATAAATTAAAGATGAACTACACTCAAAACAAAACTGAATGTTTGACAATCTGTCCTTAGTCCCTATTGGCCTGATCTTCATCTTTCTTTTCTTCCACTTTCGGATCATCCTTCTCACATCCCTCTTTCCTGTCATCTACTGCCGATCCTTCTGGTTCCTTGACGTCGTCTCCTTTACTTCCCGTTTCTTCTGGCTTCTTCACTGCCTCATCCTGCGGGGTTCCTAATGTAGATTCTTGAGCATTGCTAGCCTCTTTTGGGGGGACGTCCTCGCCTTCATTGTCCTTCACTACGGCGGCAGGCGACAAGGCAGCTTCCCCTGAAGGCTTACTGGGCTCAGCCTGCTCCGTAGGTAGTTGTTTCTCCTTGTCGTCCGTGGTTGGGAAAGGGTCATCGGGAGATGGTTTGTCCTTATTAAGATCTGATTGCAAATGTAAAAAAGGAAAACTGACTTAAACCTTCCCTCACCACATTGTTTATTGACATGTCTCTCCTCATAATTAGATTATTTGTGAAGTCGCGCAGAAAGCGTGAAAATTGAAAACCGTTGAAAACTCACTTTTTTTCAACCTAGATTTTCACTATCTAGGAGTGATCAAAATCAAAACTTTCTTGTGTAAAGTTTGGTCTTTCTTACTATTTCGTGTGATGTAAAAATCAAGACCATGTCCGCACAAAGAAGCAAGTTGTGCCTATTTTTTGATATCGTCTCTTTTATCAAACTGCAAGCCATTTTACCACCTGACTAAAGGGCACTCCATACCTCAAATTGTGCATGGATACTTCTGAAGCAGTTTTCTCAAATGTTGCCAGGGTAACTCTATGAATAAACTACACACACCACTAGAACAATCTCAAAACACTCTTTCAGCCGGTATATGGTTGATGTATGGGTGGCAAACATACTAACGTGCCAGTTTGCTGAAAAGCAAAAGATATATATATATCTGTTGTGAGGGTGTTCTGTGGATGGTTCCCTTGTTGACAAACACGTCTGTGGTAAGCAGTAGAGGGGTGGTTTCTTATCGACTAAAGTCCCCCATGGTATTGAAAGGGTTAAATTGCATTTGTTTTCTTAATTTAATTTTTAACTGCTTATTTGTGATAACATGAACATTTGACTCATTTCATGAGACACCCACCTTCTTTTTCTACACCATCGGTTGTGGATGGTAGTTCTTTGCTTTCAGAGACAGGTAAGGAGGAGGTCTCATCCTTGGAATCACTGGCTGGTGCGTCAACTTCCATGGCCTCCTCCTTTTGTGAATCTTCTGGTTTCTGCTCTTGCGCCTCTGTGGAAGGGCCACTCGTTGTCGTCTGTGACTCACTGGGAGGCTGTTGGGTTGAACCGATCTGCTGTTCAGTTTGTGGCCCTGTCTGTGACCCTGTGTGTGAACCCATGTGTGTCTCCATGTGGGGCATGGCAGGGGGAAGCACCTGGGTGGGGATCTGCTGCGGGGGTGGTGGGAATGTGGGCAGGAGGGAAGAAGGCGGCACGTTTGGTCGCTGTAGTGCCTGGCTGAGGATGCTTCCCATGGGGGGTGGGGGAGGAGGGAGGGGCAGGTCAGGGGGAGGAAGCTCCTCCCACTTTATCTCCACTTTCTGCTCACAAAGCTGCAGAACAAAATAGTAAACAATTGAATTACAGTGATACAGCAAGACAGAAGACATCCAGAATAGTTTTGCAGCTAAGGGACACATTTTGGTACTCCTCCATTTTGGTACTCCTCCTGATTGTAAAATTTCAGTACATACATTTGCCAAATTTCATCATACTCCATGACATCCATGTTTTTCAGATTAATAATTATAGTAATAATAACAATTAATTTATATTGCGCAGATTCCACATTAGTGTTCAAGTGCGCAGTACATACCTACATACACAATGTCGTAAAAATCTAACTATCCAGATACCATTAAAATTCACAAGTGGAATTAAAATACCAGTACCCAAATAAACAATTAAATACACAAATATCCATTAAAATACACAATTATCAAATATTATTGCAAGCAAAGCAGAACAGAGTTATTTAAAAGCGGCCATAGAAAGGTGTGTTTTTAGTTTAGTTTTAAAAATTGAAAGAGACTGAGAGATGTTTGAATTTCATGTGGCAGTTGATTCCATAAATGAGGTGTTACAGAGGAAAAAGCTGTACATCCCAATGTGTGCAGCATTCTTCCTGGTGGGTTCGCTAACTTTAGTGAAGTGTTTGACCGCAAGGAATAATGAGAATGAGTTTTAATGCGTAACAGATCAGTAATATAGTTAGGTGCCTTGCCATGAAGAGCTTTGAATGTAAGCAGGAGTACTTTATATTGAATACGAAAACAAATCGGTAACCAGTGCAATTGATGAAGAAATGGTGTTATGTAATTCTAGCGTGATGCCCCATGTACAAGCCTGGCAGCTGCATTCTGAACTCTTTGCAGTTTGGCCAGTTGTGTATTCGGAAGACCATAAAATAAACTATTGCAGATTCCAAAGCCACCGTGCTCAATTCAACAAGATTCTGCATAATTCCAATAAACCCTTGAGGCTTAGGGTATAATGCATTTTTTCCCAAATTTTTTTTGAATTGGGGGCTGGGGTGGGGACACCACATTTGGGGCAATGTTTTTCTACGTAAATCCTAAAACAAACTGGTTTTGTGACAGAAACTAACAGCCCTTCAATTTCCACCATATCAAATAATATTGCAAATTGATGACAGCATGGAAGATGAATATTTGTACTCAGCTTCCAATTAACTGACAATGCACAGGAGATTTTGGTGAAAAAAAACCAAAGATTAAAAAAATTAGTAGGCAGTGCATCTACACAAGTGAAATGAAATAATTTCTCTCCTCTGAAGATTCCATTTCTTTAAACTAAAATAAAACAACAAAGGAAAGCTTCATAATAGTATAATTTTATTGTTATGCACACAGTTAGTTCTAAAAAAGTGAATATATACTTTCAAACTTGTTCCATGTTTGTTCCATATTTGAGACTTTCAAGAGTATCAGAAGATTTATCAAGAATGTAAAAGAAGATTTATCAAGAATTTAAAAGAAGATTTATCAAGAATGTAAAATAACCAACCTTTTTCATGGCCGCGTGGAACTGATCGCTGGTTTCATGGAATTTTCTCTTTTTATATTCATGTTTCTCCTCAATCTGTTGCAACTCGTTCTCTAGTTTTTTCTGCAATAAAATGCCAGGTACAAAAATTAGAAAGATGTAATTTCAGTACGGTTATGTATCAACCTTAACCATGCCAGATGCAACATAGTGAATCAGTTGTAAAAGTCTGTCGGACCCTCCTGCATTGAGCCATCAACACCAGTGAATAAATGGCCAATTTTGAAACGATGAGAGCTACCGTAGTCCCATTCAACAATGCCAGTTGTATTCTGCTGCAGTTGGTGACCACAGACTCTGAGGCAGTTTGGCTTTGAGACTTTTTGACCTGATGGATATTGCGACACTGAGCAGACTTGCGTCATTACAGTTCCAACACATTGACCATAGTCCAACTATGAGTAAACCTTTTGTGAATTCAGCATTACTAAATTAAAATAAATGCCCACTGAGATACTAGAAACACATATTGTCTGAAAGTTGCAAATCCCAGAAAATGGCTACTCATGAATGGCTAGTTCCACTTTTATATATAAATGGCCAGAAAAAAAGATAGCAAAAAGGACATGGATTTCTATTACTTCAACCCACCTGATGCACCATAAGGGATTGGACCTGTCTCTTCAACACCTGCATACGCGACTCAGTCACCACAGAGCGAGGGTCTGGTACAGCAGCATCACTGAAGATATCATTGACGAAGCGATGGTTGCGTTGGTAGCGGGCTGCTGCAATGTGCTTGACAGAGAACCCATCGTCTTGGTCTATAAAACAAACCCCAAAAGGAAAGAAAACATCATTTTGGTTGCTAATGCACAACCGAACACCGATCCAACTAATAGATGAAAATGCATTACAAGTTTGTTGTGATCTTTTTAGTGGAAAAAGTTGTGGTCTCTACAGTAAAAAAAATAGTTTAGTTGCGTCAACAGCAAAGTGCATGTACACTGAACATCATGGTGGTTGAGTGGTTAAGACATCTGCACTACTGAGCAGGAGATTGCAGGTTAAAGTCCCACATGAGAAAGTCTGAAAATAGCCTAAAATTCTTTCATGATGGCAGATGGAGATCTATTGTCTGAGATCTACCATCATTGGCCTCGTGACCTATGACATAGGGGTCAACTTAATTGAAATAACAACACAAGAGTAGGATATTAGGGCTATGCATTTTTATATAATTTAGTACTCTATCATTCTAAATTGGACTTTATCGAATGTTCCAAAATTTGAAAGAGCTGGTCAAGTTTAGCTTGCAACAGCCTGAACTGGCCATCGATCAGGATTTGCTTGCTCCTGCGGTTGTCAAAAACTGAAAAAGATCTCATTATAGTAATGTAAAGATGAGCTAGTGCAGTGGCTGATATTTGACCAATTTTAAAGAAGAAATTTGAGCTTATATTGCTCATGGAAGCTTCAAAATCATGAGCAAAAGTGGATAAGACACAAGTGTGGTATTTGACAAACAATAAAACCACTCAAGGACAACACTGTAGATTTTTTCATCATCTCCTCAAGACCTCTCTCATTTTTTAATATTGAGTAAAAAATAAAATCTAATTCGGAAATTCGGTAGATAATTAAATACGATATGAGGTCAGGTTTCCTGTTTACACTAGAGCAATCTTATGAAGCTTGCACAACAGCACACAGATGACAGTGCTTCATAGCCTTATGTCAGTAAAGGGTGAAAATCAATATAAATAGCATTATACATTTTCTTCTCATGAAAATATCTTTTCACAATCATGGCCGATAAACTCAAAAATCCACATTGACATCTTTGTTTCAACAAAGATTTAACAAAGAATTTAACAAATGCAAGAATTGAACCTGCGAGCTCTATAGCACCATATCAGCGTTTTTTGGGAGTGCCTTTGTTCATATCACTAGACAGAAGCCATTCATTGGTGGCCATGTGGCGGAGGATCACAAAGAAATGCAGAATGCCTGGTAACCAAGTCAATCCCCTTTGTGGTATTTTTTTCAGAATTCTGTTTAATAAATTTGAGTTGACCACACTGAGAAGAAACCACAGATGACCCCCATCTGAATGCAGAGACTATTATGAGGTATCTTGCTTGGAAAATCAGCTACAAAACAAGTCAAGAAAGTTGAAGAAGTTACCTTCTTCATCTTCGGCTGGTTGGATGCTCATCCTAGGCTCTGGCTTGGGTCTTGGCTCCTTTGCCTCCTGGTCTTGCTGCTGTTGAACTGTCATGCACAAGAAAAATGTGACCCAATCCTGTGAAACTACTCTCACACAATTTTTTTAATTAGTTTTTCACATAGTTTGACACCTTGAAATATATGTGGGTGAAAAGGTTGACTGTTCCTATAAATTTCCATTCGATGAGATTGTGTTATAAGGGATATTAACACTAACTGTCTAGGTCCTTTTGACTAGGATGCACCCTTAATCCTTAAAAATCCCCAAACTTCCTGCATATAAAAATTGGATGTGCATGTATAGTCTCATCCGTTATTTCAATATCAACAATAATCAATAATTTGTCAAATAATCAGCAGTGTCAAAAACCAGCAAACCACTGGTTTAGTCTAATAACAGTCTTAAGAACACATTCTAAACCACACGGCTTTATCTTCTTTTTTTGGCCTCCTTTTTTTTTGAGGGGGGGGGGGGGAGCATTTTTTTTTACCTTTTCCTTTAGCCACAACCCAAGCTTGGTAGGCAGGGGAGTTGTGATAAATCTTCATGTTGTTGGTATATTCAGCCTGTTGGGAGAATTAACCATTCAGAAGTTAATGCTTGAGCAACTGCAAAGTTCATCCATAAGTCTATGGCTTGAGCATTATCAACAGGTACATAATAATTTAAACGGGAATTTACTCGTTGGTGAGATGAAAACTTTTATACTGGGTTTTGCACTTGACACACCAAACATTAAAAGCAGTGTTCAGGGATCCCATGCATACAGTACAGTCCAATAGAATGTAAACTGGAAGATTATCATTGCCAAAATATTACACACAAGCTGGTTTACCCGATCATAGATCGGGTAGGGCGTAGTGTTGGGGATGAAAATGTGGGGAGTTTAATGTAAATGGGGGATATAGTTGGGGAGACATGCAGTTAAAGAATAGCAATTTCTGTGCTGTGATCTGAGGCAATTTCTGATCACTAAAACCAATTTGAGCAAAAGATCATCTGTGAAAGTTTTGAGTTTTGAGTAATTGAATCAGCTACATGTATTCTGAGCAAAAGAATCATTATTGTAGGCTACAATATTTTTATTCGGGGAAGAAAAAGTGTGTGTGGGGGGGGGGGGGGAGACCAAACAATGTGCCCCCTCAAAATGTGTGTGTGTGGGGGGGGGGGGGGTCCCCCTGTCCCCCGTCGATTTACGCACATGATAATTATGTACCATGGCAACTGTCTGTAAATGTTGCCGTTGGTCTGTTAAATTGGCTTTTTGTGAGGCAGTCGCATTTGGAAAACGTAGTGAAAAGGTTACTGTAGTATACAGGCGAAGGCTGGTTGTACAGTTTGGCAATAAATCATAATGCAATAAAACGTGAAGGTGTCACTTAAAATGAAAATGTTGAGTGTTACCATAAAATTACAAACGGTCCGAATCATGGAGGAAGGTCATAATTAAGTTTCAGTATTGGACTCTTCAACAAACGTAAACTTGAACTTCTTACAATTTGCGAGACCGTCTGCGATTCAACTTTTATTCAAGTTGGTTGAACCATCTACATATAAGAGCAAGTTTTACTCGGCCTCCGAGAAATGTTTGTTTCTGAAAGGATCCGAGACCGCGGCTTCACGTCCGTGGAAAAATGTGGGTGTCTTCCGCCGGGTCGGACACTTTTTCGTCGATTTTTTTGTGACTTCGTTTAAGATCGCGATATTTGAAGCAATGCATCGATCCTTCGTTGATTGACCCCACTGCAAACAGGCCCCCGAAGTTATAACGCGACACTGAATTATACGTGGCGGGCAGCGAACTCACAACGCTCAGCCTTGGTGGTGGAAGCATTCCTCCATGGTGGAAGCATGGAGCTGTAAACACATTATGGAAGCAACAGCACTCTATCACGCGACGTCACATGCTTGCGCTTCAAATAGCGAGCACCGTAGACCCAACCTCGTTTGCAGGGTGTGGAGCTCGTTTGCAGGGTGTGGAGCAGGCTGCAGTACGCGTTGCCATCGACAGTTTTGCATAGCCCGGAAATACTATGCAGTGAAGACTTTCGATTGGTCAGACCGCGCAACGGCATACTAATGTGTAGTCCTTCTGAGTATTCGTTGTACTCGGCGCAGGGGCGGCAAGCAAAGCACAGGAAACAATAGGGACACTTGGTGGCCACGCACCATGGAGAAAAAATATTTTGCCAAGGTCACCCCATACTACCATTTTGTGAACACTTTTGCATAACGGCTGAGTAGAACACGTAAACAAAACCCCTACGTTGACCTCGCTGACCTCGCACAGTCTAGACTTGCAGAAAAGCAAGCACAGGGGGCGGCCAGGCAGTCAACGTGAAAGCGCACACGACGGCAAATTCCTGCGCAAAACGCAGTCACGAAAAATCGACGAAACGGATCGCCGGTCCGTACCGGAAAATTAGGACGACACGAAGCGTCCGACCCGGCGGAAGACACCCTCCGCATTTTTCCACGGACGTGGAGCGATTTTGGCGCCGCGGGAGCCCGCGGTCTTGGATCCTTTCAGGAGTAAACATCGTCTCGGGGGCGAGTAAACTTCTCTCTTATATATATAGATTATCTCGTATGGGCTGCACAGGATTCCATGACTTTTCCAGATTTATTTTCTAGGAATATCAATTTTCAATGACTCGTTGTAAACTAACAAATTCCACAACTTATTCATGCCTTTTCCATTACAGCTTTTAATTCTAGCATTTGTTCATGAATGTGGGAACCTTAAGTGTATGCTCAGTATTGTCTGTGAGCTTACACCTTATGCATACTTCGCTCCATTTTATTCAAGGAAATTGTATGCAAAAATATCTCCCTCAAAAATATTTTCCAGAAAATTGTCTCTAGTAAAGGTTAAAGTGTAGCGGGCGAGGCAAAGCCTCAAAATTTGTTACCTTTTCATTTTCGTAGTCCTCCGTGAAGACCTGCTTCTGTTCCTCTGGCAACTCTCGCCACATCTGGCCGATGATTTTACCAATCTCCCACAGCTTGAGGTCGCCATTCTCCTGCTTGACTTTGTCCCAGACGCTGCGGCTGTAGCGCATGTAAGGCATGAGGGGCTTGTCTGGAGGCTTTGGGGGCTTGGGAATGCGGGTCTCATGACTCGACTAAATGGTGAGGTAGACAACTCTTATTATGATAGATTCAAGGACTATTAGTTTACCACAGGCTTCTTGAGATATAGTAAACACAATAGGAGTCATTTGGTTTGGTCAATTTGATTAAATACAAGAGTCTACCCTAACCAAATAGTGTCCTCCTATTGTATCCACCTTGTCTCAACACGGCTATTCCAGGAGTTAATGTCTGAGTTTTGCAAACTAGCCTTATGATAGCTATAGATACATCTGAGCATACAATGGTCCCCTGTGATGCCAGACGTATTATATTATTTTGGATGAACCTAACCCTAACTTCCTAGGGGGTGTGCAAAATCATATTACAATTGGAGGATTCAGGAATTTTAGGGCTATGAATTGTAAGGATTTTAGAATTGATAACATTTGATAAATTACTATATTTAATGTTAATATGATACCTGTAAGTGGCGGTTAACCGCTGTTGGTCTCATAAAATAAATGAATAAATAAAGAAAGAAGTATCTCAGTTGTTAGTACCTACATGTGTATGAGTGTAAGGACAAACAGGCATGAAGCTTAATGACTTCGTGCTTGGTCAGGATCAAGGCTTCACGTTTAGTATATCCAGGGTTTTGTGATCAAAGAACGTGTATCACCTGCTAAAGCACAATAGTTGGTGCATTATAACCACTTTCAAAAGCCTCAGTGGGAGGGAAATATCCTGTGCGCGTACTGATTGAGGCACATATGGTGTGAAGGGTGCATTTTACATCTGAATGTGTGCAGTGTGCACAAACCCACAGAGTCTCCACGTGGGCATCAGGCTTGTCGGTGATGCATTCAAATGTCCTTTCCAGTGATCTCATCAAACCCTTTGAAACCAGTGAGAGGGTAGTTGTGTAGGAATTCCAGATGGGACTTACAGATTTTCCAGGGCTGCCAATCTTGCCTGCATTGAAGGATGGGTAGTTAGCAACCACTGGCTGGGAAGGTGTGGAGGAATGTGAGCGGCCATGGGCTAAGGGAGAAATAAGGACCAATATATATACATGTATATGTAAGTAAACATGGACTCCATTGATGCATGAGAACTTGGGATGAGAGCCTTTGGGCATGAGTGGCCGGCCCAGGGCACGCATTGACTGGTTTGTGGATCCCGAGGGAAGGATCCAGCATTAGCGTCTGATATTATGCTAAGACCAGCAACCAGTCTTTGCAAAGGCACAACATTTAAAAATGATGTGTAACTTACCTCTTTAAGCCCAAAAATCCTCATTAACCAAATATTTATAGGATGAAACAACAATGATGACAAAACACAACACACAACTGGAGTTAAAGCAACATTGCCGCAATAATTAATGCCACATTGTGCCATGAATGTACTTTGACTGCATTGGTTTGCACCACATTAACTTGAAAATGGGTAAGAAAGTCATATATTCTGTCAAAAAAATGTGTTGTTAAAAATCATTTCAACTTGTATTAGGCCCTATCAGAATTTAAAGGAAGAGTGCTTGAGGGTTGCACAAGTCATTTAGGAATGACAAAGACTGTTCAAGAAAAGAACCCCCCAAAAAAGTGGTTCTGAACTACACTATCCTCACCATGGTTGAATACATCAATAATATTATTAATAATTCACAGTGTTTATGTAAGGACCTTAAGCCCTGTCCGCACTGAACTTTTTTTGGTAAAACTAACCAAGACTATGGGAACTTTTCCCATTTTAAGTCCAGTGCGGACAGCCTGGGACGTTTTCCTCTCAGTTACTTTTCCTGAGTCCAGCGGTTACTTCTACTGGCCAACTGCTGCCCAGGAAAACTTACCGAGTGCCCAGAAAAACTGACCAGGTCACTTGTGTTTACAAAACGCGACTCATTATCATAAGCGATGCATCGCGCGCGCTCGGTAACAGAATCGCACTCGGGATACGGGGACCATCGAATGTACGCTGGGCATGAAGAAGAAATCACGTCGTTCAAACGTTAACACGAGTCGGAAATTTAACGTGTTCAAGATCGCGAGGGGAGCTCTCAGAATTGAACGGGGAATTTCACTTTTTTTCCGGATCATAAGTAAACTTCAGAACAACCATCTTAATCATCGATGTCTACTTGTACCTCAGGTGGCATATCTAGTAATTTGGAGGCCGTTTTGAAGGTGAAATCTGATGTTTTTTGTTGGAAAATGTTGGTTTTTGGGACAGTGACAGGGTTATGTTGTCCAGCTCGCACTCTTGGACCTTACTATCGCCAGACCATGTCCGAATGTTAAAAAAGGCAATAAGTTGGGTCCAAGTTACTCGGACTACGCTGGAAGTAGCAAAGGCGAAACGTTACAAACTTACATGGAGGCGGTGTTCCTACACTCCCATGCCCAGCTGAAAATGCACGTCTTAGCTGGGAAGACATGCTTCAAATCTTGTGATTTTCGGGAATCAGTGACAGTGGGGATGAACAATCTTGATAAACTGCCGATGGGGGCGTCCTCTTGCAACACCGGCAGGCCTATTTCGAAGACGTCTGATGTTTTTAATGGATACAAAATCGATGTAACAGTTTAATAAGACACTTAAAGTGGTGCATTTAAACAGTAAATTCAACTCCAACTTTGGATAAATTAAACATTAAACAGTGATAATACATTGACAAAGGAACTTACGATAAATACAACAAAGAAGACCCGAACACACGGAAATGGGTCAACTCGTACCCGAGTTAACTCGTACCAGAGTCAACTCGTACCCCAAAATTGACACCCAAGTCAAGTCGTACCCGAGTTAGGTCGTACCCGAGTCAAGTCGTACCCCAGTCAAGTCGTACCCGAGTCAAGTCGTACCCGAGTTGACTCGTACCCGAGTCAACTCGTACCCGCAGCTCAAAATAGTTGCCTATTTCCGAAAAGAAAATCAGTGAAACGAACGGAAGATCGGAGGGATATGGCCGGTTAACGGTTGTCCGTGCACGGTGACATCGTTTGTGCCGAGCCTGTGCGCGCACTCGCCGGTCCACGTGGTCGTCCGTGCACGGTGACATCGTTTTTGCCGGGCCTCTTGCACTTGAATTACAATTTGCTAATGTCAAACAATCTTTCACACCCAAGGATCAACTAACAAATTGGTCCCCTAAAACTTATAGAAAGAGCATCTCTGAATGAAACGAGCCACCATTTTCCTTTATCGTGTTTACTTCCTTGATGCCTCAAATGTAAACAAATAATTAAAAATCCTACATTTCTGTTACCCAAATAATATTCTAGTTGAACTTATCGCAGAAACTTTATTTAAGCTGCACAAGATTTTTTTACGACATTTACCGAACTAATTGTACAAAAAATGACCAACATATTAAAGAATCATTATAAATTAAATAACGATGTCCGTGTGACTCTTTTAAGTTTCCTGTAATATATTTTCTCTTCAGATTTGTACTGTCAGGGCCCCCAATCTTCCCAAAGAGATTTGTGCCATGTGCAGTTTTTATTCAATAAATGATGCCAAAAATGGAGTGAGTGAACGTTGAAAAATATTACTTTCACATTACAAAATTCTTTTTTTAATAGCAGCTTTCTTTTAAAAAAAAAGGTCTTAAAAATTAAATTCGTAAAAAGAAAACTATGCCCTTAAAACACGTTCGACCGAACAAAAAAAAGACGTAGCAGTTCGCACAGTCACTCCGCAATCTCAGTGATCCAGGGTCTCTGAAAAAGAAAGAAAAAAACATCATTACTAAGAGAAAATACTACACAAATTTTAAAATAACACATCTGATGATCTGGATGAAAAGTGAAATTTACCGTTTATCAGCGAGGGCTCCGTCGACTCGCGAGTACCACACTGATGCCGTTTTGAAAATGTTCTCCGCCCGGTACCCGTCCGTTCGCGATGAAGCCCTTGCCGATGGACGGTACATTTTCCCTTTTCATCCAGACTCTGATCAACATTTGATACCACCGCCTTCAACTAATCCTTGAACTTTATTTGTATTTCTGGCGGCGTAACTACTATTTCTCAGTCGCCGTTTTTGAGGGTAAAATCGGAAGTTTTGTTAACCATCCATCCGTACTTCCAAACTAAAAAAGGAGGGGAGTACGAGTTGACCTGGGTGCGAGTTAACCCGGGTACGAGTTGACTCGGGTACGAGTTAACCTGGGTACGAGTTAACTCGGGTACGAGTTAACCTGGGTACGAGTTGACTCGGGTACGAGTTGACTCGAGTACGAGTTGACTCGGGTACGAGTTAACTCGGGTACGAGTTGACCCAAAATCGAACACACAGCTCAGCCACCTAGTGCATAATTTTGTAGACTGGTATCAGTACTACATGTACTAATATGCTTGTTTAACGACTCGACTCGACGTTGTGCACATGTAATATTCACAGCTGATGCATGATGCACACAATGCGCGATGAACGTGTGCGGTCTTTGGCGGAAGAGGCCGCGACTAGACTAATTCGCGGAACATCGACCTCTGACCTTTTGCTATTTTAGCGCTTGCATTTTTCTTGGTTTGAAAACCCTCTGGAAAAAGAATGTCTGATACCAAAAACTTTTTAACGAAGCCCAGTACATGTACATTACAGTGAGTCTACTCAGTCTAGTATAGCATGGACCTAATTATGCTACCTTTAAAGGAGCACTCCGGCTTTAGAGTTTATTGTGTAGCTGAATACTTTAGGGATGTAAAAGTAGGATAGGAAAGAAAGTGCCTGCAATTAGTATTCACAAAAAAATGAACAAGTCTTGAACACATCATTTACTTTAAGACAACAATTTTGACGAGCAAGTAGCTTCCTTTGCAACTAGGCTTTCATACAAAATACATTTTCAACAAACAGAAAACAAGAATTCTTTAAGTTGACACTGAAAGCTTTATCAAAGTGACTTACATAAAAAGGAGATGCAATTATTGATTTCCAATCACTTTATTGTTAGTATAAAGGGAATCGTTCTATTTTTACACAACTGATTTACTGGTTTGAAACTCAAAGTCACAGAAGATGAGCCAATTAAGTGTGAAAAGTCTTAGGGCAGCCCATCCCTATATGAAAAACAAGTTGTAAATTCATCACGGGTGTATGCAGTTTCAATCGTCGTCTTGTCAAACTCCAGGTACAAACTATTCAAATCACTTTCCCTTGTTATCAGACTTACAACTTGTCTTGCTCACGTATGATTTACTTTAATATACATGTAACTCTTCAAAAAAAGGAAATATATAATCATGAAGCTATAAAACTCCATGATATACAATCAAGATGGTGTCCAACAAATTTGTTTTCTGCATCAAATTTTGAACTTGCATCTTTTATTTTGATGTTAAACCTTTTTTTGTCTTTAGGCAGCTGCAAACCCTAGAAAAGGGGCTTGGGCTGCTTTTACACAGACAGATCAGCCATGCAAGTATAAACTGGTTCCGTACTATGTAACCGATTGTTATGAAAAGGTTGCAACCAACTATTTTATAACAGTGTGGAACAAACATTTTGTTCGATGTCTCATTTAAAAGTGAATAACTTTTATATTTCTAGAAAACAGAACACTTTTGAGGGGGAGGGGTGAGGCAAAAACTTAGTGTAGAAAGTACATTTATATTTTGTCTGAGAAATCTGGAAGAAAAAATCACACACAAAACAGAACCGACAGGTTTCAAAGTTGATTGACATTCCATTTTTCATATTTTTAATAATTATATGGCATAACTTCAAAGCAAAGTACAAATAATATATCAGAGAACTGATAAATTATTATTATCGATTTCATGGTTTGGTATTTAATAATGGTGCCAACATATTGACAGTGATCAAAAGTCCCACAAATGGTGGATCTAACCAAATCTAAAATTTACATTCATGTTTAGGTCCATGTTTGACAGATGGCATAAATAAAGACATTTAAAGTGAGAAGATAAAGGATCTTTTGAGTGAGTTGTATGTGCCAACACAAATATAATTGAAAAATTTTAATTAACAAAAATAGCAGACAGTTGAGAAATATTATTCAGAAAAAAAATATATTGCACCTTGCAGGCACAGTGCCAGACTAAACAAAACTCTAATATTTGATTGAGGCATGGAGCTATAGACCTTTATCATGCTGCCACCATTTCAGTCATGTTCCCTGTATCCAGTAACAGTACTGAATGATAATGATTTTGTGCAAAAAGGAACCAGACTTTTCTTCCTTCCAGCCTCGCTTTGGTTACGTTGATTTGAATGGGAAAATAACGACTGACCATAACATGACAATGGTCTATTGCTTAATAGCTCCATGATTGAGACGTTTGGGGAGAACATGATTGAGGCATGTATGGGGAGAACAGGTCTGGGAGTGATTCTTAGTAATTGACATGTATATAGAGGTGCATGAAAGTCAATATGAGAAAATTGTTTCAATAATGGCACACATGTACATGTAACAGCAGGTGTTTTTTCCCTATTTTTCTTATACTTGTGAGTTGTAACAGAAACAAAACTCATCCAATTAATTAAATAACAATTTACATACATTTTAAATAATTTAATATAGAATCAACAACAACAAATGGATGATGATGAATTTGAATGACAAGCACTTCATGTGTGCATCCATTACCATGAAATTAAATTCCAATACAACTGCATTATCAAATAAACAAAGTATTTGTTTTAAAGTATTCAATAATAATAAAATTAAGTTGGATCAAACAGAAACTGAACACTGTCTATTCCATTTAATTCCATTACCCTAATTTAAATCTTGTATGAAGCCATGGCAACTGCCTGAAAATTTACCCATATTTAGCACTGAAAATAACTTTACTTTTTAACATCCTTTAAAAGACCACGTTACATACAACATTTGCTTTTGCTGTAATTTTCAGAAATGGATGAATTTGGGGCTTAGTGTTTTGGGGCTTAGTGTTTTATAATATTGTTACACTGCCTAGTTTGAAGTGTTGTGTTCGTAGATGCCGGAAAAACCAAGAAAAACAATTATGTTCCTGAAGTCTGGTTCCCCGACCTCACTTAAGATGAAACAGAGCAATTTATAGACGTTGGGGAATTGTAAGGTCAGGGATCCAGTCTAGCTGGCTTGTACCAGTTCATAGGTGTGTAATCGATTGCAAACAAAATGCAGACTAACTATATTTGGTAAATTGGGGGCACTATTTTTAAAAAGCCAATTTTTTCCAACACTGGTCCGTCGACCAATCATGCTGGTCTGCAGACATAATGGGCAGGCATCATTTGCTAAACGTTACAAAATTAAACGCAAAGTCACATCCCTAGTTCATACATCTTCGAAGTAGAAAAGTCAAATGTTTGTTTCAGGTTATTTTGACCCAGTAAAAAGTGAGTATAAGAAAGATTTTAGTTTGAAGTACAATTTAACCACAAAAGCCATATTTGAGGTTATGCGGGAATTACAATGACGTCATGTTCATGGTGCAGTCAGTAAAAAAGTTGATGCAATTTAGAAAATGAAATTTAAAAAAAAAAGATACATATCCTCAAAATATGACCAATTTTATTTCTTTGCTCTTTGTGATGTTGCAGCCATATTGATTACATCAATGGACAGCATTTTGGCACTGATTTAATCAGCCATGGCGCTTTACAGATATGCCATTGAGCCGATTACATCGACTATGGGAGCTGCTAGCAGTAACAGCAATGGAACCACCACACACTCATCATTAGAAAGCAGTATGCACAACTCTATGGATTCCAGACATGCACAGCACATGGCATTTGAGATCACAGAGCCCCAGTTGGAGGGACCCACCACATGTGTGCGTACTGGTTGGCGCCCATATTACATGTACAAGCAACCCATTTTATTCTCAATCTCCACAAATACATCACATCTTCGCGTGAGCTTCAGGCACCCTTGGCATTGCGTTCAAGAGTTCCAGTGGTCTCCCCCAACTCTCCCTTTATAACCACAGACACATATCGCAACAAGTACATGTATCTGTTGAGCAAGTGAATTCTCTGAGCTATATGTTCAGCTTTTTATCTCCGTAAAATTGGACCCAAACTTTTGAGAGGACACAATCTACCGCCACAATTCTAAATTGATAGGAAATACAAACAGATTGGAATAACTTCACAGGCATTTCTGGCAGTACTTTTTATTGGCCTCACATCTTTTGAAAACAGTCTTTCATGTTGGTCCAGACAGCAATCCCCTGTATAAAAAAATTAAAACACATAAACATCAATTTATGAAAAAAAAACAATGAAACTTTCCACACACAACAGCTTGCTCCTTACTACTTGGCTGGAACCCAAGTTCCATAATTTTAGTGAAAAAGATTTTGGTGACAAAGAAATATATCAGCAAAACCACTTCATTACAAATTGAATATGCATGTCCTCTCCAGAATAAATGACCAGAAAAAAAAAATTGCATGACCACCAAAGCATTGATGACAGACAATACTAGAAGTGTGGTCAATTCCTTTTTTAGTCCCCAAAAAGTATACTGAAGGTGGAATAGTATACAAATAATGGATGTTTATGAGTGCAATGGTAACAATAATTTCATAAGGTGACAGATGGAATGTACCATTCCACAAGGGGAAGCCGAGTGCAATGGAACATTCTATCCGTCACCAAATGAAATGTTTCATTCCACTGTACAAATATAAAACATTCATTATTTGTTGTATACACCTGAATAACAGAGTAAGTCCTCGTCATATGATTGGTCAGAGCCACAGATAGCGCGAGTGGCAATATAACTACTATTTACCGTGGAGTAGCACTCCTATTTTTGGCATGTAGCCAGGGGCATTGCTAGAATATTTTCAATGGTGGGGTGTCCGACCAAATTTGCTGACATTTTTGCGTACAAAACATCCGACAAGCCCCCCCCCCCAAAAGGTCCAAGTTAATTTACAAATTTGCCCAGTAAAACAATAATGGTAGGTGTGAAAGTAAAATTTGCCAACAAACTTTCCTCAAAGTATTTGACAAGCATTAAAAAAAAAGTTCCTCAGATTTCAAAATGTGCCAACAGTAAAATAAACAAAGGCCCTAATTTTTTACAAATTTGCCAACAACAATTATGGATTTGCTGACAGTAATTTTGAATAAGGGGGTGTCACCCCCCCCCCCCCCCCACCTACTAGTGACGGCCCTGCGTGTGGCCACGGTGCACCGTGGGTGTGGGTTTGGAGGAAGAATTCAATGGCACGTGATCAACAACCCTCCAATCAGATGACAGGGATTTATTCAGGCATTGCATAATAGAAAACAAGCCTAAGCTATATTGACTAAGTATTCTGAACGAGAAGAAATATGGGAGTTACATGTACCGTAATTTCCTGCGGATAAGACGCGTCTTATCTGACTTTCTAGACCATTAAAACATCGCTGCGCCTTATCTACAGGTGCGCCTTATCTGGTGTCGCTTGAGTTCAAAGTGTCGGTCTTTGTGTGAAGAATTCTTTCCATGCCGCAATCAATAATGCGGTCAACCAAGGCTAAACTCTCCAGACATTGTGACCGTATTTTCATTCCAACAATGCTGCGATGTGTTGATCCCCCATGATCATGCTTTCATTCCAACAATGCCGCAATTAATGCGTTGATCCCTCTATCTTACACCGCGTTCCCACTTGAATTTGGAAAAGGTGGATCATGATCCGGCATTTTGGTGTGATCGTTACCTTACCGCAACGAAACCGCAAGTCGCGTTCCCACTTATGCTTGATCCACCTTTTCGAACGGAAATGTTGAGTCCGAAAGGTCACTGAGTTCGGAATTACGCGCGCTCTGTGGAGTGCCAGTGGCAGTAGTGTTGCATGCTAGGCCAGGATGGGTCAGTTTTTAACAGCGCTATGAATTCACCGACAAAAATTACGCGAATTCACCGACATAAATCACGGATCTATACGTAGAGGATCCGTACGTGCATAAATTACCTGGTGAAATCGAACAGCGCCGCTCGCTCATTGTGTGACATCACGGCAGAAACCAATGCATCGATAAGGGATTCCCTGGTTCTGAAGCTTCTCATTGGTTAAAATGGTCACATGATGTACTACGACATCATTTTCCGATTTTCTATAATCAATACTACAGATTTGTCACCTCCAGACGCACCGCGTTATCGGCACTATTCTCATTGCGTATTCGTAAGCTTTTCCATGATTCTGTGCCAAATTGAAGTGTTTTGGTGAGTGCGGACTCAGAGTCATTTATGGATGGAAAAATAAGTTAAACTTCACGAATAAAAAAGGTTTAGAAATGGAAGAATACGCAACGAAAATTTTAAAAGGCCTAGTGTAGTTTCCCCCGGTGTGACGGGATTATTTTCGTATGGTATCCATTTATACATAGTTAGTAGTTTTTGCTAGTTTTTGTATTAGTCACCGGTAGAGGGCGCAACATCTGGCTCGGAGGGACTGGGCAAGTCTACGAATCTGATCCACCGTGCGCGTTGCAATATCTTCAGACAGCGCGTGGATCATCGTTTCTGGCCGCTGATTGGGCCGCACTGCATTAACAAAAGGCCAAGGAAGGCTAGGATCGGAAACCGCAAGCAAGCATGCACAGCGCGCGTTGGCTGAATGGATGAAGGTCGGTATCAATTTACATTGGTCTTTTCTTCATGGCTCTACATGTGACCAGACAATGTGGTTACGGTTTAATTCATCCTCCGAATAGTGTGATCGTTCTAAGGCAACACAATGGCCCCTTTGTGGCGATGTACCGACACCGGGTGACGCCTGGTGTTCTTCTGTGTGCGGTCAAACATGCGTCTTATGCGGCGGTGCGCCTTATCTGTTGGCGTTTGAATTTTTTGGGGGTGATTTTAGGTACCTGCGCCTTATCCGCCGCGCGCCTTATCCGCAGGAAATTACGGTATTAGACATTTTTGTTGAATGAGAAAGGACTTACTCTTTTTGATATTTTGATTTGCAAAATGGCATAGTTGATGAATATTTCCTTCAGGTCGGTAGTCCTTTGCTTCTTGAACCTTTCTACCTCCACTAGTGCACTCTCAATGAATGCTCTGCTCAAAGACAAGGATGGAATCAGAAACAAGTGACTCATTCAGGGGCGATACGGGGAAAAATCAAATTTCCAGGAGATAATCGGCACAAGGTTTAGGGGCCACAGATGGGCCCAAAGCAATGTACAGTGGGCTAGGCATGAGTTTGTGCTTGCCTGTTAAGGCAGCCATTGAAATACTCATTTCTTTTGTTCTACATAGACCTTTACAGGTAAACAGACCTTTATGGTAAAATCTCACAAATTCTGGATTCAAAAGGAATTTATTAAAAATCCTGCAATCAGAAAACATTCTGACAAATCTCACACCTGATCATTTTGGTTTCATAATGTTTGAAGCATTTAATGTTTTCAAGAACAAAAACAAAACATAAAACCAAATGTGCTGTTTTAATTATTTTTTCAGTATTTGAAAGAAAAAGCTCTCAGCTTGAACCGATTTCCAAAACATATGGATTCACAGATCACGTTTTTGAAAAAAGGTTTTCAAATGTTTGTTGCATTTTGGGGGGTCATCCTATATACCCACTTTATGTCATTGGATTTATACTGTTTTTGATCTGTTCTCAGCAGAACTTTACTTGGTGCATGGATTTCTCAACATTACTTTCTGCTTATCGACACTGAGCTATGGAGTCTGGCTCTGCATGCAACTTACTCAGTTTCTTGCGTTGCTTGCTTGAGGTGCTGCTCACACTCCTCTATCTGCTCTTCCAGTACTTTGGTTTGAGCGTCTTTAGATTCTTGACTCTCCGGCCCAAAGATCTTGGACCTCATCCCTCGCAAGGAAAACGACCTGCTGGGTGCATTACCCTTAAAAAGAAGAAACAGCCATGTTATTAACATTTTAAACTGGACACAGATTTTCCGCATTGAGTATTTTCAGTCAACAAATTGTCAGCAATAATATATTTTTTAAAGGCATCAATGGATCATTTCCATTTATCCCAACAGTAATCTAGCAAATTATTATTAAAAAAACTTATTTGGATTAAAAAACTTATTTGGATTAAAGATGCCCCATGAAATTATTCCGTCTGGCTTGCTGTCATTTAAGAGAAATCAAGAGATGAAAGTGATTTCCAACGATCAGTCAAATGAAGAGTTAAATAAATGAAATCATGTTTCATGATCAAAAGGCTGTGCCTTTTTTCTCAATAAGTGTAATATTATTAGGTTAGGTTTTGAACATTCGTTTTTGGATTTTGAGTGGTGTTATTATTGGAAACGAAAAGAATGCATGAAAAGCAAGTGATCATATACGCCTTTAATTATTAAGTTGAACAAAGAAAATGACTGGAGTGGGGTTTAAACCAGCGACCTCCTGATTACCGTACCAGTGCTCTACCATCCAGCTTTATGTTAGTGGGGAACTACTAACATAGAGCAGGATAGATCCATTGTCAGAGCAACGGAACAGCGATCCAGAGGTTACTGGTTCAAACCCCAACCTAGTCCATGTTTTTGTTCAACTTGTAAATTATTACAACGCACCTTGTCAGTTTCCCATCGTGGTTTATTGAAAATTTGCAATAAAATGCCACAACATGTCCGCGTGTTCCCCGCTTGCTATTTCCCAGATTTCTAGCACTGCTAATGTTGCTAGCAGGGTGACTTAGGATGTGATCCTGGCCACATAGCATTTATTGGTTTATGGCTTCTGAATAAGGACCTTGACAACTTGGGGAAGCGGCATAGGGCTGGATACCAATCAAGAAACATACCATGACCTGTTCTTTTTGTAACGTTTTAGCCGCAAGCAGATCGCCTGCTTTCTCCAATTCGTACTGGAGTACTTCCTGCTTTCTGCAGACAGATCTGAAAGACATAAAGAAACATACTGAATATTAGCCTTAATACTCCAGCTGACAAAAAATAAGAAAGGACCTGACATGCAAACCAATCTGCCTAAACAAGCTGAAATAAAAATGTCAGAGACAAATTATTAGAACATTCTGCACAGTCAAACAAAAACTTTATCACTGACATTTCCTAAACTTTTAATGATTTTGGCTGAGTTGATACACTTCCTCAGTCTGCAGCAACCTTCTTCCTGACAGACCAGGGTTGTGCCCAATATATCAAATATTCAATTATCTGCCAAATCTCTCAATAGCTTACATTTGTTATTCAAATATTCGAAAAATGGGAGTGGTTTCGAGGAGATGATTAATAACATCTTAGAAGTTTTTTAATTGAATAAGTTGTGTGGTTTCATTGTTTGTTAAATGCCACAGTTTTGTTGAAAGCCACTTTCTCCCATGATTTGATAGCTTCCATGAGAAACATTTGCACCAATTATTTCTTTGAAATCTGTCAAATATCAACCATTCTGCTATTTCTTCTTTGGTCTCTTTGTCATGTAGGTCAGCGCAGCGTATGTTGAACTTGATCGGTGCATTTTGAAATCAAATACTTGGATATTCGATCAAGTCCAAGTTGAATACTAAAATATTTGAAACTGCACAGCGCTAGACTGGTAGCACTTGATCGGTGCATTTTGAAATCAAATACTTGGATATTCGATCAAGTCCAAGTTGAATACTAAAATATTTGAAACTGCACAGCGCTAGACTGGTAGCATTTCTAGGTGTCTCTTAAATGCGGGAAGTCCTAAAAATGGGCCTAGGAAGCCCTGTGTTTACCTTGAACTCACTCAAACCTCAAACCTCAAACCTCCTATTCTCCCCCAAATGAGCAGTAATAGTTATTAACTTACTTAAGAGCATCAGCAAAGTAGATATATTCCTTGAGTTGGTCAGCTATTTGTTCTTCTTCGTTCATGTAGTCATCAATGTAGTCCTTGTATCTAAGAAATATTAAAAAAGAAAAGATCAGTGTTACACCAAGCAGTAACCTCCAGTCCCAGATATTTGGTAGCCCTATCCACAAATTCTCAATTTTTAGAATCTCAAGAATCTGAGGATGTCCCATTGAACCTCTTAATTTTTTATTTTATTTTTTTTTAAGTGTGATTTATTGAATTCACTGGTCAAAAGTGAATTATAAATTTAGTTCTCCACAGCTTAGGAAAAATTAGTACGTGATAGGTACAAAGCAACATGCATATTATTCAACAGACTGGCATAGCAAAATGGTGGTAGACATTTCTACTACAATTCAGTACCCATACACATGTAAAATGGCCAGGCACTCAACCCTGGCAAGATTAGTAGTCTAGTGGTTGAAGACATAATATGCTTGTATTACTGAATACACAATTTCCACAAGTTTTAACTTGTACAAATTGCCTATTTGATTTATCAGGCAAAGACACTGCTTCTTACGCATCCATGAAGTGACCGGCGCTCTGCAAACCGTCCCCCATCTCCTGCTCAATGCCACTCCACTCACTGAAGACTCGGCCGTAGTTGCCATGAATCTTGTGTATGCCGTACAGCCTGTCCACCAGCTTCTGCAAAAACAAAATGGACACAAACCTTCAAACTGTTTAGATAGTCAGGACTGATTTGCAACTGTCAGAATTATAAAACTGTTGAAAATTGCTGCTTTAGCGAAAATGCAACATCTTAATTAGGCAAGACTTGTGAATATATCTTTGTTCAAAGATATTGACTATTATAGACCCGCCAACTTAGGGCTGGATAGCTCAGTTGGTAAGAGAACTGGAACAGTTATCCGGAGGTCGCAGGTTCATGCCCCGTTCCAGTCAATTCTTCGTTCAACTTTTCAATTGTTATAATTCACCTTTTCAGTTTCCCTTTGTGGTTCATTTGAATATTTGAAAAGAAAAAAAAAAAGAGGTTAAATTGCTGAAAATGCTGCTTTTTTATTCAAGATAATGGGCCTGTGACTGTGAGCAGGTTCAAGTGCCTTTCCAGCCAATGTCTTTGTTGAACTTTTTAATTTTTTTTGTTTGCACTTTTTTTTTCAAGTAGCAATTTCTGTATGGGTCCTAATACTGACACTGTGCCTCATTTCTTAGATTTTAGTGTGTTTTGAAGGAGTTGGGAGTTTGCCCTTGGCAGTAAAGTGACAAACGTTAACAGTAATTGTTATAACCAAACTCAAGAACATATAAAATAGTAGAATAAGTACCAGTATGTACCAAACAGGAAAAAATCTCTACCAATTCATTCCTCTGGTCCAGTGTTTTAGTCGAATACATTTCCATTAGAGCAGGTATTTATTCAGCCATCACGAGTACAAGTACTTTGCTATGAGTCAGTGTTGGAGTACTCGTACTCGTACTCAAGTACAACTCGAGTACACACAAGTACTCGGCCAGGACTCGACTATCAGTACTCGAAAAAAATTTGGACTTGGCCCGTACTCGATTTTTTTGTAATCAAATTTTGCACGGACTCGACGGTTTGGTACTCGGTACTCCACCCCAGTACTCGGGAGTACACATCCAGTACATTTCTTTTAAATCGATTCCATTGCTCAACCTGGCACACATTGGCATGGTTGCAGTCTGTATTACGGCTTAGTCCAGTTCCCGCCTCCCCAATGTTACTTACACTGAGGATTCATGAATCGGGAGCCAGCCAAGCTCATGCTTCATATGTTCGTTTGTGGCTTCACGGTTTTTCAATATGTAATAACATTTTTATTTACAAAATTTTCTTGTGTACTTAATCGAGTTTGTTGTTTGGAAAGGGTTTCCAAAATAGCCAATACTTCAGGTATCTACCCAGCTATCCCTGCTTTCTCTTCTTTTTTGTTTTAAGAAATGGTGAAAACTGTCAGTTTATTCACTGACTTGATGACTTTTGTTTTATTTTTTATTTTTACATTGTTTACAGTAATAAAAGTTGTTTAGTGTTTACAAGTTGGTAAAGAAGAGTGGAATGCATATTGTGTTTGTTTTTTATTTTATTTAATTTATTTATTTATTTTTTAAATTAATTTTTGTACTTTTTTGGTATTGAACTCAGACTCGGAGGTACATGTAGGTACTCGGACTCAGCCCAGTACTCGGCCTTGAATGTACTCGTACTCAGTGCTTTGGACTCGGACTCGTCACAGTGTACTTGGACTCGGCCCTGGACTCGGCCCCTAAAGTACTCAGACAACTCGGTACTCGGCTTTGAGGACTCAACTCCAAAACTGCTATGAGTGCGGGGTGAGTACAAGTACTTTGCCATGAGTGTGAGTATAGGTAATTTTTTTCTTGCGATTACGAGTATGAGTACTATGAGTACTATTCTCATGAGTACAAGTAAGAGTACAAGTACTACACGTACAACACTGCTCTAGTCAGGTGCAAATGACAGCAGGGAAATTTGATGGCAAATGCCTTAATGAGCTCAATGGTTTTCTTCCTCCTTGTGCAATGACAGTTCAAAAATGCTGTGGCAATTAGTACAGGATCCCGAAGTACACACTGCCAATGATGGTATGTTGTGCATGCACATGAATAACCCCATCACTCCTTGACTATTGATAATTTCCTCTCCCAGGATATGGATTGAAGGACAATTTGAACAATTGTTGCTGACGTAATGTGCATGTACATGTACAAGGATCATGTGTGAATCATTCTTAAAACAAAATATGAAATATGCTGAAAAATGTATTGCTGTAATATTGACCCAACAAGCAGTATATATAGCTGCAAAATCTCAGTCCTTGTAATAATGCTGATCACTTTAAAATCAGTACATGTACAATGTTGTACATGTGCCGTGATTGCAAGACAAAGCAAACCCAGTAAAGCTGGTCATGGAGTGCACAGAATTCTATTCAATCGATTCAGAATGGCTGTTCACTGGTGTGTTTTCATGCATTAGTCTTCTAAATGGGCTGGATTTAGCACATTCATTAGCATTACAGGTAATCCTATAACATAGCACTGTCCGACTCACACGTAACAATCAGTCAAAGAGAGCTACATGTATAGGCTGGCCCTCGAGGACCAGCAAAAAAAAAACAACATAAATACATGTAAACAACCACTTCCTTTCATGTAAATTTATGACAGCATTTTAACAAAATATCCAGTTTGCTCTGAAAGTTAACAAGCTCAAAATTTCTCAGCACAAGTACCGGTACTACAATTGCTCATTTTTTAATACAGTGATTTCAGAAGTGTTCCAAAAACCTTTTGATATGCACTGAAGTACCGGAACATGCAGCAACTTTGATTCGTATGCAATTAGAGTTTTTGTGCACTGCAAAGACTTGCCACACTTAAGGGTAAGATGACCATAGGATTATGTCTCAGGGTTCTTTTTGTGACCATTAATCCAACCCATGAATGCCAAGCGAATTGAGTGCAACACCACCAATATGTCAGACTTCATTTGTTTCAAACTACCTGTGGGGGCATGTTACCATAGTGACAACACAGTCACATTTTGCTTCACAAACATTAAAGCCCTCCAGTAGCTGCATACAGTACATGTACATGTATCATGTGTACACCAGTACATGTACACTAAGAATACATGTACATGTACATCAAAAGTCCACTAGATGAGGCCAATACATGCCGCTAAAAATGTATTACAAGACCAGCAAAATATTGCAGAAAGAATTCAAAAAGGTTTCTGTATCTGTTCGTCCACATACAAACACCATCTTCTGGTTGTCGCATACGTTTTGAAAAGGTCAAAGATATTCTCTTTCAATGTTTACTTATGGCAAATGGGAAACAACATCAAACGTGAACATTTTACTTGGTCAAGTGAGACTAATAAGCTTTTGTAGGATTGATGATTTGCAATTTGAAAAGCCTTTAGACCACTGGTCAAGTTCGACAGTTTGACAATGCCATCACAAGACTTGGTCTACAGGTCCAGTGGATATTTCTATCTCAGATAAGACCACGGCACACTGAATCCTCCGTACAAGCAGTAATCACAGTCAGTGGGCTTATGGTAAAAAAATATCATCTCCTATGAGCTCCGTGCACAAGTACCCCCTCGTTGGAGGAGACTACTGGGAGACACATGCAAACAAATTGTTGACGATGCCAGACACTCGCGTAAAAATGTTATGGCTTTGTGCACATTCAAATAAAATAAGTCAAGTGTATTTCGTGCTATACTTGAGTGCAAAAGAGTAGGCGCACACAGTGTGTTTCACTCACAGAGCTCTCAAAAGTGGTCAAAAAGCACCCTCTCTTGTTCGCACACAGAGCCCATATGCAATTTCTGGTACATTCTTTGAAAATGTTAGTGATTATTAATGAAACATTAAAGAACTCAAATCAACTTGATGCCATCCCCCCCCCCCCCCTATCCCAGACAAAATTTGTAGGGCGTTCAATCATTACTGATTTTGTTCCTGACTTTTTTGTTGGCACAGCTTCCCATTAAAAAGATGAAATAAGCCCAAAAGAAGAGTCAGATATTGAGACTTTCTCAAATGAATAAAAAAAAAATAGAATTTACACATTTGAATACATGTTGCAACATAGTTTTGGGCAAACTTCACCTTTTGGGGGCGGGGCACGATACATAATGTGGACGGCGGGGCAAAAAGAAATTACTTATTGCGTCAGTAATCTGCCATTAATCATTAAAAAGGTCAGGGGAAAAATGGCATGGAGTTGTTTTGCACTTGTAGGTGATCCTGAGAGTTTCAAAAATTGTACCAAACAAAAAATGCATATGGGGCCCACAGGTCCACTGACTAACAAGGTCACTGAAGGTACAACCCAATTCAATTTATACCATGCAGGTGATTCACAAGGGGACACAGACTGGCTTAGCCTGGCCACTAGCCAATAGGCAAGCATGATTCAATCAAATACAGTGCAATTATTTACTTTGGTAATATGTATTGGCCACTTCAGGGGATAATGTATTAAACACAAATCATTTGGGGAAAAAACATTACTTTTGACGGGAGCTGCCTACATGTACATCGTTAAAAGCAGAGTCTGGAAAACTTTAGTACTTATATTCTGTTTGTGCCAATACAACATTTTCATTTTGAAATGGGTAACCAAAGAAGTCCACATGTGAAAGTACATGTACATGTTCAACTAAACGTACATGAGCATGTGGACTTTTGTGACAACAACCTGTAAATAAATCTTGATCACACCGTTGGGCTAATGACATGCCCCCTCAGGATACTGAATAGTTGCCAATTTCTTGAGAACATGCCACTCATAGCATGCATCAAGTGAAAAAAAACCACCAAATGCAATGTTTTGAAAGTTTCCAAATAAAAGAAATCCCAAGTTGTCAATATCTTCTTTTAGAGGGAGTAAAAACAACATATTTTACAATGTTGTGCAGTGTTTAACCAACGCAGGTGTACATACCGTAGCATGCTTGGGTAACATACTGCATGACATGTGTGCAAGAGCGAACCCTTAATCAAATTTGACAACCACAGGCTGGGTGGATTTTGGCTGTTTGGCTCATTTATCACAGGTGTTTGTTGAAGGAGAGAAAACATTATTGCCTGCAGCTAATTCACCTCCCAAACAGAGAGAGGGGCGAACAAGGGATTGTGATGTCACTAGCTGGGGTGTAGGTGTCAAAGGTCTACTTCAAGTGCTGCAAGGCATGACCTCAGACAGGTAACATAGTAAAGTACAGGTCTAAATCTAGGTTTTTATGACCCCCCCCCCCAAAAAAAAAATGGTTCTGGGGTGTGGCATGCTGGAACATTTAGATTGAACTAGAAGTTCGTGTTTGTTGAGTTAGGCAGACAACTATTTCATTTAACTTTGCCCAGTTAAGTTATGAATATTTTTGTAAGAACAAAGGATCATTATATTTAACCTTTCCAATACAACCAATTATTTTGTTTAATAAAATGCATCTTTTAGGGTTTGATAAATTTCAGTTACATTTTATGTACACGTACACGTTATTTCTGGTATGATGACATCATCAGTCAAAAAAGGAGAAGTGAATACTGATTTACATGTAGTTCGTGGAGTGGACACACGTTCTTTAGGAATTTAAAATACCGGTAACGTATGAAAATATACATGTATAACTTACATGTAAGTGTATATATTAATAACACCTAACTTCCGGTTTCATGACCTCACATTAGGGATCCAAAGGTCAACATTGTAACGGACATCATTATTTGGTCTACGAACATAGTTATATACTACAGGACAGGGATCAAATGATAGTATTAAATTATAAAAAATTGTCATTTTCAAATTCTCCCAATAGTAACTTCCATTCTAATGACGTCATGCAAAGTTATCTGTGGTTAATTAAAAACATAAAGGGGCGATTTGGTAAAATTTGGACTAATCATTTTAAAATGACAACCAAAAGACTATATTTCATGTGCCACTAGAGGGCGTCCTTTTGGTTGATGACATTCATGTTGTTCTTGGGCAACTTCAAAAAACGAACCTGATACTCTATTTGGTTCAAAAGATACATCTCAAGAAAATGTGTTTGGAAGACCAAACAGACTGCTATGTAACTTTAATACTTTTTATATGAAGTTTTGTTGATAATTTTCTCTTTTGTTTTCAAAATTGTTCATGCAACAGGAAGGTGTTTCACGGTAATATACGCCATCTTGTTCACAGGGCAAAAAGAACACGCGTTGCTAGACGCGGGTGCATTTTGGAATGACCGCATGATGTCTTGGAAGCGCAAAAGTGTTTCATTGCCGATGCGTACACAGCAACGCGTGTAAAATTGCCACGCAGGCAAGATGGCGCATATTACCGTGAAAAACCTTATTAAGATGCAGTCATTGTGATGTCATGAACATTACAGCTATAGTTAGCAGAGTTTCTTCTTTTACAAGCAGCGCAATGAAATGGGTCAGGGTCACTGGCTTCACTAAAGGACATGACAACTTACTGCTCGGACTTTCAGCACTGCTGTTATGTTGCCTTGAAGTTCACTAGCATAGTTCTTCAGATCTTCAAATTTTCTTAAGTTACAAAAACAAACAAAAAAGGGAATACCGTAAGTAGACAACTTTTGACCATCTTAAATAGGCAAGGAGGTCTTAACAATGTTCCGTAAGTACAGGTAAGCAGAACAATAACAAATGTGCCATAGACATTTACCAAAAATAAGTCCACTGTTGAAAATTGACTGAACATCTGTTCCTTTTCAACCAAATTGCCTGATTATTATAATTTATTGTTTTTTCTGGGGGGGGGGGGGAGGAGAGAGGCGGGGAGCGGTATGTTTTAAACCTCAAGTAGCTTCTTCAGCATTTTTGTTGGACAGATTCAGTTTATTATGTTCTGGGATAAACAATTATTTACAGTTTTGTGAGGAGATAAATTTCCTGCCACACTGACAAAGAGTACAGTACATGTACATACCAGTATATTAAACAAAATTATGCCATGAAATACCCGGATATTACACTGGGTAACTTGTCTTGTTCTGTATTAACTGTGTGTGGGGGCTGAGCTACACACTCCAATTAAAGCATGAAGAAATCATTTTTGTAAATTCATGCTTCACAATTTGCTGATAGATACATGTACCGGTATGCCAAATTAAAACAGTACTCTAATTTGTAATTACATGTATAACAAATTAACAGACATATTTACAGCAATCTACATGTCTATTTAAGCCAATTCTCACTAGAGAAACAAACAGCAAATAAAAACCAAACTGAAACTTGCCTATTTCTTTAGCAAAATATGAACCTTCACTTTCAATTGTCTGAAGTAATGGAATTCTTGATAACTAAAGCGCAGGAAATGAATGAAGATCTGTTTTCAAGAAAAGGCCCGGACTGTTTATGTATGATGCAATTCTTGACATATTTGAAACAAATTTGGTTTTTAAAAAAGGTTCTTTTACCGGTACATAAACACAAACTGCTACCAACCTGTCAGGCTTCTTAAGTCGAAAGGATGCATTCAAGCTTTTGAGTCTGGAATCTTGCTGTGAGGGCAACAAAGGGTGAAAAATGGTGGGGAAAAATATAAAATAAGTCAAACACATTGAACGCAAACTGAACAAATTTAATTATCCTTGAAAATCCTTGCAAATCCACTCTCCTGAAACAACGGAGAATTTCAGTCGTGCACACGAACACCAACATTGTCAACATTAATCACAACGGTCGCTGGTCCACTCCAGCTGTATTGCTCATATCAGCGCTGTATTGACTGCATGCAGTCCTCCGCATGCACTACGTGTCGACCCCGGGCAACGAAGCACGTGTTAAGGCAGAAATTACGTAGGAACAGGCAACGCTATATCACTTAAAAACAGCCAGCTAATTACGGTAAATGAAATATTACATACATGTACACACAGAGGAAAATACTACGTTCTGTGAATTTAATTCACAGAAATATTCGTTCTCAACCAAATGTTTGTTTGGCATTTTTGCAATGTCGATTTCAAGTTTTCAACCTATCAGGCTATTTACGGCCATTGACTGGTTCCCGTCCTCAACTTTGGACATTGTACCGGTAGCACGTGCAGAGGGAATCAGTCTGATATTTCTGGTACATGTACATGTATGCTGTGCTTTTACCACTGCGAAGCTTGCATGCCGATTGTATCGGCGAAAAAAAAACCTGGTTTTTTTCCGAAAATAGTGATTGTTCATGTAAGCAAATTACTGACAACAGAAATGTTACAAGCATTTTTGACATAAACAGTTATTCAGAAGTGTACTTTTGACATAAAAGATACAATTTTTTAGTCTAACTTGCGGATAAAAACGGGGCATTGACTTTCGTAATGCTATAGCAATGATTTCGTTCACAGCAATTTGAGTTCATACATTTTCACAAAGTTTTTTATAAATTTACTCATTTACTTTCATGCCAAAAAGAGAAACAAACAAAATCTTTGCCGGCCCTATCAGTTTATATGTACAGCCAATCTTTTACGGTCGGTCGGGTTACCGCAAACACAACACTTTTTTTTTTTGGCCTTGCCCTGCACTGTAGATATCGTGACCACAAAGAATTTAAACAGTTATCCATATTGTGCAGATCTGGCCAAGATGTTTGTTTGTTTTTTACAGGGCTTTTACAGGGAATACTACAATATCGAACGACAATACTATTCAATAATTTAAAAATGTCATTGGGTATTGTTATGTATCAAAAAGATTTTGCCACTAAACAAAATATTATCCAAGCACAAGTGTGTATGTTCAATGTTTGTCCAAATGTCTGAATTTCAATTTTTGTTTCTGTTGGGATTCTGTGCTGGTAACTGGAACACAACAAGGAAGGGTATCAAACATGAATTCCACTTTTATTTTCCTCCCAACTTAAATCGAAACAAATCTCTCATTTGGTACAAAAACAAAAAACAAAAGCTGTGTTTAGGCAAGGGGAAATTCAACCAGCATGTTTTCGTGCAGAATGTTTCGGTTTCAAATGTAAGATGTCGGCACTTTAACAGATATTGAAATTAGTTTGCATCAGGAGGGCAATGACTGTAACACTCAAACATGCACAAAAATATACATTTGGAATTACAAACAAAATAATAGTTTGTATTCTCACAGGTACCGTACACGTACAACAATGTACCAGCATGAGGGAATGGGATGCGCAATAAGTTTATGATGTGATTGAAGGGGCAAATAAAAACCCTTGTGTAAACAATCGAGTGAACAACTTTCTGTTAAACATGCTATATCAGTTCTATTAACTTCTTATGGGATTCAATATTGCTTAATTTGAAAATTTACCGGTAACTCTTTACGTACATTTGTACAGTACCGTAGCATGGTTCATAAAAAAATTCAAAACTGTTTTGTTTCAAAACCACATAACCGAATCCAACAAAAACTTCACACAAGAAAGACAAATGTTTGGCCTCATCAATTCTATAACTGAAATTGAATTTGTTTTCATCAGTTGTGAGAATTCTGTACACCCTCCAGAGGGACATTTCTGGGGGACACCCTCTACATCAGTCTGTACCAGCACAGCAATGTACAATTAAGCACTTATGGGTTTCAGTGCGCTATCACAATATGCTTTCACAGTAATACACAATGGGAATAGATGCTTTTTATGGTGGGTTGGGGCATACTTATACCTGTGATTCTACTGATCCAATTGGCAGCTACATGTACAAAAGAAAAGTAAATTCAAAGCCAAAAGAAATATGAGCTACATGTAACTATTACACTACTCAGGCGTATAAATGTTGTGTGCATCAATTGGCGAAAGAAAATCAAGTCAAGAAAAATTAAAGATAAAGAAAAGATGATGCGACTAAAGGCAAACAAGATCTACAGGAACTTTTTATTTAAGCTAATCTTAAAATCCAAAGGAAATTGTCAAACACACTCATATCAATGGCCTTCTTTACACAAGATGCAACAATTTTGCGAGTGAATTTGTTCAGTAGTTTCTATTTGGGGTGCACTGGTACATGTTCATACACATCACAATACAATACACACAAATGCAATGAGATGGCGTCACAATATGACTAATTATTTGTATTGCAATTACATGTACTTGCCCATGAACAAACTTAGAAGAAAAAAGACAGCTCAATGCTAACGCAGATGTGACCCCAAAAATTGAATTCTCTACTGTAGTTCTTTATCACATCATGTTAAGTTTATTTCAACTTACTGTGTGGTTTTACAGTTGTTACACAAATTGTTAATTTAATGTTTCCTTTTGGTCACTGTCAGTTCAGGCAGTTAGTTAGTGACGGGAGTAAAGCCCGGTTCATACTTCACGCGAAAGCTTGTGCGAAGCAAAATTCATGCCGTCATTAATGGTGGACGCGCTTCGAATGTATTGTTGACGTCACGAATTTCGCTTCGCTTTCGCTTTCGTGTGAAGTATGAACCGGGCTTTAGTTGGACCTTGGTACATGTACGGTAACTGTACTTTTCCCTACTTTGAACGCTGATATTTTTTTTACTTGTTTTGACTTTTTGCCCGAAAGGTATTTATGAATTGGAATGTTTGGCCGGTATTAAACAAATACGTTTAAAACTGGCTTGGGGCCTTGTTGCTGATAATGATCGGGCCAAGCACATATCTATTCCCTTATGTAAGTGCATTCAGATCACTCATACAGAAATAGCTCTCTTCTGTCAAACAAGTTTTGAAATGAATGCTTTTCCATGCTGTGCAAATCTGTACATAGAAGAGCTATGGAGTTGGCATAGAGGTACTTCCCTCGTCGTCCACCGCTATTACCCAGGTTACACTTGGACACTTGGGACCCTAAATTCCTAGAATGACTCATGTGTAAATGTACATCAATAACCTGCTAAAAAGGTCACATTGGTTTATACATGTATTCCTACAATGGAATTGTTACAGCGCCTTACTCGCTCAAGAATAAGACCTACATGTACTAGCCCATTCACGTACAGTTGCTTGGTATTGCTGCAGCACGCCCTCATAAATTTGCACAAGAATAAGACGTACTGGCCCATACCTTTGCTTGGAATCCCGTTGCGTGTACAGCCTCCTTCCAACTGTCCTCTTTCTGCAGGAAACCATGGAAGATGCCGTCTTCGCACAGCGTCTGATGGGCCCCTACCCGCTGTAAGAAGCCTTCAAGACCAACCCTCCTCCGCTCAATGAAGTCAGCATCAAAGTTATCCACTGTGCTCATTTGCTGCCACATCAGTGTCATCTGTGTACAGTCATAATAATTGTTGGCTTAAAATAATACTAGAAAAGTCAATATTGGGTTTTGCCCTTCACCGAATATTGATTTACGTCACCCCAACGCAAATTTTTTTCCCATCTTATGAATAAAACTAGGACCCATGGTAGATCAGTTCTGATAAATGGGCTGAATGGGCCACCCAGTATAAAGAAGAAATAAATAAATAAATAAATAAATAAATACTAGAAAATCCCAAAATGACTAAAAGGTACACGTATGTAGAACAAGCTGTAGTGGTATCATAATGGGAATACATGTACATTGTAGGTTTCCACTCAATTCAGAAGTGACAGTCTATATGATCCTTCATAATTATAAGTGTTAAATTGTACATAAAACCATCTACATGTATGCAAACATACATTTTGTGCCAAGTTTTCCTTTCAGTCAAAATCAATCAAGTGACTGTTTTCAACGGTTCAGAGCTCCCAGCCTACATAAACCAGGATTAACTGGCTGTGACTGTTTATGTGACTGATATTGATATTGATGATAAATTCGAAAATATAGTGCTTTTGCACTCTTTAGGAGCCCAAGTTTAAGTACCAGAAATAATTAAAATATGGAAAAAAGACCCAGATAAATGTACCCTCTTCTCTGGCAGCGGCGGGACAATAACATAGGAGTAGGTAACAACTAGGTAGTTCCGCAGCAGCTCAAACTCACTATATCTCCTCCACAGGGATGTGTGCCCCTCACCCAGGCCTTGGCCACCACTTTCCTTCACCCTGTTGATTTGATCATAAAGAAATGTCTCCTCTGAAAATCTTGTGGTCAAAAAGTGAGGGGGGGGGGAGGGAGTGGCTAAATTATGGATTTCAGGTACATTTAGTCAATTTTGGCATCTTGGCCAGTAGCTTCTGAATCAAGGGCGGAGGTTACTGCAGGGGAGGGGGTGGTGCTGGGGAGGTACATGTAACAATTGCTTGATTTGAGACAATGTTGGTCACTGCCGGGGGGGGGGGGGGGGGGGGGGCAGAGCATACCATCCACTGCCCCTGGATCCGCCACTGTGACCGTATCTGTAGACATTTTAAGAGTAACTTTTCCAACAAGCAAATAAAGGAGACAATGAATGTACATGTATGCCAGTTATTCTATAAATTAGTGGTCCAAATTGGGACACTGCATTAAAACTAGCCTGGAAACTTTAAGTTATTTTAATTATGGTCAATCTGGCTTTTCATAATATGAGGTACATGTACATGTACTTACTTCCATCAGGATGATAAAATCAAAGTGCAAACCTTTTCAACAGAAAGGAGATCCTTAACAACTTTGTGTCATCTGGAATATTAAAAACACTAGGTTTCACAAGTTCCCGTAACTGGGACACCACAAGACACCATGTTATGTGTGAAATATTACAAATGGTAATATACATGTGTATGTTTGGTATCTCAGCATTGCTGCTCGTCGTTTTCTTATCCCTTTTTTTCATGGACAGAATTGTTTAAATACCGGTACCAAGGAAAAGTAAAGAATGTGACCATGAAAGTCACTTTACACACAGCAGAATCGTTTTTACACAAACATTTAGGGACACTGGGACACCAAATGTTACGAGTGAAACCATAATATTGGGGAACGTACCCCATCACATCTTCACACATTTATTTCTTTAAAATTGTATAGGCCTACATGTAATCATGTTGAGATTGAGTTAGTACAGGTACACCCATCATTTTGACCTAAAAATGGCATACATGTAGTTTACCTTTGAAGGAGGCAAAATTGTTTTATTTAGAGACTGTACTTTTTCGTCCCACTTTTCAGCCAAAAATATGAGATTGTTCGACTTGTTTTTAACCAAAACAGTAGTTTTTAACCAAAACAGGAACTAAATGGGATCAAGATAACAAATTTGTACATTTTTATCAATGCAACTTATTGGAGTTTGTTACAAGTATTATTAACCTAATAATACATTTCGTATTTAGTTTAATTAAACAAAAAGGACAATATTTCCTATTGGACCCCTAATTAATAGAATGACCAACATACCGGTACATTAACTGGGGATCTAACGGTACTTTTTTATTTTACCAACTTTGCAAGAAACATTACTTTTACTTGTGTTTGTACTATAGAACAAGAAAATTGCCCTTTGACATAATTTGCTATTCTTGTTACTGATAGAAGAAACAGTGAAGGAAGCCACATAATCATCGGAAACCGTTGTTTTCTAAACTTGAAGGGTTTTATTTGTGCAAAGCAATCCATGTCCTGTTCTGTTATCTAGAAATAACATACACAATGAATGGTATACAATGTCATCTGGTTGCTGATCACTTAAAGGGAATGCACAACATTTGCTTTGCTGCAATTTTCAGAAATAAATGGATTTGGAGGATTATAGTATGTTATAGAAAATATTGTTTAACTGACTTGTTTCATGTTTTGGGCTTGTACATGTAGATGCTGGAAAAACCAAGAAAGCCTATCATTTTCTTGGAGTCTGTTTCCCCCACCCCACTTAAGATGAAATGGAGCAATTAATACACTTTGGGGAATTGTAAGGTAATCAGAGAATCAGTGTAGCAGGCTTGTGCCCCTTCACAGGTGTATAATCAATTGCAAGAAAAGACAGAGTAACTTGATATGAACAATTAGGAACAGTTTTTGAAAACAAAACAGTTTTCTCCAACGCTGGTCGGCCGACCAGCGTTGGAAAAATACGTTTTTTTCTTGAAATTGTCACTTTGTCAGCTTACCAGGAGCCACGATTTTAAAGGATGCTTTAGACTGTCAGTCCCTAACAATTCAGTAAGGTATTTCGTGATACCTTGATCATTTCGTTTTTTGATGTTTGCAAATGTTGTATCTTCCCTTTAACTTGCCTGGATGTGATCAACTGAAGGTGCTTCTAACACTTTGTAAAATAAATCATGTTCACAAACATCTTTCTTTTGCTAAATGAAACATGAAGGCAGATCACGCATGCATGTACACATATGTACATGTACATTATGTACATGTACCTAAATATTATGGTGTGGACAAACATGTATTATTAGAAGGTGACCTTCTAATAATACATGTAGGTCGCATCATCAGAATTTGGGTTCAATTATAAATGTTTGGGAAAATTCCTGGATGATTTTTGTTTTATTTTCATTTGATTATTTACAAAAAGTAACATGTAGTGATGTACATGTTACACCCTTTAGAACTCACTAATTTTCAAACAGGAAGAAAACTGCACTCACAGGGTCCATGATGAAACGAATCATACAAATTGGAACTTATTTTTAGCGGTTCCCCCTTTATAAAACATGCTCCATGCATTTTCTGACAACTGAAGGTGCTGTTCAATTTAGGTTTTTTTTGTGGTATTGTAAACCCCAAAATATTCTCTTTGAAAACATTTATGCATAAAAATTTCCTCCATGCTTTATTGTCATCCACAATGTACATGTACATGAACTGGTACAATGATTCATCAAAAACAGAAAAATTGCATTTACATTGACCCATTAACATGCTTGTTTTTCCATACAAAACATTGCCTTTGTACAATTTTGGGAATGATTAATATTCTAAAGATAGAATCACCTGATATAAAGTGCAAAGAAAGTGCAGGTTCAATAACCCCAATGAAAAATTATCTTGCCTGTCAACTTGCCAAATTACCCAGAGCAGGGTATTACCCACGCACTTCCTTGGAACAACATGCCAAAATTAGCTAAACCAGTTTCCTGTTTTTGAATTGGAACATTGGTCACTGTTACAGAGCAGGAACAAACCAGGGAAACTTGTCATGCCACATTTCAACCTGTTTGACTGAGTACTATACACTTATGGAGGAATTCTTTCCTCCATGATTGTTATATGCATGTACGGTACCTTTTCCCGATACATATTGCTGTACATGTATTTTTACATTTGTATACCTGTACATGTACAAGGTAAAAAGTACAAAATGTATTGTTGCAAAAAGTACAAAACGTGTGCACATACATATACATGCACATGTACGTGTATAGTATGTAAATGTACAAAAATGTACCGGTATTTTTGGACACTTCTACAAGAAGTTTTGATTTTGGGTATCAGTTCTACAAATACTGTTGCTAATAGGGCTGTCCATTTTTGAATAATTAAGTATTTGATTTTTCCAAGCTGATATTGACTGAATATTCAAATACTTGAAACTCGCCAATCAGGTTTACACATGCCAGGTACAAATGTGTACAGCGTTCCCTGCCCGTCAAAAATATTGCACGTAAAGTGCGCTGGGTAAAATGTGCATGCAGCAATCAATGTTAGGGGCTGCTGGAATGTTAGCAGCAAGTATTTCATACTGGGCTTTAGCCTGCTAAAAAGATGAGAACAATGAACCACCTTCGACAAACAGCGGCATCTGACAATAACGCACCACAAAGTTACGACTAAAATAACATCACAGTTGTGTATATATGTGCATGTTTTTCTTTCTTTTGAATATTCAAACCAGCAAAAAGCTATTCGAATAATCGGTTGATGATCGAATATTCAGTATATTCGGGACAGCCCTACATGTACATGTAGAGGTGCATTCCCCGTGCTCTTCAACAAATTGTATTTTCTTCTAATAGTAAAGTTGTATTTATTCCATCCAGCAAACCTCTTTTTTTTGTGGGGGGGGGGGGGACATCTGCAACCCTCTGAAAAAGAAGGCATTTGTTTCGGCTTCAAACAGATCCGTTTTGCAAGTAGACTGGCTCCTGGTAGACTGGGCTCTGGTCCGTACATTATCGATACTGATTATGGGGCGGGAACCAGCCTACCCCGCGAGAATGGAATTGTCTGGAAGCCAATAATTAAAAATGGTAAAGTCATAATTCAATAACTACATGTACACGTGGACCAATTGTTTTGGTCGTCGTCTCACTCAAAAGTAAATTACCACTGGTTTCCTGCAGTGTGCATAGATATTTGGAGGGTTCCGGAAAAATATTTTCAAAATTGCATTTTAAGGAATTAGTATTAAAGGGTCATCATGGATTCCTGCAAAAGATTTTGAAACTACATACACATTAAATACATTTTATTTAACCTGACTGATGCCAGTCATATTAGCCTAAATGTTGACTGTTATTCAGTTGATGGCATTTTGTCATGTACTTGTATGCAAAGTGACACCCGAGGCAGGAAATACCGGTAACATCATGGAAATGTATCTATTTTTCCTTGTTGGGTTAGATTTCAAACTCTCTTGATTCCAATTACCCACATGCTAAACGACCAGCCATGCCAGCATCCAAACACTTCAGGTCAAATAATTCAAGACTTTTTCAAAGAAACCACAGTGACACTTTCGTTTCGGTATAGCGTTTACAACCAGTGTTCATAGGTACTATCAAGATTATCAACTGAGGAAAAAGTGTACAAGTGCACCTTATGACCCTTTGCTACATGTACAATGACATTAAATTTCCTGAAGCGATAAGGCACAGAGTAACCAAACTCTTCCTGTAAAGTGGAAGGGGAGGGGGGGGGGGGGGTTGAAATACTTGGGGTTGATGACATCCCTGACACTTACTGTGACATTTGACACCCTAAAAGCATAAACGTAGGATCATTTGCATTTACCCTAAAAGTAACCAACCAAATTATTATTAAAAAGCTTATACTTGGATTAAAGATCATCCTGGGTATTGGTAAACAAAATGTGAGCACGCCTTGTCTCTACGAATGCACGCAGCATGCACGCGGATCTGGTGCCACCTCAAAAATGACTTTTAATTTTGTTCGCCCAATTAGTGAATGAATAGAAATGCTAGACTTCATTACGTAATCCATGCATGTGTGCAGACTGCTTGACTCACCTCGTTTCCACCAAGTAGACAGTGTAGACATCCTTCATGCCCATAGAGGTAGTGCGGGCAGCCCCGGTTCTTTTCTCTTGTTCCGTCACACATATCTCAACCTGCTCCAGGAGTGTCCCATCCTGAAACAAGGAACAGAAACGCAAGCGTAAATATCAACTCACACAGCAATAGATCTCAAGTATAGCTCAAAGCCCTTGATGAACGGTGAGCTGTGAGCTTAAAGTTACATAAAATTACCCCGTGCTCTTTTTTTCTTTTCCTCATAAATTTTTAATTTGTATGTTTTGTTTTAAAGAGAAAAAAACTTTTTTATTCTGAGTTTGGGCATCCGTAACGCTCTGAAAAAAAGGGCTTGCATTTTGTGATTTGTGCACAAATGAACCCACCCTACGAGAGCCGAATTATTGTAATTTAAATTTTGGGAAGATATAATTCAATAACTAAATATTGGTGGGTTTTTATTGTTTAGTGTGTCTTCAAAAATGAATTTATGAAACGTTTATGTTGCTAGGCAAAAACAATTTTAAAAAAACATATCTATTTTTCAAGGCGAAACTCAAAAAAAGCAAGGGGAACACAACCTTAACTATATATTTTTTTAACTTTAATCTACAGGTACCTTGTTTTATTCAACTAATACTGCACACATGAAGTCATGGGAGCTGGAACTACGGTGTTGGTTAATAATATTAGCCTCTGTATCCTACGAACTCCAGAGGTTATACCGTGTACTCCTGTACCATCAAAAACTGCCCATGGAGGAATAAGAACACACAGTGTACATGTAGTGCAGGCCTAACAACACCCCTTTTCATGAAAAAAAATCTAGGTATTCATAGATTTTCAGTCTGCAATTTTTAGCAAAAGGTACAATGTAGTAGAAATACAGCAAATTGCTTAACTCATATACAAATGTACATGTACAGTGTACCCGTAGATAACGTAACCTTAAACTAATTTGCAGGACGTCAATGCAAGAGATGTACATTGTACATGTATGTATATTGACAATGTTATTTTGTTGGCATTTAGTATAATAACCAATCTTTAGATCAAATCATTTTCAACATTTTCTTTAATTTAAAAAAAAAAATGTATGGCAGTAAGAAATGTTTGTTATATTTTACTTAAAAAAATACAATGTAGGCTTAATGGTTGAATGATAGGTTTTTATAGGTTTTATAGGTTTCACTGTGATGCCTGTAAATGGTTACTAGATTCAATATCGTGAACATAAACACCGCAAATAAAGGGAGTCCACACTCATTGTAGGGGTCATACTTTGGACCTGTTTGTCATATAATTTTGTTAGCTAGATTTTGATACTCTATTTGCTAACAAAGACTGTAAATCGTCCAAGATTGACAACGGCTTATGAAAAATGATGCAGTTTGAAAAGTTGCAAATTTAAAGATTACGCAAGGGGAAATTGCTAAGCGCAAACACACATGCACGTAATTATCCCCTATCGACTACATGTATGTAGATAGTGCCCGAGGAGCTCCCATGCATACAAGCTCTGTGCCATCAATATTTTCTGCCATTCGTTTCTGGCAGTGTAACATTGTGATGATGCAATTTCCATTTGTAGTACTAAAATTTCCAACTTTTCAAAGTGCATCATTTGTCATAACCGTTGTCAATCTTGGACGAATTACAGTCTTTGGTACCGTAGCAAACGAGGTATGAAGCTAACAACATTCCTTAAAGGCAAATGACTTCATCATAAGACGATCAGATACAAAATTATGACCCCTCCAGTGAGTGTTGGACCTTTTTTTTTTGTGGTGTTTACATTGTGCATGTAGGTGCTAATGGGGTAGGCAGAGTACACAAAAACAAATAGTTTGTTTTTGGCGAGGAATGGAAAAAAAAAATCTATTTATTAACAGCCATGGGGTGGTATGAGGATTCACAAGGGAGACCAAATCACTAACATACAAAAATGGATCAGTAAAAACCAAATAGTTTCAATGAATTTTTTGTAAACATCACTCATACAAATGTACACACATTCATACAGCAACAAAAATTGAATTCCAATGAATTATTAGTAAATTTGTGCATACCTTTACAACAAGAGTTAGTATGATACATCTTATATAAATTACCAAGAATCAAATTAAATTAGGGTACACGAAAGACAATTCCTAAATTCATATTTGAATCTTCTTGATTTAGGCAGAAATTTTGTAATTGTGTATCTGGAAGCCAGATTGAGGGAGCGACGGTCCACTGGAAGCAAATAACTCGACTCGACTCGAGTCTCTCATCAGAATGACTCGACTTGACTCGAGGAAGGCTAATACATGTAAGACAAGTCTCAAAATTTTTAGCAAAACTTTGCGAAAAATATTTGCAATGACTTACAACGGGCCATTTTTGTTCACGGCACGTTCGATGGTCGTGAATAATGTTGATGTGGTTTAATCAGTGTTCCCATTATTAGAATGGCGATCAGCTGGCACCCCCTTTTTATTTTCATTAAGAGTCAAATGTGGTGTCACCACATGTAGTAGCCCGAACGAAAATTTCAAAATACAAAAAAATGACTTTCTCTCTTGTGATTATTGTATAGTGTTCAAATATTTGTGACTCGAATTGACTCAAGCTACACACTTGACTCGACTCGACTACAACTGTGATTCGACTCGACTCGACTTGACCTTCTCGACCTAATGACTCGACTCGTCTCGAGTCACTTCTTTAAAATGACTCAACTCGAGTCACAAAAATCAGTGACTCGTTACAACTCTGGTCCAATTATGAAAATAAATGTTCTCATTAGAATTGACATTCAATTCGAGGAGGTGTAGTAGCACAAAACCATGCAAATTAAAATACTGAAGAGATTATCAATTCATGTCAGTTAGTAGCAGCACCCGTTTCACCATTTAAAAATTGATTTGTAGTCAATAAGCCAATATAGAATTTACACAATTAAATAATATTTACCAAACATTTCAATTAATTTACCACACACTACAGAAATGATACATTTAGACCTGTACACAAATACAGTTTTAGCAACAATGCACTATACGTGTACATGTATTGGTCTACATTTAGAAAACGCAAAGCGAATGGTTGGGAGCAGGCTAAATATTCAACAATGTACTCGTATACAATGTAAATTACAAATGTACATTGCATGCTTAGTGAGCAGGAAGGCACAAAATTTATCAGCAAATTTATCAATTATGGAAATGAACACAAATTATAACCTGAATATTAAAGTGTTCATCAAACTAAATTTGAAAACAAAATAAACAAGTTGACAAATACATTTAAAAAAAGAAAAAAAAACACCAAAAAAAACCCCACCATACATGTACATCTAAAACATGTCCAAGGTAGCAATGCCAGCAAAGCAACTCAAATTGTATTACACTTATGCAAAGGCTCTATGCACAACATTTTCTCAAAGTGAAATCATTAAAATAAAAACATTTTCACATGGCGATGCTTTAGATTTTTTTCCTTCTCCAGAGCATGATATTCGCCAAAAATTGACTGATCCACTAAGCCCCGCCCCAAGTTGTTTTGACCAATCACAACTGTGATTAATGTCTGACATGCACGCACAAAAGTCTGAGGTGCGTGCAAAAAAGTCAAACATGGGTTTATGCATGCATAACCTGAGCACCTGGAACATGCAGTGTGGCATGGGAGAGACTGTACATGTGATGTTGGGCACCTGAGCAGCCATGACAGTAGGTGGGGCTTAATGGAGTGGTCTATTGTCTGCACGGAACAAGCCCAATAGCAAGCGGGGGTGGGGGAGGGGAAGGGAGAGGTTAGGGGGAGGGGGAGTTGCCAGTTTTTGACATTTTGAATCTGATTGAAACAATATACCTGACAATCAATTAATGACGTCCAGTGTGGGAGTTTGGGTTTCCTGTTCTGGAATAAGCAACAAAACCGTCCAACAAATGCAAATTATTCTGCATACTTGTACTAGATGTAAATGTAGAACAAAGCATGAAAGAAACATATGATGGCTTCGCTAAAACAGCATACCGGTATTTACATGTACTTCAACTAGTACGGTACGTCAGACTTTGCTAACACAAATAAAATAATTAGTTGGGACACTCACACACTACCACCAGTTTCAAATAAGTCCAGCGAAGCAGTATGCAGTCACATACCGGTACATGTTGAAACTTTCATTCACTTCAAAGTTCAAGATGCCACCGTCACAAGATGCTAACACCAATACTGGATGAGCCCAATTCATTTTGAAAAAGTGCATGTATGCAGGCGCACTTTTGACCAAAATTGAATGACAGGCAACAGCCGTACCAATGCACACTGTCAAAATTTGATGCAAGCTAGTGAGGGCGGGATTTATCACAACCCATGACATCATGCAACACGACGCTTTCTTGAACAATGGCTGCAAAAGTCGTCCGAATTCAAATCAAAATTACAAGATAAATTAAACTAGACCTCTGAAGGTGCCGAATTATCACAATGGGAGGAAGGTACATATTATCATAATTTATGCTTACGTCACCATTTCGCCACGGAGGTCAGTTGGCGTCGCTGGAAAACATGAATTATGCAGTGCATACATGCACATGGATGTCCCGGATGATGTATGCATGCCTTGTTGTGAACACGAGCACGGTGCTATACTAGCGCCGCGTCGTGGACCGAGATCCGCAGGCTTTATATTATGTGGGCTTCTGAAAACTGTGCAGACGGTATAACAGTTCTCGTTTCATTTATTTAAATTAAACAACAGTACAGGGTGAGTAAAAAAAAGAAAAGCTGAACCCAAACCTCCAAAAATATATATAAAAAAATATGTAGCACCAAAATAAGTATAATGACTGGAAAACCTATTCCAGAAACTACTTTTAGAGATAAAAAAAAATACTGAAATTGCTCAATGCGTTTAAATAATATCACCATTAAAACGCAATGACCCTAAAACCTTTTTCGTCAATAAAAAAGAAATTTATTTGTGCATCATTCTGACTGCTTGGAACAACGAAGAAATTGACACAGCAACATTAACAACTAGTAGCTCTAGTACACAATATCTTTATCAACAACCCTGGTCATTAGCAATTCGCAAACAATATATGATTTATAAAATCCGTTAAAGATGGGCCTTCAAAAGAACTTTGTTGAATATTTTTAACTTTTAAACTGAGGTTCAAGTTATCCCTTTGTGGTGATGTTTGAACTTGAAAACAAAAATTGATTGACAAAGTTAAAATCAGGTTAGTAGCTCAAAGCACCGGCGGGCCAAGAATAGTTTAGCACTTTTGTTGCAAACGAAAATGATGTACCCTACAGAAACTTCCCAAAGTTGGTGAACATCACTGACATTGCTGTTTTTAAACTACTTTACGGGCCACGTTCAAATCCTTGTATTTTTTGTAAGTTTGCATGGACATGGAATATCAGAACTGAAAGTTTCGTATAAAGGAACGGGAATAATCTACAAAAATTAATAAATTAGGAAAAAAAATGCATTGTGACTTTGACCTTTTTTCACTAGCCAGCCGGGCTCAGGTTGCCCGCCGCGTTGTCCATTATAGACTGAGGCAATATTATCAGTGTTTTAATAAACAGGTTTAATAATTTAACCATTAATTAATACAGCAACAGATTTGCTTTCTGAATGCAATGATTTATTTCTTCCTTTCTTTTCATCTTTGTCCGTAGCTGTAATAATGTTTGACTCGCCAAACGGGCTAGTTCGACTATGGAGGAATAAACCCTCCATGCCGGTTCGACTTGCCCGCTGCTATCTTGATGAGCAGCTTTCAAGTTGTGCTATCGGTACAGCAAGCGCTGTCATCTGGCGCATGGCCTCCATGCGTCGGCCGTTGGCACGGATCTGCATAATTCATGTTCTAGCAACGTCATATGACCCTCTCATCAACTTGGTGACTTAGGCATAAATTACGATAAGTTAAAGTGTACCTTCCTCCCAGTGTGATACTGATGCTACCGTTGATATTAAGCAGTTGTAGATGACATTGTCATGATTGTGTGACCTATACTATAAAGTGACAAAATAATTGTAATTTCGAATTGCTGTTCGGCTCCCTTAGCAACGGACTCTCGGTCCAATTACCACATGTGGATTTGTGACGGTTAATAATACGGAGGAAGTCCAGTATTACCGTCACATTTATGGGACTACCTAAAGTTACGCGGTCCTTTTTCTACGCATTTAGGGCCTACCTTCAATTTGTGTGGTGACAACGCGCCCGCGTATGCAAGCTAATACCTGCGCAGATAGCCCAGGTTGGACGAAGTCTTCATTGCATTACGACTTAAGTCCAGGATGACAATTCTCTACATAAGACCACCCAAATTTTGACCAGAGTTTTGTTATGTTTTACCTCGTTATAGAAGCTTATTTCACGCCTACATACTCTATGTGTCCTTATCTATTGGTCCGGGGGGTTCAGGAATTCCATATGTGATGCTGACCGACGTTAATCAGGAAAATAAACTCTAAAGCAACGTTAAACTTGTACGTGTTTGTAGACTCTTTTCATCAGTTTCTCATCACCGTACCGGTACCGCGTCGTACGAAGACGCACACGCTAGCGCCCTCCTTTGGTTTTGGTGGGAACGTGCAGTGACGTCACTCCAGCCAACCGAAGTCATGAAAACACTCCACCAATGACCAAAGCCGAAACATGTTTCTGGTCACGGTCGCTAAAAAATGCCCGGTCATTGGATAGGCGACCGCGCTTACAAGTTAGTGCGCATGCGTTTGAAAGTGGTTACTTAGTCTGGTTCCATTTAGACATGAGCGTCGGGAATAATTGTCAGGTCTGGGAACCAGACTAGTGGTTACTAAGCAAATCGCACGTGCGCACTGCACGTTCACGCTGCATGCCACGGACGTACGTCATGCATGTACGACTAGACTCGGCGGTGAGAAACTGATGAAAAGAGTCAACAACAACGTACAAGTTTAACGTTGCTTTAGAGTTAATTTTCCTGATTAAGGTCGGTCAGCATCGCATATGGAATTCATGAACCCAGCGGCCCAATAGACAAGGACACATAGATTACTACTACTCTTAGAACTATGAGGCTCCACGTAGTGGAGCCTCATAGGCAGATTACCCCGCTAAACTGTTTGCTATACAAAACTCCAACTAAGTACAGAAACGTCCATACCAACCAAGCTTTTTCCCACAGAACCGCTGCACAGTTTGCCCCTAAACTCCGTACAATACCTCATGACATACTCACGTTATGTGCACCAAACAAACATTGGTGGATTCTGTCGGTTTTTCGGCAAAATTGATGAAAATATGCCCTTTCCGCACTGAGCCAACCCGACACTTGAAACGTGCACGCGCGCAGAATCATCGCAGTCATTTTCGGTTTGATCGCTCACCCTGCGCCGCGGGGGGGGGGGGGGGGGGGGGGGGGGGGGGGGGGGGGGGGGGGGGGGGGGGGGGGGGGGGGGGGTATGGTAGGAGCGGAACGATAATATGCGCATGCGTACAAGTGCAAGTACGTACCCCCGGCCCAACGGCGCGCTCCGAGCGATCGAACCGAAAATGACTGCGATCATTCTGCGCGCGTGCACGTTTCAAGTGTCAGGTTGGCTCAGTGCGGAAAGGGCATATTTTTCATCATTTTTGCCAAAAAACCGACAGAATCCACCGATGTTTGTTTGGTGCACATAATGTGAGTATGTCATGAGGTATTGTACGGAGTTTAGGGGCAAACTGTGCAGCGGTTCTGTGGGAAAAAGCTTGGTTGGGATTAGCCCCACTAGTGTGGCCACGGTATGCTGCGCTGAACCTCTGGCCACACACTGTGGTACCGCGCACTACTGAGGGCGTTTTCATAACAATTACGGTCCGTTTCTTACATATGGTTGTATTCTATGATGTCCCATCTATCACTTCTGGGATGCTTAGGTGTAATGATGTTCAATTTTCCGAGATATTCTTGAATCTTTCTGGAGCCCATATGCACTCGTGAAACATCTGGTGATGGCAGCCATTTTGAATGTGACAAGAGATGACCTCAAGCTGTGACGTCGCGTTTATGCAAATTGCTTGTCGAGCGAGGGCGCGAGTTGCAAATGCGACGGCTGTTTCCTGTACCATGCATTTATCGTCTGGGGGCCACGTGCACTGATCTCTATTCAGGATCCACGGCACAGGAAACAGCCCTCAGTAGTGCGCGGTACCACGGTGTGTGGCCAGAGGTTCAGCGCAGCATACCGCGGCCACACTAGTGGGGCTAGGTTGGGATGGACGTTTTTGTACTTAGTTGGTGTTTTGTATAGAAAACAGTTTAGCGGGGTAATCTGCCTACGTGGAGCCTCATACTTCTAGGAGTAGAATACCACGACGTAAACATTGGCTTCTCCAACAAGGTAAAAATATTGAAAATATTGGTCATAAATGTTTTCGCCCGGTTTTGAGCACTTCATATCCTGGACTCCCTCCGTAACGTAGCCGTAGGGAGGAAAGGGAGTCCACCTGGGCTACCTGCGCAGTAGCCCAGGTTAGACGAAGTCTTCATTGCATTACGACTAACGTCCAGGATGACAGGTCTCTACATAAGACCACCCAAAAAAAAGCTTATTTCAGGCCTACATTTTCTATGTGTCCTTACCTATTGGGCCGCTGGGTTCAGGAATTCCATATGTGATGCTGACCGACATTAATCAGTAAAATAAACTCTAAAGCAACGTTAAACTTGTACGTGTTTGTAGTCTCTTTTCATCAGTTTATTCCCAGAGTGGTACGTCATGTACAATGTACGTGCGTACGTACGAAAGCGCGCACGCATGCTAGCGCCCTCATTTGTTTAGTTTTGGTTGGAACCGTGACGTCACTCCAGCCAACCGATGTCACGAAAACGCTCAACCAATGACCAAAGCCGAAACGTGTTTCTGGTAACTGGCGCGAAAACACGATCGGTCATTGGATTAGCGACCGCGCCTTCAAGTAAGTGCGCGTGCGTATGAGGGTGGTTACTAAGCAAATCGCGCGTGCGCACTGCATATTCATGCTGCATGGTCTGGCCCCGGACCAGACGCGATATTGAGCGTCGAGAATAATTGTCCGGTCTAGGGAACTAGGCTACACGCTGCACAGACGTACATCATGTACGACTAGAATAGACTCGGCGGTGAGAAACTGATGAAAAGAGTCTACAAACACGTACAACTAGTTTAACGTTGCTTTCGAGTTTATTTTCCAGATTAAGGTCGGTCAACATCGCATATGGAATTTCTAACCAAGCGGCCCAATAGAAAAGACTACATAGAATACTACGACGTAAAAATTAGCTTCTCCAACAAGGTAAAAATATTAAAAATAATTACTGGTCATATTTTTTTTCGCCCGGTTTTGAGCACTTTATACGCTGGACTCCCTCCGTTACGTACATGACGTAGGGAGGAAAGGGAGTCCACCTGGCATGCCTGGGCTACTGCGCAGATAACGATGTCACGCCCCAACTATCGCATCGGTCCCAACTATAGTTGGGACTGTCCCAACTATAGTGCGGCAGTTGGGTCGGCCCAACTATAGTTAGGACTGGAGTTGCGCCGGATGCTTCATGCTTGATAGATCTTGTTGGATTAAATGTTCCGCGGCGCTGGCACCGTGTATTCGTCGTGCATGCATGCCGCAAGGCTGGCCGGTCACGTGGTACTGCCTAGTTGGATGAGTTGTCCAGCTGCTGCTGGGTTTATTGTCCAGCAACATTTTGCAAATTCAAATATTGCCATGGCCGGCCAACTATAGATGGGCCCCCCCCATAGCTAATGTCAAAGGTCCCAAGTAAAGTCGGACAGTATGTAACAGAGCTGTAGGGAATGTTTTATAGTCGTACATCAATGTAAACTATAGTTGGGACCGCCAAATAAAAATATTGCGGTGGCCCAACTACAGATGGTCCCCACCCATAGATAATTTCATTGGTCCCAAGTAAAGTCAGATGTGTATTAGAGTTGTAGGGAATGTTTTATAATCGTACAACAATGTACACTATAGTTGGGACCGAAAAATAAAAAGATTGGAGTGGCCCAACTATAGATTCGCCCCATCAATAACTAATTTCAGTGGTCCCCAGTAAAGTCAGACGTGTATCAGAGCTGTAGGGAACGTTTTACAGTTGTACATCAATGTCAACTATAGTTGGGACACCGCAAAATAAAAAGATCGGAGTGGCCCAACTATAGATGGGCCAGCCCAACAGTGGAACTTACAGATGGGACCGTCCAACTATAGTTGGGACAGGCCCAACTATAGTTGGGCCAGCCCAACTGTGGAACTACAGTTGGGACAGGCCCAACTATAGTTGGGACAGGCCCAACTATAGTTGGGACCGATGCGATAGTTGGGGCGTGACAACGACATGATAATCTGATAATGGAGGGTCGAGGATACATGTAAACGTTTGCTTTAAATTTGTTGGGAAACCAACTCTAGAAATCTTTTAAAATACAACAAGGAAGTACCTTAGCAGCAATTCTAGCGAGATCACCGATTGATGTTGGGCCAGATGTATCTTGCTGGTCAGACAGCAACTCAGAATCGTAGCTGGGAGCAGATGGATCTCCAGTGACGTCCGCCATCTTGATTCATAGCAGCTGGTACTCGGTCATTCATTACATTTGAAACCAACGGAAGTATTTGTGGGGATCAGCGAAGATGTAAAAAAAAAAAACCAGGGAAGGCCGGTAAAAAAAATACCAGTTGATGTTTCAGTAGTTCAGATGCAAGTTCTAATAGCTTTACTTATGCTCAATAAGCACTTTAAAAAGCTTTGTGGCATAGAGCTGTATTCTTTATTATCCAGCTTTATGTTTTGTGGGTCATCAGGTAATACCTCCATGGAGTTAGAATTAATTCTACCTCCATGAACTCAACCTCGTTTCCATGGGTACGATCTTGCTGCGCCATGTTGGTACCATTATGGCTTGTGAGATCTTAACGCGCACGCGGCCATGGAGCCGAGGCTGCTATCAAATAAAAAGGGCCTCTATATAGTCGTTTTTAAGGCATATAAATACGTGTAAGTTTAACTATGGTTATTTAAGCGGGTTTTTTTTTCCAAAAAAAAAATTAAAAGGGCGAATCCTGGAGAATGATTTCACAAGAATGCCCACTGGGCCGAGTTGTCAGATTTGGTGTTGGGGTTTTTTTTGGTTGGGGGGGGGGGGGGCAAATCAAGTGTTTTTTACCAACATTACATCATGGAGGAAGGAAACTGTTTTCCTCCCTCCATGATTATAGTGCAGTAAAAGGTGAAGCTTTCCAGCTGATTTCAGAAGCAAAGGTTAGAAAGTAACATAACATGCAAACGCCCCCCCCCCCCCCCGGAAGGCTAACTCAGGTGGTATAATCATAGCTCCATGGTACAATAGAGTGCATGATATCCAAGGGCGGATCCAGAACACATTTTTTTTGGGGGGGGGGCCAAAAACAATTTTCCCCAAAAAAAGTGGGTCAAAAAAAATACGGCGTGGGGTACGGGGCCCGCTTAAGGGCCCCGAAATTTTTTTGGATTCTAGATGCTCTGTGGTGCGATCTGAGTCAATTTCTGACCACTTTAACCAATGTTTTTTTGAGGAAAAGATGGTGGTGTACTCATTGCCTGCCTTTATTGCGATGTCACATAAAAATAAAAAAAAATTGGTTTCGTTTTTGGGGGGGCCATGGCCCCCTTTGGCCCCCCCCCCTGGATCCGCCCTTGCACCCCCCCCACACACACACACACACACACCGACCTATAGATTTTCGGAGGCCTACTCTCCGGAAAAAAGGTCTACATTTCAGCACGCCTCCCTGCAAAATTGTCTGGATCCACCCCTCAGTGCTAGCCCCTTAAAATTATAGGCTCTACAACCGCGCCTGAGGAAATGATGTCAGCTAGCTATCGCACAACGCATTATTGGATCTCCGCATTATCATTAAACATGCGTGCGTACGTGACCTTAGGGTCAATCGAACAGACCACTAAAACTTGCAGAAACAAAATGGGAATGACAACTCTCTTTTCAACAAAACGAAAACTGAATCCCTTTGTTTAATATATTTCTGTGGGTAAAGTTCATATTATACCATGGTAATTAATCACAAGAACAACAACGGATCATCTTAAAGCACAGTTTTGAACGTCCCTCAGGAACAAGAAACAGTCCCCTACTATACTCCGGCTGACAAAATGGAACGACCCTGATAAATCACTGCCTCCCGCGGACGTAGCTAAAATGTTGCGGTGAGTTTTTGACAAAACTTATTTAGACCGGAGCAAAATTGTCTGGTGGTGAATCAGCTGCGATCCTTCGGGGACTTGATACTCGCAACCTACAGTGAGCACAGTGGTGCCAAAGCCTGTTTTTGTAGGTTAGATCTGAGTGAGAGTTGACTTGATCAGAATCCAGCAAGCTTCATTTATAGCAGCCGGTAGTACATGTACGTCGAATGGAATTCATGTTAAGGCGCAATGGGCATGCTCGCATAATGTCGCCAATTTGATTTTGTTCCAAAGTCGGCGAAAACCCCCACACAAATTCCCGGAACATAATTCGCCAGTCACGTCACGTTCGGCCGGTGCAAAACACCAGACTTTGACTTCTCGTGCAACACTACAATAACACTGAGTGGATTTACACGTGACTCGAGCAAGTACTGTTCTCACAACGTCCCGCTGTGCTACGAACTAGATTTTGAGTTGTCAGCTGGAGGCTTCTGTGAAATTTGTTTTGACAGTAAAGGATAAAAAAAATTATAGGGAGTTGAGATATCCACCGGCTCCGTTCACGACAGGCAATTTCCGGAGATAAATATTTATTGTCAGAAATTCCGGTGGAACAAAGTTACTCCTCCAAATCTGTTGCGTTGAGAGGATTGGAACTGTGATTTTCAACTGACACCCTTTTCTGAACAAGGACACCTCCCATCGAATTGCCAAATCGTGTCATCGCACATACTTTTGGCAAAGAGTAAATATTAGTAGCTGTCCAGGAGCGTGCGGTTGTAAGGTCCCACCGGGTCAACCGTACTGAATTTGCTGTCAACAGTAATTATTATTGTTCGCAGAATCGCCTAGAAGCCACCGTTCTTCCCATCAGGTCAAACAGTGGTCATCCAACTTGACAAAGACAATGGGTCTTGCGTATCCGGAGCCTACTTTGTGGGCACGTAGACCACAATCACGTACCCAGGCTATAGTCCTTGCTACATTCGGTAAGTATACGAAAATATATAATTTCTTAAAGATTCGAGTAGACCGAAATTGTATCGATTTTTCACTGAGTTTCGCAAAGTAATGATATTTTATTTCAAATTATTTCACTGTATTAAGAATTATAGTGAATTTAATTCACTTTAAATCGTCTGCGGTTTAGTTTCTCTCTTTGGAAATCAGAGAGTGTTGAAAAATTATTCTTATAGCAGACTATATAATTCACTGAAAGTGGAAGAGATCACTTCCATAAAAACGATGAACGTTCTCCTATCAAATGGGATTATGAAACTCTTACCAACAATCTTGACTCTTTTAAGTTCTTGATGTGATTATATGAAACGTATCACGAAACAGCTTCAGCACGCGAGCACGGAATGCAAGTCGGATTTCTACATGCATGTTTGTATGTTCTCCAAACACATAGCGCAATACATTATACGTGTGACACAAAAGTAATAAGGTTATGCTTTTGAAAGGTTTTATTCGAATGAATCAGTTTGTGTAGTGACATCATTTTTTCCGGGTCAAGATCGATCTTGACCTTCTTGTTTACCTTGTACAAGGAAATAAATCAATTGAAATAGGGGCGTGAATGCACTGCCCTGATATTTATAGGCGAACAGGGCTTTTGTTTTATTTGGCAAACATTAACGTTTCATATTATGTTGAATTTTACTTTATACCTTATGACATTGACAGAATGAAATTTCTTAGTCCGTTACGACCTGGCCCCTAATTACCGTAGACTTGATGATAAATAATATCCTATAAATATCCAATTGATGATAAATATCCTCAATTCCAGAGGAAAATAATATCCGGAAAACATTCAAAGTTCTACAAGGTATACTTGTATTTAAAAATAGGTGTTCCCGGCCACTTTCGCAAAGTGTTCATTTAGTTCTGAAGATCGGTCATTCATTTTCGTCTGAAATTGAATGGACGTCTTAAATCTCGTTGTGAGTCAACGAAAAACCAAGCTGCACAAACAGTTAATAGATTGAACTGAAACAGAATCGGGTGCTCTTGTGGCGAAAATGAAACAAGTAAGTATTCAGAACGATTCTCAAAATCTTGGCGGAATTGAATGAACATTTTATCCAATTTATGAACACCTTGCGCAATTGACCGGGAAAAAATAATAAATAAACGTTAAATTAAGGTCTTTTTATCAAATTAAAGTCAGTCTATCTTCAACTTTTTGTAAAGTTATGTTATCATTAGGCCTATTTGTTATTAGGTTTTTGTTGGAGGGTGGTAAACTGATAACTTTGGATTAATATTTTTTTAAGATGAAAGTATTAAATATTGAAGCAAATCGCCCAGTTTGAAAAAGAATAATCTCTATATGCCTCCACTCCACTGCAATATAGAGAGACTTCTGAGGCCTATTTCGTTATTCCTCATAAATACAAATTCAATTGCCCTGTTTATAGAATTTTATTTCCCTTCACAAGTGCACGGCATTGTGAGTTAAATGCCTGCCATGCTACCGCCACATGCAGCGCTGCTTGATTGTACCCGTAGTAGTACCCAAACTTAGAGGGCTAGACCATCGGAGGAAACACATTCTGTTCCTGTCATATACAGTTCAGTGTGGGAGTGGGTGTGGCTGTCCATTCTTTATAATGCGAGGGTTAAAGAGAAACCTTTGCATCAGGAAGTGAAAGGTGAGCCTGAGTAAAGTCTGGTCGACGTTCTAGACACAATCGGGTTTGAAACACTTCGGAAATCCCACAAGAGCTTGAGGGGGTAATTCGTGCTAGCACTAGTAGCAGCATGTACGTTTTGGAACAGCTCGGGTTGTGACCCACGCCACGAGCCGACCTCTGTTTAACTACTGTAGTTATTGCATGCGCTTGAGGAAAGGCATAACTTTTGGAATGGAAATATGGCAAGTAGTTGGGTATTATTAGACCATAAATTAATTAAGGCACCAAAACAATCTATGAACCTAGTTTACTGAGATGTATTACAGGCTATATCACGTTGAAACAACAGATTACTTTCTTGCACGAGAGGCTATTTAATTGCAACCCATTAAGCCGCATTTGGCCCTTTTACAGCTTTCATCAATGCAGCCTATAGTGACTTTTCAAAAGTGCATGGTGTATTGACTGCACGGTCTGGAGTGCTTGTCCTCTAGCAACTCTCACCGACTGGCTTATTTACTGACTTACTCATTGTCACTTATGACATACACTGGTTACCCATCTCACTGACTCACTTGTGACTTTACACTGATTCATGTCACTGACTGACTGTCATTATCGGGGACTAATTAATTGTTTGAACTTGATGTATCGTTGTTCGGTCTAAAGGCGTGTTGTATAGAAAGACATATCTTTATACCGCTAATGCAGTGGTGGACATCAGTGGGAAGTGCATGAGAATTAAAACGAAGTGTAGATGAATGTCCTTTCATGTATAGTACGCGAAGTTTACGTGGATCCTGTTCGTCGGCATTGACACTTTGCCAAAATATGCACTGAGTGACCACAGAGCACCCATGATATTGCAGGTCTTTTTTCGTATGTATACAGCCATAAGGTTGCGAAGGCGAAGCGTGGCCCGTTGTCAAACAAAGCTAATCCGATTACGTACTCAGTAGCCACTGTAACAGAGCAGTGAAATTCGTAAACCCCGCCCCCCCCAAAAAATGACCTTTTGACATGTGTTTCTCAGAAAATATGCTCACTATGATTGGAAATGTTAAAACATAACGGAAGAACGAATTCTTAACTTCATGTTAGTGACAAAATCGCCGTCATCGATGCCGAAACGTCAATACTGGTTACTGGTAAAGCTCACCTTCAAGTCTGGAAGAAATCGTTCGAAAACTTCCCCAAATTTATGTATTTATTTCACTTTCTAGGAATCTACTCAACTTTTTATTTCACGAGTAGTTGAACACTTGTATCATCTAAGTATATCCGAAATTCAGCTTAATCTGTTCTTGCAAACGCCAGTGTTACACCTTGAACTATCTCCAAGGAAAATTTCGAAGAGGATTTTTTCCCTACCCAACACGTGCATGCTTTTCAGCGTATATAGATCCTGCAGTAGGCGCTATGTTTGACCGATTTCGGCCCGGCATATACACAAAGACATGATATTCATTAGCGTCACTCGGCGTGACTTGGCGTGGGTCTCGGTATCGACCAATGGAAGCCGGCAGAAAGGGTGATATTTATTAATTAATAACTCGGAAAGGAGGCTTTTATGCAAATTTTTACTGCACACCATAATGGATAGGAACCTTATTAGCATTCGTGAGGCTTGAATAAATTGACCTATATTTCAAACGCCAGTGTTACAACTTTCAAAAATGCACGTTTAGCCAGGCCTATTTCTCCAATTTCAACGAAAAGTAACGAACATTTCACAACGATTTTTAGCGCATACTTGGATCATTACAAGGGAAATAAACCCTGGAAGTTACATGAAGATACGGTCGTCCAAACGGGAGAAATTAATTTTCAAAGATTTCGCCCGCCTGTGTGAACATTTCTGTGCATATGTAGTTTCATTCAAAATAAAGTGTTACCTAACCTTTAGAAATCGCCCTTCGCAACCACATGGCTGTATAACCATCATGTTTTGCGTAGGCCATGTCTGAGCTACATCAGACTCAGTCCATTCGCGCGCGAACCCAAACGGACAGACTTTGCTACGCTCAACCTTTTGGTTGTTCCCCAACTACTCGTTGATAAATTGTGACAACTGGAAATGGGTCATAACAACTAAAACGACGAAAGGGCACCACTCCCTTGATATTATACACGGAAGTCGTATGAGCCTACAAGAATAATGAAGTGGCTGGAAGGGAGGGTAATAGGCTAGGCGAACAGACCTTCATTTTGCGAAGTTATAGGATCATAATCACTAGGCATACATAGTATCGCAATTGACGAATCCGAAACGTGCTCGGCTATTCTTGAGTTTTACCTCGAAAAATGTTTTTCAATTGCTAATTTCCTAGCAATAGGCCTATAACAGTTGTTCACTTTTGAATGAGATATCGAACCCAAAAAAAATTGCACCGATGTTTAGTTATTGAATTACTTCTTAAATTCGAATTATTGTCTGCCAAACAATGTTTTAGGTCTCGCAGGGCGGGATATTTATGCACAAAATGAAAGCTCTTATTCATAGGGTTGCAGAAGTAGTTTTTCTCGCTAAAACAAAACATAACAATTGGAGGAAAAAAAGTAAAAATTTGAAAATTCGTTAGGAAAAACAAAATGCATTTTTAAACATTTTGAAGAGCATGGGGTATCTTTTAATCGTCAAAATGAACAGATAAGTAAACGATTTCATAAGTTGTGATGATAATGGATAATGAGTCACAATGGGAAAATAATTACCACGGTTTTGGCCGATTTTCGTCTTTGATGATTTTATTTACAGCTGAATTCAGCATGCGGATTGGTTATTGACATACTTACTCGTCTCCTGCCTTAATACTTCCTTACCACCCACATCATTCTATAGCTTACGTTAAGTAAATAGTTTTGATAATATTTACTTCGGCTCAGAAAAAAACATGTATGATCGTAATAGTGTTTCGTTCACATAGATCTAAAGTGAAAAGTGTTTTTGTCAGTTTCAGCTGTATATTTACGATCTTCATACACCTGTGTTATTTTGAATACAAGTCATGCAATCTTAATGATTTTAACAATAATCTTATTAAAAAGAAAAGCCAGATTTTGTTTACGCATTTAAAAAAAACAGGATGGTCCGCTGCCATACATGACTATAGCCCTTGATCTTTGCTATGTAGGCCCTAACGCTATCTTCGCTTTCCTGACACTCTTTCGTCAGCCCACAGCTTCTTGAAATGTCTGTCCTCAACCTGATATACGACGACTTCAATTTGTAACAGCACCGGGGGTTTTCATTTTCACATTGACAGTGATAGCTATTCTCGCATGCATTTTCTTCGGCAGAAAAAGCTTTTGGTGTTTGGAATATATGTTGGTATGAAAACTTCGGGTTGGACTCCGCATAACTCTGAAAGGTTTCAGGACATGAACTTTACTTAGGAACATATTTTGTGCAACTGACTACTCCTCCTACATTGTATGAAAACTATTTGACATCCGTCTTTGGTTAATCTTTTTGAAAAGTGCATTTCTTTAAACATAAAAAAGGCTTTTTCTGACAACTTAGCCTCGAGGCGCTGTTACTGTGATGTCACTGTTCCGTTTGGGGTTTTCTGTTTACATTTTGAACCCAAAATAGCTCATTGAAAACTTTTGTAAGATAAATATTTGTAAGATAAATTTGCTCATAGGCTTACTGTCATATATACTGACACATCAACGAATCACCGAAGATCGACAGCACAATATCCAATATTCTGGCAACTTTTGGTGCTGAAATGGCTGTAACATTGAGGTTTGTACCTGAAATGACATCACACTTCTGGAAATTCGCCGATTAGCATAAAAACCAAATAGGACACAAGGTGCATTTTCAAGGATTGCATTTAAAACGTTACATAACACGACCCTTTAAGTAAGCGGTTCTGAAGATGAGTAACCTCAATCGAAGCATTCATACCATGCAAGCTATACTTTGTGTTTTCCTCTTACATATTTAAGTTTGAAGAATATTAAAACCAATCTACAAATCCGTGAATATGTTTTTTGTTGTATACCAAACAATAATCAAACGTATTCTCACTTCGCGTGCAAGCCCTCCGAAATATTTTTTTGTCTAGACTTAGTTCTGTCCACGCACGCGTCGGTTCTTACAGACATTCACTTCCTTTTCTATAAAAAAAAATCTTCAAAGCCATTATATTTGTCAGAAAGAAAAGGTGAAATGTATTGCATTGTGAGGAAGAAGTTAAATTCGACAGAAATGGCGGAGACAAGTTATATTTTTAGGAGAAATGAATGAATGGGAATCGAACCCACGTTTTTCACATCGAAATGATAGAAGAAACAACGGATGACGTAAGAGAGCGTTGGCCGATATATTTGTTTTACGCATAGGCCCGGGCCTACGTGTTGGTTAGATACTGACTGAATAAAAAGCGTGCTTGCTAAGTCTGCGTAGTAGCCATGCAGACTGTGGCAAACACGGCAGGATGCGCGTATCCGTACCGTACGTCGCCGCGTGTTGTGTTCTCGTTGAAATCTTCCTGATTCCTGTATGGTGTTTTTGTTGTTAATTTGTTTTCAAATTTCTGAGTAACGGCGAGGAAGGCATACACGACAGAACTACCCGGCTCACACTTGACAGTCGGGGAGTCAGTCAGTCAGTCAGTTAGGCTAGTCACTCATTGGAAAAGGATTAATAAAGAGGACACTTCAAGTGGCTGACCCTCAGCGAAAATCAGCTCCCACGACGAAGCACCTATGTTTGAAGCAACGTTTCAAAAATAAACGTTACTGTAAAGGAGACTATGTAAGCACAACTGGATTTTTGGGGAACAAAATGTTCTTTAAGGCCTTCGCGTAATTAATTACACGCTGTATAGCTTTCCAGCTGTCACCATTTCAATAGGTATAGCTGCTATGATGCATTATGATTACCGACTGGACAAGGTTTATATACGTTATAGATTAGTTTCATTCACTCGTCCATAGATGATATAGCTTTAGCAGTAGCGTATTATGGCGTTCTTATTGAGCATGCACCGTGGAGCATGGAGGGTCTGCTTCTCTCCCCCCCCCCCCCCCCCCCGGCCCTCCGGGCCCCCGCCAACAAAAATCCTGCATACGCCACTGGGGTTTAATAGGTATATTTATTAGAGGATGCTTAAAAGAAAGATTTGTTGACTATTTTCGTCATCTCTGATAAAATAGATAAAACCAAATAGATTTTATTGAAACCACAATCAGTAATAACGCGTACTTCCTGATATTCCTGAGCTGAATTCGTATCTATTATTTAGGCCACAGTTCTTTTCGTGACCTCGATCGTAATACACAATAAAATCCATTGGTTGGCCCAGATTACTACAAACTTCAAACGTTCCAATAACTTTTCTTGGACGTGCACTCGTGTTGAAAAAAGGCGGAATGTATGGGGTATAATAGACTAACTGGCTTCTTATATACCCAGTACGATACCACTATATCACTTACATTTTTGTATTCAATAGACAATAATATAAAGATATAGGCCTAACATTTACTGTGAGTCCATCCCATGAATGAATGGACGGCAGGTATGATATAGAAGAAAGGCTGCATGATAATGCTACGTTGGCAGCGTCGAATGCAAAATTGAAACACATGAAAACGTAAAGGATCATGTATGAAAACATCGTGCACAGACCAGTTGCAGTGGCGGATCTGGGGGCAGGGATTAAACCACCCCACCCCCACTCCTGGGCCGCCAAAAAAGGGAAAATCTTTCAGAAAAACACAGCTAATGCCTGCTACCCCCCCCCCCCCCCCCCTCTTGGTAGCTAACACCCACTTGATTCAAACGTGGATCCGTCCTATAGTTATCGTGGGGGCCTTCCCGTCGTGTTCCTATTCCCAGGCAGGTTAATTAGTATCTCTGGACGTTTGGACAAAATACGGTCGGTTGTTATATTCCTTAGTAATTGGTAACTGTGACCTGGGAAAAAGTCGACTCGTTCAAAATAATGACGGAACCTCTTTGATCTGACTTTTAATGCACCATCCAGATATTGTTTATTTGTCTCCAATTTCACTGAGAATCAACAGTATTTTTAGCAAAACTATGCCATATACCTGTTTGCAAGATGCCGTCCCTCATTCCCATTTCGACACCGATCCTCCCCCGGTGTCACACAGGGATGGGGGTAAAGCTTCGTAAGATGTGCCAGACGATGATAACAGTTCCTTAATTAGCTTTTCCATCCTGTTTTATATTGAAGTGATCATCTGTGCCTGGTTGGCCGCTTCCACCGAGGCAGCCACTCACTGCTTTGGCTGCGAGAATACTATCGTAGACTGCGACATGGACCGCATGGTCTGTCGAAGCCGTTGCGACCAGAAAGTCGCTTGTCGCGGCGAGAACTCTTACTGCCTGGTGGCCACGTATCTCGACCCGGACGCGGCGTCTGTCAACGGCAGCGATGCCCCCCAGCGGGCATCCTTGATGTGCTTCGAACAGGACTACTCGCTCAAGGAGACCGACGTCACGCCTCACTTCTGCGGTGTCGTGCTGGACAGTGGCGTGGACTACTCCGGAGGATCCGCGGACGACTCCTTCTCTTACACCTGCACGTGCACGCACGATTACTGCAACGACGCCATTTACTTGCCGGGTGCCGAGGAGCCCAAACTCCCCACCGTGGTGGCCGAGACGGATGGCACGATAAAGCCCGATGCATCCAACACGCTTCAAGGGACTCCTTCCAAGGGTGCATCTGACATTGTGACCACGCCGAATGACAAGGTCGGGTCATCTGATGATGGGACAGGTAAGTACGGTAGGCCTACATGAAGATGCATCCCCAAAGATGCATAGCGCATCTGGACCAGTTTCAACATCACTCTACTAACATGACACCTTTTGTCTTTATTAACACAGCTACTCAACTCAAATAACTCTGAACAAAATAAAAAAAATCAATTAATCACATTCTTATACCAATCATATCAGCATGGTTTGCATGTACATTTCGTACTCAACTAGTCATTAATGTGTTCGTATGGAAGATATTTGTATTGCCTTGCGCCGACTCTTTAAATCAGGAATGAAGTGGCCCGTGTACCTTTAGAGCCTTGAGGTATTTGTTTTAATCGTATTAACTTAATATTGATTTCGTCTTTTTTTCCATCCGGGGTGTGTCTTTGGTTCGGTATTTTGTTTACATTGTGTAGATGGAGGGAAGCAAATCCTTGCTATCGTGCTACCACTAGGCCTTCTCGCAGTGATTGTCCTCGTCGTTGTGTTTGTCGTCACCGGTTTCTACCTTCACCGCTACTGTCAGAGGCTGAAGCAGGACCGCAAGATGCACCCTCCAACGGAGAGTACCAGCCTGGACTTGACAACCGAGGATAGTGACGTCAAGGTCATAGGCCAAGACACCCCACCTGAGAGTCCCGTGCACCTGCGCGGCAACTACCTGCCCATATCGCTGAACACCGTCATCGGGAGAGGGCGCTTCGGCGCAGTCTGGAAGGCGGACTTGAAGCAAGCCGAGGGTGGTGTCGAGACGGCTGTGGCTGTCAAGATCTTTCACGAGATGGACTCGGCCTCTTGGAGCGTGGAGAAGGAGATGTTCACCGACGAGACGGTCATGCTCAAACACGAGAACGTGGTGGAGTTCATTGCAGCCGAGGTGCGGCCAGGCAGCTATGACTCCCAGCGCCAGTTCTGGCTGGTCACAAAGTACTACCCCAAGGGCTGCCTGTACCAGTACCTGAAGCATCATACCGTGGGCTGGCAGGAGATGTGCCGACTATCGGGTACCACGGCACGTGGGGTGGCCCACTTACACGCCGACGTATATGGACCTCATGGCCTCCACAAGATCCCCGTGGCACACAGGGATCTCAAGAGCTCCAACGTGTTGGTGAGAAATGACGGGACGTGTGCCATAGCAGATTTTGGGTTGTCTATACAACTAGACCCTACGTTGTCAATAGACCAACTGGCCAACAGCGGTCAGGTAAGTGACATAGCATTAAAGCGGACTTGGTGACATATAATTCTAAACATATCCTGGAACATTGTCCAAGACGATTCTCGTACTTAGTATCGTGCATATTGGTCAAGTTTGACAAACGGTCGTTGTTCTTTTCGGAAATAGAACGATTATATTAATTCATTAACATTTCGTATCTGTATGGCCATACTCAAAGCAAGCCTAACTATTGGTTTCCGCTCAAGAGCCAATCACATCAGATTCTCTCCCTCTGTTGTCCAATAGGCGGGTACCCCTCGCTACATGGCACCCGAAGCTTTGGAGAGTAAGGTCAACCTCCACGACATCGAGTCCTTCAAACAAATGGACGTGTACTCCCTCAGCCTGATCGTTTGGGAGATAGCCAAACGTTGCTACGTTGGCGATGGTAAGCAGGAATCGTATTAGACCCGAGACAAAGTTTAGGCTCGAAGCGCCCCCAAGAGATTATACACGCGGGTAATTTTTTTTTCTAGTCTGGTTCCCTGACCTGATGACGCTGACCTGACGTCTCTTAACACATCAAGGTAATCACCATCGCACATCCAAACATTGATCATGACACAGCAAAGACCTGCCCTCGTACGAGTTTGTACTCGATGCAAAATACCTAAAAGGATATGAAACACAGATACTGCATGAGAATTATGACTGGCATTGAATTTCGTAGATGCGAGCCGTGATGAACTCAAAACTTTTCAGGGCTGAAGTGACAAGCATGACATTTGTTATACTAAATCATTTTACACCCGAAAATATCCGAGCTACCTCGAACAACCGAGTGTCGACGAAAACCTCTTCGGAAACGTTCATACATTTTCGGAAACCCTGTCGTCAGCACAGAGTCTTCTGCATGAGGTCTATTGGCGAATATTCTACGTTGAACTTAAGTCCGGCAGGTTTTGAGTTCATGGTCGTCTATCGACTGAAGAGTGGAATCAAGATAGCCCACATTTGCCCTCGAAGAGGAATATTTTGGCATGAGGATCGGGATGCTCCAAAATGCATTTTAGTTACTTCTCCCGAAACGAAACAAAACGAAATCTAGTAAATCAAAAAAAGATCATCAGAAGTCATTAATTTTATGGGCTATAAAGTTCAGGTGCTTGCAATTACTGCTCACACGTACAGGAACGATTCATAAATGTTCACAATCTTGTACCATGTGCAATTAAGCCTTCAAATAATACTCATTCGTAAATAAAATTGGGCAAGCCTAGCTTGTTTTGCTGTTACTTTAATGATTATCAAAAACACTTCCTACCCTGATATGATTAGTGACCCAATGCCGTTTGCTGTATGGGTAAAGAACGAAGTCAAACGACCGAGACAGTCTACGCATTCTATTGTTAAATGTTTCCAACTGTTTGCAGACTGTGCTAGCTTCAATCACAATCATAATGACTGGATTCACGGGGTTGTTCGTGTTTGTTTTACTTCACCTCCTCCCGGTTGCTGTCCCTGACCCACTACCCACTGGTGGCGGGATCCGCTGGGAAGTCGAGAATCGGATATGAAATCTGCTAAGTTTGGCATAACATCACGCAATAGTCGGACGCTGCATGTCCTGTAATTTTCCATAACATGCACGTGCTTTCAAATCATCCAACTGTACTGTAGTGTATGGGCTGCCGGTGTAACTGGACTTTATAGGCCTAGGCCCCTACACTGTTTCAGGGTAGCTCAAACATGCCATCCACAATCGCATATTGTACATTATTGGCTGACATGTAGGAGGATTATACTTTGTCCAAAAGCCCTTGAATAAAAACACGTTCATGTAAACAACAAAACAAAAAACCTTTCATAACGATCCCCAAATTGGCTTTCTTTTGGTTTTGGACATGCATCATTGTTATACATAGGTACTTTACCTTAAGTCCTGAACAGTAATGACACAGTAAACTTATTATGATCAAAACATATTTTTTGATCGCGTGCGCATTGGTCTCAGTGTTGTACAGGAAGACTCGTTTTGTCGTCTTGTCTCGCAAGTTGCCGAGGTCAACTTTCTATGTCTGGCAATGGGTAGTGCACGTTTATATGCAACCAATTCCCATATAGACACCAGTGATAAATCCCCATACTTCAAAATTCTTTTTACTCAGAACACTCAGTTGTTCAGGCTGCACAGTGAACCCCACGTGACCATGATTTAGCCAACCAGGACAAAAATCAAGATGTATGATACAAATATTGATGGATGCCGTGCGATGATTTGTTTTGCATAACGACAAAGACAGATAAAAAGGTTTTATTTCGATCTTCCTTTGCAGTGGTGTCGGCAGAGCTGGAACACCAGCTGCCGTTTCACGACAGCGTGCCGGGCCGTGCGAACATCGAGGACATGAAAACGGTGGTATCACTTCAGAGAGAACGACCGGCCATCCCAGACTCGTGGCATGAAAATACGGTAAGAAATTCCAGAGGTTAACAGCTCATGTCCAACGCCGCCGCCGCCGCCGCTGTCGAAACATGCAAAGCCAGACAATGAGCAGTGATTTCTCGTCGACTGTTTCATCATTTTTTTTATTTATATTTTTATTTCATTTTGAACGAATATCAGAATGAAACCACGACCGAAAAGAGTCATGATGACACGTGACCACCATGTAAGACGAGATGGTACTTTTTGCGCTTATACTTTAAGCTATAGTGTATAATAATAGCCTAGGACTTGCCGAAAATCAAATATTGTGGCAACAACTTGGGTAGCCTATCCATCAGTGCGCTATTTGTGCATAGCCCTAGCCGTACACAACAAAGGCCGATATACATACTGCAGATGATTATATACACAATTCACGGCATGGTAAAACCGCTGTTTTAAAACCTATAAATACACAGGGCTGTATTAACTTAAATCGTTAATCGAGGTGTTGTCAATGAAACAACAGCATAATTTTGATTAAATTTGAGCAAGGGCTATGGTTCTCTCGAACCCACGCTAGTACCACAATTGTACTGATGAGTTTGACTATAGTATTCGAGGCCGGGCAGCAGCCGGTACCAAGAAGTTTCGTGATGACTTTCCGACTATCGTTTGAAATTACGCCACAAATTATTATAGTCGACCAATGGCCCCTGATCAAGAGTGATTATGTAGATTTGTATCGAATACTTTAATATAGGCCCTAGCTCTATTATGTCCTCGACTGACCGTGGACGGAATTTTCACGACGTCACAGCCACGGATCTTAATGTAACTTCAAATTGAGTGGCAGCGCAGAGAGCGATTATTGTGTAGGCCATGTCACATTATTGCATATTGTGGTCACGTGATGCCAACCAATGGTCACATGCCGTGGTATGTGGGTTCGAACGACTGATCTCTATATAAAGACTGGATAGCGGATATGCATACAACATTCACACAGTAGACTTTGCATATTGACCAATTCGCCTGTTTAGCTTGCATTGCATTGAGTTGGTTCCAAGTTAGTTATACCAGCGAAAATGTTCCCTGTGGGACATGTCCCTTCGTCAGGAAATTTGGTCTATATATTTTTTTTCGATTTGCAGGGCATGCAGCTTGTAGCAGCCACCGTGGAGGATTGCTGGGACTGCGACCCCGAAGCCCGCCTGACAGCGCACTGCGTGGAGGCCCGCTTCACTGAACTTATCACCTGGACCGAAGGGGAGCAGAACCCGGGACATAATGACATCAACACTATCACCGTAGTTTGAACCAATAATAGGTTCATTAAATCATTCCAAAATTACTTTATTTGTAGTCGAGCCCCTCATGTGTCCATCACAAGTCAATGAGTCTTCAAGTCACAAACTATTTTAAATTAACTGCGACAAAAGACATTCTACTGTTAAAGTGTTATCGTTCATCCCCAGTTTCTTGTGACTGGACTTGTGCGATTTACTTTGACAGGTGTCGTATGAAATTTGGACTCCTTCGTGCAATTTGGTCTTTACACGTGATCTGTCAGAGTTCTACTTATCTTAACTTGGGCATGCGCCATTCAACCAATGAGTCCGTATTTGTATCGTTTCGGTTTGCGGTAACACCATGTGGTAATAACTACTGCTTAGAAGATATTTAGTTCTGAAAAGAACTTGTCCTGCTTATTATCAACTTTTGCTAAGTAGTTTTTGTTCTGATAAGAACAGTCCTGCTTTTAAGTTCAAAAAGAACTTGTCTTTGGTCTCAACGTTTCGACTAGCCTGCTCTAGTCATCGTCAGGAGTCCGTATTTCATATAGAGTTAAAATGTCACACAAAACCGGACGTGGACTCAACTATAAATCGAATTAATAATACACATACTTTTTCAATGGGAGCATTGTGTTCTTAAACAGATTTGTTTAAATTGTATAGCGAAAACTGTAATTGTTTCCGAGTGCCTTTTGGATGACAAGCTAGAAACAAAGTGCCCTCAACTTAGTGGCCTTGCTTGCAAAACTATGCACTAAAAACCACAATCTACGCATTCCTCTAATCGTGTAAATAATCCTAGGACTATGTAAATAAATCGGATATGATCAGTGCAATAATATCACATTTTGGAGGAAAATATGTCATACTTCACTTTGTGTTTTGTATTAAAAATTAAGATGGTGAACATCAAATGCCATGGCTTTCACAATATGCCATTTTTTTTTACAGAAAATTGAAATCTTTTTAACTTCACTTAGTTTTACCTGACTCTTTTACCTTAAATTTGTGCCTTAATGAATCGTAAATAATCTTAAATTTTCCAAGATTCCGTATATTTCTTAGCAGTGGATGGCTACAAATTTAGCGTTGTAGGCTGATGGCCGTACTGTGATGCTTCTTTTAACTGTTGCAAATGTTGTCCCTGTACATTCCACAGTTCAACATTCCTGAAGAAAGTTCACTAAGTTAGGGAGTTGGGTACCCGACCCTAATAACCTGAATACTATTTTATAGGACATCATCTTCCCGTGACAAACAAAAAAGCACGAGAAATAAAAAAAAATTATACCAAAATTAAAAGGAAATCATAGATCATTTCTATGAAATGTCGAGTCGGAATTCAAAAGGTCAGTTTCGAACAGTTATATAGGCCTTCCGATAAAATGGCAGGTCTGCAAAGTTTGCCAGAAATGGTATTGTACACGCAATTAATAAGGGCACGGTGGGGGATACACCATCCATGGGCTTTTCTCACATGGTTCAAGCATTATATAATAGTATAAGCATTTAGTCTAAAGAGCAATGCGATGGATTGTGTACCAGAAAAATGTGAAAATGATAAGGCCTTGGGGGGGGGGGGTAGTTTGAATAATTCTATTCAACGTGTTAAACAAATTGTATTTACTAAGGAACTGTTGCATAAAGGAAACACTCTGCACTGTTTTGCTCATGATGACAATTTTATTAGCATACAAAACGAAAGGGGGGGGGAGGTTAAACTGGGGAAATGGTGCAATTCATGGGTTCCATTATGAAACTGAACTTCAGACACATTAATCCAAAACTCTACTTTTGTTTTCTGTTTTGGAATCTACACGTTCAAACCATTCTTCTGTTTAATGAAAGGCAGCTGAAAGAAATTGCTTGGTTTTCTTTGTAAATAATTAAATACATCGGATACATTTATGCATTAGTTAATGTCCATAGAGATTTCGATATTTAAAACCACATAATATAATCAAGTATAACTCGATTAATGTTTCGGCATACATTTTAGTGTAATTTACATTTATTTTATTGTATTGTTCATGCCGATTACTTGTCGATAGATTTAAGTTATATATTTTGTTTGTTGGTTTTTGCCGTTTCAGATTTGCACAGTTGTTTATATGAGTTTTATGTTGTATTATTTTGGCGGCACCCAGTGTCATTGCCCATTATCGCATGTAAATAGCGCCTTTTGTCTTTATACATTATTTTGTTCATACCCTGACAGAGCAGGCTAAACAAACAAGTGGAATATGCATTAAAAGAAAAAAAATAATCGTTTAACTTGTATTTTAGGGGACAAACATGCATTGGTCGGAAATCAAGTCGCTTTGGTCGCAGGGAATCAGAAGCAGACCAAAAAACAATATTCGGAGGCGTAGCTAAAGGGGAGTGGGGGATGTTTAATTTCACTCTGCATTTAGAGCGTCAGTCGGCAATCCGCCAAGTCAAAATAGAGAACTGGAGATTTGCGTTTGTTTAGTTACAAACGCGGAGTGGTCGGGCTGGCATCTATTTCGAACGTCATAAACTTTGCCACAATAATCGGTCACTGACAATTCAATTTAACCATTTTTCAATCTGGCTAGTTAATCTTGTTAATGCCAGGGGTATTTGTGTTTTTGAGGGGCACTTTTGCATTGCAAGATCAGAGAGGAGATGATCTATCATAATGCTTTCATGTGTGCTTTTGAGGGGCAGTTTTGTTTTCATCTCGATAGGGGGCACATTGACCGCGAGAGCGGCACTTTTGTTGGTCTGGGAACAGTGGCGCACCCAGGACCTAGCTTAGGAAGTGGCTCCCTTTTTTTGATTTTGTTTTGGAAGTTTGATTTTTTCTTTCAAAAATGTTGGCCAAAATTTGTGGTCGCGGAAATTTGGGGGGGGGGGGGGGGGGGCGGGAGGGAGGGACTATTTTGACGTTGGTGGAGCCATTGACACCCCTATTATACTAATCGAAAATAGGCTCAAGCCCCTGAGGAACCCCCCCCCCCTTTGGTTTGCCACTGACTGCGAAAGGGGGGGGGGGGGCAAGTGCCCCCTCACTCCGGTTCCGCCGCCCGATGAACGCGACCCAGTGATTGTGGCCCTGGAAATCGAGTTATTACGCACGATTTGTCAAATTTAACGATGGGAGAACTGTCTTTAAATGAAACAAATTTTAAACTGTGACTTGAGATTGTTCCAACTGCTTTGTTTTCGATTAAGTTTAGAATAAACTGAGTCTTGAATGAGCTAATAGACTTCTTTGTTTTTGCAAGATTTATCTTAAACTTCCATTCATTATGTTCTTCTCCAACATTTCAGTTTTCACCTCTCCCCATCAGGAATATAACTTTAAAAGAGAGACATTTTTAACTTGATTTGAATTGGAATGTCAAAATATAATTGTCATCGCCCGATGGATATAATCATCACATCTCACATCCCAAATAAAAATGGAAAGATACACACTGTATATCGTGCAACAAAAATCGTATTCGTCATTCACACACGTACCCACCAAATAGAGAAATACACCTCAAACAAACTTGTTTGAATAAGTCTAAACAAACAGTAAGGACTAATTACATGTATGTAAAAAAAAAAAAAGAGAAAAATAAATATTATTGCGTATCGGTATGGTGATACATGTATTATAAAAACAATTTCTTTTTTCGGGAAATGGAAAATATTTTCCCAGGCTCGTACAATAAGAATTAGTTTGCTCAGCCTCAGCTTCTTAACAGTTATGCCTTAATCACTTTGGTTTCGATTCATTTAAATGTGAATAAAAAAAATGTTGGAAGGGCTGAAGTGCGGCGTGCGATAAAACTTTTCAGCGAAATGACTCGGCTGCAATTTGTCATAATAATGCTCGTATGAAACAAAAACTGATTCAAATCTGTATCTTCACTTTTCTTTATTAGTAATTTGTGATGGATTTGTCGACTAACGGATTTAAAAAGCACTGCTGCTTACGTATAACATTTGGCTAAACTTGTACAAAAGTTGATGATTTCCTCATTTCTTTCTCCACTCTCTTGAGGATTACTGGCCTCGTTTGAGTTTATCAGAGATAAATTCGCAAGTTATGCTGCAACCCTCTTTTACACAGTAGTTTATCAGTCATCCCAAATGTAAGGTTTAAAACTATAGGAATCCAACAGGGAAATGCCCTAAATTCAGTATTTAGCACGCTTTAATAATACAGGTCACTCAGTTCATTCCACGTTCATAATATACCACAAGAGGGCGCTGTTGAAACAAATATATAGGGGGCGGTGTTCGCATGAGGGTGTCCAAAAAATTTTTTTTTCAATTCCAAATGTCCATTTATTCATCATGAAACACATTGCAACACATTCATGGCTACACGGGTGCGGTGTGAAATTTGGACTATGAAATATGGGCTGTGTTGTATTCAGGCATGCAACTGGGAAATCACAAAAAAAGGAGGAAATTCTAATTTTTCCCAGACTTTGTACAGTGTTTTTCTATTTTCAATAGCACAAATGGGAAGTAAAAAAAGAGGAAATCAGCTGATCCGAGGAAAAGTTGCATGCCTGTGTATTGCGCATTCCTCCGGACAGAATTACGTGCAAGGGTTACGGTCCACATAAGGTAACAGAGAGAAAGCAGGTAAAAAACAGAAAAGCAAAAGAGGCTACAGCATCTTCTTAATCAGCTTCGCTGTAGGTCTGAAATTCACCTAACTCCAAAGTGAGAAAAGACAACATAAGACAATCAAGGTTCAAGTCAACGAACGAGTAAACAAACAAAAAATACTTGAACAAATAGCATCTTGGATAACAACACAACTGCTTCGTGGGAAGTTCAATCACACAATTGTTTAATTATCACCAGAAACATGAAACTGAAAACTAGCTCCAGCTCTCTCACCTGCTGGCACAGTCATCCATAAACTATGCAGTGGCAATACCGAAACTATTCAAATGAAGATTTGATAAAATGGAGTGTTACATTTACCAAAAAACATCGCGTGATCGTTGTTTTGATAAAATTGGAATTCTTTTGTTAAAAACAAAATGCAAATGTTTAACTACTACTGCAGTCTACAATGCCAGTGAATACATGAGCATTCTGAGAATGTTTTCAAAGATGGATTGTCAAAACAGTTTGTTTCTAATATTTTCGTTTACAATCCAAATACCTCACCATTGAGATCAGATTGGCTAAAGTAGCTTGCAAAATGTTCTACAACTTAATCAACTTCTCCGATGCCAATCCAGATAGAATTGTAAAGGACTTATGCCACTGTTCAGTAAGGATACTTATTTTTCCAAACAAAAGAACGAGCATATCCAATAGAAAACTGGCTTACTAAAATAAAATATTCACATAAATGTACCGTGAAGAAATTGTATTTATCAGTAAATTAAAATAAAATATTCCCACTCAACTTTCAAACCTATAACTATTTAATTGACATTGTTTGGTATTGTGGAAAAACAGGACCTATACAAGAATTCAGTTTGATTAATTTTCATTTGTTTTTTGAATCATAAGTTTGGTCTTCTGATCTAGGGAATCAGTCGATGGACAAGCAAACTGCTCTTACAATCTAGCCTGGGATTTTGACAGGAAAAACCGTTTCACGTTCACACATTCTCATCTCTGTAAATATCAATAACTCTTAATATAAACCAAGTAATGCGGGGATTAAAATGCAATCCTATATTCTGGTCTCCTGAGTAGGTCCAAGAAAAACACTCTTCCCTTCTCATGTGCTGCTAACATGCACCGTATTCATTTTCAAAAAAACAAAGAAACACAGCATCTTTGAATTAAGAGTCTAAATCTTAAGCTACAGGGCGAACAGAATCAAGAAAGCTACCATAAGACAGAAAAGCCCCATGGCTTCGGATAACGCAAACCCCAGAATAGCGTAGGTAAATAGCTGCTGCTTCAGGGAGGGATTGCGAGCATAGCCGATGATGAAACTACCGAAGACTGTTCCGATACCTGCTCCTGAGCCAGCCATACCAACTGTGGCTGCTCCAGCTCCGATGAACTTAGCAGCAGCTTCAACATCCTGCTGAACAGCGGTCGTTTGAATGCCACGGTTGAGGACCTGCAAAGGCACAAGAATCAAGACTATTGTTTCACTCCCTCTGGCAATGTTCAGATATTCTGCTGCATAATTAGGCATCTTAAGTCATCATCACCATTATACAATAAAATGCCAAGGGTGTGTATGAACATGTATACACATTCAAATAGTGGATCTCGAACAATAGAGGAAAATGGGGTCCATGATTTGGAACAGATCCACTTTTGAGGAGTGTGTGCAAATAGAATGGGAAGTTTTTCAAAAAAGTATAAACAAAGAGGGACTGGAAAATAAGGTGTCTATGATCGCAGGTGTTTACACACAAATGTGTGCGTTCACAACTTGTTCATGAGTCGATCATGCGCGAAGCAGGCAATAGGCGATGAAGTCACTTCCCCGCAAAGTGGGCATGGTCAAGCCCCATCTAAGAAACAACTGAAAAAGGTGTATTACGCATCTTACCTGGTTAACTAGTGCTGCTACATTTGTTTGCTTCGCTGGCGTTGCAACAGCATTGAGTCCAGCGTGACCACTGTATGTCGCCAAACTACGCCTTGGGGCACTAGAAGAGAAAAAGACAAAGTAAATAAGAGTAGTAAGTGACATTGTCACTTTCTGAACATTAGTTTTTACTCTTTCTATTAACCCTAACGTCCTTGCCATTATTTTAGGATAAAGAACTAAGTACTACAGAAAACTATGAGTGTTGTGCACACTTATATGCTGAAATATTTCATACTACAGTTACTACTTATAGTATTCTGTAGCTTTAGTTGAGGTTTGGGTTAAAAATCACTTCCTCCCTCACCCTTCCTTCACATAAGCAACACGCTTTGAGATGTTACTTTTGATTTTGAATAAGTATGCCACTAATGTTATATTTGTATATTTCACGTCAATCCAGTCAGTGAGAAGTTTGCAGCAGTTTTATTCATTTTCAAGTATGCCACTGAATTGATGATTTTAGTCTATTTGTTTTTTACTTCTTTACCCATGTTACAGGATTAACTATAATATGGAACAGAAAATGTATGTTTAATTTTTGGGGTATTTTCTTTTTGTTAAAAACAGGCAATAATGCTGTACCTTTTTGTGTTTTCTTGGCTGCCAACACTACTTAGTGGCCGGACAAGGGCTCTTGAGCTTCGGGCAATCTAGTAAATAAAAACACAAGATTGAAGATATCACTTTTAAGTAAACACAGATGAAGATTTCACATGGTCAAACATAAATTTAAAGGAAGCACGGATGACTGGAACCACAAAGAATGGAATCAAACATTTGAAAGAGGTTGTTTCTCTTTCTGTTTGAAAGGCTTTTGTAAACATTCTGGACACTAAAGCCCTGTCCGCACTGGACTTTTTTGGTAAAACTAACCGAGACTATGGGAACTTTTCCCATTTTAAGTCCAGTGCGGACAGCCTGGGACGTTTTCCTCTCAGTTACTTTTCCTGAGTCCAGCGGTTACTTCTACTGGCCAACTGCTGCCCAGGAAAACTTACCGAGTGCCCAGGAAAACTGACCAGGTCACTTTTCCCGAGACGATAAGTCCAGTGCGGACAGTGCGAGTCGGTAAAAGTGGCTCAGGAAAGCGTTCATCCGGCCCGAGTGCGAGGTCATGCATACAGAGACCACACGAACCTGCACGTGCAGTGGCCGAAAATTTTGTAGAAACACGCTGCGGAGTATCATCAAGTCCGAGCGGTAAAATGTCATTATAAATATATTTCAACGGAAAAATACATACACAGAAAAGAGAGATTACGTTCTGGGAATTATTTTGCAGAAATTCTTTTTCTCCACCGCTGTTTGTTTGGTATTTTCTACGATCCAAATTCGTCCTGTTAGTGTAGTCATGCATGGTACATCATGGTCCGGTACCGTACCGTACGTAGGCCGTAGTCACTACATCATAGCTTTGATTCTGTTAGCATGCCATGGGAACCAACGAATACCGATGGCACTGCTGCCGCGCGGAACATCGTACAGCGGCATGGGTTCGATGTCGTGCATCACAGATGCGTCAGAAATATAGGCTTTTTCGTCAAGATTTAGCGCGTCAACCTGAAATAATATCGTATTAACGATTATGTTGTGCATGCAAATGGCGGGTGTAATATTTCTGTATGTACTGGCGCCTGAAAATGGGATCGGCATTTTGTTTTCTGCGTACGGTGAGTCATTATACTGACACAGAAACAGCTCGGTTACTTCTCCCACACGGTCTGGGTAAAATTTCCCATATCGAAAGTCCAAGTGCGGACAGTGGTCACATTTGACCATTTCTCATTTTACCATCGTCTCGGTAAAACCTTCAAAAAAAAAAAGTCCAGTGCAGACACGGCTTTAGGAAGAATTTCCAAACCGAGTTCACTGGTGTTTCGGTTTTCATGGATCATTAGTCGGTATTAATTGTTATTTTTTTTTTACAACATCACTATCCGGTAATACCGAAATACTGTACAGCATAGCACGCGTCGTTTGTCGCACCTTGAGCATGTTAACTGCACCCAAAAAATTGACATTTTTTGTGATACACTGGGGATACCGAGTCCTGTTTTTTTAAGGACTCTTACAATTTAGTATCTACAACGTAGTTTGAGCTCCAGCTCTAAATGCCGATTTGCTGATGAGCATTGGAGCTGGAGTTACTCAAGCTATGTGTAACTCAATTGCAAGTTCGGTCCAACTTACTTAGCTTGAGGAACTCCAGCTAACATGCTCATCAGGAATTCACATGTCACGTTGGAGACATAACTATGGCGTGAGAGTGTGGTCTTAAGAGACCCTTCCAGAATAGAGTTACTCAAGCTAAGTTGCACACAAAAAGATGCCAAGAAGCCTCCAGAAATCAGCGGGAAATTACGCAGAAGCTGGACAACTTGACGAAGGCAGCAGGTTCTGAATTTGTTATGAAGAGGGGGAGTGTATTTTGAGAGCATAAATTTTGTAATGTGGAAGTAACTTTGGAAACAAGTTCTCACGGTGTAAGTGAATTTAGGGAGTGTGGCCTTAGTTTACGCATGGCTCCATGGTTTACGGGAATAGGCCTACCTGCCTACTAACTACCCCAGGTTGGACGACGTCTTCATTGCATTACGACTGACGTCCAGGGTATAAATTGCACCACCATAGCGAAAAAAATTATAACACATTTTTTTTCCATATTTTTACTGGACGGAGAAAGCTGAAATTTCGATTACATATTCCTTGTGTCCAGAATTGTGCCTGCGCTGGGTTTAGAAAAGGCAAATATATCCGCAGACGGTGTGTTTACTAAAAAATAAACCGCAAGTTCTACGCTTTCGTTGAAAATATTTTCAGTACGAACTCTCAGCGTGAAGACGTACACACGCGTGCCGTTTGCTGCCGTGGCGGCAGCATGCTAGGTGTGCATGCACGCTCGCGCGTAATCTTCACTCGGGGAGTTCGTACTGAAAATATTTTCAACAAAAGCGTGGAATTGCGGTTTATTTTCGGTAAACACGCCGCCCGCGGACAGACTGCGGAGGTACAGACTACAGGTGACATTAGTCCGAGTATCTAGGACTCTACGAATTGCCTTTTTAAACATTTGGACATGGTCGGACGACAGTAGAGTCCTAGGTACATAGCCTTATTGTGTTACTAATAACTTTTTTTAACCATTTTCACTTGTACCCGCAATAGAAATCTTCAGATTTCAGTCCCGAAACAGTCTTCAAACTGCCTTATGCGACCCTGTAGGCATCAGTGGAAATTGGAAATATTAGGTTAAAGTTAAAGTGAAGATTGAAGTTGGTTGAATACATCTGAAATGTGTTTCAAGTGAAAGCACTCAATGATTGGGGAAGACTGGTGGTTGATTGAGGAAAATTGACCATTCGGTTCTGAAGTTACAGCGTTTTTAATGACGACCAATTGGTGAATTTCAGTTACCTAGCAACCACGTAAACAATTGTTTGAATGAAAGACACTTTTAATTACACTGTAATTAATACAGAAAGGCATCCAAGTTAACAGTTATAATGGCTTTTTATAAAGAAATATTAACAAATAGAAGCACTAATAGTTACAGGCATGCACGGTTAAAGAATGTCAGAGTATGACAAAGGGAAAAGGGTCTCAAAAGACGACCACTAAAACACAGGAATTATGGCATATATCTTAAAAATGGGTCCCAGGTAAAACAGGCATTTATCTTCATTTTTAAAACTCCTTATCTCAAATTCAAAACATTCCATTTAGCTCATTTTTCAGTAATGTTTTCAAGACAAATGTGTCTGTAATAAAATGGCCTTTTGAAACAGATCATGATTTTAGTTAATTAAATATAATTTTTTGAGAGCATTCTCGTTGTCTTGCTTTCCCCGACAACGCACCAGACGAAAATTGAGCACACTTGCGGCGCCTGAAAGCGGTGTGGTACCCACATACATCGCGCGCGCAGATTTTTTTGATGTCATCACGTGATGCATACATTTACATAATTAGCAAAACAAAATGGACGACAGCCGTTGGAACTGGCGTTTTTTTACGGACAAGCCACCGAAATCGTCAAGATTTTTCACTTTTTTGTGTGTGGTCTGTTTCTAGTCGATCATTAGGCTTCGTAAATTACTGCTGAATGTATGAGGTATGTAAATGAACTTAGCTCTACTGAGTGGAGCGTTGAATTACGGGTACCCCTCCCAGTGTTTCCCCTGGGTTGGTGGAAGGTGTGAGGTGGTAAAATAAATTTGATCGAAAACAGACCCTGCGAGCGCGAAGCCCTTGCGGCGTGGGGTTCGGGGCCCGCTTAAGGGCCCCGAAAAATTTTGCACTCTAGACGCTCTGTGGTGCAATGTGAGGCATTTAAGGTCATTTTCTTCTTACTTTTTTGGGCAGTATATGTGAATAAAATATTGATATAAATTATTGAATTTTTTTTTGAAAAAATCCTACATACAGAGATGCCACAGGGTCTGCTTGAAAAAAACGGAACTGGGTCTGCTTGAAAAAAAACCGGAACGGCTGCTTGAAAAAACCGGACTTATGTGTGTGTGTGAAAAAGCCACTCCGTGTCTATTCCTTCCTCCATGGTCCGACACAAAGTCCCCGTTGTCATCTTTATCTTGTAGCCAAGCCAAGTTCTGTTTATTTTTCAATTTTGCTTCTATGGCCTTTAAAGCTGTCGGTTCGTTCAATCACTTTGACTTTTTCCATCCTAATATTTATTCTGCCTACCCGAATTTCCAACGTAATATTCGACACGAAACATGCATGATTCCACAACACTGCTGTCGGTGTACATGATCCTTGCACTATACTACGCGATGCGCTCAACGAAAACATGCATGGTTGGTACCCGCATTTTTTGTATTCACATATATCACTGCGATCGGAAACCACCGATAGCTGAAATGATAGACTTGATTTCCAGGCTGAATGCTACGTGTGCTTAGCACACAACACGCCCGCATGCGGTGAAGCAAGCGCGAGGCGCCGTTGTATACTGCGCGCAATTAAGTACGTTGGCCGCTTGTATCGCATGCAGGCTCGGCAACAACATACACAAAGACTGTTTTTAAGACTACTTCAACGAACAACGTTGTGCTATGCGTGCGCCTAAATGTACTAAATCGAGGTAAAAATCAACGCATTTCCACAGTTTTTCTTCTCTTTTTCTGGTTAACTTGACGGCCGGAAAAACCGGAATTTTGTGAGATTTTTTTTAAAAACCGGAATTCCGGTTAAAACCGGAAAAGTGGCATCTCTGTACATAGGCCCCTATTTATTTGTGAAAATGTAGGCCTGCCACCACCCTGACCACCAGGGAGTCAAGCACTTTTTGGATTTTTTTTACAACCCTGGAAAATTTGGTATAATTGGAAAGAGAATCACACGACAAAATCAATAACGTTTAAATTAGTTTAAAATGCGTTCTGGAGATATAATAGTTAAAATAAATAAAAAATTCAATGAAATTGAAAACATTCTGAAATTGTTATTGTCAAAATATCATTATTTTAACACCTCTAAATTTTTCGAATCTATCACAATGTTTAATATCATAAGAATCCTTATAAAATAAACAATATTTTGAATTTTGAATCAGCTTTTTATCACTTGTTACAGAAAAGTTATGATCCCCCCCCCCCCCCCCCCCCCGTAACACTAACACCGCGCCGCACGATTGTACGACATATCTGACTCTGGACCCACACCGCAATGCGACCACACAGCTCGCCGTAACACACGGGTAAAATACAGCTCCATTCACGGTTCACACAACGCGGTAACATGGAACATGCACGTGTACGCGTATCGGCTGCATTATTTTTTGACCCAAAAAAACAACTTTCGTGTTCTCCTGAAAGTCCAAGCTTCTGAATAAACCCCATTTCATGGACTTCTTATGCATGTATTTTGAGGATTTTTGATTGGAAAACTGTTACATGTTACCGATTTGTAGCCTTCGGAAAACAAAAAATTGCATTCACCGATCGCTTGGCAGGCTGAGCAGGGTACCAGGTCATACATAATGTACGCACGCGTGCTGTGCAACCAGCGATCGTCGCACCACTTGCCCAATTGCACATGAGGAGCTCACTGCGAATCAGCCGGAACGTGCGCAGCATTCTGGGAGTATCTGCCATGTTAAGCACGGAGGATCTGTGCGTTCATTTTAGGATTGCGCAATGTATCCATAAATGGGATCATTGTCACTTCGTCACTCAGTCGAAAATCTCGAGTCGACATGCACCCAGACTCGACCAGTAATATACACACGGACGTTGAAAAGGCTCCATACTAGCTAGAGAATTGGACGTACATCGTCTTCGTTTACGGTACGAATGACGATCGCAAAGAACACTAACATTAGTCCAGAGAATTCGAAGGTGAAATACAAAGACACACACATAAAATGCACAGATTTGACTATAATATTTTTTCGTACCCGTGAGGCGGCAACCGTTGGCCAAAAAAGGCCGAGGCGGCCTCAAAAAGTCCCGAGGCGGGCCGCCTCACAAAAGAATGGGCAGGGGAAACACTGACCCCTCCATACAAACGCTCCACCGATTTGCCATACTTTGGTGACGGCGTCACAGTAGCATAGTGTACATACCCACGCGAGGACAAAAAGACCCCCAAAAAACCGGTAAAGAGAATACAAATGAGAGAGACAGTTACTAGGGACAGGGAACAATATAAGGGGTCTGATGGAATGTCATGAATGTGTACATGTAGATCAAGCCAGGGTAACTGTCTCTCTCATTTGTATTCTCTTTACCGGTTTTTTGGGGGTCTTTTTGTCCTCGCGTGGGTATGTACACTATGCTCAGGCATGCAACTGGGAAATCACAAAAAAAAGAGGAAATTCAAATTTTTCCCAGACTTTGTACAGTGTTTTTCTATTTTCAATGGCACACATGGGAAGTAAAAAAAGAGGAAATCAGCTGATCCGAGGAAAAGTTGCATGCCTGTATGCTACTGTGACGCCGTCACCAAAGTATGGTAGCCCCACTAGTGTGGCCGTCGGTATGCTGCGCTGAACCTCTGGCCACACACCGTGGTACCGCGCGCTACTGAGGACGAAGTTTTCATAAAATCTGCGGTCCGTTTCTTACATTCTCAGTTTCTTACTTTCTTATGGTTGTATTCTCTGATGTCTCACCTATCACTTCTGGGATGCTTAGGTCTAATGATGTTCCAATTTTCCGAGATATTCTTCAATCTTTCTGGAGCCCATATGCACTCGTGAAACGTCTGGTGCAGGCGCGGTTCTACGGGGGGGCTGTAGCCCCCCAAAATTTTGTCTAGCCCCCCCAAAATAAATTCCGTAAAAATAAACACTTGCATTAGCATAAAGAAGGATTGTGATGTACATGCGAACAGTCTCCCCCTAAAGAAGAAATAGCCGTGACAAGGGTGCATTAGTTAATATAGTGTGAATGAATTTTGGATTTTATTGGCGCTCCCCATTGAAAATATGGCATGAACCCAAGGGCGGATCCAGGGAAGGGGGGGGGGGGGCCAAAGGGGGCCATGCCCCCCCCCCCCCCAAAAAACGAAACCATTTTTTTTTTTTATGTGACATCGCAATAAAGGCAGGCAATGAGTACACCACAGTCTTTTCCTCCAAAAAATATTGGTTAAAGTGGTCAGAAATTGCCTCAGATCGCACCACAGAGCATCTAGAATCCAAAAAGATTTCGGGGCCCTTAAGCGGGCCCCGAACCCCACGCCGTATTTTTTTTGGCCCACTTTTTTGGGGGACCAAAAATTTTTTGGGGGGACCAAAAATTTTTTTGGGTCCCCTCAAAATTGTGTTCTGGATCCGCCCTTGCATGAACCCCCCCCCCCCTCCCCACCTATTGATTTTCGGAGGCCTAAGTGTCTGGAAAAAATAACCGGTCAACATTTCAGCACGCCTCCCTGAAAAAATTCTGGATCCACCGTGCTAGCCCCCCCAAAATATTGGTTCTAGAACTGCGCCTGGTCTGGTGATGGCAGCCATTTTGAATGTGACAAGAGAGGACCTCAAGCTGTGACGTCGCGTTTATGCAAATTGCTTGTCGAGCGCGCGAGGGCGCGAGTTGCAAATGCGATGGCTGTTTCCTGTACCATGCATTTATCATCAGGGGGCCACGTGCACCGATCTCTATTCAGGATCTACGGCAAAGGAAACAGCCGTCGCATTTGCAACTCACGCCCTCGCGCGCTCGACAAGCAATTTGCATAAACGCAAGGAGCAACTATAGAATGCAGGGCCACGCCGAAGCAAGGTTTTTTATTTTGTCTGGAGGCGTGGATGGAATAGGAGTAATAGATATGCAAACCTGCCAAAAAGTGCTAAGTACAGCGAAGGAATGCACTGCACTTGTCTTCAAAGCTTCTCATGAAGGATCGGAAGGGAGGGCGTGCTTGTAAATGTGTTGGGGGCACTGTCTGGAGCGGCGGAGGCGCGGAGTCTTGGAGTCGCAGAATCGCGGAGACGCGGGGCACTGGAGTGGCCGCAGTGGCGGAGGCGCGGAGTCGCGGAGTCGCAGAGACGCGCACCGATAGAGGGCGCAATTCTCGGCGGAATCTTTTGAGAACGAAGCATCCATATCCATTTTAATTGGGCGGGCCAATTAGGAAGGGGGGGGGGAGGGCGACGGGGCACTGTGTGGAGTCGCGGAGGCGCGGAGTCGGGGAGTCGCAGAGTCACTTTAATTGGGCGGGCCAATTAGGAAGGGGGGAGGGCGACGGGGCACTGTCTGGAGTCGCGGAGGCGCGGAGTCGGGGAGTCGCAGAGTCACTTTAATTGGGCGGGCCAATTAGGAAGGGGGGGAGGGCGACGGGGCACTGTGTGGAGTCGCGGAGGCGCGGAGTCGGGGAGTCGCAGAGTCACTTTAATTGGGCGCGCAAATTAGGAAGGGGGGGGGGGGGAGGGCGACGGGGCACTGTCTCTCTCAGTGGTGGAGGCGCGGAGTCGCGGAGTCGCAGAGACGCGCACCGATAGAGGGCGCAATTCTCTGCGGCTCCACGACTCCACGATCGATTTTCAGAGGTAGGTCGACTGCGGTTCCACGCCTCCACGCAGCCGTACGGAGGCGCGGATGTAGAGTAAAGTGGCCCTGCATTCTATAGTTGTACCAAACGCAACATCACAGCTTGAGGTCATCTCTTGTCACATTCAAAATGGCTGCCATCACCAGACATTTCACGAGTGCATATGGGCTCCAGAAAGATTGAAGAATATCTCGGAAAATGGAACATCATTAGACCTAAGCATCCCAGAAGTGATAGGTGAGACATCATAGAATACAACCATAATAAGAAAGTAAGAAACTGAGAATGTAAGAAACGGACCGCAGATTTTATGAAAACTTCGTCCTCAGTAGCGCGCGGTACCATGGTGTGTGGCCAGAGATTCAGCGCAGCATACCGACGGCCACACTAGTGGGGCTAGTCTAGGGTAACTCCAGCTACATGACTCATGAGCTAGGTCCAAGTTATTCGGACTAGGTTGCAACATTCTTTCTGGGAATTCTGAAACCACATTCATAAATGGATACCTACCAATGCCTGTGTAGTTGGTGTGCATAGTTTAGCGCAATACATGTTGAATGAAGGGTGTTAAAAACGCTAGACGACGTCTGTAAATTGAAGAATTGAGAACGTGAAAATTAGCAGAAGCCGGCCAATGATGAGTACAAGCATTCTTACTATAAATAATCATTTAGGGAGTAAGTACTCATACATCACTGGAAATACCGCTTAAAACACAAAGGAAAAATTGAATATTTTAAGAACTTATTAAGAAAATGATACTTTTGCAACGGATGATATCTTATTTCGTTGGATTCCAAGAACTATTCACAGTTTTCTACTTACCAAAATTGCAACCGGCAAAGGAGGACTAGAGTGCGCGTGCGCAACTAACTCACAATCGCATGGTTCCGCCGCATATCTGCTATATAGTCAACGACGCGAATTGACCGGTACGTGGTATGGTACGAGTGAGTCGTTGCCTTGACCATCCTTTTCTCGCCATCTCTAGCTCTCGCGATAAGCTTCAACATTTTAAAACAGTTGAAAATTGCTATTATTAAAAAGCCAGAGTATACTTACTTTCCGAGATAATTTTGTTATTTTTTTCGTTAAAAAACAATACTTCTTTCAATATTTAGAAACTTGATTTCAGTTATCAAATGGTATAATCTTCGCAATTTTTCTCGAGAGTTTACTATTTTATGTCCCATTTTCATTTTGTTTCTTTTTCGGAAAACAGTCGTCGTAATGTAAATATCGAGGCCAGGTTGACCGCTTTAGCCGAATTTCGGCTAAATTTGACAGAATTTTTCGAAAAAACGAGTGTTAAAGAAAAATTAGCAGAATGAATTTTGTAAGCAGATTTCTAGCGGAATTCTATAAAATTGTTGATTTGACAGAAAAGTATGGCAGATTTGAAGGATATAGCCGATTAGTTTTGAAAAAGCTTTAATTTGAGGTTTCCTGACGTGTATTATTACACAGTAAACTGAGTAAGGTACTTTAGACCAGTGCAAACCAGGCTATAGACGTCCACGTGCAATTTTTATTTAAAAAAATGTAAATTTTTTCTTTGTAAAGAAATTTTATGATTTTTGTTTTGGTTAAGGAAATTTTGTAACATCTGCATGTGAGTATCAGTGTTTATAATGTATTTTGTGTAATGATAAGTTTAGTGATTTAGCAGCAGATTTTTGAAGCGCATATAGCAGATTTTTGTAAGTAACCTTATGGTCACCCTGATCGAGGCGATTCCCGGGAAATAATACGCGCCGTGTACAGTATGCACTGGCACGACGACTCTGGCACCGTTTTCAGCGCCAGCGCCTGCATGCACTGCACTGCATGTGTGAGGTTTTGAGATGGAGGTCGGTGAAATGTCAACAAAAGGCAACCCGTTGTCTCTCTGAGAATGAGATGGCCGTCTTCTACACGAATACCTGCAAGTTCAGCGGATGTAGTTTGACATTTTCATCACTTGGTCAGCTCATTGAGCACATCGAAGAAACGCACATAGGTAAAAATCTTGCGCAAAGGTGTACCAAGAAGTGATGCTTTGTACTTCATTTGCACTTGGCACTGGCAGCGCTTTGTTGACCATTGACACTTGACGTGTTGTTTGAATGCTGTACCGTGTATACCGTTATGACCGTGGATTCCTTCCTCCCATGGTGTTCCTAAAAACGCAGAACAAAGCGCGCAACTGCAAGATGCGAAATGCGACTTGCGAGTTATTGACGTGGATTCGTGCCCTATTGATTAGCCTGAATATTATTATTAGTAGTATTAGGCCTAGAAATATCTTTATTGTTTAATCATATGTGCTTCATCATGTTCATGATGTTCATCTCTCAGCATCACAATTTACATCCAGAACTTCAGAAGTGGACTTTGCTGAGTACCACTAGTAGTAGTACACTACAACCAGCGTAGATGTATGTAGATAAAAATATGAATATTTCAAAAAAAATAACACAAGATAAAACGTTGAACGAAACATGGACATATTATTATTTAAGAACACTAAACACCTGAAAGTGAAACAAGAGTAGGGGCTACATCATAGTTTCATACACGTAGGACTCTGGTATAGGAACAGGCATGACTGACAGAGTCAGAGGGGGAACCCAGTAAAATAAAGGGCCTGACATGCCTGGCAATGAATGATTGTTGTACCCCATAAGATCTGTATTAAACCTACATATGTAGGCTATTAAAATTGAAATTGAGTTTTTCATCACTCATACTGAACAAAAAATCAGTCAGGAGGGGAATTTATAATTATATATACATGAAGGCCTATTTTTTATTTTCTATAAATCCCAATTTTTCACGTCCAAACTGACTTGAGCCTGAGGGGCCGAAGTCCAATGTTAGGTACTAGGCCTAATCCTATGGAAGAGGTGACGCCATGTTAATGGGTAAATTTTGATGATAGGCGGCACTCACTAAAAAGGAAAATTTAAGTCCATCACTACTTGTGAATGCGAAGGGGAAATGCCGGGTAATACATGAATACATGCATGCTGCATGCATTTTATGCGCCATGTGAAGACAAATCTGCTTAATCATGTTGGAAAAATGGAGTTGCCCGAGGATTTGTGAGAAATTTGTCTGAAAAAGATACACTTTAATGTAGAAATTATACACAATTAGACAAAATAGTAAAAAAAAATTGGGGCAGGCCTGAAAATCGGGGCAGGCGATGATGAAAACCTTAAATTTTAAATAGCCTACACATGGTGACACATTTTTATGGGTCTAGACTATACCCAATTGTGTCGTGTGCCATGAGTTCATTAATATTGTGGCGTATAGGTATCTTAAGTTTTAAACACTGCAAAATTTATTGAACTACATTTGCCTTTTTCTGTTTTAAGTGACTTCTGGGTTTAACAAAGGGACCAATAACACACAGTAGGCCCTATGTCCCAAAAAAGTGTCCATGTGACTGTGTTTAAAATAACCATGAGGTCAATTTTAAAATGGTTTGGTTGTGCAGATACTCAAGCCTTGGCCTGGCTCAACCCCTATGAGCTTCGTTTAAATTCAGTCACGCATCACTGCACCATTGAACACAACAACATTTTTGGACACTAGTATAATAATAATAATAATTTATTAATTTAAAGTGCGCAAGTTCCATTTAAAATATGTTCAAATGCGCATTACAGTCACAAAAAAAATAAATAAACAGACTTATACGCAAAATTGATAAAAACAAACAAAGCAAAATACAACAATACAATGAATACTGATACAGGGTACAAAAAAATCAATAAAATCTCTCATAAAAAGATGAGTTTTAAGTAATTGTTTAAAAACATTCAGGCTACTTGCTTCTCGGATATTTAATGGCAGTGCATTCCATAATTTAGGTGCAGCACACTCAAATGCACGATCACCAAGGGTGACCTTGGTTCGACCATTTCCTACCTCCATGGTTCGACTTGCTGAGTAGCTGAGGAGTGTTTTGTCATGACCAAGTTCCATGCCAATGTCAGTGATGTGTTATGTAAGCTGTGTAAAAACCTGCATGTTGAGAAAAAAAGGCTGATGTGGTTTGGGATTGGAATCAGTTGCCCTTGAGCATTAAACTGAGGTCTTGCCATGATGACTGATAGCCAGGCAAATGATTCCAATCCCAACTGCAGCCCTTTTCACAACATATCAACAGTCCTGAATCCTCCAACTTTAATATGATTTTGCACACCCCTAGGGAGTTAGGGTTAAGGAATTTACACAGCTTACTTAAAACAGTACTGGAATTGAATAAGACAAGGAACTTGGCCACAGTGTCCAGAAATGTTGTTGTGATCAATCGACCAATGTGTCTAGTGATGCGTGACTGAAATTAAATGAAACTCATCGGGGTTGAGGCCAAAGCTTAGGAGTATCAGCACAACCAAACATTTTCAAAATTGATCACATGTAGTTATTTCTAAAATAATCCCTTTTTTGGGACATACTATATTTCAAAACCAGCGGCAAATGACAATGGAAGGTTTATATGTTGGGTTTAGCTTTGAATATGTTCATCAGAAATCCGCTGAGTATACAGCTGAAGTTTCCCAAGCAATGTTAGCCCCAAATTAAGCTGAGCCAAACCTTTCAGCACCAGCATTAAATATTGTGTGTTAACTTAAATATGTATTTTGCATCTGAAAAAAATGCTTGTTCAGTTAGCAACATCAGGCCGCATTTATTTTTTAGATTTAAATGTATTTTACGTAATTTTGTGTGCAAATAGTTTTCAAGACTTTGACTTGGTAATTTTGTAGGCCTACTTTCTGTCAGTCTGTTCTCCCCACCCCACCCAGGCTGTTACACCATTGAGAAGAGATTTCACTATCAGCATTTTGAAATCGGTCATTCTCCCCTCTGTTAGGGGTGTGCCGAGTATACCGGATGTTCAAATACTCACTTTTAATGTCCAATTTTAATTCAAATAGTCACAAGTATGTGAGCAGGCTGGAGAAATGCCCATTATGTCATACAGTGTAACATTTAAGTTTGCATCTTTATAATCTTTCAAGTATCAGCATAATATTGATACATAAAATGATGATCTTATATTTACAATGCTCAATATTATTGCAATCTTATTGCATTACGAGCATGAAGAAAGCCCCATACGTAGTGTATAGGTACTATATTTTTCTGTAAAATGTACAATTACATGATTTTTGTGTTAAACTACTGTGGTTGTAGTGAGTACCCTCCTATCGTGTCAACCATCTCTCAAAAATGCTAATGGTTTTAATGCATTAACTCTAGTGTTGGGTGTTTTGAAACATTTAATAGCACTGTTCACTTTATTTTTTTCTTCAGATTCTGATCCTCAGTTTATTGAAGAGCAAGAGGGGCAGCAGCCATCGGCTGTAGCTCTGAGCTATGTCATCAAGTAAGTACTCAAATGGGGACAGACTTTACTTACCTTACCTTACCTTTGAGTGCACAGATGGTTTATGTGTTTGAATAAGCTGAAAAGGCAGCATGGACTTGTATACTCCCCAGGGAGCTGAGATGATCTAAAGGAATGTTTACTGTATATACTGAGCAGGAGATTGGTTGAAGTGTGTGCTTTGTAAAGTGACGGTATGAAATGAAAGTAAAGTGAACATTTACTCTGATTTTGCAGATTTGTGACCGATGCAGCAAAGCACCACCATGAGACAACGCCAGTTGTCAAGAAACGTCCCAAGCCAAGTTTACCCAGCGTAGCCACAATGAGAAGCATAACTCCAAGTACAGGTACATCACTAGTGTGACATAGTCCATGGATTTTGTATAGCTGAGGGGGGGGCCAATATTTGTGCCCGCCCTGCCCCCACCCCTCAATGGATTGCAAAAGCCATGGACCACATTACAACCAACAGCAGTTATATCATAGAATATCAGCATTTGATCTGTATGTTGTACATGCCATTCTTGCAGGTGTTCCTCTTCTCTCAACAGGGAGCGAGTATGATGAGTTGGAGGAATTCGGCTCCGAGTCCGATAGTGACAACTCGTGGACAACAACTCAAGAGGAATACAACCCGGATGTCATCCTGCGTACAATGAACCCACAGATTGGGGATGACAAACCCTACCAGTGCCCTGTCCCTGGATGCAAGAAGCGCTATAAGAATGTGAATGGGATCAAGTATCATGCTAAAAATGGCCACCGTAAAGAAAATAAGGTCAGTGGGGTGTGATCTCCGTGTATATCTCCCTGCCAACAGAGATACGGGTGATAAACATTTTGAATGCAATTGCTGCCATGTGCCACAGGCTTGTGCACATTTATATATGAAAATGAGTCGTGTGTACTTGGTGCGATACATGCGCAAATCAGTGCCCACACAACCCCGTGCACCCTATCACGGAGACAGATCCCGGTTTGGATCAAGACGGGCATTTAGCAGGCATTTGCTGTGTACGATATTCCTATTATTTCTGCCCAAGAGGGGTTTAGACCACCTAAAGTGCCCTCGTAGATCTGCCACTGTATCAAATAGGGTGTTGTGAAGCTATAATAAGCAAAGCATTTGTACGAGCCTCTTGACGTTTTTGTCTGTTTTCATTTGTGAATCATTGTGCATGTGTTTGAGAAGGCAATACACCCGTTTATTTAACAGCGGTTATTTTTTCTTGTAGGTGAAGAAAAGCTACAAATGTCGCTGCGGCAAAAGCTACAAGTCACAGCAGGGACTTAGGCAACACATCAATATTCAACACCCCCCTACAACCCTGACACCTAGTGCATCGCCCAAATCCCAATCAACGACCACATCTACACAAGCACTTGCAGCCAACCAGCTTGGCTTGACACTTCAGAGTACCAGTTTGCTGGTGGAGCCCACCAAAAGCAGCACCAATGTGGAACCAAGTGCCCCTCTGACTCCATTAACCCCAACAACACCCTCTACAGGCTTCACACTAGTCACTCTACCATCGCATCTGGATGCCGCTTTGCTTGCCACGCACAAGCTGGAAGGAACCGTAGTGTCAGTGCAGCAGATTCAACCTGATGGCAGCACAGTTTCCATCATGAACTAGGCGCAAAGTAAGCACAGAGTGTAGTCTTTACTGGCAGTCAGTATTGAAAAGACCTCAAAAGTTGAGCTAGGGGTGGTTAAACCAGACAATTTTTTTCACTTACAGTGTCAAAATAGCAATACTTCATGGTGTGGTGTCATAAATAAACTTTCATGCATTTCTTCACATACTGTGTGAAAATACTCGGGTCTTGTCAGGCCTCGATTTGCAGCAAGCTGAGACATGGAGCTACTTCAGATTTATGCAGTATTTCTTGGCTGTTTTTACAAAAGTGCTAAATTAGTTGAGATAAGGCATGGGTAAAGTTCATGAAAGCCAATTTTTAAGATGTACATGTATCATAATCATAAAGTGAAGCCTCTAGTGGTTCCATATTTGCAAGCCCTTATTGGTACGCTTTTTGTTGCTGTTTCGGTTCCTTTACATTTATTGTGATGGATTTAAGTACCCCTGGATTTGGCAGTGGGTACAAGGGAAAATATGTCTCAAATAGTATTACAGATTATGTGTGTTAAACGTCATTGAACAGGCTATTGGGTCTCGTGCAGTAATATAAGATAAACTATTTATTATTGGAGCAACTTTTTTGTAGTAAAACTTTAAGGAGACGTAGTATCTATTTGCCATATTTTGCCAATTTTGGTGACAAGGAAAATGTTCAGTCGTGGTACGGATACTTTGATGAAGTGCATTATTTGGCAGCTGATGGTGAACATAATATTTAACATCTTATAATATCTGTTAACACGTGTTAAACATCTCAAGGAATCACCACATGTACATTTTGTACTATCGACAAGTCACAGTGCAGCACAATTTCATCTAAAATAGTGTTTGTTGTTTGGATTGCTTAAATTAATTTCACTTTAAATATTGATATATATTATACAAAATGAGTTGTATAAAATTTAATGACATAACTTTTTGTATTATACACATGTATTTTGCTTGCTTATTGACATTAAAGGTTAAATACGTATTTGTTGCCATAGTTTTGGAAAGTCTATTAAGTGTATGGAAAGAGATTGTGTGTAGAGATATGGGCAGGGAAATTTGCGTGAAAGGGCCTCGAAATAATGTGATAATCTTTCTCAGGAATCAAAATTAGATCTAGAATCAGCCAGTCAATTGTTGGGAAAGTCTAGCGATTATACAATAGTGTAATTTATTGGGTATAGGACTTCAGATTTAGTATTTGTATAATGCTACATGTACATACAAATGTTGTATTCTGTCAACTATAGGACCAACTTGGAGGTAAACTAGCTACCATATTTAGGTATCAATAATGTTTAAAAGGTGATTACATTCACATTATTGCAGGTCATATATGTGATTTTTTTCTTGTGCTCATCTCAGAATAATCTGCATGTGTGTCCTACGTTGTAATGGCTTAATGCTTTATAGAGCGATAATGACTTCAAATGATTTAAAGTACTTGTGCAATGGACTTCTTTAAAACATAAAGCAATACAGGTTGCAAGTTTTGTTATAGTGTATGATCATTGCACTGTAGGGTTTGTCCAAAATACTTAACCAAAAGAAACTGATCCAAAACTTTGATTGAAGATTCAGTATTTAAAAAAAAACTTACAAAAAGAAAGTAAGTGGTGGCAGTAAAATGAAATGGTGCACTGGACAAGTAGGACCATTACTTGCCTACCAGCCATGAGCCCCATAGTGTTGTTACCATTTTGCAGATGGGTATGGGCAACACATTGATTGCTTGCCTTTAAAAAAATTAAGATTTCCAACTGAATTGTCCCATTTTTTGGGCATGCCAATCTGCAATTTTTGTGAACTGTATACGGGTTTGCAGTCCATTGACAAAACAATTAAAGTGTTGGCCAAATCAGAATTCTCCAGTGATTATTTTGAAGATATAATACATGTTTCCAAAAGTAGCCCCAAGTTTTGTGAAAATAACTCCTTTTTTGTGCATTTTACACCCTCTTTGCAACTCATTTATCTGACCTTAAATGGTATTTAAGATACATGTAATTTTGTCTTAAAATATAGTTATCAAACGTTTTTGGATGTTTTTTAATAGTACAGAATTGTGCTATTTGAAATATAAGATAGGACTGTTGTAGTTTATATGTTGTGCACTCTAGTCTTTTGGTACTCATTGTTGTAGTAGAAGTTTAGTCTTTCTATTTTGTACGTGTTTCTTGCCCATTTAGAACAGTCTGATCTATGTAACATATCATGAAGATTGTGTATTACATGTATGTAAATAACTTTCAATGTGAGAAATAAATCTAAATTACAAAATGAAAACAAACAAAAACGTCGCTATAATGTATTGTTTTGATTTATGAATAATAATTAAAAAAAGATTATGTTTTTATGAAAACATGGTATTCAGCATAGATTTGTAAATAAGCCGACAATGCAAAGATATAGAAAACTGTGAAATTTTGTACACAAAAATAATAATATCCTTTTTCTGTGATAATTGTCCCAGAATGGGAAGGAGCTGTGACAGTTTACTACAAAGGTTAGAAAAGTGACAAAGGTGTCATTTATGCTTTCATAAACAGAGGACCTGAACTTTAATAATCCCATTATCCCATACATTCAAATTTTATACTTAAACTCTTTTTTATATGGGGGGGGGGGGGGGGGAAATACAATCGAGTTGATAATACAGCCGACACATTCCTGCCTCTGGTTATAATGCAACATTTTCAAGGGTAAACTACATGGACTTGGGGGTTTCAAACACACTCCACACTACTCTATATTGTTTAGCTGGGGAAAATGCACAAACAGTTCTGCAGATTCCAAAAATGGTGGCACTGTTCTTTGCTTTCTTATAATTCTACTTCCTTAAAATAAGAAATTAGAACACAATACATTTTACTTCAATTTGAAATGAACGTTAAATGAAAATTATGTAATTTAAAATGTCTTTTTATTAAAAGGAAATGGAATGCCATCATAATCGTGAAACAACTTTTGCATCAAATCTACTACAATCACTTTTAAGCGCAATCAAGGTTTTGTAGAATTTTCTTTTAAACAGGATTTGAACAAGTCACTTCAGAAACACTATGGGGTCCATTCACAAGTACCCCCTCAACGGTAAGAAAAAAAAAAGGTTGGAGGCGACCACTGGGAAAATATTCAAATGTATTGCTGACAGCGCCTGACGCTCACACAAAGATGAAATGGGTTTGTGCACTCATAATAAAATAAGTTGGGAATACTTTGATATATGCGAAACGATACGTGCACGTTGTGTTTCCCCTCCACTGGGCTCTCCAAAGTGGTAACAAAGAGCCCATACCAGCACTGTAACCAGTATGAGCTATCCAGCCATGTCCTGGCTATACGCTAGTCATCAGAATCAGATATGGGCCATTTACTTATTTGTGTTACGATAAATAATCTAAATTTTCTGAAGCAGTCTGACTGAAGAAATGAAGGAACTGATGCGATAAAAGCAGAACAAAAATTAAAAAATAAGAGAAATGGAGAATATTTCATATTGAGTTGATAGAGCCCATGAGATTCACCGGCCGATTCTTGTAACGAGAAGAAATATCTTGCTCAATCTGCAATGATCCAAAACAAAGATACAAACAATGGATAATTTAACATTAAAAAAACTTATTTGTGCATAATAAACACACATTTATCAGCTCCTGCCACAATGTATCCACTTAATGTAATATTCATGTTTTTGCTGATGCTGGCTTGCATGGTTGATGCGTACCGAGTACAAGACTGTACTGTACTACTGTTGTACATTGCTTGTGCTGTTGTACATGTTTATGCTTTTAAACATTGCTGATGCTGTTGCACATTGTTGACATTGTGCATTGCTGATGCTGTTGCACACTGCTGCTGCGAGCAGTAAGTTTGGATCATCTCGCAAATAACTAAGGACCCTGATAATAAAACAACCACCCCAATTAATTTTAACTACTGTACATTAAATGATCATTGTTGCTTGAGATTACCGACAATTATGTTTCAGGTGTCTATGTTGCAGGTTATTGTGCAATTAACAGAGTAATTAGCAATCTTTCGCAATCGGCGGTATATTTCAATCAAAATGGACCTGCACCATTAGCTCTGAGTGGTCTCTTGTCTAGGGAAATACCTTGGTTTGAAAAGATCGTCTCCACGCTTATAAGTGTCAGACTTGGTACTAATGGACTTGGGTTGGGAGGTCCCGGCACAATACCAACAAAAAGTGCATGATCTCTTGTTGAAACGTGGTTAAACCATTTTATTCACATAACCTTTTGGCCATGTAGCAGCTGATTTCAGGAAACTGTATGCAATGTAATTCGCCTTGCGCCATAATTTAGTTGTGCAATATTTCAAGCCGCACCACATTTCGGTTATGGCACGTTTCAAGAAAGTGTAATAGTGTTAAGTCTGCGGCTTGTGCAACATAGTATTACAGCATATTGACTGTAAATGAACAATATTTTATCAGCAAATGGTGATTGTCGTGGAGCCTGACATTGCACAACTTTAAGGTTGATACAAGACACTCATAGCTGTGTGTTTGAGGATAACAAATTGTCATTTTAATTGTGACAGAATGTTTAGAATTGGCGCAAAATTCTGAAGAAAGTCGAACAAAACTATTTTCAAAAGGTGGGCAGAGGTAATTCACAACTGTTTCATGACCAAACAAATTCGTTCACAAACAGCCATCGTAAATGCTGATATGAGCCTCATCCAAAGATGTTTAGATTATCGTTACGCAGCTAGGCCGAGTTTCGTGACATCAATCGTAACTTTCTTGCCCAGCTGTGCAACATTTTTTGTGCGAGTCTCATGCATGCCGTAAGTTACACACTGTTTTGTGAAATTGGCTGCTGGCTCACTGCTGTACATTATGACCAGTACAATGTAACAGTTTCAAACAGATAAACTATCCTAAGTCAACCTGAAATGCCTCACTGAGGCTAGCTGCAAGACAAATTAGTGACATTGTTGAATGGATGAGCTATATTGTCTCAGAACTGGCAGTTGATGCACAGGTGTTGATGACCCAATGCAACAAGGTTCACCAGATTTGTACACCTGTTAGATCGTGTTGCGCCTGGAGACAGTAAAGGTTAAAACTTGCCTGTCTTTGAAGTATCCTAGTATTAGCCACCAGCTTGTCAATCTTTGGCATCAGCTGCCTCTCCTCCTCAATGGCTTCTAGATACTTCCCATGAACTGCCTCCTTTGATGCTAACATCTTCTCTTCTTGGCCACATTTCTGTTTCAGAGATTCTGTCAGTCTGTCCACATACCTGAAACAGAAAATTCACAACAACTTGTATCTGTCATTACGATAACATTTTCTATATCACTGGAATTATGAAGCAAGTAACAATTTTTACCATCAGTACAAATGCAATTACATGTATTACTTAAGTTGTACTCACAATTTACAAAAATATGAATATTATTTCTAAAAAATCATTGCACCTACTTCGGTGAGCTTTTAATGAGCATCAAATGCTGTATGGTTGAATCTGTCAGAAGACTCAAGATTTCTCGGACTTTGTCCAACATGGCCGACACGTCCTCCTTTGTCTTCATCTGGAGGATAGAGGGCGCACTCTGGAACTGATTCGCCGACAGAACATCCATTTCACCTTTCATTTCACTTAGCCTCTGCATTAGAAAGGCCTCAAGCTGTACATATATGTATTAAAATATTACTTTTAAAAGATGGGGCAAGACTAGAGCTTGAATGTGTATCATATTTCTTGTACATTTCACAAAATACTTAGATTACAGTGCTAATAATGTTTAGAATGACAAAAGCAGGAAGGAAATCTGGCTTGCCTCTAATAACTCATTGGTGAAATTATTCCTGGTTGGAGGATGGTCCAATAAGGTTAAGGAATCCGTCCCCCTGGCAATCCTATCATCTTCTGCTGAACTTCCTTGGCCATCATGACCAACATCACCATCAGATGTTTCAACAGTAACCTACGTTTAGGAACAGAAGGCCATTTTGGTCATTGCTTGGGCATTACAATCAGGAAATTGTTAGTTTTTCTCTACCACAATAATTCCATGGTAGTTTCTGGCATGTAATTTCACTAAGGCAGTATTTATCAGTCAAACGCACTTGTTTGCACAATCATTTCTAATAACTCAAACAAACAAAAATCCTACGGAAATCAAAGTTAGAATATCAAATTGGAAAGGCCAAATCTGACTGACCTGGATGTCAAAGTTCAAGACCTCTGACCCCACTTCCTCTAGAGAGATGCCGAAGTCAATGCTATCATCTCCTGCGTCATCAATATCACCCCAGTCAATCTGTGCCATGATAAAATTGAAAAGTTAGTTTGAATCATTAAACATTGTAAGGTCTACTTTTATATTATAATTATTCATAAATATCTGAGACAGTTAACCTATTCCTATCGGTCAAGAGTAATGATGTGCAAACCCGACCCGAAACCAACCTGACCCGAAACTGACTTTGGGTTGGGTCGGGTTGTCCATCTTTTCAGTCTGGTCGGATTGGTTTCGGTTTTGCATTTACATTTTCAGGTCAGGTCGGGTCAGTTTAGCCATTTTTTGAAGAAAAAAAAAACGAAATAAACTGAAATAAACCGAAACAATTGAGAAATTCAGGTGATTCAATATTATTGACAGTCACTTTGACCGCAGCCCTAGTGTGGTGTGGCCACTGAGCGCACTATTAAGTTCCCGTGGTATTAATTTCTCCAGTCAGATTGGGACTGACAGTGAATTAGATAGATTGTCAGTTTTCATGATACCGCGTGGTGATACCATGCGTTTGTTCAATAAGCGGAGTTGCTCTCGATCAACCCACTGAGTATGACAGAAAGTGAGACGATAGTTTTGCAAAAGAATTCATGCCACGTGGGTAAGGGCAGGCACAAAAAAGTGATCACTTTGTCCCAGCCAGATATTCAGGGTTTTTTTAGGTTTGTTAGGGTTCGGGTCGGTTCAGGTAGGTTTTACCTTATGTTTTATCGGGTCGGGTCGATTTGAGGGAGTTGAGATTGGTTTCGGTTGGGATTCGGTTTATATCCCTAATGTTTCAGGTCGGCTTTGCCTGGTCAACCCGACCAGATGCACATCATTAGTCGAGAGTCCGTCACATGGGTGGTTTTAAACTGCTGAAAACACCAGCAGGAAGCATTCAAAGCAAGCCAGCAACAGTAAATCTCGACTATATTCTTAAAATTTTGAAGATAATTATCAAAATAAAACTTTTGATAAAGCAAATAATTTTACATCGGTTTTACTTAATTAAATTCATCTGAAAGGGAGAATACATGGCATAATAAAGAGAAAAGTTGCAGTAAAATTGTGTCTGCTCGTGCAAAACTCTATACACTGTGCATACCTGTACATCACGCGAAGGAGTTACACGCTATACATACGTACATGTACGTTCACGCAACAATGACTGGCTGGTCTTTTTGTCAGCAAAATAACACCAGTCCCAAAATTTAATTCACCCCACAACAAAAAAAATCCATCCAAGAGACTGACTTTTCTATTCAAGTGAGTCGCACTTAAATTTTAGACCTCAGAATTAAGACCCAAAATATTGTACACAATCTCAGCCTCGTTATCTAAATTTCTCATCTACAAACAAGCTCATATTATTCACCCCACATTAACTACAAATTTAAAATATGTATGTCTTTTACCGAGAAATATTTTTACTATGGCAAACCTCATCTGCTTTCTGTTCTTCCTCCTCCTGGAGGAATGATAATGTGACCGCCTCAACTGATTCAGGGACTTTCCCTGTTCTCCACTGGTATACTGTGGCATTACCATACTGATGGATGAACTGTAATATGGGAACCACTTCTATCTCTGATTGGCTACTTCTATCACTAGTCCTGGACGGCAAAAAAGAAAAAAAACCCCAAAAACATGCTAGTAAACAATATTATCACAGATCTTGTGAGCTGTAGGGACATTGTTATCAAAAGTAAACTATGAAAACCCCAGAGCAATTTTTGTATTTTCCTTTAGAAGAAGGGAACCATTTTGATCAGTATTTAAGCTTTCCAGTTCTTTTTAAGGTCATGAAATGTATACACCTTTCATGCAACTTGATTAAATGTATAAAATATGAGCAGAAAATCACATATGTGATGCGATCAATTAAAGCTATGAGTCTTTTGTCAAAATTTTCTTTTGAACCCTGTTCAAAAAATTTTTAATTACAGATTTCAAAGGAGCACAATCTCAGCATTACTGCTGTGAAAACCGTTTGCTTTGCTGACACCATCTTTAGTTCACCAACTATGGAAGTTGGAACACAAAGATATGTGATAAAATGATGTGATGAAGTGGCCCTATTTTGGCCTGTATTGCCAAATAAAATTCCCTCAATAAAAACGACTCATTTAGCTAGATCGCATCACATATTTACAGTTAATGAAAAATTTAAATTCTCATCTCTGTAAGAGAAATTGTGACGAACAAGATTGCTCATGGACATGATACAAAGTGCATCTTAGATTTATCAGTCTGCTTACAAGTGATCTTACCTGCCTACAGTGAATTGCACGAAGGTTTGATAAAACTCTATTACAGGAGCCAGGCTCTGTGTCTTCTCTGCAATTACGCCAAACGTCTTTGGAAGTGACTTGACTTTCTCAAGCAGCTCACTCTTGATTTTATCACCCTTCAAAGCAAAAAACAAAAGCCTGTTAGTGAAAAAAGGCAAGATATGCATCCATTTGGATTAAAGGCTCGAAATACCCAACGGATACTACCATATCCTGAATTGTTAGTTGCTGCACCAATACCACTTGAGCAAATGAGTATCTGATGTACACATGGAGGCTGGAGGTTGCTTCACCATACTATGAGGACATTTGTTTTCAGTCAGCATAAACATACATTTTGAGGCACACTGAAATTAAGACCACACATACAGTCTAAGTGAAATGTGGACTAATGTTGTGCATCAGGTCGTATTGACCAAGCCCAACTGACCGAAATATTATAGATATAAACCAAATCCGAAATGAACCTATATTAACTCCCCCAATCTGACCCGACCCGACCTGACTCAACAAAAATTAAGCAAAATACGACCCTAGCCAACCCGAAGCTGAACTGACCCGAAAAACCCTGAATATCTGGCTTGGGCAACTGTGTCCACTTTTGGTGCCTGAAGTTATCCCCAACCCGATTGTAATGATGGTAAAACCAACCCGACAATCAGTTTCCGTTCGGGTTTGCACAACATTAATGCGGACACAGTGCCTATCTACACTTTAGTGGTGATGCACACTGATAAAAGGGTATTGCTTTCACACTATATGTACACCATCACTCATATTTATATACAGCTTATGAGTCCACTGCACGACAGGTTTGTGTGCACAATGTACCAATGGTAACTGCTCATCCAAAAAAGATGTAAACATGACATGAATGTGCTGAAATGCCATCATATATCCGAAAATGACAACTTTGGTCACTAGAGGGTCATTCAGATTGTGATCCAATTGTGAAATCAAAGACTTATGTACCTTTATTCCTAGTTTTCTACATTCTACATTGTACTCTGCTTTTGCCGCAGCAGCGTTATCTTGGTAATCCTTTTCTTTTCTCCGACAGTCCTGCAGAAAAATAATAATACATTTTGTGTTGAACAAACAAAATATACAAAAGAATAACTTTAACCTGTCTCTTTTAAACATTGTTGGTTTTTTTCACTGACTGAACTATCCTGGTTTGTGCTATTACTATTACTAACTCTATTACTTTGTTCATTTTATAATCCTAATCAGCCAACAATTTGTCTAAACTGGGTTAAACATTTTGGTATTTTTGTCAATAAGCAGGTGAGTGCCCATTTCGAAAGCTTGCTGTTTACCGGACAAACCTTTTTTATACTGTCTTGGCGGGTTGACTATTTGGGGTTTGTTTGGTCTTTTGCAAGGCCATGTTTCTTCTGTCTAGTGAGTGTTTATTCTGGTGATTGTTTGTACTTTTAATTTGGCTGTTCCATGTTTCATACCTCTGGGTAGTTTAAACCATCCATGTTGTGTAATACGTGCGTGTGTTTTTTATCTCTAATTTAAAGGTTATAGGTTTAAATATATATTTCTATACATGTACAAATGTTTTACATTTCATTTGCCTGCATGAGAGCTGGCAAGTCAAAGAACTATAGTGATTTTTGTTGCTTTTGCCAGCCCTTGCTCATGAGGGTTTAGGTTTGTCCTGTTATTTGGCTTTTTCGCAACTTTTGCGAAAAAGCCTTTATTTTTGTTCTGATTTTTTTTCTTTCTTCTTCCTCTTCTTTCACTTCTTTTTTGCACATCATCTCATAGAATTGCTACACGTTTTTTCTACACGCCACTTTTGGCCTTAAAACAATTTCGATTTCCTTCAAACCTGGCACATACTTAAAACATCACCTGCAGATGTATGCCGAATCATAACGTCATGCTGACGTCATCACGCGATTTGTTATATAATTTTGAATATTTAATTTTTCCCATAGACTTTGTACACAGAATTTTTTTTTAAAATGTCGATTTTCAGAGGGTATTTTCGACTCTTTGTCCAAGCAAAGACCCTAATTCAAACAACAATGTGTAATGATGATGTCATGATGACGTCATCCGGTGTTTATTTATAGGCAATTAAATTGTGACACTTTTAATATTTAAAAATGCATAAGAAATCAACCGTACGCGTCTGAAGCATTCTGTTGCCGGCAAGTGGTAGAGTAGGTTGAGATCTTTATTTCATTCAGTGTGCGTGCAATCATGTGACCCTTGCTTCCGGTCGAAAAAAGACCAAAACCGGAAGTGGCTTATTATTTGAAAGAGGTAATAGATATGAACTTGCTTTCAACGGTGTTAGTCTCTTGGCTGATAGTATTCTTCAAATCATCTACCGATGACGTCATGCAATCTTCGAGCGCCCTCTAGCGACAGGTTGAAAAATTTCAAAAATGTATTTTGAATAGATGTCTGTGGCAAAGTTTGTCGGAATCGCCTAAATATTAGTGTATATGATGACCTTGACCCACTTAAGACGTGTGAAAAGTTTTAGGCGTATGACGTCATCAGACCGGAAGTTCCGTTGAAAAGACCTTTCCTTTTTCAAAAATTGCTAACAAATCAATCCGTACAGATATAATCTTGAATTGCCCATTAAATGATAGCGTAAACATTTGCCTCAACAGTGCCAAGTTCCCAGCTTGTCAAATTGTTCACACAGTTGACGAGGCATCGGCAAAAAATACCCTTGCACAAGTTGCAGCAGAGAGTAAAAAATGCTGACTCATTTAAAGCAAGCATAAACCGCACGAGTGTGCGTGTATACATTGACCAGATTCGGCATCGCCTGCTTCCCATACACCACACACGCACATGGTCGTGAGGGTGCGGTCCGCGTACCCCAAATACAGGCATTACGATAAGATAGGGGTGCTGCAAGACATTTTCATTCTTTCATTGGCAGTTTTAATACCCCAAATAGTGGCAGTCTGTATATGTTCATACAATAACAAGCACTTCGCATTCTTCATAGGGCCGGCCCTATGATCGCTACTAAAATGAATTTTCTCTTGATGTCTCTAGAGAAGTTTACGGCAAACACTTCAAAATTGTGCGGCGAAGAAATTTTCCTACATAAAAGAAAGCGAAAAAGCCCTGTGTTCTGTTTCGACTGACATACAGTTCTAGTTTGTTTTTGTTTTTGTGTTACTTTGTCCCTTCTTAGTATTGTTTGTATTGCATCATATTAATTGTTATTGTTATATATTTGTGCTTCATGAGTTGTTTGTCAGGAACTTTCATTTGGAGATACAGGCCAAAATAGGGCCATTTCATCACATTTCTTGGTTTTCCAACTTTCATAGTTTTTGAACTAAAGATGGTATTAGCATGCGGTTTTCACAGCAGCAATGCTGAGATTGTGCTCTTTTCAAATCTGTAAAAATAAAATAAAATGACCAGGGTCAACCAACGACTCATTTAGCTTGATCGCATCACATTTGTTGTTTTTTAGGGCAAAATAAATAAATAAATAATAATAATAATAATAAACTGGTAATTGAGATGCTCACTCCAACCCAATCTGAGATTTTGAAGAGAGGACATATTTTCCTTTATGCCATTACAGTGCTTGGTAACAAAGTTAGGATGAAATGAAAGAGACATGACACCTCATAATATAAATAAATATTTGGCAAGTTAGAACTCTGGTTTAATGGGCCAGGTATGCTAATATGGAATGATACATGTTACCACTCTCACAATAGTCTCTGTTAACTTACTGCTTGTGTCTGCTTAAACTTGGCCACCTGTTTCTTCAGAGATGGGATCTCATAGTTTATGTTGCGTATCAACATCTGGGCAACTTCTGCTAAGTAGAGATTATCTTTCTCATAAAGGCGTACCACTTCTTGCCAATCCTACAACAATCAAACGAAGCAGTCACATAGATGAGTTTGTTTTGGATAATACTATTCAGATAAACAACAACGATACATATTGTCAATGGTATAGTACCTTCATCCTCTGTGATGAGTAATAACCAAAGATGTTTTTGGAACCAGACTCAGACACCTTGAGAAGTTCAACTATCCTCACACAGTGGAAATAGTTGATATCTGAAAAACAAAAAGGAAAAAAAAACCACTTCCTACAAATAATGGTTACCAGTTTAATGTAATTTATGCCATGATCCGCTCTGCAAAGATCACATACCACTGAATACTATGCAACAAAGAAGTGACATTTTTTGTAAAAATTTAAGACAGGAGAGATCGTTTGTTCTTACAGGTCCCAGCCAAAAGCTGTTTGATTTCGTCCACTTCAGGCATATCTTGAATAGCCAGGTTGATTTTCTCTCTGATGGCTAATGCTGCTGTCTGCCATTTCAAGTTGACATGTCTCCGATCGATCAGCCAATCTACAAAACCAAAAATACAAAAAGTATTTTATTCAGAAACACTTTATTATTATTATTATTATTATTATTATTTATTCGGCATTAAAAACACAAACAACAAACATTCACATATAGAGAAAACCAAAAACCAAGAAAACAAAAACGAACATGACGAAAGCCAGGGGCATATGCCCGGAATTAAAAAAGTTTACCTAAAAACTGTGGCCCGAAGGCCTTCAATTCCAATACCTCTGGCTACACAAAGAATATATATAAATCTATAAAAATCTATAAAAATGTGTTAACAAAAAAAGCATATATTAAAAATGGCAGAGGTATAAATGCTAAAAAGTTATCGACCCATAAAATTAACATCAAAATACCACGTTGAGAAAAAAACAAGATAAAAAGCAAAAAAACAAGACAAAAAAAATAGTCCAACAAAAAGAACGGGTAAAAAAATGTCCCCCCCCCCCATTTTAAAGTTATTACCAGAATCCAAAAGGCTGCAACAGAACATTTACAAAAGAACAGTATTTGTTTGTGTGAACCTATTACTAGTCAGGAAAGCCCCTCAACAGAGACCTTGTCTTTTTTGGGCGATCCTTGTTTTTTTCTTTATTTTTTTTCTGTTGTTGTCCGTTAATTTGTGTATGTTAGAAAATTCTCTTTTGAGTGATCCTTGTTTTTTTCTTTTTTTTTTCTTCTGTTCTTGTCCGTTAATTTGTGTATGTTAGTTTTATCTGTTCATCCTGAGAAGAAATGTAAATGTAAATGTAAACAATATTGTAGGCTTCAAGTCATTTATGCATACTTTACCAAGCAATTTGCTGGCGCTAATGTCGATGGGTAGATTCTCAATCTGTTGAGCAGTCAGTTCGTCCGTTTTCTAAAGGCAAAAAGAAATATACTGTTGTATTCAATGTTCAATCAGTTAACAACTCAGATGAATATTTGTCTTTGGAATTTTGTATGTATGCTACCCCATTTTTTTTGGAGGGGGGGGGGTTCAGTATTTTTGGTATGAAGTGTTTAGAACTGTTAACTGGTCCCACATTTTTGTTGTCCTTCTGTCTGGTGCGTTGTCGTGGAAAGCATTCTTGTTGTCTTGCTTTCCGCGACAACGCATCAGACGAAAACTGAACCCACTTGTGGCGCCTGAAAGCGGTGTGGTACCCACATCGCGCGCGCACATTTTTTTGGATGTCGTTTTTTTGGGGTGGGATTATTAGGGGTGAAAATGGACAATGTGAATGAATATGAGCATGTCAGCTGGAGTTTTTATACTCAAGCAATTTTGATACGCAAACGTGTAAAAATGAATCTGGAAATTTCACGAAAAATATACATCTGGAAAAAGGCAGCACTTTCTGATTAGCCTTTAAAGAGGGTGAGTATGCTTCTAAAGCAAAAAAACCTACAAACTAAGCCTAAATGCGAAAATCAAAATTTGGCAAAGTGCGACACGTTTTTGTACATGTGGATGTGTGGCCTATGTTTACGGAGGCAGTCCACACATACGAACTTGGCCTATGCATCGTGCGGGAATTTGCACGCCTGCGCACTTGCAGTCATTTTTAGAAAAATATGTCGGTGACTTGCCTACGTCACAGACAACCCGAACGTTTGCGGGTCAATCCAGGTCAATTCCCGCGCGGACCATCTATTTTTGAACCGATCGATATTGCGGTCGGCCGATATGTAATCTGATACGTTCCCACGCCACGGCCAGGCACTATGCATACATCCTGCATACAAATACGTATACGTGTATGTACATGTATTGGATGATCCAGGGGATCGGCGAGCTTCAAGTCAATTTTTTTCAAATCGGAGTTCGACTCGAAGCTTGCTTCATTTTATTTTTGACCAAAATGCAATTTGGGATTACATGTATATTCAAAGTTACATAATAATACAGCAAATATGAAAGACCGTTTAGATCTCTACATCATTTGTTGTGAATTAGCCACTGGAAAACACAGTACAAAATAACTTTATTTAAGTTTAATAACTATTCAAAATCTGCACCTGTGGTTTTTAGTATTTTACGACGATGGAAAAAAAAACATTTTTAAAGTTCTTTATCCTTTTTTCCCCGGCATATTTTTAAAGTTATATTTCATTGTCATAGTGCTAGCCCAGGGCGGATAGGTATCGTGTCTTTTTGCTATCAGTCTTTATGTTATCATTTTAAAAATTATTGTGTTTTACAGGCATGTTTTATTCATAGGTTAATTTAAGTGTAAGTTTTACTATTGTCAGTTCTTGCATGCTGTTTTTACTGTTTTTACTCTTTGATTTACACCAGGACAAGAATGTGTTTGTTTTTAACTTAGATGACTAATACAAGTACGAATATGAATGTTCACCACTTGTCAATAATGTCGAGAAGTTATAACAACAAAGGCATGAAAATAAAAGGAAATACACTTGATGCCAACGAAAGGGGTAGATCATGGGGGCAATTCCGAAGAGTCGTCAAAGAACAGACGCAAAACAAACAATCCAGATTATAATCTCCCCCAGGCTAATACATAGTCAAAAACCCGTTCTTTAAAAATCGAATCAGAGTAAGTAAGCAGTAAGCAGTAAGCATGACAAATCTTTTAAAAAATAGTTTTGAAATTTTTGAATCAAATTGCAAAAGGTTTTCAGCGTTTTTACGGAGGGACTAAATTATCAATCCAAAAATCATACCTTTTTTCAAAATTCTTGTTCCGGCTGAAATTGCACGCAACGAACATTTTTTGGAAAGAAGTCTGGGTCAAAATCAGATAAAATCAACGAAATCATAACAATCAAATCAATGTTGAGAAAACTTCACCTGAATGTCTTTTGATTTTTTACGAAGAGACAAATTCGTGCAAAGGGTGGGGAATGGGTATCGGCAATTTGCCAAAACAACAAGTGTGTGGGATTTAGTTTTCACGACCAGACAAACATCTATGGGGATTAGTTACGATACCGGTACCTCGCAATTGTTGTTCCATTATTCTGTAATTGGTACATCTTTGAAGTTTCATCTGTGTTTCAAAAGTTAGTCAGTAGTATGCGAAATGTTTATTCCAAATCGTGACCAACTTAAAACCTCTTTTCTGACAACCACTGCAAGTTCAACGGGTGCATTATGTTATACCTGTTCCCCAAACCTAACCCTAACCGTTTATTGCGGCAAATTCACCCCTTCGTGAAAACGCTGACAAATTGGAATAAGCGAAATCTGGATAAAGTCAACACTGATAACTCAAAACCTGAAAGTCAAACCATCCCTCCATGGTCAAAGAAAACTGCATAGTACTACGAAATAAAACAATATATATACCCTGATTAACCAAATTTCGAGTTGTTCCGTAGCTGCATGGGAGGCTATACTATCAAGGTTGGGGCCTTAGGCCTATATATCGCAAGTCCGACTCCTCCGATGATAAACCTGGACCCCCGCCACGCCTCGGAAGTCCGAAATTTCCAAATTATTAGGCGTCGGACTGATGAGGTGTCGGACCTAGGCGTCGGAATTTTATAACAGTTACGGGCCTTATATTAGATTTTGCCGGACTTGGGGCCTATATGCGTCTGACATAATTATATGAGGCTTAGCGGAGCCCTTAAGATTTCCCTTTAAGTCCAATGTTATTGAAAGGTCAGAAACGATGGAAAATGATGAATACTCCGAATACAAAATACTCTAAATAATTATGGAGAACTAGTGATCAAAGGCATCTTGTGAGCGAATAGTTCGACAGTACTGATTGTTATTCTCCTCTGATGTCATTGTGTATCGTCTAAACATGAGAATGCAGTTTCTATTTTGTTGGTTTCTGACAAAGGAAGGCATTTCAAATACATGTATTTTGCTCCAATTTTTAGAGAAAATATTCTGAACTTGCGGAAAAAGGACCCACCAAGTCAGAACGTCGGCCAAAGAGGCGAAAAAAGATATTTTTTTTTTGCATGCGGGAGGTGCTTGGTACGCCCACGGGGGTACGGACGTGCGGATCCAGATAATCCACCCTAAGAATTTCTGTGTAATAAGCCATGCTAGAGTAAACTTTTAAATAATAAAACATGAATCAATGAAGTTGGAGGCTCACTCGGATGGCAGGTAAGGGAGCCGCTGGTACGTTCAAGTTTGACACCACCGAGGAGAAAGAGAAGGCTGCCGGCCAAGGCTAATGCAGCTAAGGAGAAGGAGAGAATCAAGGCCAAGAAGGAACGGGAAATGAAAGCCAAGATTGCAGAAAAGCCAAGAAAGCCAAAATGGTGAATAAAGTCAAGAAACCCGCGCCGAAGAAGTCACCCAAGAAAGCTGCCAAGAAAACGCCATCCAAGTCAAATATACATCTGTCAGCCAAGCCAGCCAAGCCAGCCAAGAAGCCAGCCAAAAAGACAGCCAGCAAGAACACATCGAGCAAGCAGAAGAAAGTGTCGGCCAAGCCTTCGAAGAAATCATCGAATCAACAAACTAAAACCAAAACGGCTCTTTTCAGAGCCACAACATTTTCACAAAATAGATATGAGATATTCGTTTCTGCAAATTGCATTTTTATTAAATTTTATATTTTTCATGATTACTGTTTTTAAGTTTTCGTATAAAGCCCCCCCCCCCAAAAAAACCCCAAAAACATCATTGCATGAAAATAAGATATTTTCACCCCATATTCCATTCCGCGCCAGGGGACAGCGCAAAGGGTGAATAAAAAAAACCATGATATTCCAACCTCCTGATTCGGAGTACTCTAAACTCCCCCCCCCCCCCCCCCACACACACACACACGCACACCCACGCTTAATTGCACAGGCGTAGAAGTGGGGACGCGGCCCCATCCCCCATTTGCCCCCATCCCCCATTCGCCCCTCCCCCCGTCCCTAACGCCCCCTTCCCCGGGGTCTGGATAATGGTGCACGGAAAAAAAGGAAAAATTAGGAACAAAGGAAATTTTATCCCCGCCCCGCCCCAAGGGGTCGGGATAATTGGCAAGGCCAAAAGGGTCAATAAAAAATGTGCATGGAGTGTTCCCGGTGCACCGCCCCCTATCTCCCCACCCTTCCTTCCAACCTGCACTCCAACCCGCGGGCCTCCCTCACCCCACCCCCTCAACCCCGTCCCGTCGCTTTGGGATAGTAAGGGACGAAAAAAAAGGCCATCAACAAACGGAATCCTTGCTTTGTAACGCTTCTTCCATAGCTCCTGCACGGGTGCATGTCTATGTTCCCCAATTCCGATGTTCCCTAATACCGATGTTCCTCGAAATCCTTACCAATATAACCCTAACCCTAACCCTAATCCTAATCCTATGGATTTGGGGGAACATCGGTATTGGGGAACATCGGGTAGATCCCCTGCTCTGCTGCACGCACGTACGTACGTGTATACTGTATACAGACTAACTGATCATTCGCAATTTTTGGCATTTCCTTCGAAAAATGTCCATGCATATTGCTCGCGACCATCGCACAATCAAACCGACCACCCACATGTGGCACACCATTCGACAGCTAAAATCCTCAACTATTCGAAATAAATTCATTTGAATTTGAACCAAATACTGGAAAGAAGACAAACGGGATTGAAGAGATGGACTCCTACTCCTAGCGAGAGTGGCCGAAATTGATCGACGACGATGTCATGCGCGTATTTTAAAGCAAGAAGTTGACGATTGCGTCATAAAATTCGGCGCTGTTCACCTAATTTGCATACGAAGGTTTCTGTGAATAGTTTGTCGTGGCCCCCACCCTCTGCCCCAAGGATCGGGATTATAATGCAAGGACCAAATCAAAAGAAGATTGAGAAATTCCAGGCCCTCCCAATCTGCGGCTCTCCCGGGGATATTCAACCCTCCTGGTTCGGAGTACTATAACCCCTCCACCTCTCTCTCCCCCTCTCTCTCCCAGGAATGATATTCCACCTCTTTGTTTTGGGAAATCCAACCCGTCCCCCCCCCCCTCCACCCACGGGCAAGCAAGTCTGAATAAAATCACTTGAAGAATATGCAATCCTTTGTTTGGTAAATCCACCAGCCCTGCCCGCTCCCACACCCACCCACTGGGCATGCAGATTTGGAACTTAGAATCACTGGAAGAAAATCCCCCGACCCCCAACAACCCCTACCCGGCCTCAACCCCCACCCCAACCCAGTCTCGCAGTAAAAAAGAAAGTCTGGCCGGGAACGTAATTGCACCACCACCGTAAAAAGACAAAAATCACTGTTGGAAAAGAAAATAATTTCAGCTTTCTTGGCATGGCTTGAACCGCACACCCCGCCCCCGCCACACCCGGGGGTCTGAATATGATATCCAGGACAGGGGAAATGAAATGAAAGGGGTAGGCCTACTCCCAATAATGTAATGAAGGTGCATCATTCATCAGAAAACAAAACATCTTGCTTTTTAGATTAATTTTGTTTTTTTATTAGAACGCAAGCGGTGATGGCGTGATCAATTATTGAAAATCATTTGCAATTTTTGGCTGTTCCATCGAAAAATGCCAATGCATATTGCTCGCGACCATCGCACTATCAAATCGACCACCCACATGTGGCACACCATTCGACAGCTGAAAACCTCAACTATTCGGAATAAATTCATTTGAATTCGAACCAAATGTTGGAAAGAAGAAAAATAGGATTGAAGAGATGGACTCCCAGTGAGATTGGCCGAAGACGATGTCATGCGCGTAATGAAACAAGAACTTGACAATGACGTCATCATGAGCGGAGCTGTTCGCCTAGTTGCATACGAAGGTTTCTGTGAATAGTTTGTCGGGGCCCCCACCCTCTGTCTCCAAGGGTCGGGATATAATGCAATGACCAAACTCCGCTGGATCGACGGCCTCACCAGATGGAGCGGTCTCAGCGTGGATAAACTAACTGCGGCGACCCATCAGCGAAGGAAATCACCCCTTCGCCAGTCACACAACCCAGAAGAAGTGGACGGTTGTTGCGTCAACGGGCAGTAGCCTACGACGTCTGATGATGATGATGATGATGATGATGATGATGATGAAAACAAAAGAAGATTGGGAAATTCCAGGCCCTCCCCTTCTGATGCTCCCCGGGATATTCAACCCTCCTGGTTTGGAGTACCTTAACCCCCCCCCCCCACCCCCACCCCCGACTCATGCGGCCCCACCACCTCTCTCCCCCCAAGAGCAGCACGTCTTAAGATTAATAACTAAAAGAACATAAAGGACATTCCACCCTCTTTGTTTTGGGAAATCCCCCCCGCCCCCACAACCCCTACCCGGCCTCAACGGGGTCCGCTCATAAGTCCGACGCCTCATAAATCCGACAAAATCACATCCCCTAACCAAATAAAGGCCCATAAGTCCGACGCCTCATAGGTCTGACGCCTAATAAATCTGACGCCTCATAGGTCGACGCCTCATAGCTCCGACGCCTCGTAAGTCCGACACTCGTTTTCCGTTGTCGGACTTTTGAGGCGTTGGACTTATGAGGCATCGGATCTATGAGGCGGAATAAATAAAGTCCGACGCCTCATAAGTCCGAAATTTCGGACTTATGAGGCGTCGGACCTATGAGGCGTCGGACTTATGATACGGTCCCGCCTCAACCCGGCCCGCTCCATGATATCGCAGTAAAAGAAAGTCTGGTCGGGAACGTCATTGCACCAAATTAAAAGACAAACTTCACTTGTTGGAAAAAACAATTTCAGCCCTCTTGGCGTGGTTTGAACACCACGCTCCGCCCCCCCCCCCCACCGCCCCATCCCCAGGGTCGGAATATGGTATCCAGGGCAGGGGAAAGGAAAAAAAGAAAGTGGTATTCCCAATAATAAAGTCACATCATATCAGAAAACAAAACATCTTGATTATTTGGTGACTGCTCTATGTTCCGACACCCCTATGTTCCGACAACCTAGATTGTGTTACTCCCGGTTAGGGTTAGGGCTAGGAATAGGAATATGTGCAGTCGGAACATAGGGGTGTCGGAACATAGAGGTGTAACCGATTATTTTATTAATCTTGGGTTTTTATTAGAACGCGCGCGGTGCCGGCGGGCCGGATATAACCGGCGTGATCATTTGAAAATCATTCGCAATTTTTGGCAGTTCCAGTGATGAATTTCCATGCATTTTGCTCGCGACCATCGCACTATTAAACCGACCACCCACTTAGGCCACACCATTCGCCAGCTAAAAAACTCAACTACTCGGAATTAATTCATTTGATCTCAAACAAAATGTTGGAAGGAAGAAAAACAGGATTGAAAGATGGACTCCCTTGGACAATACGAAGTTTGAGTTACAAAAAGGAAAACGCTAAAACAATATTTTAATCGTCAAAACTCACCCTTTCATTTAACAATTTTGACTCTGTCTTCGGCAAAAGGAAGCGGACATGATTCTGTTGCTTTCAGCATGTAAATTTCTGGCAGGTGCATCCTCCGATGTAGGCCTACAGTGATATTATTCATAAAACTGAAGGAGTCTGGCCGAAAATTGGCCGAAGTAGATGGCATGCGCGTAAGCAAGAATTTCATGATGATGCTATAATGAGCGGCGCTGTTTACCTAATTTGCATATCAAGATTTCTGTGTTGGTGGGGGCCCCCACCACCCATCGCCCACTAGGGTCGGGATATGTTGCAAGGACCGAAAAAAGAAAAGGAAATATGAAATTCCACCCTCCTCCTTTTGAGCCCCCCCCCCCCCCCGGATTTTAAGCTTCCTGGTTTTGAGTACTCTAACCCCGGCCCCCCTCTACACTCACGAGGCATCCTCCCCCACGCCCCCCCCCCTCCACCGGGAACCCCTTATGTGCACTCCCCTTCCATGGGGTCCTGATATGGTGCAGGTGTAAGAAATGAAAGACAGGAATTATTCCATTATCCTGGTTCTCAGTACCCCCCTCCCGTTCCTTTCCCCCACCCAGGGGACCCCACCCCGCCCCTCAAGGTGTTGGGATATGTGCAATGGCCATTCAACCAAAGAATGTGCATATTCCACCCACTGTGTCTTTGTTCCCCCGCCCCCCCCCCCATCCCCTCCCCCTCCCCCACCCCACCTGCAGGCCTCCCCCACCCCACCCGCGGGCCATCCCCACCCCAACCCACCGCCCAACTCCGTTGCATCGGGATACAGGGTAAAAGGGACAGAAAAAAAAGAGACACACACACATTTCATCAAACGGGATCCCTTTAATCAAACGGGATCCCTTTAATCTTCGTAACCGCCTTTCACTGAGCTATATATATCTCCTGCACGTTGCACGTGTTTATATCACGTGATTACTTCACTATCATTCGCAATTTTGGGCAGTTTTAGCGAGCAATTTTTATGCATATTGCTCGCGGCCATCGCCGTATCAGACCGGCCACCCACATGTGCCACACCATATCAAAGCTGAAAACCTGTTCTATATGGAACTAATTCCTGTTTTCCCGAACCAAATTCGAGAAGAGAGAAATTTAGGATTAAAAAGATGGACTCCCTCGAAAAATAAGAAGTTTTGGTTCCTAAAAAAAAAAACGCTAAAAAATGTTTCAACTGTCAAAACTCAAGCAATAGGTCATCGATTTTGATGCTTTCTTCGGCAAAAGAAAGCAGATATCATGAGATTTTCTACTGTAAATTTCTGGCATGTGCACTCTCCGATGCATAATGATTTCATTCATAAAACTGAAGCGAGTCGGGCTGAAATTGATGGCACGAGCGCAAGCACGAACTCAACGTTGACGTCATAATGAGGGGCGTGTTGACCCCAATTTGCATAGGTGAATTTCCGCGATAAGTTTGTACGTGGTCCAGTAAATAGGCCACATTTATGGGGCTCTTTACATTCAATACAGCCAAACAAAGACGTGATTTGTCCAGAAAACATTGTAATGACCAATCGGCACTCAGGCATGTCATGTGTCTTTCCCTTGGCTTTATTGGCAGGACGATTTTACTTGTATTTTTAATGAAAAATAGTAAAGTACCCACCTGCATCTTGAAGTTGAACGTTGACTAATCATCCATATGGTAGGAATCCTTGGCACCAGACTAATCCGAATTCATCTTCTCACAGTTTTATCTTCGAGAGTTGTATTAAACCCAGACGACAGGTGCATGCAGCAGCTGCCAGGCATATACTGTACATGTACATGCCATATGCAACCAACGCAACACATGCACCGAAATTAAACGCCCTCTATAGCCTAGGTGACAAAGTTGTAGTCTTCGGTGCATGAAATGTGTATTTTTGGAAATTGACGCGATTGATTTTTTTTTCGTGTATCCTTCCCCCCAGAGAGGCAACACTTATTGACATATTTAAACTATCGATGTTAAGTTCTTAACGTTGCCAGACAAGAACTCACAATAGCCAGCGTAGCCAGCAGGGGAGGGGGAGGGGGGGGGGGGGGAGGGGGGATGGGGGGGGGGTATTTCACCCCCAATATTTTGTACTGACTGCCCTTTTCCATTCAAATGCCCAATTTTTCATCGGCGCTTACCACCCCCCAGTATTCGTAAAGATTGCCCTTCTTTTGTTCACAAGCGCCTTTTTTTCGGAACAAGTGCCCTTTTTGAGAAAAAGCCGTGCCGTTTTGTATCTCCCCCCCCCCATAAAAATGACCTTGCTACGCCCCTGCTCACGGGTGCATTTTTGCCTCGGAGTTGACTTTCCAGAATTAACCCGAATCCCCAAACTTCAATTTATTCGTATAGGAAACTTGAAAAACAGGCACGACACAGCCTAATGTTTAAAATCTGTCTAAAATTATTTTAGACAACTGGGCTGGGAACAAGTCTAACAACCCTCGTGTGTTCCCCGAAAACGAAAGATGGGGAAACGGTTATGTATACTGATATGTTATTTGTTCAGGGTGTGATGTTATTATTGAGAAGGAAAAGCCTGCAGAAATAACTGACCCTGTATACAGAACAGTTTCGTCATGGGACTTTCCTATATATTTTTGCAAAAGCGAAAGAGGAATTTTAGACGTAAAAAGTATTGCATCTATTGATGCGGCACAAAAGCGGGAATAGTTCTACTGAAAGGCAGATGCATTTTTACAATAGTCTACACTGTATTATTACACTCCGTTTTGTTACGAGATTTTCAAATCATTTCGATATTTGCTTGGATCCGTGAAACGAAACATCCCAGCATGTCAACATCGGAAAATGAGTGAGTCCAATAATTATTTAATTCACATTGACTCTATCGGTTCCATGCATTCACCAACACATGCCTTGGATGGTTCAAACCATGTACACCGTGTTTCACGGGATTTTTTTTGTAGTTTGGTAAGATTGATTACCAATATTAATGTAGTTGTTGATGTCATGGTCGGGGGGGGGGGGGGGGGCGATGCATTCACCATAAGTGATGCAGTTTGTTGCGGGGGATTTGCACGCCTCCGTCGCCCATGATTCTAATTTAAGAAACTGTCAAGGTGTAGGCCTACGACGAGTTTTTTTTACTGGTTTAAAGTCTAAAGAGTTAAATGTTGAAACTTCCCTTTAACCGCCTCGGTGTAGATAATTCCCTTTTAAACTGTAGTCCTAATTCAACATCACTGTGCATCCCAACAGATTTTGAGTAAAATAAATGATATATTCTGTAAGATTAATTTCAAAGTTGACCGTAATAGCTTGACGTGCATTATCACAGTATGACATGCACTAAATACAAAGACCCAGAGAGAACATCGGGGAAATAAAGAGCTTAGCTTCGTATTAGGCCTACGTCCCTGGTGATTCGCATAATAATTTATTATTTACGTAAGGTATACGCAATACTTTTACGTACGTAATAATGTATAAATATACGTGCTATTATGTCCCCGATGTCCCCTCTGAGTCTTCGTAGTTCGGAGATATAGACGTACAATTTTTGTCTATAGCCACAATAGGGACCTCCCCTCCATAGTAATTTTTGAGAGGTATTAAAAACGTCTGTGGAATCAAGAGGTTATTATTGCGTTTTATTTTGTGAACAACAGTCCCCAAAGGTCTATCATTAGCGGATCAGATTCAAATTACGACCTCTCCAATGAGTGTGGACTTCGTTTTTCGGCGGTGTTTATAAAAAATTCATGATGTGTTAAGCGGGTGGCGATAGAGGACAATTATTATTTTGTATCGCTTGAATAGCAAGGGGTCGGTATGTAGTGTAGCGTTTTAATCCCCCGCCTATACTGAGCTCACGAGTCCCACGGCCGCCGCTTTCCAAAGTTTTGTAACAAAAGGTGTTAAAGGCAAATATTAAAGTTGAATTTTGGCTCGGATGGGGAATGAATTTAGGGAGCGTCTTGAGTCTTTCAGCAAATGATTCTTGGCATATGACTAATTGTGACGAATAGTACAGGTCGTGGCACGGCCAGAGGTGTTATACGGTGAATGACTTTTGAAAAAGTCAGAATCCTTCCTTGCTGAAAACGACACGACGATGTTGAGTTTCTTTTCCTTTTATAGAAGCACTAACTGTTTGACATCGCTGTCACCTTTGTCAACTGTTTCTTATTTGTATATTCATTTCACAGAAAGTGTAGCATCGGCGAAGGTAAGTTAATGAAGAAATACAATCATTTGGTTTCAATGTTGACACTTTAAAACTAAAAGGAGTCGCATATATATACGCAATTTTGTTGAATGTTTTTTAACATATTTTTTTTCTAAAAAGAAGTCAGTGGCATATGGGGGTGGGTTAGGGGTGATGGTGCCGAGTGGGGTTTTACGTTGTTCCTCCTCCCGTTGCCCCCCCCCCCCCTTCGTAGGAAAACCAAACAAACGTAGCACATGCTACGTTTGTTTGGTCCGCCCCTGCACACTTGAACGTACTTTCACTAAACTAAAGGACGGGAGTGTTGGGATATCAACGTTGTTTCGCTAATTTTTTTTTTCAATAAATGAGCTGCGAGCCCAAGTTCACAGATAAACAGAGCTGGCAAGCAGTTATCGTTTAGCATTACATTTTTGTTATGCTGAGACCAAAATCCCACTTAGAATCAATTAGTATTAGCATGGAGGAATAAACACTGCCACATTTTGGCTGGTAATCAGTCATTAGCAATAAACAAGCGTGACATGCTGGAAACCTGGAACTGCTATCATGAACATGAGTTTCGTGCTGAACATTTTTCGCTATTTTCTTTCGAATGCAAAAGTTGGGAATGTTCCACTTAAAATCACTTTTGCTGTTTTGTTTTCTCAAACGTTTCAGTTTCTATTCATTTTTTGAATAAAAATCTTTCTGTTCCCATGACCTGTTGATCCATTTTATCTAACTGTTTCGCAAGAGTTGTTAACCTTTGTATATAATACACCAAGCCCCGGAGACCCGCCGTTGAGGCGGATTATACATATAGGAGGAAATAACTAGGCAAAATATTGCGGTTTCATTTTCACATTACTATGAAAGTAAACAGTCATTTAGTCACAAAATAGCTACTGTAGTTTATGATTAGTGCATTCTTTACGTAGTAAGGCAACAAGCAATCATGGTCCTTCCATTAGAACACTTCATTTGAGGGTATTCAAATGCCTCTGCTGATTACTGGTCAGAACAATCACACACACACACACCCACACACAAACACACCCAGGTTAGCATATGGGATTTATGGGGTACAACTATTGTTGGACCCTGATCCCCTTCTTTTGTTCTCTTTTGTCCCTTTAGAAATCTCAAAACACATAGCGTTATGGCTATGGGGTACTTCAATTTCTAAAGACAGACTTGATGGGTACCATTGTCCCTATTGTTGCCCTTTGTTCCTGGTACCCCATAAGTGCCAATATGTAAGAGCAGACTGATCCAAACGACGTTATCCTCACAATTACAATCACAATCCTCACAATGTTTTCTTTTCTCATGACACATCGACAAACTCTCCATTATTACTAAAACACTAAACAGTAAACAAAACAGAGATCGACGTTCAAGACTTCAGATTCGTTATCATGAAAACCTTGTTATTATTGTGTCCTCAGAAAGTGTTTTTTTTTAAAGTTAAATTATTAAGTGTGATGTAAGCGATAATTATAATTAGTAACGCCACGATGTTATTTTCCCATTTTGTAATAACTATAGTTAAAGGAACTTAAGAAACGACCAAAGAAGTTACGGCACACAAATTAAAGTTGTTCATTTTTCACCATTTCTTTTACGGATCTTTGCATTGCTGTTACCTATTTCTGAGTATCATAGGACTATCACAATTATGTTGCTCAGGCTGAATACAATTAATTTATTCTTGTGATGATGTAAACAAATAAAATAAAAAAACCCAAGGACGTATACTGCCAGACATAAATGTGACAAAAGAAAGTTAAATGTGTACATGTACCTGTATTTCGAGTGAAATTTACATCTCACAACATTTCTTGGCGATAGTATACGAAAATCTTTTTACAAAGACTATTGTTGTTATTGATCAGGGCAGACTAGTTTCATTTTTAAGCGCTCTAACAATAGATTTTGTAATGTACGTTTTTGTGTAATTTACACTCAGGTCATTGAAAACGTTTGCAGTAAATTAAATTTATTAGTCAATGTACAGTGTTTACCTTGTTTAAGTGAATGTGCACTCAATCTCGAGAGATGGAACAACGATAGATACTAAATCTCACAAAAACTCGCTCTTCAAAACCAACATATACTTCCGTGTTCACGTGCATTGTTACACAAACATAAATGCATTCCTGTCCGGCATATAATTATTATTATTACTTTTTTGTTTTATTCAGAGCAAATATTGGCGCACGTGTAAGTAGTGCACTGAAAATAGAGCACTAGTTGTCATACCAGAGGGTCTTGTAATCAAAACTGAATCTCATAATGTCTTTGTATATTATTGAATAAGTTGAAGAAACTGGATAAACCTATAGCTTCGTATAACTTATTTTATTGAATGAAACTAGGTTAATATACAAATGTAAACTCGTACTCACGGATTTGAATATGTGATAAGCTGGATTAAAAAAAAACATCTGAGACCGAAACGGACAGACCTATACAAGATCGCGGGATGGAAACAGCTATTGACAGATCGTTGTTTTCAATGTTAACAGCATCCTCTGTCGGATGTGATGTAGATGAAGCTCGCGGTTCATGCAAGGCGCGAGTGCGAATCTAGTAAATGGCCATAATTACAATAATCTGTAGTGTTGTACATGTATATAAGATAGCTTGTTGAGGCCCATTTTCTGCATATGGCCTAGGAAGCATCTTTGTTTCTTTCTTTTTCGCTTTTTCTCTCTCTAATTTTAGCTTTTCATATCTTAACCATCAACCCAACATATCCATCAAACTCGCGGGAGATGCTTCAAAAGTCACTTAGTGGTCACAAAAAGTCGAACAAAAAATCCATTTACTAAGAACTATTCTTGCTAATTAAGTATATAGATAACAAAGATAAAAACCGACTGTTTCCTTTTTATGATTTAAAATAACTGTTGCTTTAGTTTGCACAAAAAGGTTCTGGGTCCTGTCCTGTTCTAACTATTCTTTAAATTTCTGTTAATCTTTAGTAAAAATTAAAGCATTTATCTGTGTTGAAAGTAACATTCAAAATTAATGCTTTCCTTAGATTGGCAGTTTTGCAATTTCCAGCGATATACTGCAAAGGAAGACCCCCAAAACATTGAAATGCAGCTGCAATTAAAAAGGACCGTTTTTACTATTATTTTGCTCACGATGAGACTAGAGGTAAAAATAATTCTCTGTAAATCAGAGGCTTCCCCCCATTTGGCCAGCAAATGATACTAAATCCGTCATGGAGTAAAAAGAACTTGACCTTGAATAAAGCTGTGACAACGCCCCTGAGATGCTTTTTGTCAAACGGAAAGAGCTGCTTTAAAGCAACGTCGTGACGTCATGTCAAGTTTTCGCACGATATACTCGCAAAAAGGAGAACACCTTTTAAAACTGAGGCAGTGTCGTTGCGAGTGCTGCACGTGATGTGACCAAATAAAAAAAAAAAAAAAAAAATCACCGGGCATTTCCATTCGCAGGCCGAAGTATGAATACGATTTTCAAGAGATAAAACCGTCGAACTGTTTTCTTGTTCGGAAACCTTTTGTATACTGGCATTTGGCATTTGGGTGGCTAAATGCTTCTCAGAACTAGAAACGTACCCATTCTTGTTTTTTCGCTGTAAGCTGCATACAAACGTATATTTATACTATTTATACTGCTTACTTAAATATGAAACTTGCATTACTTAGGTTAAGCACTTCGCTTAGTGTACTGTCTCCTTGAATTCGTTTCTCGTCTGTCGCAGCTTTGGCCATCTATAGTGCCGCATTGTCTACCATCAACTTCATTGCTCTCTTGGTCGTGACTGTTGGGGTGGCTGTATTTCTATGGAGACATCGTAGGCAGGAAGGAAAGTCTTCAGAAAGGTAACTTGAACTCAGGTATAAAAATTGCACTTTGGATGGATACAAAGCTTTGATCTGTCCCTGCAGCTTTAAGGCCCATCTCATCTCTCTAAAATCAGACAAAACTGACGAATAGCCGAAATTTGCAAAGAGGAAAAAAATGATGAGTCGTAAGCAAATCACGGATCTATTTTAAGAAAGAATCTCCCACAAAAAAAAAAATCCTGCATCCGAACCGGAGACGGGGCCTATATTTGGAAAACCCGAAACGGGTGAGTAACCCTTGGCTCACCTCGTTCCAGGTTTTTACTTCTACTTAAACCCCTGTTCAATAGTAAATCCCAGAAGGCCCCTTGACGATTGGTTACCGCAATAACAAGCGATGGATTTAAATTTCGCACAAAGTGATTTTAATTTATGACCCCAATTCATTGTCATTTAACTGAATTTGTCATTAAAGGAAAGAGAATGGAGCTGAATCTTCCCCAAATTAGACTCGGGAGTCTGATCCCAGGGCGTGGAGGGCGTGTTCTGAAAACCTCTCAGAAAACGTGCCCTGCAACCTGCATTTCATACATTTTTGTTTCTTTAAATCGCGTGTCCATTGATTTTGTTCTTTTTCGTTGTCAACGTGCTAATCGTGTACTTGTCGTCGGCATTCACTCGTATTTTCGTTCTTGCCGGCTAATCATGTCCCCGTTATACTCCGCGTCAATTTGTCACTGTTGTTTGTCAGTGACATTTTGTCACTATCTTTCTTCCTCTCCTTTTGCCGCTGTTTTCGTAAGTTGGATGACCATTTTAAATCTTTTGATCTTGCTAATGATTCTTCATTCCAACCACGTTTGACCTCAGAGATAACTTCTGATTGACATTTACTCCCTTTATAGGATACACAGGAAGGAGAGCAGCAATGGCTTTGCCATTTCTGTCCAGGAACGTAAGTGGCATTTCTCTTTTAAATGTAAAAAAAAAAACCAACGAGGCAACTTTTAATTCACAGATCTCTTTTATATTTCATTTGCCCAGGGTAAACCATGATAACAATACTTTTCTGATTTTTTCTAAAACAAAAAGTATTTGGAGTTTTAATTGCTTTTTATTGATCTCGACCTTTAACTTTGTCAGTATTTTAAATACAATTTTGAAGTTGACAATCTGAATTCAGTACTGTCTGTGATTCTAGATTAATTGAAGAAAAACAGGATGAAGTTCCACATTTATACATAAAGTATTTCCAATCATTTCTGGTGCAGGACCTATCAATGTTCAGTACATAAACCCTTGCATGGTAATCGAACCCACAACTACTGCTACAAATCAAGTAAATCAGCAGCAAGAGATCTTGGAAGATACTAATATTTGATTCATTTCGATTGTATTCCAGAAGAACCTGGCCCAGGGTTTGAAAGTTCCATACCTCTCCTGACAAATCAGAGAGAACCTGAAGAAGTTTCAATCACTATCCAACCAGCTCAGATCGAAGAACCGCAGGTTCAAGAGAGACCCCGTGTGAAACAGAGTAAGACCCAAGCCAAGACGCCGGAGCAGCGAGGCAGTGACGAGAGAACTGCTCCCACGATGGGGGCCACATCAGGTAAGATTAGACGCAGTCTTACTCTTAGCCTGCCCCGCGCCCCTCGCAGAAAACCAGTCATCGAGCCCAAACCCATCAAGGAGGCAAAGCCGGCTGGCCATCACCAGAACATGAAGATGATCACTAGTCAGCTAAGCAGTACCGAGAAATTCCAGAGGCTTAGCAGTGAGAGCAGTGAGCTCCGACCAGACGCGGCGGAGCGGGAACCCCAGGAGCCACGTAGGGGAGCAGCTACGGTGCAGAAGCCCGGACGTGGACGAGGCAACGAATACCAAATGACCGTCCTGGTCAAGGAATCGTCACGGGACACAGTAAGCAAGCAGGACAACTCCCCGTACTACCACAAAGTCATGCAGGGAGCATGCGATGATGCAGAGGGCGAGGAACAAGACGAAGGCTGCGGCTTGCGAGACACAAGAAGCATGAGTACCCCAGCATACGGCTTCCCGCTGAAGAAGACAACCGAGAAGAAATCAGGCACAGTTAAGAAGCAGACAAAGCCCCAAAGTGACCCCAAGAAGACCTGGGAAACTGACGACTACGAACCTGTGCAGCAAGACCCGATGTTGCTGAAACAGCACAGCGTGGTAGTAGCTGCTGAGGAGCAGGGACAATACTCGAAACTCAACCGCAAGGAAATGGTCAAAGAAAACACCGTATTTGTACCACGTGAGGGTTACGATCACCTCTCCGCCCCGGAAAAAGAAAACGTAGCTCCTGTGCTGTATGGGTTGTTCCCTGAAAGTGATACTAATTAGATCTTACACACCTAAGGGGCCAAGTTACATGCGGCCATTTGTAATGTCATGCCAAGGAAGCCTAGGGTAGAACAAAGTACATTTAACATAAAAAAAACCCCTAATAAGTCTTTCGGATTTATTTTTGTTGTTTTATTGGATGCTCCTGTCTCGAGGAGTTATAATGTACAGCATAGAATCATTTTGCTGTTTCTTTGTCAGAAATGTATGCTTAAATATTTCCCAAATTACTCAAGAGAAGATAAAAGATGTAAAACTTGTCACACGCGGATGTATATTGCTGTGAATAATAGCACAAAAGGAGTTATTAAAGGGAGAAAACTCACTTCCACAAAACAATTTTTCGAAATTTCGAAATTCGTCGGAAGGTACTGAGACTAAAGCAATTCATTGCAAAGGTGAGCTCCAACGAATTATTAAGGAATATGTGATGAGATGATATACTAATACATTTTCTCAAAAAAGTCTATTTACTTTAAGGTAATCTTGTGCTCCTTTTGACAATAAGGCATAACATCAACAGAAAAATATGTACCGATTTAGTTTATTTTGGTGTACTCTTTAAATAATGATTTAAACGATAATTTATGTTGGTTTCCAAAAATCTTAGCAACATGTTTTGTTTATTTAAAAATGTTTTAAATTTAAAAGAAAACTCTTCTAAAAATCGTGAAGTTTCTATCGGTGGTTTTGAAACCTTACAATCTTCAGGATTTGCTTTTACTTCATTAAATAAATCACTCTCAACTGAATGACTTATGTAGTTACAGTTTCACATTAAAGAAAAACACAACTGATTAAATGTACTGATTTAGAGTCATATGCAATGATTATTGAATATGCCCAAACCTCGATCGTTATAGTTTGTATAGGAATGTATGGAGTTAGAATTACATGTACTTTTTTGTACTTGTGGATATTATGCACATTTTTTTTATTACTACTATGTAAGCTGTAAAATAGCAATCAGCGGTTTTTCGGTAAAAAGTATATTCTGTAAAGGGTTCAGATATGTAGTAACAATATCTTGTACATGTATGCATGCTTTCACAGATTGAATACCAGAATGCTAGCAGAGCAATTTTTTTCTGTGTGAATCGTGGCAAATTATAAGGGTAGTTTCTAATAAAATATACAACCTCCTTTTGTTTTATTGTATGTTTTAGTCAACTTAGATATTTTTTTCAAATTGAAAATCAGGGTCCTCTATTCGATGAGCGGTTTTAACAATCACGTGCAATGGTCCATTCGCGAAACTGAAAATTGAATTTGTTCAGAAAAATGGTCTTTCGATGTAACATAAGACTTTTCCGGTTGCAATATTGAGCTCAATTTTCGTTCATTTTGAACATATTGTCTGAAAACTCAATGAGTTTGGTAATGAAATTGATAGAATGCAAAATTGTAAAATTATTAAACCACTTAATTTTTCGGTATAATTTTATAAACAGCAAGCTGGTATAATAATCTTAATTTGTTGAAACCATTAGAAATACAAAAAGACAAATACAATGTATCATCCTAGAATTCCGGCAAAACGTTTCTCATCAAATAATTCCTTGGTCTCGGGTCTTAGTCAACGAAACAAGTGAGTGTTGTGGTTTAATTTTCTAAACATTATTTTAATCTGCACAGTTACTCCATAGTGATCATTCTTGCCGCGCGTTGTTCCACAACAATGAATGAACAAATACAAAACCATTGCCCTCTGACTCTCGCCTTTATGCAAAAGGTCTATTTCAGAACTCAAATTCGTCAATATAAGACATAAACGTATATTAACAATATTTTTGAAAATTCAAATAAAAATTATGTTATGAAATGGGTACATTATAAAGGAAAGCTCTATCCCAGCACTTCTATTTGTGACATTAGACCACAAGTGTATTGTAGTCTTTGTCCTTAGCCATTTGTTTCCTATAAGCTTTGATACTGCGATCAATCTTGTCGTATTTCTTCGGAGAAGATTCCCAGGCGTTCTCCACCACGACCGTTTCCCCGGCCTGGCCGGCACTTTCCCGAGCTTCCATCAGGCGGCGTATGGCGCGTGAGGACGCAGTGCGTCGACGGTAACCCATCTCATCAATGGTCTCGTATAAGGCATCTTCGTCTCCAACATCGTCTCCTTTTGAGCTGTCAATCAACGCCTCGTTAAAGAACTCCTGAACGGGAAGCAACTGGCGAGATTCATCCAGTAACCGCGAGTTTCTCTTGGATGATCCTTTACGATGGAGGCTACTCAGCGTGCTCGTGCACCCCTCGTCCCCGGAAAACATAACATCCATGGTGGTGTTAGCAGACGCTGAGGCCAGTGCTGACGAATCGTCATCATCTCCGTCATACAACTTGAAGTAATGCGACTCGTATGTACTTGGCAGTGGTACATTCTCACGGCAACGGGCTGAGTCTATTGAAGCATGGCGTCGTAGGACTGACTTCCCACTCTTATTACAGTCAGTGTCAGATGAGAACATATCATCCTGATTTAACTGCGTGGCATCCAGCATCATGATGTTCTTTCTCCTCAGTGCAAGCTCCTCAAGGAGCCGAGTGTTCCGACACATATTCATGAGTTCCATGTACAAACTGCTGCCTGTTGAGTGTCTGTTATTACACATTGTGTCCCTCCGTGACGACGAGACGCTGACCACGTCAGGCAGATCGCGGTGAAGGGGCGTAGCGACCCTTTGCTCGGCCTCCAGAATTACGGGTGCTGCGGTGACTCTCGGGACGGGAATATTGGCCGGGGTCGCTAGGAGCGTAGACTCGGAGGCTTCGGCTAACTCTCGTTTTGCTTCTTCCCGTTCCTCTTGGCGGACAGCAAACATATTTATGGCGAAATCACCTGAGATTCAAAGAAAATATTCCGCCATAAAAAGGGAGAAATGAGGTAAAGGAAAATATGCCACTGTAAAAATAGCGGCGTTAGATTCATATTAATATGGTACCTCTATGAAGACACTTCCTCGTAAAGTGTTATGAATAATTATTAGGGACTCAGGACATTAGGTGTTTGGCAGACATTTTTTAGTGTCTCCCTAAGGTTTTTAACATCCAAATCTAGAAAGAATGTTATCGTCTCGAGTTGCATGAAACGGTTCCCTTGCCCAAGAATAGTAACAATTTGGGAGTGGGAAGTATGGGATTAAAGAACGGTTTAAGCTTGTGCACAATTTTTATGGGAATGTTTCTCTGACTGGTACCATTTTTGTATTATCTCCATTGTTGTAGTCGAGTCACCAACGTCGAGTCCGAGTCCGAGTCTCGAGTCACAAGCCTTGAGTCCGAGTCCGAGTCTCGAGTCACAAGCCTCGAGTCCGAGTTACTAGTCAAAAGCCTCGAGTCCGAGTCCTGGACTCGAGTCCTACAACACTGATAATCTCCTGTGTATAGGACCATGTGACAAAGATATCTTCTGCATGACGTGTAGTCGCTTGGTCACTTGGGTCTGTGCTAACTGTTTGCCCAAACATTTCTCATAGTTTTTAAAATATTTCTTTTTTGCATTTTTACGAGACTAATACTCTATGAAGAGCGCCACCGATTGTCCGATGGTGCCTATAATCGTCTAGTCAGTTTCCCGCTCACGTCTAAATTGTAGGTCAGACAGCCTCTGTGGATAAAAATAAACATGACGACATTGACGGCCCTTTTTAAAAACTCGGCTTCGTTTCCGAATTCGCTTTATCACTTACAGCTTTTAATGTCCCGATCAAATTTTTAAACAAATCACTTGCTTCATAATATTATACAGTTATGATAATACAGTTTGATATTTCTGTAAGAAAACATTGACTAATGTTGACCTGGAATCTTCAAAGTTAAATTAGGCACCCAAATAGCACTGTTAGCAGGCGGAGCCGAATGAAGACCACGCCGAGTTTTGGAAATGCCGGTAACGGTCGTCAAATTCAAAAGAGTGCATGGCGCAGCAAAACTTGCGTTTGCCCCTCGTATACGACCCGAGCACAAAATAGTCGTTGAATTTCAAGTTTTTTCTAAATAAAAGCAAAGAGTATTAATTATCAACTCGTTTGTTAAAGTATTTAATAAGCAATTAGCAGTTAATAAAGCATATATTATACTCGGAAATGCTCGGGTGCTATCCGATTGTCCACGAAATGAATTCGGCAATCTTCGGACATTTTCGGAAAAAAGAGGAATTCCTCCCGTTTTAGTCACGTGACGTTATTTGTAATACAATGTATTACTGACGGCTACCTGACCTAAGATTCATCAGGAATAGTCAGAATCTTTTGGTCTGGGAACCTGAAAAATAATCGTCCACGTTTAACAGCGCCCCCATTGGAGATAGTATCCAGACTCCCCCCCCCCCTTCCCCCACCTTTTGAATTTACGGGGCCCATGGTCTTCTTCTTCTTCATTCATTCATTTTCATGATGACTTGATGAGTTGGGCCCAACTGTCCCTGTCGAGCATAGTGTTGGAAAGAGATGGACCACTCAGACCAGTATCTAGCTCGATGGATGTTTTCAGGGTCATGTTGGGACGACATTTTCGTCGAGGCTGATGAAAAAAAATCTGTCCACCTTTCTACGAAATCTTTAACATGATCCCCTTTCGTTCATGTGACTTAGCATAGTCGTGAGTCATTAAACAACTTTGTTGGGAGGAAGTACCATATGTAGGCTATATCCCATGCCTGACCGGCTGTTCCGTGGCATGACTTAGATCATGGACTATTCTTAGATACAGGTTACAGTAGCACAATCGAAGAAACATCCCACTAGCGGATGTGGAAATGTTGAATACGAGAGTCTATTTCTCATCTTTTCAGAGCAAATGTCAACTAAATTGAGAATTAGTCCCAAGTGGGGGCTGGGCCAAGGGGGGGGGGGGGGCACAAAAATGTGCCGCTTGCAAAAGGAAGTGTCTTTTTAAAGTATTTTTGAGTTATTAAAGCGACGAGCAGTCTAGACTACCACTTAATAAATTGATAATAAATCGCAACAGAGCCGGTTCGAGCTTCCGGACCCCTCCGCGACCCTTATGGGCATTTTAAACGAGGTTGCCCTTTCTCTTGCCGTAATTCTTGACACTAACCGGAATCACCCTGTCATTACACAAGAAAAAAAGGCGAGAAATCACACATTTGGAGATGGGTAGTAATTGAATTTATCTTACGATCTTTAGTAGGTTTCTTTTTTCGATCACGTTTGTTTTCACATCGCGCACTTGCGTGGAACGAAAATGAAAACGACGCCAAGATTTACTTCCGACATCAGATGGATTCTAGATTTAGTCAGACTTGCTTGAATACATTTCTTATCAACAGTCATTTTAAATTTTGTTCAAGTGTAAATTAGAAGTAGTCCATCAAGTTTATTTTAAAAACAACATTGTCTCTGAAAAAATTGTAGTCTCCCATTTTAGTCTCAGTATTTACCCAATGACCGCGACAAGAGCATTTCATAAATTGTCATCTTTGTATTCAACATTCACATAACATGTATTTAAGATTTTCGGAAGTGAGAAGTCAATTTGTGGCACGATATTAGATATGCGTGCAGATCCGGCTATGCCTGCAGATCCGCTAGCTGGGTGGAGTTGTAAAGTGTTTATAGTTTAAAGGTTTTAGTTGTGAAACAAAGAATATCGATCGATTCACAAAAAGTTATCACAGTAACAACGAATGATTATCCTTGATTTTTTCCCCGTTTGAATTAGAGTTTAAAAACCTGTATGTTACTTCTTTTACTTAAAACAGATAGAAAACGTCTAAACTCGTTCCCAGCTCACAAACAACTCTCCCAATTTCACAATTCAAGTAAGCGTTTATTTCTTTACACAACCAAAGACAAAAAGGGTTTACAAAAAGCCTACTGGTTTCACTTAGTAAAATAACTTTATTCCTTAACAGGGCTTAAAACTTGTCCCGCACTCCCGACTTTCTTGCTGTTTGCATGTGCATTGCCATTCTCCGCATGTTCCCCCCATATTTCACTCATTGCCTTCGCCAACGGTCTCCGAGCAGTTTGCACAAAATCCAACCCACTATCCAAAACACCGTCACCTCAAAGATACCTGCTGAAAAATCTATCTAAATCGGTAATGATCATCTCCCGTTAAAATGATGAGATACAGATACTTGTGACGAATAAATACACAAACTGAACGGTGATACAATAGACCATGTAAGTCTCGCGAGTCCACGTTCACTTTTATGTGAGCGTCGTGGTTCCAAACACTGATTAGTCTAGTCACAAACTGAGCTCCCATGTTTGAAATTATCTGTTGTTTGTGTTATCAGCGTAATCGATTGAACGGGTCACGTCTCGATATAGTCCGAAGACTCATTGGTCCGAAGACCCATTGGTCCGAAGACCCATTGGTCCGAAGTCACATTGGTCCGAAGTCACATTGGTCCGAAGTCTTATTGGTCCGAAGTCCCATTGGTCCGAAACATAAAACTGTGTAGTTGCACTTGTTCAGGTTGACTGACCCTAACCCGAACCCTGACCCTAACCCTAATACTATGGGGTGTCGGACCAATGGAGTGTCGGACCAATGGGAATTTGGACCAATGGGACGTCGGACCAATGGGACGTCGGACCAATGGGACGTCGGACCAATGGGACGTTTATACCAATGGAACGTATAGAGCAATGAGCCGACGGACCAATGGGACTTCGGACCAATGGGACGTCGGACCAATGGGACGTTTATACCAATGGAACGTGTAGAGCAATGAGCCGACGGACCAATGGGACGTCGGACCAATAGGACTTCGTACCAATGGGACTTCGAACCGATGGGACTTCGGACTATAGAGACGTCCCCGATTGAACGGAAGTTTAGGTCAATTTTTTTTAGTTAAAGTAGTCATGAATGCCCATTTTTTTCAATATGTTGTAAATTGAAATGCTTTCTTTTCTTTCAAAGTAGCAATTTGTTGCACTTGATTGGATAGGCCCAGTCTGGACGCAACAGATAAATGCAAAAACAATGCACACGTTGTAGATCCTATACATGGTGCCCGGATGTACTGTATTCTCGTAAAAGCAACATACACGAGCGACATATACGTCTTCCGGTCCCGTGCTCGTGACCAATTATTATATAAAATGGTAGCTAGGCATACATATTATACAGGGTGGATAAAAAAACCCGAAACCGAGATGTCATTGCTAATTGGAACAAAAGTAGGGCATGTGTGAATCAAATGGAGGTATCATCTGTTATAGTGTTGAATCTCCTCTTTAAAATGACACACTGATCATGTCCTTACATTCACGGTTGACTGAGCAGTGTCCAATTTTGTGAAAGGGTCTATTTAGAGGATTGCGCCACTTTTCATGGTGAAATCGCTTTTTCCCCACCTGCCTTGATTGGCATCCATATACCTTTCACTCTGTGATAAATGACACAACAAAAACCACAATTGAAAAGTGGCGCAATCCTCTAAATAGACCCTTTCATAAAATTGGTTACTGCTCAGTCAACCGTGAATGTAATGACATGACCAGGGTGTCATTTAAAGAGGAGATTCAACCCTAACAGATGATATCCCCCTTTGATTCACATGTGCCCTACTTCTGTTCCACTTAGCAATAATATCTTAGTTTCTTTGTTTATCCACCCTGTATAGCTATACGCATAATACCTATAACTGCATCTTTGGCATTCCTAAACGTCACTGTATGAAACGCTGAGTCACCATCACGTGACAGTGGGGCTGGTCCAATGCCGATATGCTTCATGCTGAAATACAACCCAAACAGAAACAAGTCAGTTTCCCTTGTTGGGATTGACCACAACCGTACATTTTTTATCTGATTTTTAAAAAAAAATCAGATATCACCACCGAGCATTATTTTCTTTGCCCCAAGCATTCTTGAGGTTTTTACCTTATGTGAAGGTTACGTTATGACTTAGAACTTAAAAAACAAGACGAACCATTCTCTTGAAATGTCAAATCTCCGTAGGCAGGCTAGGTGGTGTTGAGCGGTTTCATTTACTAACTATTCGAGCAGTGCTCTATTTAAGTGCTCCTTAAACAGATTACCACAATTACCAAACTCTTTTTTTTTCAAATGAAAAAAGGGCGAAATGCCTCACACTTCAAACATGTAATAATACATGTATGATAATTTTACAGGTCACTTCAGTGACGCATCTTATATACGAATGATTATAGTATGTGGCGTGCATGCCCTGGGCAAATCAATCCGTTTTTAGTCATCTTCAGAAGTTCCTGTGTACGGTCTGTCACAGCAATTTTGATGTAGTTCAGCTGCAGGATAGTGATTAATCATCGTCTTGGTCTAAGACTAGATTTGAATTTTGTTATCCTGACGCAGTCGGTCCCTGACGCCATGGCCTTACGGTAGAGGTTCCCATTAACAAGATGACTCATATCCAGTCTCGGGAATATTGACACCGCCACCCATGAAATTCCGAGCATACCCCATGTGCGTACATTAGCTTGGCTACAGATCGTGAGGTAGGTCTGCTGCCAAAGTCCCCAAGACTGGATTGGATTTATCTGGTTGATAGCGCCTTATACCGCAGTAGTGGATGTACCTCGATTTCATGGACCATTGCATTAGGAGAATACGTAGACCAAGACTATGAAATGGTGGCTTTAAGTTTATCCCATTCAGAGACTGCCACAGCTGAATTACTCAGGGGCGGATCAAGCTTTGGTTAAGGGGGGGGGGCTTAACAGGCATTAGTGCTTTCTCTAGACTCTACATGATTTCTAGTTTCTTTTGCGACCCGGAGGGCGGAGGGGGTTAGACCCTCTCATTCAAAAAAAAGTAAGAAATCGTGTAGAAAAAGTACTAAATGCCTGCGAAGCCCCACCCAACCAAAGCTGGATCCGCCCCTGAGTAATAACTTTTATTTTAGGTAAATAGCAATTGAATATAAGCCTATAGTGAGTAAACAAAAAGAAACCCAATTGTCGGGACCATTGATTTAGTGAAATTCTGCATGTCAAATTCTATATGAACTGAGCCCAATGGTAAAAGAATCCTTCAGATCAATGTCATTTTCAAGTTACGGAATTTTAAACACGACCACCGTTTTAAAATTTTGTCTACGGATCACAAAAAGGTAAGTGTTCTTTCAGCAAAACGAAAACAATCACTTATTGGGATGTGTATGCATTGTTTTCGTTTTGCTGAAAGAATGCACACCTTTTTGTGATCGTTTTTTAGCTAAAAGTAGTTAATGAAATTGACTTCCAGTCATAATTATTTTTGGTACTACATTTTTTTTAAAATATGAAATAGATTTGTTGAGGTTTGGGTTCCGCTTTTTTTGTGTGACTCACCCTGTACAATTCGAGAACCAGTCGGAAGGAGTATGCATTGACGTGACTTTTTTTGGCCTGTAATCCGTGTTTTTTGTTGAACTAATAAAAAAACGAAAGTCCACCTTCCAACACTTTTTTGTTTAACTCAAAATCTACTGGGCACATCTTGCTCAAACTACGACTGGCCAGTAAAGAAATTCCTTAGCAATCCAGCCATAATCTCTATTTGGCCCAAAACAGTGATAATGTGTACGAATTTATGCAATTTGTGACAAATGATACCGAAAACACTTGCACTTTTGTATACGTGCAAGTTGTGGTGCACACTCACCTTGCACGCAAACAAAAGCACAACTTTCTTTCGGTACTATATTTGTATAATTTTGTACACATTATCACTGTTTCGGGCCAAACAAAGAGTATGGCTGGATTGCTAAGGAATTTCTTTACAGGCCAGCCGTAGTTTGAGCAAGATTAGCCCGACTGCGTCTGGCCGTACAGTACTATCGCAAGCTCTGTAGTACGGCCAGACGCCCGATGCTTCCACAGAGACTGAATTTTGTTGGCCTCCGATGTAGCGATTTTGCTACATCTTTCGATCGCGATTATCTTTTCATCCAGGACACAAATTTCCAAAGTTAAGGTTCGTAGTCGTAGAGCAACTCATACCTTTTCGAAAAAACGTTGTTTGGTCTCAATATTTTCATCCATCTGGCCACAAGACGAATTTCAGTCATCAGATTCCACAAATATCGTCCCCCATGCGATCCCCCATGCGATTTCAAAATGGCGGCCGCGCTGTAATGTATGCAATATGCAGGCGCGCCCGCACAAACTCATGAATATGCATAAACAGTCTGTGACGTATGACCCCGTGTTTTTGGACGTGCGTGCGGCGGGGCCGTACGTCCAAAAACACGAGGTCATACGTCACAGACTGTTATGCATATTCATAAGTTTGTGCGGGCGTGCCTGCATATTGCATACATTACAGACTGCGCAATAGTCGTGGCCTTGTTGCCATTCTGTGATTGGTCAATTAACGACGTTGAAGTACATGTACGCAAGTACGTACGGTACCATGTACACGTACGGGCGCCGCATGTACATGTTCGGTTCATCGTACCACAAGGCCAGATTCTGCAGGTTTTTTTGTGACACATTTCGTTCACATAATGATACAGAAAGGGGGAAAACAAAAATCATTTCACAAAACCCTACTGTGTATATATCTCGATATTTAAATGAAAATTGCAAGCTATCTGAAATGATTCGTTGGACATTAATTTGGTGCATAAACTTTGGGACTTCTCTCTTTAAAAAGAAACTTATATTATTCATCTATATTCATTTTTCTTTAAAAAAAATATTTTATGAATGTAAATGTATTAATTTTATGTACATATTATGCGTATTAAATTGATCCCTGCTTTTCTCTTCAATCATTGTTTTAATTTAAAAAAAAAAACCTCCCTATATCTAAAAAGGACTGTCACTAAAATGATTCTGAACGTATTGTATACTGAGTGCGGACGGATCCCAGGTGGGTCACGTAATCAGCACTGCTTGCGACTGCGCTTGTAGCTACTTGCACTGGAGATACGAAGACACCATCAAATGAACGTCGTTCATTGTCCAATCACAAAATGGCAACAAGGCTACGGGTGCATACCTGCAAATAAACTCCCATAGACACTAGTGCTAAATGCCCGTACTTCAAAATTCTTTTAAAAATACTCAAAACTCTCACAGGTATTCAAGCTGCACAGAAAAATGATGATCAATGTGTCATCTTTCATTTTCTTTTCAATTTATGGTGGGTTGACCATTGACTTTTCGAGATATTTTCACGCAAAGAAGACGACCCCTGTTTTCCCCAAAGCGGAAAAGTAGCCATCTTGAAAAACGATCCCTCCACAACATGGCAAAATAGCGCCACTTTCGAGCCCAATAGCATCCAAAATGCTCAGAATTGGAAGCCCCAAATCCGGGCCAGAGGTTCACTACCATATCTCTTCAATTCCCCAATTTTACGGCGCTCAGAACTCTCTAATATAGAATATTTTGAGGGTATAACTTTTATTCATGAGCTTGGCGGATCGATTTACCGGTGTGTACCCCTACGACTATTGCGCAGTCATTACAGCGCGGCCGCCATTTTGAAATCGCATGGGGGATCGCATGGGGGACGATATTTGTGGAATCTGATGACTGAAATTCGTCTTGTGGCCAGATGGATGAAAATATTGAGACCAAACAACGTTTTTTCGAAAAGGTATGAGTTGCTCTACTACTACGAACCTTAACTTTGGAAATTTGTGTCCTGGATGAAAAGAAAATCGCGATCGAAAGATGTAGCAAAATCGCTACATCGGCAGCCAACAAAATTCAGTCTCTGTGGGAGCATCGGGCGTCTGGCCGTACTACAGAGCTTGCGATAGTACTGTACGGCCAGACGCAGTCGGGCTAGAGCAAGATGTGCCCAGTAGTTTTTGAGTTAGACAAAAAAGTATGGAGGGGGAACTTTCTTTCTGGTTGAGTGTATCTGTAGCCGTTGGCCCGGGATATGCAATGTACCTTATGTGACTGTGCTGATGTGAGTCCGATGAATGGCGGGCGAAATACAACGCAGCTATCATCATTGTGATGAAAAGCGCTGACAACACACCCATAGCGATGAAGGGAAAGATGCCCGAATCAATAAAAAGCTCTGACTTCTTCTCATCAGGAACTAAAAAAGGAAAACGGAAAACTAGTGTTTTAGGTCATCATAATGGAATATTTTATCACGAGGCCTGTGAAATCGTGTAGTCTTCCTGTCATGTTGATGTTTTACGAAGCACTGTTTTGCAATCATCATACATACCCATTACGCTCTGTAACTTTCTCAAAATACTATAACATGTATTTCCAACTCCGTCCTGACGGTATGCTCCCAGGGATGTAAGGGTTTTCATGCTTTGCTATTGGTTTAGAAATGTTAGTAAATTATTATTCATTATGAATGGTTTATTTTAATTGTATTCCTCGCCGCCAGTGGCAGAATTATGAATATAATTTACATTAAAAACACATAAATATTAGTTAATTCGCACATTTTAATAGGGAAAAAATACATGTATAGAATTGAATAAAAATTGATAGAAAAAAATTGTTCACGAAACTTAACAGTAAAATAAGCCAGAATAAAAAATAGGGGATGGGAAGGAGATAGGGAAAAGAAAATTGCATGGTGCGTAGACTGGGTAAAGGAGAGCCAAAGCGGTGAATTACAAATACAAGCAGGCGATTTGATTTATACAAAACATTGTATCCCGTTCCGCATCTCACATAATTTTTATTTTGGAGAAGGGAAGGATAAATACAAAAATGAAAATTCTTTTCCCCTTACGATGCTTGTTGGTCGCGATGTCCTGACCTGGCTCTCGGATCGTTGCATCTGTGGTTGCTGGTTCCCCTCCATCTCGATCCATCTCTGGGTAAGGCACATGGGGTGCCAGTGAGTCCAAATTTTCTTCTTCCTCCTCAAACTCCGACCGCTGAAGGAACTCGTCCGAGTTCAGCCCGGTCTTGCCCCCAGATAAATCCTCTTTCTTCGTCCCGGGTTGGGGCGAGTTCTCGCTGAAGGAGTATTCCGTGCCTTCCTTTTCCAAACTGTGCTCATCTGTGATGCTGTCTTGTTTTCTTGCCATTGTGACTGGAAGTCTCTTGGGCAATATGTCTTCAACTGGCAGAGGATTTTCTTTATTAAAGGGAATATACAACATTTGCAAACATCGAAAAATAAAACTACCAAGTTTTTACGAAATACCTTAATAGGATGTTGGTAAATGACAGTCTACAGCATCCTGTAAAATTATGGCACCTGGTGTGAAGTCATTTTCAAGAAAATTGTATTTTTGTAAAAATTTCCAGCGGTGGTCGGCCGACCACCGTTGGAAAAACCTAACTATTTTTCAACTACTGCTCCAAATTTACCATTTATTCAGTCCAAATTTTGTTTGCTATTGGTTACGTGTTCATGAACGGGTGCAGGCCAGCTAGACTGGTACCGTTACCTTACAATTTTCTGGCATCTGTAAACTGATCCATTTTATAATTAGTGGAGTCAGGGAACCAGACTACTTGAACAGTTTTGTTTTTCTTGGTTTTTCCAGCATTTTCGAACACAAAACTTCAAACATGTCAGTGTAACAATATTTGATTTATTATACTAACCCCTCAAATAGTTCATTTCTGAAAATTACAGCAAAAGCCAATGATGTACATTCCCTTTAAAACATAGAAAGGACTGTAATGATGACTTTTCATCACAAGTCAATAAAATGGAATAAAAATAAGGGTGAACAAACGATTTTTCTTATATTGCTTTCGGTTATTCACTGCCGTATTTTGTTGTTGGAAATAAGCTATCTTGAGTGTTACAAAGCTGCAAATAACAATAAAACTGCCATCCAATTTGAACGCAATATGCAGAAAATTATCAGTGTGCAATAAGTATAATGCAAATTAATCAAAATTTCTCCAGCATTCAGTCAGACCTTCCTGCACGTAATTCCTTCCTGCATGCAAGCAACGAAAATAGAATGAAATACCAAGTCCGAAACTCACTACTGGCATTCTAAAGAGTCACACTATGCATGCGATAAATAATTGTTATACATCAATGAAAAAACTATACTAAAAACTATCGAGGGGCAATTAAAAACAGGGACAATAATGTCCGTTCTTATTATTCTTCCCTTTTTGTTGTTGTTGTCAGAAAATATTATTGGAATACAGTCACGTAACAAACCAAATTTATGGGCAAATTTACCTGGGTTACAAGGTGTGTTGTTCACTTGCTCCTTTGTGCGATTAGATCCTTTTTGCAATTCTGGTTTAGCCTGATCTCTTTTTATGGAAACAAAACGGGAAAAAAACACAATTAAAATCATGTGAAATATCCATCAACATTTGATTCGCTCCTGAACTAGAAGAAGGTGGAGGTTGTATCTTTTTGATATAAAAAAATGGTTCCTTGATCTTATAAAAGAGCGTTTCAACAAAATCTCATTTTCCAGGTTGTTCAAATTTGCTTGCAATATGTTAGGACTTAAACAAGTTCTGGAGAACCTTGAACCCCCCTAATTAAATGTTAAATTGTTTATTTTGTTGCAATTGTTTATTATTTGAAATTCGTATAGCTGCTTCATTTTATGTTAACTTGGCTGGCTATATACCGGGAGTATCTCTATAGTATATATTATATTAGTATGTCAATATTACAAGTTGTTTTGATTCTTACCAAACCACAACAGTTACGATAAAATACCTTGTAAACATCCCTTGAAGGGTCGTTTCTGTGATTCGTGCAAGGGGATCCTCACCGGTATATTTGTTTAAATTTGTTATTTGTTTTCTTCTTTTTGACCCCCTGGACGGATTGCGACATTGTGCCGGTTTCTGTAGAGTTGTTGCGTTTGGTAGATATCCAAGTCCTCACTACTGTTTCATCATTTGCCTAGACCTTTATGTAGTATGCCGACTTTCGTATCAAATGGGTTTGAAAATGGGGAGAGGATCCACATAATACAGGGTGTCCTGAAAATAATGGTGCATGTAAACCCCGCCATTATTGCCAATTTACAACCGGAATTTACTGCAAATGTTTATATGATCTTCAAGATTACAGATTTAGCTTGAGAATACCGTTTGTTTAATTAAGATTGCTTTTGTAAATCCAGAGATACGTTTGAATAACCGCAAAGACAAAAAAAAATAGGAAGCGAGTGCTTCAAAGATCAGACAATGCCAGTATGGCTCTTTTGATAAGATTATCCCTATGGGTGTAAAACAAACATTCCATTCACTCAACAATATAGGGTTTTGCTGTTATGTTGAAACAATTTTATAGTACAGACAGGTTCACTTCTTTAAAACTTCAATGAAAGAGTTTAATTAAATGAAAATAGATATTGCACACTCTGCTTAAAATGTTAAAATCACTGACAGTAAGGACTGTACTGATTTTAACTGCTTTACAGAAAGTGGCCCAAAATGGGTTTCTTGGCTTTGCCGTTATTCAAACATATCTTTGGATTTACAAAAGCAATCTCAATGAAGCAAACGGTATTCTCAAGCTAAATCTATTACCTTGAAGATGGTGTAAACATCTGCAGAAAGTTTTGGTTGCAAATTAGCAAAAATGGAGGGATTTACATGCACCATTTTTTTCAGGACGCCCTGAAGTGCACCCTTTGCTGTTGGAAATGATCGTCGGTCCTTTTTTGCAGGGTAGAACTCTATACTAGGGACGGATCCTGCTTTTAGCTTAGGAGGGGTGGGGCGTTAGCTGTCCAGTCGGAAGGGGGGGGGTTAAATCCCCTCCCTTTCCCCGGTGTATCCTCCAGTGCCTCTATTCATTAGTTTCATCTGAATTCCAGGTGGATAGCTTCTAAACTTTGTTAACTGCCAACTAAATGATATCAGCAGTTCCTCAGGGATGGAGTGTCGGATCATCCATATAGTTTAGTCTCTAGGCAGTATCGCGTCCCAAGTCCACATACAGACTGTCGAGATCGGGTGAGTCACCCAGTTCCGTTTGGGAGATCAAGGAGAAGAGGGATCGGCCTGCAGGATTTGGTGCGTTAATCACCAGTGCCGGTTGTAGCTTACGCGCACAGTATAGAGTGCAGGCCATACTTGAGTTCCTTGTCAAGCACGCGGATTGGAATATCTTCAAAAGGCTTATAATATGAACATCGACACTTAATTGAAAGTCTTCGAGATGACAGAGAGTTTAATTAGTGGCCACACAGGCTATGCAGGAAAAGGTCAGTCTTCAGAACAGGAAACACTGTAGCGAAAACACTTGCGAAAACACTTTCGAAGTGCATATTATCTAAATCGTGAGGATTGAACTTTGTCTTCATTTTAACAAGTAAGAGAACTGCGCTCAACCCATCGACTGAGTACCCAAAACGGATGTAGTTTGTCTCTAAACAATTAAATGATAATCGAAATAATTCTGAACTAAAAATATTTCAACCCCAGTATGTTGTACATACACATCAGGAGGTGAATAGGTTCCCTTTTAAACTTACAGAAGAAAACAATTGCGCATATTAACTCTTTAGGAATTTTAGCAAAGCTCATGTGCGTACGTTATAAAAAGTGGCTGTGTTTTCTAGTAATGTCCTATGTCTTCTTTGGACAAGACGCTATAAAAACGTTTTCTGCAGGGGGAAGAAAACGTTAAAAAAATTGCTTCAGTGAGAAGATATCTGAACTTCATTTTTATCTCGCACTAACGCTTCATTAACGCGTTGCGTATACGCCTCAGTTTCTGTCTTGGATACAATTCGATACATTTATTTCGATGCTGCATAAGGATGATACATAATACATAATGTTATATATTCAGATTGACAATACATACTAGATATATTTACAATAGTGAACATTAACTAAATGGCAACATCTAGGTCCAGGGTGAAGCATCAGCTTTTGTTCCCCAGCCTATGAACAGACAGACAAGTGACAGACATACATAGAACAATTTCACATAGCGCGTGAACTTATACCAAGAGGAGATGATAAATTAATATTAGCAATGTAAACACCCTTCCATGATTGAGGACGCCTCAGCCTGTCTGCTCCCACTCCCTGTCCCTCGCGGGATCGCTATAACGAAACGAAATAGAAATGGAATGGAACAATTATTTAGGCCTATGCAGAAATCTTGACATCGTAGAGGCTTTAATGTACTATGTCTAGGAAGTAAAGTCTGTGGCTTAACAAATATATATATTACCCCCAAACTTGAACATTTTGAACTATTGAGTAAAACAGAGTTATGAAATCCGGTGTGTCGGGAGGATTTTTTCATGACTCATACTTACACGCAAGGCTTGAGCACCCTTTTCAGCACAACTCTACCCTCATCGTTCACCGGCCTCGCCTGAACACAATGAAATCGCGTCCACAACACTCCAGACACGGCCAGTAGCACCCACACCACCTTACTATTATTAAATCCCATCTCGGTATATTTCTGTCCGTTCCTCCTTTCAAGTATTAATCCAAGTCATATCAGTGAGAGCTGCTTTCAAAGGTAACAGCATGGATCGGCGGCCATCTTTGACTAGGCAAATCACAATGCTGGAGCAACTTTGTTCACTGGATTACGGCGCGAAGGGCGCAGTAGAGTCGATTGGGGACTTGCAGTTCCCGTTACGTTTTGGTGACTGTACCTAAAGATTCGATCAATGCACAGGGATAGGAAGTTCACAGTGTGCTGACTCACATCACTAGTGCCTTCAATCTGTTTGACATGAATTACCTCAACATCTAACCGTCATCAGGAGAACATTATTCATGTTGAATGGCCATAATAGGAAGATGAGTGTTGTCTTAAATGAATGAGCGCGTCTTGAATACCCCCCTCTCACCCTGTGCCTTCTGGCCCCTCCCAGTCTGTTCCTGTGATTATTGCCACCATGCTTGACACCTTTTCTCGTGACTCAGGCAATCAGGGACCGCCTCAATTCCTTCAAGATTTGAAAAACAGAATCGATTTTTGACGTAATCGATTGACTGTACTTTCAGCGTGATGAAGTCCTTCTCGACATGGCTGTAATAAACAAAATACAATACTTTCGGTCATTATGTTGACCACGTTTAGGTGTGGTTTCTTTTCGTTGATATTCGAATTGTCTTCATCTTCTCCGATTTCTGCGCCCAGCCTCAAGCCTCTCATACATCAACATGACCTGGTCCCATAAACTCAGTGATAGTTCTGACCCGTCCGGAAGTTGATAATTTGGCTCGCATTTTTTGCAATGCGTCATCAACAGTGATCACGTGATCGGATATGCAGGCCTCAGTCTGTAGTCCGTTAGCAGAAATATAAAAGCTCATGATCCTATTACAATGCTGTGCTTACCGTTAGGGAAAAAAATCCTCGCAAACTGTAGGTGACGCAGCCGCCACGACATAAAATAAACATAACAAAAGCGGGCAGGATCCAGATCCGGCCCGTTTTCAAAAAATGTCCGAAGTTTACCGAATACATATTGTTGACGCTTAGATATATTCGCGTCATTCTCGATTTTAACACTGACGGGAGAAGAGGAACCATTTTGCCTATGAAATTTAACCCACCACCACCCCGTCAGCCACCTTTTTTCTCTCTTTTCTCTCTCTCTTTTGTTGGGTTCAGAATTTTCACTTTCTTGTAGGCCTACTTTTATGGCGTGTTTTTCCCACACAAGCACTGGTTTTATTTCTCCATTAACGCAATTACCTCAATATATTCTATGGTCTGTGATTCTATTATTAAGTGTTGTGTTGTCTTCCAAACAATGTTGTTAACAGAAATATGTGTAAAGATATAATATTTAAAAGTTTTATATTTCTGGTACCTCAGGGGGCTCGAGTATATTATAACATCAAAAGTTTATAAAAAGTTGAGGTATTAAAGGTTCCCATATCTGGCCATCGCACTTGTCACCCTGTGCACAGACCCCATGAGACCGGTCTTAAACCTTCCGACTTTTTTTTCAGTAAATAATTATAGGCCTACTTTCCCTGCTAAATATGACTTTTTAGGACATATTATCACTTTCTGATGGCTGATAGGTCACTGAAGGGAAACATTAGTGATGGCCAGATATGGGAATCTTTACAAAATTGACAGGAACAGTGGAAAACAAAAAAAAATACTCCGACAGTAAAAACTATATTGTGTGAGGACACTCCGTAATTTTTGCTGCCATCAATTTCTTCCAAACAATGGTCACCATCCTAAAGTCCAATCTGTCAATGCGGATCTTGATAATTATGCCCAATTAAGGTCTCAACCACTGAGCTCGAACTAAATAAAAAAATTGCAAATCACAATCTCAAAACGTTAACCTCACACGTTTTTTTTTATTACCGGGTAATTGACATGACAATTATCTCTTTGACTTGAGGAAACGGAATACAGTCCGAAATTGCAAGACGGAACTTACGGTGTGTACAACAGAATCTCCCTTTAGTAAAGGAAGTTGTAGTCAACACGCCGAGGCTGGCACTGCAATAGCTGTGAACTGAGGGCGCCCGGCGCTGCCTTTGCTGTTGTCAAGCGGGTGACTTATCCGAATGGAGTGCATGGGCCTCCGGCACATACGGATCCCGACAAAGCACTCGCTCGAGCATCACAATCCAAATTCCAAGCATTCACTGACCATAGCTATAAAGGACCTTTTTTAATGACTATCCACGTCTGGAAAGGGTTTATTTTCTCGACTGTGACACTCTTAAAGGGGCAGTGCGAGCTGATATCAATGAAATTTTCATGTTTTGGACTTTACTTATCCTCTTTCAAACATCTGGTTGAAAGGAAACTAGCCTAATTGTCTTACCGTTCCCGTGATAAGACGAGAAAAACCCGGTTGTTTACATCGGACACAACGGAAAACCCGGTTGTTTACATCGGACACAACGGAGTACGCACACGTTTTTCCTGCCGTTTCAGTCAATGTACGATACACGTTGTGTATGTCACATAAAATTACACACAGCACCAATGCACAAATGTGGTTTCTTACTCGAACGCAAAAGGCGAGGACATTTTATGGCTGGAATCACAACTAGCATGAACAGCCCGACTTTTTGGGGTCGCAAAATTGGACCTGCCTCGTAAACATCATCTGAATTTTTGATTTAATTCCATTGGGAAACAAAAGTTATTAAAGATTAAGGCCAAAAAAAAAAATATTCGGTCTCTGGTCAGACCAAAGTTCCGGAATTGACGCGGCCACGCGGCTTTCTTTTTTTTTTTTTTCTTTTTTTTTTTTTTCTTCAAGCTTGGATTGTACAGACAAGGTGGGTACTATTTTGCTTTTTTGGTGTCCTCATGTATATTGGTGTCCTCCATAATTTGCCTTGGTGCTTTCGATCATTTGCCTTGGTGCAATTTCCCATTCCTTGGTGCTCTTTGGTAAAAAAATTGAGGAGGTGCGGAAATAGAGGGCGCTGTTGGAGCTACCGCGGAACATTTTGGAAAAAAAAAAGATCGACGCGCATGATTAAAATCGACGCGCGCGCTGACCAGAGACCGACTTATTTTTTTTTTGGCCTAACATTAGGAAATGTGTTTTTAACACGTTGTACAAACTCATTTCACCAGCGTAAAGATCGATGTCAAGGCAGATCACGGTATGCCAAATAAACAAAACAAAATCACTCTTTCTGGAGACAATTAGCAAAGAATGTTGTCGGCAATTACCGATTAAAAACTCACTTCATTGATTAATAATCTCGTCTAATTATTGACAGTGATATCTTATAATTATCAGAAATTTGAATATTTACGGAAAGGAAATACAGTGTATTGTAACGTGCGTCGCCTCGTCGGTCCCTTGCCTCTCTGGCCCAGTCCCGATGGAGTTGAAGCACCTGCGGTTGGAGGCCACAGCACCAAGTGACGTACAGCACTCCCAAATCTGCTCCACCAGGGGAAAGCGCTAACTCAACTAGTGTTTGGGATTTAGGGATTGGGTGGATTAACCTGTGATTTTGGGTGGATTAGCCTGTGGTTTGGGTGGTTGACCGGTGGCTAGATGTGGCTGACCGGTGGCTCAGAATGGCTGACCAGTGGCTTAAGTGGCTCAAGTGGGGGAGACTTACACCCTAATTAGTGACAATTAGACAATCAAACAGAGACGGGAGACTTCTTTGACTTCTTTAGTCCCACCAAGCGAAGAAGTGAGGTTTATTCCTTCTCACTCTGCCTTTTATAGGCCAACATGATCCAATTACATTTGCTAACAATAAATGCACATCTTTGCTTAAGTATACAGAGGGTGGTAACCAATCAAAATGCAGTATTGCTCAGTAGCTGACTTAAGCCACACCCACTAACTGTATGGGCCAATTGGGGTCTACTGCTCTAGTATGAGTGACTTAGCACTAAAGAAAAGTCACTATACAGTTCATGTTAATGTATAAAACGTATAGTTGATGATTCATCACAGTATCAATCGCGGAAATTTCAATCCGAATTTAAGTCCCTTTTAATTGTGACGATAACGTAAGAAAACACATCCTTACTATAATTCAAGGAATCTCTGTCTGTTTGTCTGTCTGTCTGTCTGCCCGTCGATTATCTCCAGAACCGGGCACCGTATGAAGTTGAATATCGGCGGGTGTATTGCTCGGGACAACAGAATGTGCAGTGCCAAGTTTGAAGTGGTTTGGACCAGCGGTTGTCGAAAAAGCTGCAAAAAAGCAGTATTGTCTGAAACCTAGCGTGGCAGTATATAGCTTAGAACATAACACCACGCACTGCTGTTCTTTTAAATCGTTAACGTCATGTTTAAGTGCGCGTGCTCAATATGACGCAAACAAGGACGGGCACACGCATTGTAGGGCAATGGACCGATCCAGTAAGCACCGCCCCATGGTGTCTGACCAATCACAACCGTGATTTATGTCCGACGTGCGTGCACTAAAGTCCGACATGCGTTCGCGCGCGAATGATGCGCGCGGAAGGAAAATGCAGCGTGGCATTATACCGAGCACGTGTTGACTTGCCCACGTGCGCACTGGGCGGAGCTTACTGGATCGGTCCATTATTGTTCGGAGTATTTCTGGAACTCACGTACGTAAGTAGCTGCACGGGCACATGCGTTTTGCGGACGACTGAGCAACCGTCACTGCAGGGCGATACCATTACATTCATTCTTCGGCGGTTCCTGTCAAGATCCTAGAGTTTCGTGTCAAATACCATGACAAAATATTACAGGAAATTTCATTGCAATACAATGTGTTTATCTTGAGTTCCCAATTTCACAATAACTGTGTTGACATGACGAGAAAAAACGGAGTGTCCTTACGGATGCAACAGTGCATTAAAATTCCGAGTGTTGGTATAGCGCGCCCTCTTTTGTAAGAAATTGTTACATGAGGATAAAATACGGAGTGTCCTTCATACTGGAATTTCCTTAAATTATATTACATTCGATCTTCGGCGGTTCCTGTCAAGATTCTAGAGTTTGGTGTCAAATACCATGACAAAATATTACATGAAATTTCATTGCAATACAATGTGTTTATCTTGAGTTCCCAATTTCACAATAACTGTGTTGACATGACGAGAAAATACGGAGTGTCCCTCGTACTTCAATTTCCTTAGATTATATTACATTCATTCTCCCGCGGTTCCTGTCAAGTTTCTAGAATTTCGTGTCAAATACCATGACGAAATATTACAGGAAATTTCATTGCAATACAATGTGTTTATCTTGAGTTCCCAATTGCACAACTGTATTGACATGACGAGAAAATATGGAGTGTCCTTACGGGTGCAACAGTGTATTAAAATCCCCATTGTTTGTATAGCGCGCCCTCTTTTGTAAGAAATTGTTGCATGACGATAAAATACGGAGTGTCCTTCATACTGCAATTTCCTTAAATTATATTACATTCATTCTTCGGCGGTTCCTGTCAAGATTCTAGAGTTTGGCGTCAAATGCCATGACAAAATATTACAGGAAATTTCATTGCAATACAATGTGTTTATCTTGAATTCCCAATTTCACAATAACTGTGTTGACATGACGAGAAAATACGGAGTGTCCCTCGTACTTCAATTTCCTTAGATTATATTACATTCATTCTCCCGCGGTTCCTGTCAAGTTTCTAGAATTTCGTGTCAAATACCATGACGAAATATTACAGGAAATTTCATTGCAATACAATGTGTTTATCTTGAGTTCCCAATTGCACAACTGTATTGACATGACGAGAAAATATGGAGTGTCCTTACGGGTGCAACAGTGTATTAAAATCCCCATTGTTTGTATAGCGCGCCCTCTTTTGTAAGAAATTGTTGCATGACGATAAAATACGGAGTGTCCTTCATACTGCAATTTCCTTAAATTATATTACATTCATTCTTCGGCGGTTCCTGTCAAGATTCTAGAGTTTGGTGTCAAATGCCATGACAAAATATTACAGGAAATTTCATTGCAATACAATGTGTTTATCTTGAATTCCCAATTTCACAATAACTGTGTTGACATGACGAGAAAATACGGAGTGTCCTTGCAGGTGCAACAGTGTATTAAAATTTCCATAGACACTAGTGCTAAATGCCCATACTTCTAAATTCTTTTAAAAAATACTCAGAACTCTCACATGTATTTAAGTTGCACAGAGAAATGGCGATCAATATTTCATCTTTTATTTTATTTTCAATTTTTGGTGGGTTGACCCGTTATTGACTTTTCGAGAAATTCTCACCAAAAGAAGACGACCCCTATTTTTTCCAAAGCGGAAAAAAAGTAGCCATCTTGAAAAACGATCCCTCCACAACATGAAAAAAATAGCGCCACTTTCGAGCTTCATTGCATCCAAAATGCTCAGAATTGGAAGTCCCAAGTCTGGGCCAGTGTTTCTTGCCATATTTTTTTCAATTCCTCAATTTTACGGCTCTCAGAACTCTCTAATGTAGAATATTTTGAGGGTATAACTTCTGTTCATGAGCTCGGCGGATGGGTTTAGGCCTATTAACAGGTGTGCACCCTGACACGTCAATATCCTTCAATATATTACATTCATTATTTGGCGGTTCCTGTCAGTTTTCAATAACTGTAGTTTACATATCGAACGGCCAGACGTACGTCGGATCAGCGCGGTGAGCAGCGTTTGTATAGCGCGCCCTCTTTTGTGAGAAATTGTTGCATGACAATAAAATACGGAGTGTCCTTCATACTGTAATTTCCGTAAACTAAAATTGTAGATGATGTACACGAGGAATTAACTTATTGAGCGATTTTCTTCAGTTTTGTATATAAGGCCAAAAAAAAAAGTCTCCGGTTTCTGGTATGCGCGAGCGTCGCCGTAGCCATGCGCGTCGGCAAAATGAAAAAGTTTTTTTTCAATGAAAGATGATGTCTCAAAACCGCCAAACTCACTGGTTTGACTGGATTCCTGCTGCTGCACAATTTTAACGTGTTTTTAGATGGGGTTATGATCGAGAATAAACTTTATGTGGCCTCTCTGGACTCCCATATATTTGCACTAAGTTTAGTCGGGCACCATTTGCAGTCATCAGCCGACATTTGAAGCAAAAATGTCAGGTAAAAAAAAAAAAAAAGCCGCGTCGCCGCACCACTTTTTGGACAAGCTCCATAC